AATTCTTAAGACCTCCAGATCTTGGAATGGCGGTTCCAAAGTCGAGCATCACAAACGCTCCAGAGGTTGCGATAACAGCTCCTATGATCCAGCACATCAAGGCCATTCCAACGCTTCCGGATGTCTTCAAGATCCCAGATGGAGTTGAAAAGATACTACATCCTGGCATTAGCTCAGCGAAGAATGAATTAAGAAAAAAGAGCCTACCCAGCGCCAACAATTTTGTTCACAATGAGTGACACTGCTCCGAAGAGTCCAATTGTCCGCTCTTGCAAAATGTTCTCCTCCTTGATGTTCTCGAAACCTCGCTTTTCGGACCCATCGCTATCGCTGGTAGTGGGTTGCAGATCCGGGGCCGCTGCATCATGTTAGCTTGTCAAAGAGAGCAAGGGTGAAGGTTCTTCAGGGAAATGTACCTCGAACAGCGGTGATCTCGTCTTTTTCTCCCATCTTTTTTATCCCCTTGGGCACCTCTGTAGCTGCAACAAACAAGTCTTGAGGCCGAAATCTGAACAGACTAACCAACTGGCCAGAACATCGTTGAAACAGGCCATGATATAGCTAATATACCACTCAGACTGTCCGATCTTCACGGAGATTTGTCGCGGCAGGTACGGCACCTCCTGCTGATCTGGTCGTGGTGCAATACAAATTCCGGATCACGTCACTGACTCCATGCACGTTGCCATGACTAACGGTAAGGTTATCATTCGGTTGTCTTGCCGCTCAATGGGGAGCCCAGGCCTTTCTTAATCGCGGCTTTAATTTTTATTTGCTCAAAGTTTCCAGAAGCATTCCATTATTATTGTGGCTGATTGGACGCGCTTGTTGATGGCGTGCTGGTCGCTCACCTTGTCGTGATCTCAAAGAGGGTCTCTCCCCCTAGTTCATCTATCTGCCGGCAACTCACATCCGTAGAAACAATGAAACTTCAAACACCCTGACGATTATATCCACAACCTCTTCCCCTGTGCTGGCATCAAGTTTCTGCTTGTGCAACTTCTATATCCTCGCCCCGGCCATGTCTGTCACCTTTGCACCGCTCGACGAGCCAGGTGCGCAGGCCTACTATGGGGTGAAGGCTAGCACGCTCCGCCGGTGGTGGAGTTGGTGGAAGCTCTTCGGGAGTACGCCGCATCGGTGAGGATCCGGGAACTACTAGGCCAGCATGGTGCCGCCGAACAAGCGCGAGGTTATCACCTGCATGAGCAAATTGGTCTGGCTGGCAGGAGGAATGAGGTGGTCAAAACGTCTGGACTGCTAACGAGGGCTCACTTTGGTCCGTTTCTACCAGCATAAAGAGGAGAGGACTATTGCCGCATGATTGATTTCCAAAATTACTTGTAGTCCGTAGAATCGTGGTCATTTTGGAACAGTACTCGAAATACACTCGATTCCCTTCCAAGACTCATTTTTATTGTGTAAATAAAGCCCTTGAGGGTATGCAAAGCCAATATGCTAAAATGTCACTCCAAAACTAATAAAAATGATTCAATAGGGGGAAGGTCACCTATTGAACATGGCGCCAACGTATTCGCGAAAGTGCAGGCAGAGCTCCCAGACCTCGTCAAGAAGGTGCATTATACCGGGGCCTGGGCGTGAAAATGGTCTTTAGAGTCCCAGGTAACGAGGGCTTACACAATACCTTCAACTGGGCTGGAAGTTTAGCTTCGGACAGGAGATTCATCCCGAGGATGACGAAACGACTAAGAGAGCCCAAGGTGGAGAAGCAGGTTCATAGACTAACATGCGATTTCAAATGGAACGATGACGGTAGCCTGGGGCTTACGCAACATGTTCCCGGTAATGAACTTAGCCGGGGTATCCACATTGTATCGCAAGATCAGCTAATAGGAGTGGATATGGTTGGACTTCGAAGAGATCCAGCCAGCGGGAGGTCAACGGGCTTGTTGGGCGGCATGGAACCACAAGGGACATCGGGGCTTTGGATCCTCCCCATATAGGCCGCGATGGAATGGCATGTGAGTTCTCAGATGAAACAGAGTCTGAGGCTGAGATTCTGGCATTCCCTTACAACAGACCACCCTTGCGTTTATGGTGATGAAACTGCAATCCCGCGAGAGTATCTCGACAAGTTGATAGAGGGGATGGACAAGGAAGAAATCCAACTTTCCCTTGAAGAAGGAGACCTTCTCTTGGCGGATAATTATCAAGTGCCTCATGGCAGAGAACCTTGGAGTGGCGAGAGATAAATACTAAGGGCCTACACCTATTGGCGTGTACTAAAGCGTAAAGACAAGATTATTGTCTCAAAACCACCAGGTTCAGAACTGGAGGACTTCATGATATCACCCCAATCACCTACCAAGTCAGCAACTTTACGAGTCTGTATCTGAGGTGATGTACCTGCGCTGTCGTTTTTCATTGGGGCATCACCATTCAGTGCAGCCAAAAGACACACGCAGAAATGAGGGTATTTGCTCAAATAAACGATTGAACAAAATCGAAAAGCATCAACGTCATATTGCGGGTAATCATTTCAATTGGTAGGATCATAAGAAAAAGCCAAAAAAGAAAGCTAGATATAGCAATTCTACGTTTCGATCGTAGGACCTCCGGGTTATGAGCCCGGCTAGGATGAGTTAGTTGGAAATTCTAGATTCGGAAGAAGTGGGTCAAACATACCGCGCTTCCACTGCGCCAAATTGCTTTGTCACATCTAGTGGTGTTATTGTGGGTCGCCGCTACATTTGACTATGTCCCCCTCAACACTTCAAATACATCACAGCTACCCTGTAACCACGCTCTGGACTGACATGAATGCGTTGCCCTGCCCCGATGGAGTCCAGCAGCGCTTCACAGATACTATCATATGACTTATGATTAGCTATTATAGTCAATTAAATACAATCGATGTACATAGTTCTCAGGTCTGTGGCAGAGAGTGGTGGGTTGGGCTGGTACTGTTGGTCTTGTTGCTGACGCTGGTCTTAACCCACAACACCACATCATGAACTCTCCACCGAAACAACCATACCTATATAATCCACATACCATCATCGTCTCTCATCTACGACCATACCTACTAGACAGCACTGGATCCCGTCTGCTCTCCGTACGTTAAGCTAGTAAGGGGCCGATTAGTAGTTGGGTCGGTGACGACCAGCGAATACCGGCTGTTGTAGGTTATTTTTTTTCTATGTTTTTATTTTCCCGTCTCAATTCTTTGCTCGGATATATTAGTGGAACATGCCCGCAGAATTTCATCTCGGTTGGCTGTCGAGTTGTTCACTCTCTATGTATGCTTGCCATAGCAGTGATTGACTGGAGAATTATCCCAACCCACCAGAATGCTCCAAAAAAACAGGTGTTGTGGGAAAACCCTCAGCTAAGTCGTTTCACCGTGTGAGGCATCGTGTTTCAGCCCTGAACCCTGTCTCTACGTCATAAAGTTGGCCACGCATGAATCTAATATCCACTGAGCGGTGATAAGATTACCAACTTGCCAACCTCTAGTAAAGCATGAACTAAAGAATCTTGGGGCTGAAAAAAAGTTGTGGGCAAAGAATGGGGACCTTCGCCTCACACCAAGCCCTGGTTCCATTTGTTTAGCTGACAAGGTGCGGTGTGTCCGGTATGTGCAGCGCACAGTTGACAAGATCTCTTGCTTACCGAGAGGACGTGCGGGCACACAGAATGTCACACAATAGCTGCCTACTTCCTGCAGCTCGCTGCTTTCAGCCGTGCATAAATGTTTGCATTGGCCAAAGGAAGCGCACTAAGTTGCTTTGTTGCGGCAGCTAAGTCGCGTCTTGTTCCGAATAGGCGCGAGCTAGTCGTATGCTGTTGAAGAAGAAAGAAGGAAAAATGGCATTTTAAATCTTATCACCGCTAGAAATCTTGCTTTGCCCGATGTCACGGCCTGAAATCAAGACATGCCCACCTAAGAGATGTGTTGTTCGCTGGGTTGTCAATGCCCAGCGAGACCCAACGAGGGCTTTTGTGTTCAGGCACCTCTATGTAAGGGACAAGTCAAGAACGACAGCGCCCTACTTGATATGAACATAAGATGGCAGTCGATGGAATAGATAGGCCGAATAACTTCGGGCTTTCCGGAGAACGGACTCACGGTGAAGGCCGAGAGGAGCATCTGGAAAACGGGAGAGTTGAAAACCTGCTTCGAGAACAAGGCCGAGCTATCTCAAGGCGCCCACAGCGTTGAAACCAAGGTTGTCTTAGATGCATGAGGAGAACCGCATTGACAGCCCATACGTCAGTCAGATTTGACGGCCACTCGTGCAGCTGTCTTCTGTCACCGGTGGAGCATCTGGATAGAGACCTTTAGACGAAGCACTAGCAGTATATCAGACGTCTTATTATAGCCACCATCCTTGCATTTTGACGACATTGCCCACATCCGATCCAGACTTCTTTCTGAGATCCCAAAGATCGAACACGATCGACGGGATACTTTGCTACGTCATATTCCCATTTTGCAGGCCGACGCTCTTATGCTTCCGTGTATCCCACCCGCGAGCCACGTTGACCTACAGATCGCTCCAGGGTCCTCCCCAGATCGAGACCCTTAATTCCTTTTTTTTATAACCTACTTTTTCTAGAACGTGGATCCTAGTTCCCAGCCCACTGCACAGAAGTTCGTGAAATCTCTGGCTCCAGCATCCTCTCTTTCCGCTAAGATCGCTGACATGCCTCACTTCTCGCTGTATGAGCCGAACTGGGCACTCAGCTCGCCCCCCGGAACTGCCTCACCTCCCCACCGGCGCCGGCGTGGCTGGTCACTGCTCGTGTCACTGCTCGGGATGGAGACACTGTCGTCAATGCCAAAGATTTGTCTCGTTAACTCGGCGTCAATCTTTCCACGTGGCTGGTTTCTCCTGCACTTATAATGCGACACATTTCCGTGACTGCTCCTCCTTGATATACTTGGAATCACTACCTTTTCTCGGCTTATCAGGATACAGCAGCCACTCTACCCCTCCTCTCTTTCTTGATTCGGCTTTCCTATTGGTCTTTTCGACATGGCATTTCAATCTCCATCCGCACACCGATCAGCGCGGAGTACCCCTGCCGCCAACATCTCCCCTTTCAGTGTTCCAGAAGATAATGCTGCTATCGACTCCCCGGCAGGCCTATCACACCACGATGTCCAAGAAGCAAAGGTCCGGGAATCTGACTCAGACACAGCCGTGCCTGCTCGTAACGACAGCCACGATGGTCTTCGCGCACGCCCGCCCTCTCGCCTCGGCTCTGCATCTGGTTCCAAAGCTAGACGGTACTCTTTCGACGACGGCGCCGGCCACCCTATGAGATCTCAAAGACCTCGGTATCGTGATGACTGGGAATACGAATATGACCTACGTGACTACCCCACCATGAGAGACTACGAGCGCAACTGGCGGGGTGATTACCGCACTGGACTGGATAGATACACTTCCCGTCGGAGTGCTCGTCCCCCTCCTGCCATTTTCAACAATCGTCGTAACATGATGATGAGTGGACATGACTCAGACGATGATATGTACCACGAAGAGATGCGGTTTTCCAAGGACCCTTTCTACGAGAGCCCCCGTACGCGGCGCATGGCTGACGAGGAGATGGGATATCACTACCCAACTCCTATCCGTCGTGAGACATCCAGCCAACAAAACAGCTTCGGTGCGGGGCTTGCCCGTCTCGACTGGAACAACCTTTCGCCTAGGGAGAAGCGTGAGGTTATGCGTCTACCTCTGACCGAATGGATGAACTCCGACGTGAAAAACCACTTCGTCGCAAGTCTTGGCGAGTTTGTCGGAACACTCATGTTCCTCTTCTTTGCCTTTGCTGGTACCGAGGTTGCCAACATTGGTTCTCAGTCTAACAGCGACAACACCACCACTGGCGAGGCTACCGGCTTTAGCGTTGCCACTCTGCTGTATATTTCTCTGTCCTTCGGTTTCTCGCTTATGGTTAATGTCTGGATCTTCTTTCGCATTTCGGGAGGTCTCTTCAATCCCGCCGTTACCCTCGGCATGGTCCTTACCCGTGCCATATCCATCGTCCGTGCCATCTGCCTCCTTATCGCCCAGATGGCCGGCGCGATCGCCGCATCCGCCATCGTCCGCTACCTCTTCCCCGAGTCGTTCAACGTCCGTACGACTCTTGGCGGTGGTGCCTCGACAGTGCAAGGAGTGTTTATCGAGGCTATTTTGACGTCAGAGCTTGTCTTCACAATCTTCATGCTTGCTAAGGAGAAGCACCGCGCCACATTCATCGCACCAGTTGGCATTGGGCTGGCTCTGTTCATTTCAGAGCTTGTCGGTGTTCAATTTACCGGTGGCTCGTTGAACCCTGCCCGTAGCTTTGGCCCTTGTGTTATTACTGGCACCTTTGATGCCGAGCATTGGATTTACTGTGAGTTCTCTCCCTTAAAACCAGGAGTTGCTGAGTAGAAAGAAACAAATACTGATTCCATGTCGATTAGGGGTTGGGCCTTTCGTCGGCTCTCTCATTGCCGTCTGCTTCTACCGGTTCATCAAGACTCTGGAATATGAGGCAAGTCTCTCTCCCCTCAAATACAATACCTGAGAATTTCACTAACTCTTGTTGTGCAGATGGCAAACCCTGGCGCCGACGGCGAAGATGTGCCCAGGAGCTCCGAGAAGCGCCCAGAGGTTCTTGTTGCTAAAGAGCAAGTCACAAAAGAGCCTTCTCTTCGCGAGTGATCAGAGCTGTGTTAAATTGGTATCTTCTGTCCATGACTCGAGCAGTCAAATTTCTCACATGAGACAAGAGACCGGTGTCAATTTAGTCGAAGCTTCTCATGAGGGGATTGAGTATTTCCTATGTCTGCTACATGCACCACGATTTAATACGCTACGAAAGAAAGTTGGAGAATGTTGAATGATGATGATGATTGGTTATCTTTCTGTCTGACGTTTATAAATGAGTTTGGATTATTGATTAATGAGGTTTGGTCTGATAAGCTGTATACGGGAACTTTTCATAGAGACATGATTTGACAACAAAGAGGCTGTGCCACAACTCTGGCGTGGAACAAATCATCCACGTCCTATACTGCAAGAAATTATTTTTAAATGACCACTTCAAACACCCGGTGCCGGCCGTCCTGCGATCCAATCTAATGCCTTGCGAAGGTAGGACCGTTTATCACCCTTCTTCCATTGATTCTCATCAACTTGGCCTCCCACAACCCTGCCTGTTACACCTTGCTGGACCATGCTCAAACTGAAATCCTCCGTGAATAGCGAACAAGCCACTACCAAGACAGCGATAACAACAGCCATGATAAGAAGAACCGTCATGCTCTCCCGGTAGCTGCGGATTATGGCATCACGGGCCGGCGAACCCATGGGATACCCAAGAGCTTCGTTGTAGTCCTCATAGATGATCCTCGCCCGCCTCTTTTCATCGTCAGGCAAGTAGTCCTGCAGCTTGCTCGGAATATAGCGCTCCCAGAGGGCAGTGCTAATCGCCGAGCCAATGGCACCGCCTACACTGACGAGGGAGAGGAAGATGGCCGTGGCAACGCCGACGTTTTGGTGCCCGGCACTTGCTTGCACGCCGAGCTGTGCAGGGACATTGAGCATACCTCCGCCGATACCAATGAGGATCTGCGAGGAAACGATGGCTGATCGGGAAGGCTCGCCGCGGAGCTGGATCATGAGGCCGATCCCGAGGAGGTAGACGCAAGAGCCTCCAGTAACAAACCACTTGTACCGGTTTGATATTTTGATGAAAACTGAGACGATCAATGAAGAAACAGTAGCCGTGACGTAAAATATTTTTAAGACATAGTTTGCATCCGAAACACTAAAGTTTCTCACAACAATTAGGTAGGAATATAGATGCGGCTGGACGGAAAGGTAAAAGGCCACTGATCATCATCGTAAGCAAAGATGCAATACATAAGATGAGAAACTGAAGTGGGAGCACACTTACTAAAGTAGAAAACAGCAAGGAGGCAGCCAGCGCTGAAGGTAGATGATTTGAGTAGGCGTAGAGGGATGAGTGGATAGGGGGCGAGGCTACCCAGAAAAGAGCCTAATTTGCCCTCCATTCCTCGCTTCCTCGCAAAGCGAGAGCTCGCCTCCCAAAAAGGGAAGATGACAAGGAAGAGGGCTCCCATTGTGACCATGGCGACCAGGTTTCCATTTGCCCAGCCACCCGAGACATATCCAGCAATCGAGCATGGAATGAGGATGAGAGATAACCCCAAACTCAGCAAGATGATGCCACCTATGTCAAGATCTCTCCAAAGGTTCTGCGGAACTCCTGTTAGGCCGCCTTGAAGAGTGGTGTAGGTCCTAGGCCCAAGGCCCATTTGACTGGCTTTTCTTCCATTGACGAACAGAGAATAGGCCAATGGAATGAAGGCAATAGGGAGAATGAGCGTCCACATCCCAAATGCCCATCGCCAAGATCCAGACGAATCTACTATTTGATCTCCGATGATGTCGCCAACCCATACCGTCACTAAGTAGGGCAGATCAGGTAAGGTTGAGAATAGTGCACGGTTGGGGAGGTCAGTCGTATCGGCGATGAATATCTGCTGGACCAGAAGAAGGCCAGTGGATCCCACTGAGTAGAAGACCTGTGCTGCCGCGAAACCTTGGACACTTGTCGTGGCAGCCAGTTGAATATAGCCGATTATGAGAAGGCCGACAGTCAGACAGAAAGCTTCAAGTCTGCCAAACACATCGGCGAGCTTAGCTATGGGAGGTTTGGCAACAACTAGTAGAATAAAGACAGTCAGTCCCGAGCCAAAATCATTTACTGAGCAGCAATCGCCAACTAACCATATATGATGTCCCGCACGACAAAAGTGGTTGATAGCAGTGAGTGTTGCTGGAAGGGCTTTGTCATCAATGACAACAATGGGGTGGTGACTTGACCCTCAAGGGATGTAACAAATGCAGTAAGAAGAAGGCTGTGATTGTACAGTTAGCGAATCGAATATCAGTCCAACTATGTATCAAAGTCGTGTTGACGTACCTGCAATAAGGAACGAGAAGGGACCAGCCCGTCCAAGCTAGAGATATTGCCTCCATACCTCTGACACCATCTTGAACAAAATCTCTGCTCGACCTTCGGCTCATGTCGTAACTCTCGTCTGGCGGCGCGGTTGGAGGATTCTCGCCCACGGGCGCAAATTCCATCTCCCAAGCCGGCTCAGAGGTTGCCGGCAAAACACTCGCCCGGCCATACTTTGACTCCTCTCTGCTACTTTGGCTCTGTTCCTCAAACATCTTGGATAAATTACGAGGACCTACTCATGAGATGGCGAGCGAGAATCAAGATTCTTGGAGGGGTGGGCTATCTGTCGGAGCAGAAGGCGACCCTGTCCTGATTCGGGTGATGCAATGGACGCCTACGCGCCTTATGTATTACCCCTCACCTTCTTTTCATTTATTGGGAGACCTGTAATATTACGGCTTGGACACGCGCAAATGTGAGAATGTGTTGATACGTGGCGGCCGCACGGCTGAGCCCAGCCCCGGTCTATGCAACTGTCCGATGGCCTGCCCAGCTGTCTGCCCAATGTCTTAAGCGATGGCAGATTCGCCAAACAAGGCTTATGCTGTTTCTTCATGTTTTCTGCATGTTGCACAAAATCAGGCGGTTTCCTAGCGTACTCGTGTGTCAACCCAGCCACATCAGCTCCCAGACTAAATATGCAGTTTGACGAGGGCAAACCTCTGCTGGAAACGTGGCCATTTATACTACAACCAGTTAGAGCATTTGTGCAAAGATAGAAATTATGACATAGACTATCAAGATAACTTTCTTTATGTCCGTACGTAACCGAATGGTAGTTTACTTGCACAGCACTTGTTCTATTACTACATTATGTTGCAGGCCAGTCCCGTCGCAGCAGCTAGAAATATTTACAAGTTAGCATATGGTCCGCCTTGAATACAAAGTCGAAAGCCTCACCTGCAATTATGCCACCTGTTAAACCAGCAGCAAGGCCGTTTATCGCGCCGTTGATCATATGCCCTTTGTATCGCGCGAACCTCTCCTGCGCTGCACGAATGTTTGAAATCTTCTCCTTGAGACTCAGTATGTGAGAGTAACGGTCTTCAAAATCATCTGTCAGCGGTATTGGCCGATGCTTAGATGATTGAACATCGAGCAGTTCCTGATCAGCTTTCTCCAGCTCATGATCGAGCATCGCATCTATTTTGACCTTGCTCTCTTCCCACCGGCTCTTACCCTCTCTATGCATGTCACCTAGTGACTTTTCTAGTATTTCCATCTCTTTCTTGCACTTTTCCACATGTTCTGTAACCTCGTATGTCAGATCAGTGGTAGTTGTCGTTGATAGAGACGCCACGAGCTCTTCCTCGTCTGCCATACGTTGGAATATATCGGTACCGATGACAAGGCCCGCCGCTGTCTCGCTAAGAGGCTTGTGTTGATCCACGATCTCATGTTGTATTTGAAGCACAGTAATCGGGTGCATAAGTGCCTGACACACGAGATGGGTGACAATGTTCTTCGCAGTAGGCATGTCTGAGCTGTCTGCTCCGTACTTGAACACCTCAGCACCCTGGCGGAGAAGGCCTCCAAAGAATCGATCATTCGTAAGAAGTTGGTTATATCGAGATTCGAGTTTGTCGCGTTCTGCGTTGTGTCGCGGTAGTCGGGGCCACATGGTTGTCACGATTGCGAGGTTGTCGTACCGCGCGAAACCGCACACGGCCTTTATCATATCTATGCTGCGCAGACTCGAGCCTGACATACGTGTATCAGATATCGGATGTAAGATGATAATGCCATGTATGCGTACTTTATTTGCGTACGAGGCACTCAGCCCAGAGGCAAGTGCCTCGAGGATCTCGGCGTCGGAGCGGTTCGAGTCGTTGAAGCCGGGGGTGTCGATTAGAAATATGTGTCGGCCCATCCAGTGGAAGTCAAATACTTCTATTGACCGTGTACCTAGTAGCTATGTGTTAACTGGAAAGAAACGTAGAGAAGCACAAATCAAAACTCACAAGATTGGAGAGAGTGCCCGATTTTGGCGTTCTTGCCGGTGCATTGGCTAATGAAGGTGCTTTTACCGGAGCCAGTTCTTCCTACTACGAGGAAAAACATGTCGTTGCTGCTTGGCTCTGTGATTCCGGTAAAGGCCGCATAGAGGGCGACCTTGTCTACCAGTTCATCGGCCGGAAGGTCCATGTCTTCTCAGATGTTTGCTCGCAACTGACATGTAACGAGTCCCTGCTGCGTTTGAAAATCTTTTAAATTTGACGCAAGATTTGCGATGGTTGCTAGAACTCGCAAATTGCATATCTACTTTGAACGGCTGTATGTAATTATGCCATGTGCGTTGGGGGCTGAGCATGGCGTGTAAACTATTGATAACTGTGCCGTGAAGGACAGAACCAGCAATCTATTGGCTGCGAATATGCATATGCTGATCAATAGCCACTTCCACCCTCAAAAGGGGGTAAGCCGGGTGATAGAGGCGCCAAACATTGCCTGAGCGTGCATGTCTCTGTCACATTTGTGGGCTGTTGGGCGCTTTCAACACACAATTGTGCGCATGGACCTGCACTTCACTAAGGATACGAGAATCTGAGATAGGCGAGGCGTCCTGGACGTCCCGGATTTCCCCTCTTCTTATCTGATCCGAGAGTTACATAGGCTGAGCCAATCCACCAAACCTCAAAAGGCAAGCGATGCATCTTGATCGGCCCCCAGCCCGTCTGTTAATCATCGCATGGGGATCATACCGCAATGCTTCAAAAGAATTCCAGTTCCAGCAGACGCGTTGCTACAATGGGCAGGCATCCCGATCTCGGTTTGTCTGATCCGCCAGGACCAAGCCCCGCCATCTTTCGTTGTGGCCGGGCCCCAAAGTAAGCGGCCTCAGGAAATGTTGAGGCATGATGGCGTGTCTCTAACGTTCAATAGGCCGAATGATGTGTTCATCGCTATCATGGGCGTTACTGGCTCCGGAAAAAGTTCTTTCATTTCTCAATGTTGTGGAGGGCTGGTCCGTGTTGGCCATGATTTGACTGGGTGTAAGTCGTCGAGAGGTTCCCACGATGCGATGCTCACAGTATCCTGATTGAAGTCCAGGCACATCCACGGTCGATGTCCATGTCTTTGATTTATCTCCCACTCAAACTGTCTATCTTATTGACACCCCCGGATTCGATGACACTAGTAGGGGCGACGCTGAAGTGCTCACTCAAATTGCTGCTTGGCTTGGGGAGTCATATCAGCATAAAATATTGCTCCATGGAATCGTTTATCTACATCCTATTACAGATCGGCGCATGCTCGGATCCGCCCGACGAAATCTGAATGTATTCATCAAGCTTTGCGGCCTTGATGCCCTTCAAAAGGTTGTTCTTGCTACAACAATGTGGGATATCACCGACCAGGAGATAGCCGAGAGCCGCGAACGAGAGCTTATCGAGACCGAAGGCTTCTGGGGATGGATGAAATCCCAGGGATGCATGGTCTCTCGCCACGACCATACTACCAAATCAGCGGTGCGGATCATTCATCAACTGGCTCACCACAAGGAACCGGTTGTCACGGATTTGCAGAGGGAGCTGGTCGAGGAAAATCTCCCACTGAATGAAACCTCAGCTGGGCAAAAGATACAGAGCGAGCTGCTCGCAGAGAGGAACAAGCTGGCCGGGATAAGTCGCGATATGGAGGCGCATCTTCGACAAGCCATCAAAGAGGGCAATGCGGCAGCTGTAGCAATGTTCAGCGAGGAGCGCGAGAAGTATGCGGACGAAATTAAAAAGTTGGAGATGGAAATCGCGAACCTTCGAATTACCGTGGAGAAGCTGTTCGACAAAGACCATCGAAGGCGGCACACCGTGGACCACTCGATCCCACCCACAGTTATACATCGACAGTCTTTGGATGAAGACACTAAAGCGCGCCTTGCGGAGAGAGAGCTCCCTCCGACACCTCCCAGAGCTTCTTTGTCCGAAACTCGGCCAAGACAAATCCAGCAACCGGAATTGAAAGGAGTTTCCCAAGCCGTACGCATGCCACCCGGTAATTCTGCCACCTCTGTCTCGATGTGGGGAGATGTCGTGTGTATCATTGGGGATGTAGGCCTCAGCTCTACACAATACCCGCGATTGAAATTAGACTCGGACTCGGCTTTTCTACGATCAATCAGTCTTGGTGACGTGGCATCTGATGGGTTCAGATCATGGATCGCCCGTTATGAAGAGAGATGGAGTAAGTGGCTTGATTCCCTTCAGCTTCCTGGCCGCGAATTAATAGAGGCAATTCATCTATTCTAACCAATTTCTTAGTGGCGTCCAATAATCTGGCGAGAGTGTACCCCAAGCTCGGGCACGGTATCACTTCACGGGGTCTTCAACGGCTCAAGTGCTGTTTTCTTGGCCCTCATGGACAATTTTTCGCTAAATGGCAGGACGGACAGCATCTATACTCATCACCAATAGATATACCGAAGATTCTTGACGGCCAAATTGATGTTGTTGATGTAGCCTTCGGCTATGAGGGCACCTATTTTGTTGCCTATACTGCCCCGGGTGACAAAAGTCTTTTTAGGTATGACCTGGGGAACCATTATGACGACCTTGCGTACTTCCTCAACAACGAAAAGAGAAGGATCATTATCCTAGTAAGTCAGAGCCCCTGAATTCTACAACGTATGGCCGGGAAGTAAAATCTGATGACAATCGTGCATCCCAGTCCATCACGCTGGACCCCAGGAACGGAACCGACTACATATTAGTCTATAATGAATGCATTCAGCGTGCTCTCAGAACTGAAATCAAAGGCCCAAAGGTTCGTTTTCAATCTTCGGGGCCCAACGCGAGCGCGATCTCGAGCTTCTGGTAGACGTCCAACGGTCGCTAGCCTGGCAATCTTGGCGATGGCACCTGGGCGTGTAGGTCTTGTCGCATTTGTATGGTATCTATTGAAACGTAGCCTCTAATGCAGAGTTAAAAATGAGAAGCAACGGGGGGATGAAGGGAAAAAAAGGCAAAAAAAGATGTTGTCAATCGTTCATTATAGGAACAGCCCGATGCGGGGGTCGAACCCGCAACCTTGAGATGTGAACTCGTAAGAGTCTCACGCTCTACCGATTGAGCTAACCGGGCACCTTTCCGGGTGCTTGTTGGAGAGGACTGTCGCAATAGCCACTCAAGTTAGCTGGACAAACAGAAGGAATGATTTCTGCGGCATCACGAAGGCTATGGAACTAATTTTGAGTGAACATCAGTTCTAAAATAGATGGACATATAGAACATCTTCTAAAAATATCCTTAAAATTGTGGTTGGACCTTGAACTTACCGAGTGTATACAGGAGAAATATGGCAGAGTGCGCAGCAAAGCAGAGAATCTCTCGATAGTCAATTGGTCCTTTAAGAAAACATCGTAGAATGGAGTTTCACTTAGGCTCTTTGATGATACAAGTTAACGTGAATCCTTCATTCGAATGTACCCAGGCGATCTCATCTAAGTACACTCTCCACGGCTTGGACTCGATTACAGAAGTGTCCACAAGCCTCGCATCAACCGTTGGTGAAGAAACTATAACGAATCCAACCTCACCATCTTGATGTCCTCTAATTCAAGAAGTGCCTGCTACGCACGGAATAATAGTGGAGTTCCCCTCTTCGTGATCCGCACAATCTTCCTCCTACAGCCACGTTTCGTCCCACGCAGAATCGATCGCCGCGTCAGTCCAGTGGCCGAGATCGCTCATGTGTTGCTCACATCTTCGCTTGCTACCCAAAACTTTCGGACAGGAAGCGCATTCGAAATCCGGGACTGAGTGGCCAGTCATGCGACAATGGTTGTCGCGGGCCTGCCTTCCTTCCTGTCCTCCTTTATCGAATGGTTTGTGACAGGTGCCGCACCGATATTGCATGGTGATGATGGGAGACTCTGATTTGTTGTATGCTCTAATATTCGGTTGCGAAAGGCTCGCTGGCTATGTTATTAGGCAAAGAAACGCTGTTTTTCATTTGTTTCGGGCGAATTAGAGCCTGGGCTGGCAACTACAGGCAAGAGAAGAAGGGAGCACGCAACAATGTAGGAGGCCAACATCTGGGGTTCGATCCTTTCCCCGCCGATTACGAAGGTTCCTCTTACGTAGCTCGCTGACTGAACAATGCGGAGAAAGATAAGCGGCATGCAGGAGGCCCGCCAACAGAATTCTATTGATGACGATTTTGATTGGTGAGGCACGAATGATGCATAACCAAGGTGGCGTGCCACGGGACTCGGGTGAGAATGAGTTGATAAGGATTCTACCAGACACCTAGTAGTTTGAAGCTGGTAGCTGATACTATCTGTCAGTTACATTCTAACACCGACAGGAACCAAGTGGCAGATAAAGCATAAGAAGCCACATTTCAAATTGAAAGTCTGAGAAAATCTATGAAATTTCGTGAATATACGCTTGCGATGCGATTCTATGTCTATTCTAATGTGCCGTGCTTCAATGAATCCAAGTGTAATGTATAGCTATCACCATGCGGCAGAAGCTTTAAAACTTCTTCCTCAACTCCCAACCTGTAACAGATATACGTGCTAGGGTATAACAAATGCATGCAACACTGTAAGAAGCTGCCGAGAAACCGATAAGCCGCTCCCAACCAGCCTGGCCGCCGGCGCCCAGCAGAGCACCGCCCATTGGTATGCTAGAGAGTGTTCCGAAGCTCGCGATGGTATTGGCAGTTGTGACGTATCGGCCGTAATCTCTCGAGTCACAGAATTGGCCAATGCAAACCGGTATCAGACCTAGATTGCTCCCGCTGGCGAACCCAAAACAGATGCAGAAGGCAAATATAATTGGCTTGGAGTCGCCAGCTGGTAACCACAGTCCCAGTATGCTCCCAACACACAACGCAATAGTCGAGATAATGACATTAAACCGGCCGACCTTGTCAGCTAACAAGCCTGGCAGGAATCGACCGAAAACTGAAGCAGCATTGAGGAGGGCCAAAAGAACAGAGCTCTCGGCACTAGTGTTCCCATGAGATTTGGCGTAGGACACCACGTATGTCAGAGGAGCAAAAAGACCCCATTCCATGAAGAAGATGCCGATGGTGGCAAGAGCAAATCCTCGGTCTTGGAGAATGGAGAAATCTGGCCATATGGATTTCAAGGTGGCCGACTTCGCAGGAGGACCCAATCGACTGCGGATGAAGGCATTCGATGCTGAACAGAGCCCGAGGAAAATGAACGCCAGAACTCGACAGCTCCAACCGAACCCTACACCATCATCGCTCAGGAGATATTGTAGCAAAAGCGGCAAGACTATTCCCCCAATACCTCCAGCGGTGGTGGCAATTCCTGTTGCGAAGCCTCGCTTGACGTTGAAGAAGTGTGCAATGGACCCGTACGCTGGTGCATAAAGCAACACACCACCAATTCCTCCCAAGACGGAATATGTCAAAAGAATTTGGTAGTATTCTACATGATATTAGCGATTGGCTATATGAAAAACGGAAAGCCGGTACTCTACCTGTACAAAGGCTAAGAAGCATCATGCTGGCCACCGTCACAACGCTGCCAGCGGCGACTAGGAGGCGAGGGCCATAGCTATCGAAGATTGGTCCGACAAATATTCCAAGCGAGAAGACCAAGAAAAGGTAGATACTGAAGATCCATCCGATCTGCGAGTGACTGTAGTCCCTGAGCTGGTTCTCCTTGAGATAGGACTCAAAAACCGCACTGGTGTTGATCAGGCCGAATACTGCCCCTGTAGCGCAAAATGACCCGAAAACAACTAGCCAGGCCTTCGTGCCTCCTTCTGGATACGAAATGTCTTCAGACTCCGAATCGGTTGTTTGGAGTGATTCCGATGATAAAATTGCATCCTTCCTCGGAGACTGCACAGCCTCCTCGTCACTGGTATATGGAGACTTCTGGAGCTCACGATATACTTGAGTCACCTGATTAGTAGAAACATCTTTATGAGAATGCTTTGTGAAAACCCCCATGGTGAAGCCTGCAACAGAAAAAAGCAAGAATACTGGTCTCCTGATTATACCAGACAACTGTCGTACGCCCAGACGAACGTCAGAAAGAGGAAATTAAATTTATTAGGGGAATAGCCCCAAATAAAGTTCTACTAGGCCAGGGGCAAGAGAGAAAAAAATTCTACTTCGGGCATTACTTCGGCGTCCAGGTCCATGAATAATGACTCGCGTTTGATGATGTCGGACCAGTCCAGAACTAAGACCTGATGGAATGCACGGATAGCGCGTAGAAGTCGTCATATTTCATTGGTCCCTGATTCCGCCGCTCGCTACCGAGATCAGTCTTTGCTAGAATTTTAGCTCAAACGGTCTTTGGCGCTGGCGATTCAGTATCGGCCGAGTCCCCGATGATAGCCAAGAAGAAGACCCCTAATTCTTGTTTATCTTCGACTAGATCGGAACAGGATAACATCCGATTCTTAGTGCGATGGAGAAGCACATGGCTAAATGGCGCTTTGGGAATATGAATGTCAAAAATCCAGAAAGTCAGTATCGTATTGCATCTCCACAAGGTCCATTCATCAAAGCTCATCCTCAGTCGTTTTCTTGCAGTTTGGATGGGCAAAGGATAATCATCAATGGGAATTCGGCGATCTGGTATCCCGAAAAGTGTAAGACGTCACTCTGTCACATTCCGCGATCTTTTGTGGGCAATAAGACACACTGTGGAATGTATGAATGGCATCTGCCGGTGACCGTTGTTTCACTCGTCTGCGTTGACGTGACCATCTATCCCACTTCCAAAGTGGGCCTATTCGTAAATCACCACTTTGTTGGTTATAAGGAATATGGTTCCTTGTTTGACACAGCCAGCCTTTGTTCTCAAAAGAATTGGGTGCACCGGCCGGTAGCATTCTAGTAGGGGATGAGGCTGTCATCAACAATGCTCGACACGTGCATAAAGTAATCGATGACGGGCCTCGATAACTAGGTCTGATGACATCTGCGGCAAGAGTATCCGTGGAGAAAACCTCCTGCAGGGGAAATGGAGAGCTCTCCCACGGCACGGCGAGACAAGTCCATTAAGCCTGGAAAGAGTCCGGGGGCGCCATCAAGCATCCAGTGGAACGAATATGGTGTGGCTCAACCCAGTGGATGCTGGTCTATGAGTTCTAGATTTGCTGAGTTGGGACGGCAGGAAGAGCTTCGTGTCAGAGAGATAACAAAATGAGAATGAAGAATTAACCCAGCTGCATCAGGTCTTCCGGACCCTTTCATTCACAGCCGCTTGATCGACCCTTTAGATGTCGTGCCGAACTGTGAGAGAAAGGAAGCTCCCAGCGAGGACATTCAATGAAGTTGGAGAAGAGAACTTTTGATATGATTGTCTACCATCCTGGGATATGCTATTGGAATTCCGTGGGCCATGGAAAAATCACATCCCTTGGTGTGGCCTCCTCAACAAAGCACACCCCAAGAAGCCAGTTCTTGATATACAGCCGTGGTACACACGCGTCGCCCTCGGATTTATCCAGAGCTTCCATTTCCACCTCGAGGGAAACGTGCCTATTAACATCTTTGCGATACTCTCCGTCTTCAGTCCCCACTGGAACGATGGAAGTGAACGCAAAGGCTGGTGGGATGGCATCCTCATCATGCAAATTTGTTAACCCATCTGCATCTTCGTTCCAAACAAAGAGAGCCCGCTGCTCACTCGGAGACGGCGAGGGGTTATGAGAGTCCCACAGCGCTCCGACGCGCAGTTTTCCTCCCTTTTTAATTGCGTACGCTAGTTCCAAGGCCATTTGCAATAGATACTGCTCCTTGAATGGCAATAGCTTCCAGTCCTCTTCCTGTACCGTACTGCCATCCAACTCCAGCAAGCAGCCAATACTGAACGCGAGTGTTCTCATACCTTCCTGTTTCAACAACAACTCTAACTGGCGGAGACTTTGCCTTTGCTCCTCATTTAGTCGAAATGACTTGGCTTCCGGCCCGACTGGGATGTCGTGGAGAATTGAACTGTCAATCAACCTCCCAAGCTTCCATAAGTGACCGTTCGTCTTGATTCCTTCGTCAACAAGGCTCACTTTGTGGAAACGGCAGTTCTTATTAAAAGTGAGCGGATGTGCTTGGTATGGGCTGCGGAAGCGATTGAATGATTGGAACTTGAGATACTGAGGAGTAGTGTAATACAACGCCTCATGCGGGGAGTTCCTGATTCCATTGTCTAGAATTCCACCGTTCAGCAAGAATAGAGCTAGAACTGACAAGCTGAGACTGTGGCCTTCGTGTTTAAGTCCCAGGGTATCTAGCCGGGTTGGGAACCAGCAACAATTTGCCGTGATTGCTAGACGGTCCCAGGAATCTTTGATCCCCCTGTTGGAAATATCGGATATGATCTTTGGGGTCATCAGTTGCGACCGGTCGAGTATCCGGGTATACTTGCCCATAGTTTTGAGGATGTTCTTGATCATCGTCTTCGTCTCCTGGGAGAGCGCGCCGACAGCCCCGGATTTCAGCACCTGACACAACCGGGTGGCGTGGTCTGAAAGGGTAACAGCCTTGATAGATAGTTCGCCTGGCAAGTCTCCAAAGACCCCAAAGCGCCTTTTCTCGCTTTCCAAGAGGGTGCTGTGGGGGATAAGCAACGTCATCCTGACACCGGCGCGATAGTTTTCCTGGAATGTCCATGCTCGTGTCCACCAGTCGTCTCGTGACATTTCATAGAGCAGGCGGATGGTTTCGAGAGCCTCTACACGTGTGATGCCTTTTGCGAGTTTAAGTGAAATGCGCTGTTGCTTCACGACTCGGGCCGTAACCCTTCTCACGATCTTGCCAGCGAGAAGCCTGTAGAGACGTTCAAGTTCGGTGTGGGAGTAGACAGTTCGTGCGAGAAGTGCAACCGGATGATTGCTGTAGGAGTACACGAGATGCATCGCCTGAACTCCTCTTTGCTTCTTCTGTTCATCATCTTGATCAACGCTGTGCCGGTCGATCCACAGGTACCCAACCTTCGTGTGCTGCATGTACCGAATGGCACGGGTCAGGGCACAGTCACGAACAGGTGAGGGAAGATGCTGAGACTGAGAGCTCTCGGCCTGCTCGACTGTGTAGCCTCCACTTGAGCTCCCTTCTCTTTCCGACGGGTTCCAAGTATAGGAGAGAGCCACATAGTCTCGCTGTGTTCGACCGTCGATAATGCGCCGACTCAGGTGCCCGTAATGAGTCTGTCCGTTGCCATTTCTGCATTGTGAATCAGAGCTGGATTGTGGTTGATGAGAGAAGCAAACAAGTTCTTTGACAAACGAGGTCGACTCATGTTCTTTGAACTGATGCTTTTGTATGCTGAGCAGATGATCGGTGATTGATGTTCCAGAGCGCGCGACAATACGGGAGAGACTCTCCCCCATATCATCTACGCAATCGTCATCATGGTGAGAAATCGTCTTGTCTTGTTGCATCTTCCTCGAGTGGCAGATCGTTGAAAATTCTCCGCAGGTTATGATCGGCGTGGAGCCCCAAAACAGAAACAAACATGAAGTAATATTAAGGGGCTGAAGATCACGTGTGGGCTGACATTTCAGTTGGCCGTAAAGATTGCTCATGCATCGGCGTCTCAGTCGATTGAGGGCATTGGGAAAATTTATCGCCATCTGATAAATTCGACGTCCATCTAGGGGCCATCAGCACAACGCCGTCTAGAAGTTCTAGGATACTGTCGTGGTGGTTGCCATGTTGTGGTGTGAGGTCAAGGCCAGCAAGGCAGACCGTCAGGCGAGAAACTCCCCGCTTGCTAGAACTTAGCAACCCAGTTAGGGCGATTATAACTCATTGTTCCCACTTTCGTCAGGGGTTACGACGGCTACCCTAAGCTTTCACTGGCGTACACAGGGATATCTGGCTGGCAAGTCGTTTTTCGGGGGGTTGTGTTTCCTATGTGTTTCCTATGTGTTTTGAGATTCGATTACAATTTTTGTTTTTTTTTGTTATTGGTCGATCGTTGCTCTCTTTTGCTCTGGTCATTTAACAGCACACCTGACTCCGTTCCACGGCTTGCTATGGCCCAGGTCTTGATGTGTTCGCTCATCCCTGATAGTCTTTTCCCAATCTTAGACAGGCTCAAGCGGATAAATATTAGGACATGGGTAGCAGTGAATAAACCGTGCATTTTACTTAGTATCTAGTCTAGTAGAGGCTTGCCTCTTTACCCAATGCTGTAGTGATGCTTGCTTCTCATTCTGCTTTTTTAACGACACGCGTTTTCCTTTTTTAGAAATCCGGTCTGGTTGTTGAGTTTTCATCTGTGACTGGGGCTTTGGAATAATTGCATTCGGCGTTGTTACTTTCGCTGGTTCTTTATCAGAAGACGCCAGTGTTTCAGAGGTAAAGACTAGCTCCAAAGCAAGCGTATTGATAGTTTCTCTCATAGAAGGCTTTAGGAAGCAATACTTCTGAGGGGCACCGTTCAGCCATCGGTTTCTCTTCAGGTCGGCGAGGGAGTAAGGTATTTGCAGTTTTTCAAGCTTCAGAATCTCATAGGCGTACTTAACACGGCCTTCCAAGTCGCCACGATCGAATTCGTCATTTCTTAATCCATGGGGATTACAAATCTCCTCAGGGCGTTTCCCATGACTTATAGTAGCGATGTATCGAATTGAGGATAAGGGGCTTGTTTCATATATCCAAAGTCGTTGGGTAGATTGTGGAAGAAGATAGTTGCGAAACTCATGGTTCTTAATTCGACTAACAATATTGGCCACATGCTTGGGGTGTATGGGTATAATTATATCTTGCCGATCTTCCGTTGATTGCGACATAGCTCACAAAATATTGTTGTTGATAGCAGGTTTCGAGAGTTTGGCCACGCGGCGCGTGCTCCCTGATACGCGTTTTTACGCGATGCTAAGGGGTCCAACAGTGCCACGGTACCCGCGCCTGTAATATTCACGGGTACCCGTGTTATTATATAAGATTACCCATTACCCAATTAATGTTAGCTACTAACTAATCTCAAATAATACTTCATAATAGGATACTTATTTTCAGACCAGACTTCCGTCTGCTAGATACAGCTCCGCAGTGTAATCCAACCTTCCCGTGTAGGCAGGGTGTGTACCCTCTCGCACACACTGCAAGTAAGATTTAGCTAGGTCGATGAGACCGTTTTCAGAGGATTCTATGGACATGAAAGACGATTGGAAGCTATTCAGCGTATAGCTTTTGCTGTTCATACATGCAATCAGGATCCTCCGTGATTCTTCATCGGGTAGCCTGCTGAGAATCTCCCGAACAAAATGAGGCCGCAAGATGGCGTTGATGGGGTAAAGCTCCTTCGACCAAGAAACATCTTGTATGAAAATCGGGTATTCAAACAGAAAGTAGAGAGGTCCGGTAAAAGAGTACTCAAAGTCAATGATCCCAGCTAGTTTTGGTGGCAAACCGTCAGGCTGCTCAGTAAAGAGCATGTTTTGACCATCAAAATCGGCATGAATCATGGCAAATGGTGGCGCAAGTCCTGGGTCCTCCTTTGTCTTTGTAATGAATGCATCAAGTTCTCTCTGAATCTGACCAAAGAGTTGAATCAGCTCTGGCGAAGAAATATTATCGGTTGTCACGAATGAGAGTAAGTATTCTTTGGTTGAAAAGAATGGACCTCTTTCGATATTTGTAGCGGAAGTGATGAGAGGTCCGATGATGCCTTCGTCGTGAAGAGATCCAATTGATTGGAAGCGCAGCGATGCGAATTTGGCGACTACTGTGGCGATTTGCGAGAGCACTGCTTTCTTTGCAACGAGGTTAAGAGCATCCCAGAGCTTGTAAAGATGCCGTCCCTGTATATACTCCATCAAAGTGCAAGGTGCTCCCACCGGATTATGGAGGCTGAGATCCTGGTAATAGACTTCAGGGACAGGTATTTCGGTTTTACGCTTCAGATACCGCAGTGTTGCCACTTCGCTCGCATCTCTGCGTGTGGCAGCAACTGAGTTAACGCGAGTGAATCGTGCAATGCAGCGATGGCCAGCCTGTGCGAGGCCTGGGTGAGTATTGCCTTTGGCTTCAAATGAGAGAAGGAAGATCTCATGATTCACCCCTCGTGTCATGGGGACAGCACTTGTGCAAACAGTCCCCAAAATATTTGTCGCACATGCCAGAAGCAGTTTCTTATCGATCTCCAATGGGGCAGGTTCATCCGAGTCATAGCTTTCAATGGAGCTGATACTGTTAGGCATGGTGTATGCAGTGATGATAGTGGATGGCCCTTTGCTTAGCGATGGAATGGAATAAGTTAAACTCGGGTGGTGGACTTCCACTACCTGAATGGGTCCGTCACGTGAAGCTCTCACTGGATCGTATTGTAAACAGAAGCTCAAGAGCCATAGCGTTCCTGATAAGTCTATTATATTCTCCCCAGACTATTCGACCTTGCCGCACTAATGATAGCAAGTACATTCAAGGGCTCAGATGCTAGTAGACTCGATATCGCCAGTAGCTACCTTACATGACTCCATTAGATTGTCTTGTATGTGACAGTAACAGATTTTCGTGCTCGACGATAACCTCGAGGTAGGTTCTAGCCTTACAATTCGCGTACAAGTTGTAGAACATTTCAGTTCATATTACTTGCTGTCTCACATTCCGCGCTTTTTGCAACGTAATTAGCCATCTGCGCCCATCTTGCGATAGGGGGTGTCGTACCGTTAGTGGGAAACTGATCCTGAACTAAAATTTTCATCCACTTGCCGTTGAAGATTTTCTAAACTAGATGCACATCATGTTAGCTTGATCTCCAAAATCTTTGACTCATCTTTAAACAGAAAGCTTACGGCAAATATACCGCGTCGTAGTATTCTCTTAATAGAGTCGTGTATCCACGCGATCGCCCCTCGGCTGTGAGTTGCCTAGCTTCCCTCCAACTCTTCCTGCTCTCTAGACAATTCTTCACAACGTCCGCATATTTGCAGCCCATGTTAATTCTCAGCATCTCTAGAACTCTTGATTCAGATACTTCTTGCGGATTTGATGGTGGGCTGTTTCCAGCTGAATACACGTGGAAAGCATAGCCTGTGGCCCTCGAGCGCCTTACGACACCAATACATCGACCAATTCCTAGCTCGGCAAACAGGATTCCGATAGCGTATACATGCGCAGCGAACTCCTTGTAGTGACTATCGTTGTAAGATTGTCTGAATGCTTCTGTTCCGAGGAGGAATTGGCGGTCGTGGCTGTGATCTCGGGCACATCTTACTCTGGAAGACTGCAGGTGGGCCAACCACGTAGTACCTGAGAGGAAGAGTCCGCATTCTGCAAGCTTGAAGGCAACCCGAAGCCTCTCTGAGCGGGGAAATCTATCAAGAGGTTCATGATCTATAGCCACACGGAGGTCATATAAGAGTAATGTCAGTGATTTGAACTGCTCCTCATCTTGAGGTACTGAGATCCGACGAGATTGGATGTGCCCGAGATTATGAGGTAATGAGATCCGACGAGATTGCGGAGGCATGTAAGTCCGGAACCAGCCATCGTCAGCCATTCTGGAAACTTGTAAAAGACAGTTTTCGCGACTTGGCCTAGCTGTTCTCGAGCACGCATCGTAGAAATCAGATTTCACATTGGTAAACTCGTCTGGATTGGAACCACCATGTGAACGGCGAGGACCTTCAACTAGGAGCTCAGAAATTTCAGATTTCCAGGTCAAGAGAAAGTGGTAGTGCAGTGGGAGTGAGCGTCTATCTTGGTCAATGAGACGCTCAAGGCGTTGTCGCAAGATATCAATGTTAAGGTCAAGGTCATCCGGGATAAACTTCTTTCGTGCTGTATAGCAAATTTCGTATAGTCCCTTGGAGGCCAGCCTAGATTCGTATATATCTTGGAACAGATGATTCCATGTTACTGACTCAAGCTCCGGTCTTAAGATGATGTCCCCTTGAACCAGTCTTTGGTTATTTATCTGAAATGCGTCTTTAGAAAGTCTTCTCACTACTGCCATGGTTGTGCGGGTACTTTCTAGCTTTCGAATTATCTTGGGGCCTGCCGAGCTGACGAATTTGACTGATTTTTGTAACCGCTTCGACTGTGATGTACTTTTCAATGCAAGCGCCTCGCGGAACTTTCTGAGTCTCTGTTCGATTTCTTGAAGGAGAACCTGGACGGTTCGCATCTGTTGCGTAATAGTGCCGCTGGTTTTCCCCCACAGCGCGAGCAACCGCCTCCTTGAGACGTTCTGATCAACATCCCACATTTTGAGCCACAATTGGACCTCCGCTTGAATTGTAGTGTACTCATTTTCCATTTGTAGCATGATTTGATTTACTTCCCGGACGTCTCTCACAAAAGCGCGGAGCTCGCTGACCCAGCCCTTCACAATGTTGACTGTATTGACGGTCGCGCATATAGCCGCCCAGCTCGCGAAACCGATAGCCACGGGCTCAACCATAATGATTGATCATATGATTAGCGTGAGTTCCTAATGGTTTGAGGATTGGTTGTGTCTGTAAACCCTAGCCGAACAAGGTTTTTTTGAATGCAGGGAAGGTTATGTAGCTACAGGATTTATGGGAGGAATAAATTGCGCAATGCTGTAGATGATGGAGGATGTCAGGTGTATTGTGTTTCGGTTCGCACTACCGTAGCTTTATTTATGCTTCAAGCCACAACGTGTATTATTACCAACTTGTCGATTGAGGAGTTTAGGTATCAGCCGAGATCAATAGACTCATAAATTTGACCCGGCAAGCTTTGTGGCGGATTCATGAGGCTTTGGGAAAAAGCGATAATATGGAAATGAGTTATGTGGCCTCTAGCTTTTGAATCTGTTCAAGGGACTGGAATGTGGCGTTATATATTCTTTGGGCCACAGAGGTATGATGCCACTTATTTGGTAATTGAAGACTTTGGGTGCTATGAGATTTTCACATGCTAGCCACGATCACCCATCGAGCTGAGTGAACCAGAAGGATAGCTGACGGATTGATTATACTTGTACTGCGGGATGGGGCGTAGAGTGATAAATGCATTAATTGCTGAGCCCATCCGCAAGCTTCACGTCATCATCTCGGCTCAGGTCTGTTTGATCCTTTGGTAAGATATTGACCTTCATGTATTCTATAATCATCGTTAATGCAGCCCCCCAGACAGCGACATGAATAACGTCGACGTACCAAATGACAATCCGGAGCTTCCAGATATCAGCTCCGTTGATACTGCGCAGTCCGCTCCTCGTAAGTGCGAGAGATTTGAGCTTCTATCGCACGCACCATACTGATACTGTTCCCAAGGGGCCACTGCATTGCCCTACAACAATGAGAACCTGACTTCGCTATGGAACTCGTGTCTCGAAGATATAGGACGTTGTGTAAACGCCGCCGAAGTCGCCGCTGAAGCCGATAAGTTGCCCACCCGAGCTCACTTTGAAATTATTCAAAGCAGAATGCGTGAGCATCGGCTTCGTCTTAATATATGGGTATCAGATTGCGTAGCTGAGGGCGGATCAGTTGATGCGATTACGTCAGAAACGGAACCAGATCTCTTTGCTGTTCTGGTAATAATTCGCGAGAACATCAAGAAGGAGACGGAAACTATTCTGGCAAACATTCAACAAATGGAAAGGGAAGCAAAGAAAGGCAATAAAGTGACTGACGAGAAGTATGACAAAACAACAACATAATGACGAGGAAGCTACTGACTTCTTGAAAATCAAGGGGCCCCATATATGAAGCTTGGCAAAATATCAAAATCGCATGTAATAGCCTGACCTTCTCACTTTACAACCTGGCAGAGCTTCAAGATACGGTCCAGATGGCCATAGCAATCCGATGTAGGCGAGGACCCGAGGCAGCAATTTATCGGGCTATAAGAAAAGTGGGAGCCAACTTTAAGGACGATGACGAGTTTTCCGTTTCAAGTGACACTGGCGATGATGCTTCGCATGTGTCTCGCGATGATGCTTCGCATGTGTCTCGCGATGATGCTTCGCATGTGTCTCGCGATGATGCTTCGCATGTGTCTAGCGATGAAAGATGTTCAGAATGCCAGTCAAGGCTCCCATGGTATGCAATGCCTCACCACAAAAATGCCTACCACGATACCTTTCATTCTCGTCAAAGTTGTAGCCAAGCCTCGTCTGTGGGCATGACCACGCCAGAGACCAGCCCGAAGGTTCCAAGAGCCATACCCCCCTCGACACGTTTCCCAGGAGGTCCAGAATGGCAGCCTCCCGGTACTAAGGACCAAGACCCATTCCCTGACACGGGAAGCCGCACGATGTTTGGCTTAGTCATGAGCGCAGTCCAATCGTTCGTGAATGTCGCCGCGAAGGCGGCCTATAGTAGTGTCAGGATAGGCTACAAAGTGGTAAATGACATGAACAGGGCTGGGACGAAAATTGTTGCAGATACTGTCTGCACCACCCTGAAAGTCGGAGGATATTTTTCCTCCACCTGGACGAAGGTTGCGGGAGATGTGGTCGTTATCCTATCCAGTACCCTAGCCAAGGTGCTATCTCAACTGGTAAACAACCATTTGTCGACAGTGGGCCTCATTACTACGGATGCTAAGACTAAGACTACAACAGCGGTCCGGGCTGCGGATTGGCAACTGACTACTCAAGCCGCTGATGTCTTCCTCAAGTATGCGGTAAATGTGTTCACTGCTGCAGGCCACACGGCGGTAGTTGATACAATCTTGCAAGTGGCACACCGCTCCCTTCAGGCCACGACTCTGATGCTTAGCGGGGCAGGGCTTATCTTGAGGGGTATATTGACGAATGATATCAACGAAGATACCCTCATCTTCATCCTCAACCACCTACACGATTTGCTGGGCTTCCTATACGACTTAGTGAAACCAGGGAACGTTGTCCCCGCGCACCTAGGCGATTATGTGATTAAGAAAGGACCTGGAGAAGTAGAGGAGTTTCCCGGTGGGAAGAACCCATACAACGAGTTCGATCTTTGGAAGGAACAAAACCGATATGCCATTGCCTACCAGGTGCAACGGGTCGGTTTGACGTTCATCAACATCCTCCAAATGGGCAGGGAAACGTCACCGTGTGGGCTAGATAATCTTGCAATGAACGTCAGGTTATCAAGTGACTTTGACGCGAATGGCAATTCCCCGCCACCAATCTACATCTCCAGGCTTAAAGAGAAGTTGGAATCGCCTCGTAATGAGAAATGGCTATTCATCAACGGTATAGCCAACGAGTTGACCTGGTTCCAGCGCTCGTGCGATAAGATCCGTGACACTTTCAAGAGAGAAGTCCACGGTATCTATAATAGAAGTGACGGCATCTTGTGTGACTTCATAGAGTGTTGCGGAGAACGCAGCGCGGTCAAAAAGAGGTCAAACGAGCTCATTGAGCGCACACAGAGCAGCAAAGCCGCGCAGGAGTGCCTCGAGAGGGAGCTCACCGACGCTCTATGGCCTACTGATAGCAGCGCCCCAGACAAAGTGATTATGATCGCCCATTCTCAGGGGTGTCTCATTCTACGGCTAGTGCTACAAAAGCTAGTGAGCGAGAATCCGGTGGAATCGCAGAGGATGAGAGATATGAAGAAAAAGCTGAGAGTATTCACTTTTGGTAACCCAAGCATTGATTGGCTCGCTATCGGCGACCCAGCACAGTCTTTGGGTGAGTACGCGAGTGTTACTGAGCATTTTGCTCATGAAGTAGACTTTGTGGCCAGGCTAGGGATTGTGACGCACTCTGCTGACCCGGGCTCGGGCTATGATGTGGATTCAATTTTCTACAGCAAAAAGGGAAGTGGACATCTATTTGGGGCGCATTATCCTCTGGCGGAAAATGCATATATCAACGCAGGGAGGTCCAAGTTGTTGAGCGCAGTTAATGGAAGAGCCATGCATTGACGGTTGGCTTATGCTCGAAGGTGTGGGCAATCCTAGTTTGAATTGTTGTCTTAAGTTAATATGTTACTGATTTCTTGAGCAAAATTTCCTGTATGCTATTGTCTTTTCCACAAGCAGATTCAACGGTGATTGATAGGTGGGCATGCAACTTTCAAGTTTACCGTGTCAGTAAACCACAGCCGTGATCCTTGCAAGATGTTCCGCGGTATTGAAATAAGAGGCTTCGTACAACGCTAAATCACCCTTCACTAATGCTCATAGCTAAGTGGGCTGCTTGATTTGATATCGTTCACTGTGTTTTGTTTTGCCATGGAGCCGGACCGTAGCTGTTCCGAAACTCGGAAAGCGACTGCTTAATTCCGCGACGGAGGACCCGGAAAAACTCATCATTGGCTGATTACATGGCGACACCGGATCCGATGGAATCGGATCCGTTTTGGATCATCACAGCCGCGGAATCAGATGGAAATTGCCAAATACGTTTACAGTGCCGGATCCCCCCCATGGTCGGCTTCACTTGATGGTAACCTTCGGTCTTCAAGATCGAGTTTCCACAAGCACCAGCTGCTCAGTGAGCCATTGAACCGAATCTCGAGCCCACTTCGGCACTGCAATCATACGTAAGGACAATGGAAGACGACGAGGGCATGGAGTGCTTCGGCGTCTTCGACGCGGAGATTATTGGCACGCTCTCATGTGACAAGTCTGGGGAGACCCGCCCCGCTCGGTCGAGGCGGGCGTGCACTGCATGCAGGAGTCGCAAGGTGCGCTGCGATGTGTTGCGGGCTGGAGCGCCTTGCACCAACTGCCGGATCGGTGATTTGTGCTGTGCCATGGTACCGAGAAAGCGACCCAAGTATCCGCATCGGTATGATGAGCCCCCGGCCCAGCATGTGCCTGAAACGTTGCATGTTGACTTACATGATGGTATCAGGATATCGCTGAACCGAAAACGCCGGGCTGCCAAGCTTGGGAAGAGCCCGGAGGGGTCATCGCCATCGGATTGTTTTTCGGAAGACGTGTTGGAGCGTGAGCCAGTAGAAAACATCGTCAATCCGTCATCGACCCTTGAGATAGGTGAGGCAAGCTTTGGTTCATTCTCAGCCAGCCTCAAGTCCCCTGGTTTGCTCCCCGACGTGATTGATGCAGGACAAGCACTGCAGGCTACTGAAAATGAGATTACGGAGATCACACTACCCTGGGATGATACTCAAGATCAGGCTGGGTCTGAGCAGAGACATTCATATCTCCCAGTCGATCTATCTTACCATAATGAGTTCTTCAACTCCGCAGTCGACCCCATAAGCGGCAAGACCTTGTCACAAATTATCGCAGGCAAGAAACCTACACGTCAACCTGTGGCTGCGCTTCAAGGTAGGAGCTGCTGCCAATCCCTAAAGTCTATGTCGCTCACATATTACAGACTCGGAACAATCTGCCCTGACGTTTCATTCAGACGCGGCATTAGATGCCGACCCTCCCTGGATGCTGCACTCCTGTTGCCAGTTCATCGACAGTCAAGGCTTGTGGCAGTTGTCACCAAGCGAAGCCGCCTTCTTGGAGCAGCAGGGCTCATTCCATGTGCCGTCGCGCGCATTGATGAATGAGTTTCTTAAGCAGTATTTTCGCATTGTACATCCAATCCTCCCCCTTATTGATGAAGGTGCCTTCTGGGCATCCTACTTCCATCCTTCTGGGAGAGACATTCCGTTATTACTGCTCTACGCGATGCTTTTTGCTTCATGTCCTGTAAGCACATCTGACCATGTGGTATAATATGGTTCAGCATAACAACTAACCCTTCCCAGTACGTCTCACTACGTGAGCTTAAAAAGCTTGGATTTCCTGGTGTAAAAGAAGCACGCAGCCAGCTGTACTCCAGAACAAAGGTTTGTTCTGTCGTCCCTGACAGCTGTGTAACTCCTAGCTGACGGTTTCCCAGGCCCTGTTCGATTTGACATGCCAAAGAGACAACATAATCAAGGCACAAGCCGCCTTACTGATGACATACTACTCCCCGGAAGGCGACCACATGATAAACAGCTACTGGCTCAGCACGGCCGTCCATTTTGCCCGAAGCGAACGGGCAGACAAGTATCACCTACCGAGCCAGCGATCTGGCAATTCGCAGACGCTGAAGAGGCTTTGGTGGTGCTGCATCCTGAGAGACAGGATCATGGCGCTGAGCTTGCGACGGCCGGTCAACATCCACGCCGACGAGTTCGACTTTGGCCAGCCTGGTCTGGAGAGGAGCGACTTTCAAAACGAGCTGGAGTGCCAGAGTGTCTATGAGAGGGAAACGAAGCAGGTCCTTGTCCACATATCGTCTGCACTGTGCCAGCTGGTAGTGATCTTTGATAAGGTATTTGCCGTCCTTCGGCATGGCTCCTCCACGACATCCTCGGTCGGGGCATCAGAAGGCATGATCCAGGAGGGCACATTGTGCCTGGAAATGCTCGACTTGTGGTATGAGACGTCCAAGGCCACGGTGAAACCCCCGGCTGAGATATCCGAGGGGCATCGCTTCGTCACATTGTTCATGAAGATGATTTATATTTACTACTTGTAAGTTCTGGCTCCATGGTGTTTCGTTATTATTTGAGTTATCGCTAAGAGCTGTAGTGTTGCCAAAGCATCCATCTGCCATCATGCTCTGCTGCTCTCAGTCAAGGCGAATAACGGCCTCTTTCCGCCTGGGGAGCATCAGGTGCGCAGTCGGTTCAACATGGACCACTCGTTGCGAGGCATCACGGAGAGTGTTCTCGAATTGAACAGGCTTGATCTGACGAGATATCTCCCCAACACATTGTAAGTCCCTTATCAACATGCACGTATTGGAGTGTTCAATTCTGACGCTCGACAGTATTACCTTTCTCGCGCTCCCATTCACATGGCACATCCTCGAGACGCAGATGATGAAAGGCACATCCAAATCCCAGGAGGCGCCGCGCATCATGAAGGCCTACACGAGCGTGATGCGCAGCTTCCGGAGCACGTACGAGAGCGCCGACAGCACGCTCCAGTGTATCCAGAAGGCGGTCGAGTACCTCAAGACGACCGAGAGCGTCGGCAAAGGCCTGATGCGCGCGCCCAAGAGCGCGCACCCCTTGCTCCGCGATGCCGTCTTTCCGCGATCCTCCCACAACGAGGACGAGAGGCAAGAGGCCTCCGGGAACGCGTGGGCGGACCTGGTCGTCTACGAGCCTCAGTCGTACATGCGCATCGCCATGGTGGTCGAGTACTCGCTCGCGCAGTGCCACCCGCCGGACGAGAGCGACCTCGCGAGGGTGCTGCAGGCGTCGGCGGCAGACGGGCTGGTGGCGAGTCCGGTGCTCGAGGGGGCGGCCGGGGCGTTGGCCTACTCGTTCGAGGACCTGACCAATATCTTGTCCATGGGGTGAAGAAGCATATGATAGAAGGTAGGTTAGAATAAAGCTACTGCATGTGGAATAAGGTAGATCCAATAAAAAACCATTTATCAAGTGTCATGACGCTCTATCTGCATGCTCAGCCAGCTTCGTTTCAGGAGACTTTAACAGCCCCAGCCCAGGCAGCGTCATTTGGTTTCGGCATTGCTCAGCGCCTTCCTGTTTGAACTTTTGGAGCCGGCCCAAGCTCGTCTGATCAGAGCCGTAATGGTAATGGATGTGGGATGCTGGTGGAAGGATCACGGCAATGCAGCGAGGCTTAGACTCAGCTACGTAAACGAGAACGATGCCCCTCGGGAGTCGCAACCGAGAATTGGGTGGCCGCCCTCCACCGTGACGGAGAGATTACGGGGCATCTCGCCCATCTGAACAACCGTGGCAGTCGATCAAAAGTCCCACGGCACGCGGATATGCAACGATGCACCGTCTCTAAGCGGCAGACAGCTGTTAGGGCTGACCCCAATCCAGACTAGAGCGTAGACGGTGCCATCATTCCTGGACGAGGTAAATTGCTTGATCGAAATCGAACACGAGGACGCGCGGCATGTCAATGCGGCTAGCCGTGGTGGGAGTTGGAGACTGGAGTCACCGTTGGACCCTCCCTCAGGGACCAGGCACGCACTATATTTGCCGGATGAGCAATCTTTCCCTGCATGAAACACGGACGAGGCTTGGCTTAAGGAGAGGACAACTCACGGCCATGTGAGAGAGCTCGAGGACGGATCTGATCTGCTGTCAAGACCGCTGGCCGGACCCCGAGATGAGACTGGCCCCTGCAGGAACCAATATTGGCCGGCGAGGCGTTTTCCCGCTTGTTTGGGGCAACGGCTGAGCCAACGGAGACCGAAGACCTGTCAATTTCCCGTCAGTTGAACGTTGTTAGCGTCAGTGACCCCTTTTCCGCTGTTGAATCTCTGATTCTGTGTCCCTTCTCCGCCCATTCTCCGATCTCATCTCATCTCTCCCACTCTCTCGTCCGTCCTGCCCCTGTTGCTGGCGGAGTATCAGAAGTACCAGAATCCGGGGCACGTCCAGCAGCAGCAACACGCGATAGAAATGGGGCCTGCTGATCCCACGGCTTGGCTCGGGCGTGTGTCGACGAACATTCGCAGACTTTGAAACGGTGATACGAGTATGAATTGATCACTAGTTACACGACTAGCCTCTTGGCCTGGAACTTTTCCCCTGCTTATTCCCATCTTGCTGCCTCGCAATCCCTCCAGGAAAGACAAGAAAAAGTCGCGCGTCATTCAGCCCCCTTCTTGGCACCCTTTTGCGGCCATTTTTCTTGCGGATGGCCGCGGGCACCGGGCAAACACTGCCTCTCTGCTCGTCTTCAGCCGCGTCACGGCCGTGATAGTTGGCCGTGAGGATATATAGAAACCACACAGACACGTACAGAGACACAGACTGGCCCAATTGAACCCGTGAGGGAGCACAGTCGCGACAATGACAGGCCCGCGCATCCCCGGCGGGCGGTACAAGGGCCCCAAGATCAACACGCTCAAGAACCGCACGCTGTCCAAGATGCTGCCGTACGGCTCGCTCATCCTCGTGTGCAGCGTCATCTTCGTCGTCCTGCTCTCCAACGTCCTCGAGCGTTGGATCCTGCGCCGCCTCTACCCCAAGACGTGGCAGCGCCTCCTGGCCAGCGGCAACGAGCGCCGCCGCCGGTCCTTCACCTACTATCACATCGGCGCCATCATGATGTTCATCCTGCTGTGCACGAGCGTCTTCCCCGTGCTCAGCTTCCTCGTGGGCAACGCCGACTTCTCTACTCACATCGACCGCCGCTCGTCGCGCATCACCGTCGGCGACATGCTCTTCGTCTTCTCCGAGGTCTATACCTCCTACTACCTCTACGAGATGTGCTTCCGCACCCAGTTCGCCAGCCCCATCACCATCGCCCACCACATCGGCCTGCTCATCATCGTCCAGACCTCGCTCGCCCTCTTCGCCGACATCCGCAGGCACCCGGACGCCACCATGGAGTTCTTCATGTGCATGGTCTGGGGCATGTTCGACCTCATCTCCGAGATCCCCGTCCTCGTCTCCATGATCGTCTGGCGCGTCAAGAGCCGCAACCACGTCCTGCGCTCCCGCCTCGCCTACTTCTGCTGCGCCTGGGTCGTCGCCGCCGCCACCGCCGAGGTCTCCGTCACCGTCTTCCTCCTGCAAAAGTCCTGGCCGCTCTGGAGCCTCGCCTTCCGCGTCGTCACCCCCATCATCTTCATCCTCTGGATCACCACCCAGCTGTACGGCGCGTCCCGGCTCTTCATGATGGGCCGCTCCGAGGGGAAGATCGCGTACAACGAGGAGCAGGACAAGCGTAGTGCCGCTGCCTCTTCGGCGCCGACGTACCTGGTTGATGAGGATGAGATGGATAATCGGAGGATGGGCTCGGATCCGGCTGGTATCTTTGTCCGTATGGACCAGGATACGCAGAGGATGATGAAGTCGGGCCATATCCCTTTAACCTGATATCTGCTTTACGTTTTAGATTTTACAAGTCATATTTCACGTCATTGAATGGTGTGCGACGGCCTGTTCATTCAAGGCCGAGGTTGAATTTTCAGCGCTCATCTCGAGACTGATGCAGCCATCCTGGTCGCTATCCAGAGACAATGCCCCAAACCTGTTGCGCGCAACATGGGCATATTCGCAGAGAGGCTGGCCTTGAATTCAACTCACTAATAATCATGTCGGCAGCGCAGGTGGTTGGCACTTCCAGGCAGCACCCGGCTGCGAAGAATTGGAAATGGCCGAGATGACAGCTACAAGAGGGCCATAACAACAATCCCCTGCATTCACTGACATCACTCTACGATTGATCAACTAATGCGATGTAACGAGACACCGGCACAAGAAATCGGGTGGTTGGTGTCATTGGATATGGAGACCTCTACAGCAAGCTTAATGCACATGGCGGGCTTTGGGCGAGATAGCCAACCCGCGGCACGCAGGGGTATCAATGGGCCAGTACTACAGGACGGACCGAGAAGTCAAAGATTACAAAACCGTTGGATGGCCGCCTACGACCAGGCCACGGGAGCTCACCCGAAAGCCAGAGTGCGGAGACTCCAAGGCGCCCGTGATAACGGAAGATCATGGACGAGTTTGGCGCACCGCTCGTCACTGTTAGCAAGCCAGAGGACCCATCAGCCTCCCCGAATGTGGCAGGTCGACCGCCGGTTGATCAGTCCGGGTGTATCTGATCCTGGGCACTGAACCTTACAAAAGGCCTACCCACTAATAATCGAACGGTAGGCCAGAAGCAAAAGAACCGTCCAGAGAGGTAGGAGATAAGCTGCCTAGGCGGGGTTAATAGTCAGGTTCGCGGGATGGCGAGTATAAAGAAAGAGACGGGCAGAGAAGCTTCTCAATTCAACGTGGACTGACCCAAAGCAACAAGCGGTGGTGTAACCGCATTGTCGAAACTTCTTCACCGGCTCACCTTGGTTCGCTTCTGCGGCCATCACAGTTGTAGTCATGCAGCTGACCACCGCCTTGGGTCTCGGCTTGGGCGCCGTCTTGGCTCACGCAGCCTCATGCATCCCGCGCACCAATCCCTTTGAGCCTCTCGATCCTCAGAAATGGGTCAACCCAGATGACATGACCTGGGGCGACTTCATCGCGCCTCCCAATACCAATTGGAGCAACCCTTCGCAAACCGGTTCTGAGCGCAACTTCCATATCGCTCTCATCACCCTCGACTACTCGGACAAGCCGTTTGTCATCACTCAGCCCGCCGAATCAACGATCTTTGGAAACCCGCAGTCAAATGTCGCTGATGTTCCTGTCGCGGACGTACCTGCGTTCTACCGCGACCTTCTCAACACCCCCAATGAGCTCAACCAAGGCCACACCCTGCATGAGTACTGGATGGAGGACTCGGGGGGTCGGTTCGGCGTCGACCTGACCGTGTACGGCGTCTACCGCATGCCCTCGCTATCCTGGCAGTACGGAATCGACGACTGGATGAACGAGGGCTCCTGCCCCGTCGCAGACGCCTGCAACGTCGACCTCCGCACCGACGGCCTCGGCCTGTGGCGCAAAGACGTCGGGGACAAGGTCGCTGACTCGTACGAGCTCGTCTTCCTCCTCTCGTCCGGGCAGGACGAGTCCTCCACCTGGCAGGAATTCGGGCAGATGAAGTTCGCCGCCAAGGAGGACGTCACCAATGACTTCGGCCCCCCCAAGGACGCGTCCTCCAACCTCACAAACTGGGCCACCACCCGCTACGTCCCCTGGTCCAGCTGGGCCGCCGCCTCGTGCATTTGGCCCAACGCCGGCGACGGCTCGTCCACCCAGGCCGAGAGCTCCGGCATGGCCGTCTACGCCCACGAGCTCAGCCACCTGCTAAACATCGGGGACAACTATAACAACCCGTACGGCACGCCCCTGCAGCGCGCCTACACGGGGCCCTGGTCGATGATGTCGCGCGGCTCGTTCAACGGGCCCGGCGGACCTCATACGAGATGGAAGATCCCCGCGCTGCAGGGAAGCTCGATGGGCTCGCTCCATACCGTCCGGGACAAGTACCAGCTCGGCCTGATCGAGGAGAGCAGCCTCCTCCGCCTCTCGCGCTCCGCCCTGGCCGAGTCGGGCATCATCGTCGCGGGCCTGACAGCCAGATCGGTCGTGTCCGACCTGATGGGCCTGCGCGTCGAGCTCGGGGACGCAGGGGACCTCTCGCCCTCGTGCAACGTGAGCAACGACGTCTTCTGCGATGGCGGCGGCTACAACTACTACGACGTCGAGGTGGTCGACCGCATGGGCGCCGACTCGTTCCAGGCCGACGCGGGCGTGCTGATCAGCAAGTCGAAGCAGGTCGACAGCGCGCCGTTCCAGTGGGTCATCGACGCGAACCCGCAGGACATTGAGCTTATTGACTTTGTGAAGCCGGGCGGCGGCGAGCAGATGATCACGTTGGGAGATTACCGCCAGCTGGCCGACGCGCTGTTCCACCTGGGTACCGGCTCGGGCAGCCTGTACGAGCATGTCGACAAGGCGAACAACCTGCACTTCTATGTCCTCACGCGCCGGCGGGACGCGGACGGCGTGCTTTCGTATACGGTCGGTGCGCGGTCGCTGGAGGGATCTGGAGCTAGCAAGTTTGGTGTTGAGCTGGCTGAGGGCGGCGCGGTCGCGGGGAAGAGCAGGACGCCCACGACTACGGGAGTCTACTGCTCGTTCGAGCTGAAGAACAGCGGCAGCTATGTCGCGGGAGGCTCTCACCCCCGCGACGTGACGGCGTACGCGGGATCTGACATCTTCCGTCTCGAGGCTTCGGTCGAGGGTGAGGGCTGGAAGGTTGAGGTGCCGAATGTGTTTGTCGTAGCAAAGTATGGAGAGACACAGACGGCCTTTGTTGCTGTTGGCGCGGGAGAGGGGGCGGTTGGTACGGGAGTCGTCACGTTGACGGCGACATCTGAGTCTGATCCCAGTGTGAAGGCCACGGCGAAGTGTGAAGTGCCAAAAGTGTTGTAGGGTAGACCAAATATCAGGCCATAATTCACTGTTTGATTGCCAGGACACCAAAGTTAAATAAAATAAATGACAAAAATTGCAATAACTTGCCACGTCTTATGTTGTGTATCTCACGTGTGTCCGTAGCTTATCGTCGTAATCAACTTCGACACTGAGCGACATGAGGATTGTTTGGCAATGTGTTGAATCTTCTGACTACGGACCTCACGTAGTTGACTTGGCTTCAGTGGTTACAGTGGACATGATTGAGTTTAGGCCTCCTCTTCAGTGCTTCTTCCCCTGTAATCCCTTTACATCTGTGCCTTGCGTTTGGCCTCATAGAACTCGTCTATCCATCCCTTCAACGTTTCCACCTCCTCATAAGCGATGTTTTTTGTCTCTTCATTCACATCCCAGTTGTTCTTGTAGTACTCAGAGCAATGCATACCGCCGGGAATGACTCGGACGGGATGCTCTGGAGTGCTTTGCTTCGGCCCGCCTGGCCGGTCGACTGAGCTTAGAGTGGCATCGCGCCAGGGATCAAATTGCCCGTTCGCATCCATGATCCGGGCATCCTCGCTGTACTCTCCTGCCCAGCCGGACGTGTAGTTGTTGTAGTCCTCCACCGTCTTGCCGTTGCTGAGCCCGAATCTGCCCTCCGGAAATACGAGGTTACACATGACGTTCTCCCAGTAGTCCGCGCTGGCGGTCCGGGGCACGAGGGTCTTGCTCTCGCTTTTGGGGGCTCCCGTTTGCCAGTATAGCAGTCTGTTCAACAATTCGCAACATTAACATGTGAAACATGGGTGGAGTAAGATATCAAGGATCACTCACGGTTCATTGCACAGCATCCAATCCCATTGTCGGCCGGCAAAATTGTCGACGCTCAAATCCGTGTACATGGGACTCGATGCGTTGCTCAGAGCAAAGCAGGCCGTGTTGTATGTTCCTTGCCACTCTGGATATCCCGAGGCTTCGCATACTAAAGCGCACATAGGCAGATTAGCTTTTACAGTCATCATCAGCGTACACTGGAACTTACAGCCTGCCATATATTGTTCGGTCATCCACTTTGCATATCCATCGATGGCTTTATCTTTTCCAACTCCTTCCGGTCCTGGCACTTCGTTTCCTGAGCCGGGCCAGACGTTCTACAGAATCAAAAGGTTAGCTTAGAGGTTTTTATAACCTTCATGTGGTGGATGCATAGAAAGGGAACCAGAGAAGACCGAGTGTCGTAGGCTTTTCATACCTCGATGTAGTCGCAAAATCTATAATAGTCGTTATATCCCTTGACTGATTCGGTGTAAAATTGCGTTGACTGCCATGTCCATGGGCCAACCTCGAGCCATCTGGGGGATCATTATTAGCAGGCGATTTCAACCTTTTACGCAACAGTCAGAGCGTTCGTGGGTCGAATAAACTTACGAGGCAAAGTCACCATCTTCCTGGTCTCCAAGCATGAATTTATCCTTGAGCTCAAACTTCTCTTGTTCCGTTCCGTTCAGAAGGAGATTGTCAATATAGACCATCGCAGCATTTAGATCACTGCTGCAGTTCGTTGGAGTCGCCTCCTGGACAGGCCGAAAGTATTGCCAGAAGTCACGAATAGCCTCCAGAGTACCGCTGGTGCTGTGGTACGCCCAGAAGGTCCCGGGTTCGGTGTTGAGCATCCAGTGAGCCATCGCGCCGGTATATGAACCACCTGAGAAGACCCACGGGGCCTTGTCTGGCGCGCTCTCACCACTGCCATCAAAGGGAGGGACCCAATTCTTGGCGAAGTAGATATTATCTTTGATGCTGTTCTCCACGGTCAAGTGTTGCAAGGCGTCAATTGTCAACGTGTCATACGGGGACGATTCGCCCCAGTATCGATGTTCTGTCACCACGACGGCGCCACCGACCGCCTCCGCAAAGAGGCCGGTCAGTCGACTGTTGGTCATGAAGGTGTTGTTGAAATTGGTCGCGCTTTGCTCGCCAGGGTTGAAATAAATGATGGGCGACCCGGGACCTTTCCAGTACTGCGTTCCATACCAGTAGCGTTGCTTGAATGTGCCAAGGCTGGCGTTGGAGTGGTTAATGAGCTGGTCAAACGTTCCCCAGCCATTGGTAGTCGTTATATCAACATCTAGAAGGCTATTTTCTGTATTTGACGGGCCAAGGTCTATGACTGGCCGTGGGAAGAACCCGGCAGATGCCAAGCTTGGTATCAAGAATAGCCATGATGCTCGCTTCATTTTGGCCTATTCAACATAAATTCAACTTCAAAGACGGGAAAAAGTACGGGAAAGAATAGACATAGAGGACATGATTCTCAGTGACATTATTATATCAAGTCCCATGACATTCCAGTTCCTATCACAAGCCGTGTTAACCGTCGTATCGACGGCTATAATAGGCAGGTGTATAAAGCTCACAATATCTTCTTTTAGAAGTTCATTCTCAGCCTTCCATAAGAGGGTTGGAACAAGAGCTATTAGGCAATCACAGACGGATAAAAGAGCTTGCATTATCGGAATCCCCACTCTCTGCGCAAAGAGCAGAGTTCCAGAGTAGCAATCCGAATCAATCGCGAACGGTTCCGATTAGACCATAGGGGTGATAAGAAATAGTAGTATTATTATCGCCATTGGCGAATATGCTAAACACCTGCGCTTTCAATCACGAGATACATATTTTGAAGTCAGTGTCAAGTTCAATCTGCATACACGGGCAGTATGTTATCCCAAACTAATTGCGCTTCTATATATGCTAAGCGGCATTTTCTGGGCTTGTTTATTTTATTGATATTCCAAGATTGAGACTCAGGTTATATATCTATCGGATCACTGACCCGAATGAAGTCCTAGATTCTAGAATACCAGCGGAGTTACAATCAATGAATGTCACAGAGTACATGAGATAGCAGTCCCTTGGGTAGGCCAAGAGATTTGCCCTCTGGCATAGGGCTCTACCTTAGCTTCTGATGATGAAAGAGAGAGACTGAACGCTTGCACCATGAGGCACGATCCGTGAGCTGACAAGGGCATTGTTCCCACCTTGCTTTTCAATTTTACCCTCCATAAGAATGTCCTTCCCTTTGGAAAAACAGCGGGGCAAAATCACTCTACCTCAAAAGTCATCTTCACATCAATATCAGCACCATTATCAAGCAGCATGTTCAATCACTAGCCTTATGTCCATTCCTAACAGCCTCTAATAGTCGTCAAAGGAATCCCTGGGATCAAAGTTTAGCACCATTATCAAGCAGTAGGTGCTCAACAGCCTCATGCCTATTTCTAGCAGCCCATAATAGGGGGGGCCCATCGTAAATATTAGCACCCTTCTCAAGCAGGAGCCGCACAATAGTTTCATGCCCGTTCTTAGCAGCCAGTAATAGAGGAGACCTATCATAAATATTGGCACCCTTCTCAAGCAGGAGCCGCACAATGGTTTCATGCCCATATCTAGCGGCCAGCGATAGCGGAGACCCATCATAAATATCAGCACCCTTCTCAAGCAGAAGCCGCACGATAGTCTCATACCCATTTCTGGCGGCTAGCTTTAGAGGAGACCCATCATAAATATCAGCACCCTTCTCAAGTAGGAGCCGTACAATAGTCTCATGCCCGTTCTTAACAGCCTGTAATAGAGGAGACCCATCGTAAATATCGGCACCCTTCTCAAGCAGGAGCCGTACAATAGTCTCATGCCCGTTCTCAGCAGCCAGTGATAGAGGAGATCCACCACAAATATTGGCACCCTTCTCAAGCAGAAGCCGTACGATAGTCTTATGCCCATTTCTGGCGGCCAGCGATAGCGGAGTGTGAGAATACCGATCATCCTTCCCATCAACATTAGCACCCTCATCAAGCAGCAGCTGTACGACAGTCTCGTGTCCATATGTAGCAGCCTGTGATAGCGGAGTCTTGAAATCATTATCCCTCTCATCAACAGTAGCACCCTTATCAAGCAGGAGCCGTACAACAGTCTCATGCCCATCTGCAGCAGCCTGCGAAAGCGACGACCTTCCCAATTCATCACGAGCTTCAATATCGGCGCCCTTATCAAGCAGGAGCCGCACAATAGTCTCATGCCCATTTGCAGCAGCCCACAAAAGCGGTGTCTTTCCCCGTCTAAGCCGTGAAGGAGCATCATACCTAGTTTCATCCTCTGCATCAACATCGTCGCCCATGTCAAGCAGCAGCCGCACAAACGATTCATGTCCACTTTCTGCGGCCCATGAAAGCGGCTTCTTTCTTCCCGTATCTCTTGACTCGGTGTCGGCGCCCTGTTCCCTGATGATGATATCACCCATTACGCTTATTGCCTCGTGATCTGAGTTTGTCCAAGGACCGTGAGTAGCGTTTGCGGTTTTCAAAGCTGTTTCATGAATTTTCACGGCTTTTCCGAAGGTCTTATTTGCTTCTTCGTATCTTTCCAGTCCATTCAATATCAGCCCCAAGTCCCATAATCCAGTAGCTTCGTGTAGATAATCTTGGCACTTGCACTCTGTGCTTGGGCACTTGGGCTTCCTCGGGCTAGCTATCAGACCTTCATCATATGTGTCATCTTGCGCTTTGCCTTGAGATGCCTCCCAGTCCCAGACGACTGGAAGTTCATGTCGAAATGCCGTGATTGGTCGTGTATATTCTGGTAGGGGAATCGCAATCACGATAACAGCTAAATAACCGCCACACAGCCTCATGATTGAAGGCATCAGTGCTCCCTGCAGAAAATACACGGCATCACCGGCCTGAATGGGTTTCGCCGAAGCTGGGAAGGTCAAGTCAGACTTCTGGTTTCCTTCCTGGTGGAAAGGCTTCTTCCAAAGAAACGTCACACGTTGTATATCATCTCGGGTATGGTGTCTTTCAACTTGAGATACTTTGCCAAGAAAGCAGCCCTTGCCCTTCATAACCGCCACCTGTTTACCATCCCAAACTTTCACCGACATCTGGTCAGACGTAGCGAATTTGACAAGATTCCGAAAAACTTCTTTCCATGGCATTTGGTAGTTGGGCGATAAGCCAGCATCGTCAAGAACACTGAAATCATCCGAGCTCATACCTAGAAGGGCATAAACCATATCTCGACGGTCGGTAGCCTGGCGGGTATGATAGGTGTCGACTAGCTGACTTAGAGGACGCATATTTAGCGCAAACCTCCCTAATTGACTCTTCTCTCGCCCTTCATATCGAGGCCGGAAGACTGCGCCTCTTATTAGGTAGGCTGTCGTACGTATTATATAGCGAAGGCTCTGATCTGCTCTATAGGATATCTCTAGTGCACTGAGACCTGCGCAAAATGCATATCCATCAATTTCTGTGCGGCCAGACCTGATCAGGATATGGCGAGCCGCAGCAACTTCCTGGAGGACCTGATGAAAATTGTTAATAAATTGTACTTTGATTGCCTGGCGCCTCTCTCACCCAGATACGCTTAAACCATGGTCGGTTTAGCAGTGTAAGGATCGCCTTGTCGGTCGCAGAGTCCACAGATTGTCCTTCGGCAGCCGCTCGTATTGCTTCTAGCGCTTCATTGCTCTGATCTGCCACTTTCCCAAGCCAGACTATTACACCACTGGCTCTGGCATAGATCTTTGCCATAGATTGAACTTGATGTCCTTTTTCATCCTTATCTTCTTGATTGATGCAAATAGCATCTATCCATATGATCCGCTCGATATACCGATCTTGTAGACACGACAGCGCTTCATAGAGGTTGGTTCGGATAGGAAATTCGCAGTTATTTATGCGGATCGACTGCTGATTGTCCTCGGGTCCCCATACATATGATAAGGCTTCATAATGATGTGTGCTTCCGGATTTCAAGAGGGGGCAGGTAAAAAGCTGGCAGTCAATTCCTTTACGACTGTCCGATGGTGGCAGAAGCCGAAGAAGCCGCACACTATCGTCCGGCAAAGGTTCGTATAGAGGCATGGTTAAGTGTGTGAGCCATATGCGGACGCTCTCACAGTTCATGTTGATTATCTATCTGAAGAACCAAGGCTAATACTGAGGAAGATGCATTGGTGCCCAATGCTCAGCCACATCGGAGTCGGCCTTGGTTCCGGCTGTGCTCAGCATAAGCTTGCTCTTAGGCATAATGATCAACGTTATTATCAGGAAAGATGCTGCGCTTGAGCAATAGGCCCCACCTGTAGGTACATTTCATCTTACGCTATCAAATGAGAAGTAGCCGAATTTCTCTTCCTTCATTCTGGCTTGGCGTTGAATACGGCTGCTGAACACTCCAGAACGAACGCCTCAGAACCATTCATTGCCTACACAAGTAGCGCACACAGTATTTGTCTCCGGTCTCAAGGGCATCGCGATTCATTCAAAATCATGCCCGGCGCTCTCAAATCCACCGCTTGCCAGACGTGCAAGACACGTAGAATAAAGGCAAATCATCCCACAGTCCTCGCTTGGCAATGCATTTGAGAGACACCAATTCTAACTTTTCATGTGTTGCCCCCTTTCAGTGTGACGAGGAATGGCCTACATGCACCCAGTGTATACGAAGGAGCTTGGCATGTCCTGGACCAGCCTCCTTGATCAAATTTGTCAATCGCCATCATGACGAGGACCAGAGAAGACTGCCAGTAGAGAACAAGGCTAGTCATGGAGTCGGGGTCTTGGAGCCTCTTCGGAGCAAACGACACCGTCCATCAGAAGGCACAAAGAACCCAGCAGGTGCTGACAAGGCTCTAACGAAAACATTTCGTTTCCGAACCACGGCGCGGCCGAATTTGACCACGACAGCAGACCGCGTTGGTTCCCGCATTTTTTACCATCTCGATGGCAAACGAGACTGGGGCTGGGTGTTCTCGATGCACTACCTGGAGGATCTACCGAGACGCCTGTCAGAGAGCACCAGTTTACAGCATACCGCTGGTTTATTTTGCACCGTCTTTGGAGAATATCGTCGTGGCGAGCCAGCCAAGGAATTCGTCACCTTGCCTGCCTATGGCAAGGCGCTTCGTAGCTTGCGGCGGGCAATTGCACCGGGTAAAACGTTGACCGTGGAGACATTAGCATCCATCATGATGTTGGAACGTACAGAGAACGTTTTCAATCGAGGGCGTGATGCTCTATGTGTAACTCATTCAGCGGCCGTCGCAGATATTGTACAACAATTAGGGCTTCCAAAGTCTGATGACGGACTCCACCGTGGTCTGGTTACTGACAGTTATGGCACGATGGTATATTTTCCGCGCCCATACCCAACGGACATGCCCGGTTAGACTTGAGAACCCGCTAACTCTCGTAAACCTAGGCACTTTACTTCATGAACAAGGGCCGCAACAACTTCATAACAGAAGATCCGTGGGGCGAACTTGTTGCAAACACTATGGCTTCGTTTATTGAAAGCGAGGAGCTAAGACCGTATTTCAAACAAAGTCTTATTACATATAACGAGGTCTTCAGGTCAGCACGGGACTTGATACTTCGCTGCCAGATGGTCCGTTCTGGGCCCCAAGATGCGGAAGCCTCAGAACAACTGATCAGAGATCTTGCTGGCACTGAGAACGCCCTAGAAAGTGCATATAGCGAGTTACTCAAGAAATCTTCTGATCTAGGCCTAATACACGAAAAGGATGATCCCGGCTCTATCGCTGGAAGTACCTATCGGCCGTCACTCGTCCGCGTGGCTCAAACCATGATATCATCAATCGGCCTACGACTTAACTTACTGCGGATGCTTTATGATTGCAGCGTCATCCATGGTGCCGACGATGTTGAGTTCTTATTTACGAGATTCAGAAATTTATGTGTGGAGGCGTGGAAGCTCATACCCTTTGTTCAAAGTCTAGAGGCCTGCGTTGCATCAAGCTCAATAGCCTATCTTTTCCCGACTCTTGAAGTGGCAAATGCTGAAGAAAAATTCATCGATTGCCTAGAGAGAGAGACGCGTTGGAGAAAATGGCCATATATCTCACCATGACGGTGACTGGTCGAGTGCCTCTTCCAACATTAAATTGATCACTGGACAAGGATGAAGGCAATATGACACAAGTTACTTTAAGCGCAATTGATTATAGTTCTCTTCTAGCGATTTTTCCGTTCGCGGAACGTAACGTCTACAATCATAGGCAGTCTCGATGTCTCTGATGATATGGCATGACAACTTTCGGGGACAGTTTCTGATCACGTTGAGACGGCCATTAGCCGCTTTATTGATGGGACGCCATCCCTGCAAGCTTGAGGCTCTGAAAGATATACCCATATACCGAAGATGTTTGTCCTTTGGTATGAGGAGAGGGGGCAATCTAAGATACTAGAAATGATTGAATATCTGTAGGCAAGGGGTTGTTTAGGTCCGAAGACACGACTTGTCCCCCCATTCATTATCCTTCCTATTGTTCGTCAACGTTGATAATTCTGCCAAGTGTATATTCCTCCTCCTTTCTATAAAGATCTGGTACGATTGGCTCTTCATTCCGTAATGACCTCCAATAATTGGTAGACTTGACTATCTCAACGCACCCCTCCAGCACCCAACCCCATCTTTCAAAGAACCCCGGAGTAGCCTCCCAACTGTCCGGTATATGAGGATCGCCCCAGATAATCAGGCCATTCCTCGTTGCTGTGATCTGATCGTCGAGGCCATCCCGGAGTGTAACTCTGTGGGTGCCAGGAGGGCTTGTTTTGACGCTTGGTCTCATGAAATATAGTTCGTCTAGTAAATCTCCAATCATGTCTCTGATGAACTGCCTATGGTCGAACTCTTCGTTATGCCTGATCAGGTTATCCCGCATTCGGGGGAATGGAATGAAGTCCATCCACGTTGCATGGGGAACTCTCATTTGGTGTCGCGTTGGAACGAGAGATGTGGGGATACTAGATGATGATGGAATAACAGTGGCCTGGCCAGGGAGGCCCTTCATGATGTTGACAGCTGTATTGCTCCCTGGAGGGAAATGTTCAGAAAGGGTAGCCAGCAAGGCTTTGTTGATAAATAATCCTCTGAATGTGTTGTAATTGACGAGGTTCAATAGCTGATCTGAGCAGGGAGATGCACCCAACATCGCTGATTGCGACCTCGCCCGTCGACTGAATTGTGGAGCGTGTTGTTCAACTTGAGCGAGGCTCAGGCTGTGAAATACCGAGGGGAGTTGGATGCCACTTTTTTTAGAAAAAATCAATTGGTTATCATGTTTGTGGTTATGAATCCTGGCGCGCTTTGGTTTCCTCTCCTCTTGGATGGCATGGATCGGCTGAGGTACTTCGAGGAGTTCAAACTCATCTACCCTCCAACGATTCGTCTCAAATTTTGAAGATGCGATGTTCTTCTTCGACTGGCTTCCTCTCATCCTGTCTCCTAGTGCCACGGGGATTAGTATGCCATTATCACGTGGTATCTGTGATCATCACGTAGACCGGGTTGCCACCTACTGCGCGCTCGCTGATTCATCCGATTCAGTACCTTCTTCCGATGCTTCCGCTCAGCATCAGTTACTGCCGGCTGAAAATTTTCCGGGATACTGCCGGGCCCGGGAATGGAACTGGTGCTAGATGCCTCCATAGCCGTAATATCCAACCTCGATGCTTGGAGCTGGTGATTGAAAAGGGAAAAATGTCGTGGACAGGGGAATTAGGTGCCACCACGATCACATAAACCCACCCAAAGGATCAATTTCAGGGTTCAGCGCTAACCGACGTCAGAGAATGCCTCTAAACCCAGTTAGGGAAAAATGTCATTCTCTGTTCCAGCTCCACATCCCTGAAAGAGTTACAATGTCACTCTCGATGATACCGAAGAAAGTCTTTGCCAAACTCCAGTATGTCCGAATGGCATCGATTGCTAATCTGTTGGCATGGCGATACAGTCGGAGATAATTCTATTAGCTTTCTATGAGTCAAGGTAGCCCTTAAAGTATAAAGACCCCTTCGTCTCACGCGTTTGAAAACATGTCTTCAACATCATTCTCACAACAATACCAGTTGAACACAAAATTTCATCAATATTCCATCAATATTCTAAAAAATCGTCTCATTCTCGGCAGTTCAACATGTCTCTATATGCTGAAGTCCACGCCAATCCCACCGGCCCAGGAGATGCCCGCCCAACTGCCCTCCAAATTGTAAAGGATAATGGGCTGGAGGGCAAGCTCGTCGGCAAGGTTGCTGTAATCACTGGGGTCTCCTCTGGAATCGGTATTGAGACGGCTAGAGCCCTTGACGCCACTGGAATCACGCTGTTCCTAACCGCCAGGGACACAGCCAAGGCTAAGACTGCCTTGGCCGAGTTCTGGAAAGAAGACAGGATGCACCTGATCCAAATGGATCAAACCTCGCTAGAGAGTGTCCGGAACGGTGCTAAGGAAATTCTGGCCAAGACCACTCAGGTCAATATTCTCATCGCCAATGCTGGTGTCATGGCTGTCCCTGATCTACAGCTGACAAAGGACGGCTTTGAGACACAATTCGCGACAAATCATTTGTCGCACTTCCTCCTATTCGAGTTGTTGAAGCCCGCTCTTCTCAAGGCATCATCCGCGGAATTTCAATCACGCGTCGTTGCTGTTTCCGCCTCAGCACACCGTGTCTCTGGCATAGCGCCCACTGGGGATTACAACTATGAAAAGAGCACATACGATGCCTGGGCTGCCTACTCTCGCTCCAAGACTGCCAACATCTATATGGCTAATGAGATAGAGCGTCGGTTCGGATCTCAAGGCATTCACGGTCTCAGTCTGCACCCTGGAAATGTCTATTCGGGCATTGGGCGATTCATCCCAGACGAGGTGATGGCAGCCGCCGTCAAACCGATCATGAACGTTCTGAAGAACACAGAACAAGGTGCCGCTACTACTGTTGTCGCTGCGGTTGGCAAGGAGTGGGAGGGTCGAGGTGGAGTGTATCTTGCAGATTGTGCTGAGTCTGAGCGTGGCGAGGATGACGGCAGTATTCTTGGCCCTCGCTATTCAAGTTTTACTTACAACAAGAAGGAGGAAGGTAGGCTCTGGGAAAATTCTCTGAAGATGGTTGGATTGTAAGACAAAAAGTCTACATCTTGACTTTGGCTGAACCTCTGATCCCTTAGAGTTGAATTGCATATAAGTAATTGATGTATTATGATGAAGTAAATTGCAGAACAAGCTTACAAGGTCCTAACCCTAAATCCAACGCCTTATAACAAGTGTCCTTATATATAAAAGTTCAAAGACAAACTGAGCATTGGCGATCGGATCACATTGAAGTACCTATGAACACAGCCCGGGAGTATAGGGTAATCCGTTGAACTCGCCAGAACTGATCTGCTTATTGTGGGTACAAGTCCTCAAACCACCAAGGTCTAATATTAATGTTGAATATCAAGCGAGGGTCTTTCACTGTGTGTTAAAGCTTAAAAGCATTGTTAGTAATGCTATCTCCTCTAACCCTTCCTCTCTTTGTACTGCCCTACTTGTTCTTCTGGATAGCTTCACTAGATTGTAGTGATCTAGCTTTGGGCACCAAGAACATCCACCACTCCAATCTGTTCCTTCTCGTCAATCCCAATACAGTCTTAGCTTTGAGCTTGGCTGAAGTGCTTGGATTGGGGTGTTGAAGTTCTTGGAATGGTGTAAGACAAGTGTGAAGCCAGGTGAAAGAGGCAGCTTTGATAGTTATTCGATGAGCCGCTGTCCTGATGGTAAGTGAGTTATCCGTACGAAGGTTCATAGAATTTTTCTGCCGTATAGCTACATCTTGGGTGGACTAGGAAAGGCTATATTTTTTTTTTAGCTTTCGTATTCATTATGTTGAGTTATCAGGCCCTGGCTACTTTATTGTTATTAAACTCTATTCTCTTTCTCTTCCGTATCAAGCGAGGGCGAAAGTATTTTGTCCATGTAGACACATTTCTCCGGAAATGTTGTAGATTAGGTATAGCATAGCTGTTGGATGAAGCGCACCACACGTTATGTCAGGTATTATCACTGTATCAGCAAAACGGGGATATCCCTGCCAACAACTTTGAACTGACTCTACTCGGATGGCTAGCAACAGCGAGAGAAGCGTTATTGAGCAGGAAGTGAAAGCAATTGATATCTCTTGGGAACACTTGATTATTTAATGATTGTCATACATCGGCTTTCGGCCTCAGCAGTATCTTCGACCCTGAGTCCACGTGACCAACTGGTGCCTGAGGCAGGCACGGGGACGTACAGCCTTTGTGTTGCCGACCGTGAATTTTTGCACACCGTTTTTTCCTTTCTTCAATTACTTGAGTTTTGTGAAGGTCAGCATTTCTCTCGAAAATGGACTCGCAAGATGCTTCGCAGCCCGTCGAAACTGGGTACAGTGCTCCTGTGCCTGGTATAGCTCCTCCCCGCCCGCCATCCGAAGAAGATCCACAGATCGCACCCTCTCCATCTATAGGCGGAGAACATTCCAGGCCAGTCGGTTGGTCCCTCCAGGATGAAGATTACGAGAGTTGGGAGGATGAGGAAATGGATACGTCGATTGAGTCCACCGCAGATGGCACTGATCAGGAGATTCCAGACGACGTCCCTGGCGATCAACTGGGTGCGCTGCAGCACTGTGTTGAATCCAACTACAAGGAATTTCTCTTTGCTTGTGGAGGTACCATACCGATCAGTTCCAAACATCAGCAGAATACTCCAGGCCCTATAAGTAAGGAGACAGCTTCACGCCCCGAGTCTGCCTTCAGCAAGAGTTGGAGCCCAACTTCTGGTCCTCACCCCCCGGTCACTCTTCGATGGGACCCGAACGACGTATCAGCTCCCGCAAGCCAGTCAAAGCTTATCTTTCCCACCAAAGAGACTACTGCAGGTAATCTCAAACACTTGCTAGCTGAAATGAAGCCCGCAACCTTTGGTCGTGGCGGAGAAGATGTGTATGATGAGAGCTACCGCAAGGCATCGAAACTGGAGCCTCAGAATTTCTCCACGAACTTTTGCCCGTATAGCACTGGTATAATTGGAGAGATATCCCAACTTCTTCTTCCTGATCCGGAACGCGCGGATCAGAGAATCATTAAGGCTGAGCTGTACAAGCTTAATGTCAGTATTTGCAATCACTTCCACATATTTCCGTTGCACGTGTTTACTTGATGCCAGGTTTATACCGGACCCTCAGGCCACTTCCGTTCCCATGTCGACACCCCTCGATCTCGCTCTCAGTTCGGGTCTCTTGTCGTTTGTCTGCCAGTCAAGCACGAGGGTGGTGCTCTCGAGGTTCGGCATAATGATGAAGTTATGAAGTTTGACTGGGCATCTACTTCGGAACAACCAGAACTTCAATGGGCTGCGTTTTACAGCGATTGTGAACACGAAGTATTTCCGGTTCAGTCTGGGCACCGGATCACTCTGACGTACAATCTTTACGTTACTTTCAATAGTATCCACCGTCTAGGGAGCTTCAATCCTCTCAACAATACCCAGACTCCACTTGACAGAGAGATTGAAGCCCTGGTTGGAGATCCAACTTTTCTACCAGATGGTAACATTATCTGAATCTGGCCCCCTTTTGAAAACAAGCTGACAAACTATTTCTACAGGAGGCCATATTGGCTTTCATACTACTCACACGTACCCCCACAACGATTCAGAGGGTTGCCTGGAAGACACCTTGAAAGGTCTTGACATGGTCATTTGGAGGGGTTTCCAACGGCTTGGCTGCGGGGTATGCTTGCGGCCAGTCCTGCAACCTACCCCCTACATCATCAATGTGAAACTGCCCTTCAAGCTTGGCCGCACATTCAAGCTTGAAGCTATCGACGGCGAAGTTGAGTCCAAAGATGCGTGGGATGAACTTGTTCAGTACGACTGGGGTCTTGAACATCTGTCGGTTGAGGACATTACCTGGCTCAATAAACCCACTCTAAAGACCAAAAAAGCGGCGTTTGCCTATACTGTGGTAAGTGCGATGCCTCGAACATGAGTAAAAGACACAGCGACCTATTACGATATGGCCACTAACCTCTCACAGTATGGCAACGAAGCCTCTAGTTGCCTTGCCTACACAATCTGTTCCATCATCGTTTCTGTCCCTAAGATTGTTGAAGGTAAACGAGCCAATCTGGAGACAACGTTTGATGTTGATGTTGTTGTTGAAGAAGAGGATTGGGAAAAGCGCTCCCCCTGGGACTAGATCATTTTCGTCATTCGGTCCCGGCTAGATGTCAAACACTGCCTAATGTGAGAAAATGGTTTCTCTCGATAAAGGAGGTAACAGGCTTAGTTAGATTCACCAAGCTATTATTTCCATGACCTCTTTGTTCCTCCTAAGGTATGAGTTGAATCCATTTATAGCCCTCCTCCTGTATGCTACAAATTTCTCCAGGTGACCACTGATATTACCGGCTCTTGGTAGCCTTCTTTTTGACCGGCAGAGGGGGAAATCCCCAGTTAAACGGTAAACTTCTAGAACGTTATACCCGGAGTGCGCCGGATGCATCATTGCATCACTGAAAATTTAACGTGTGGCCAACGGCAACCCCAATCAGCACACATAAACTTCCTGACCATTTATTCCGGTCCCAAATCTTAGTTTTAGATCTGGAGTAGCATTGTGACTTACGGCATCTGGCAGACCGGGTACCAGCAGGGAGACTTTCGTCCCGTGACCGGCAACATGTTGAAATGCACCTGGCTCAACAAAAATGAAACAAATACCAGAGGCGCCGCCATTGGACACAGCTCCCCGCGTCTGGCCGGGGGGGGGGGGGGCAACTTAATGCTTGGCACGAGAAAGATAGATCTGCAGGTCGAACGGAACTGGCCGACGCACAACCGGGCTCTTCCATCTTGGCCACCCGTTCTACCCGGGTCTGGAGCAATGACCCGCACAGCCTACAGTTGTGCCTGGTGAGCGTTGCCCTTGCTCTTCATTTTCACGGCACGGCCAAGGGTTGCGAGATGGCCTGATTGTTTCCCGGGGCGACTAGGCCGTGGAGAGAAGACGAGAGAGCTTCTTTGGTGGGGAAGAACAGTCTTCGCTGGAGGGATGATCCCGTCAGTCAAAGGCACTATTCATTTTTTACGTATTTTTACCTACGGGCCTGAGCTCTCCCAGATCCTTGACTCCATCGTCCCCGCGCAGTCATTCAAATGGTAATATTTCCATTCGTGAGAATGACAGAAAGAGCGGGGCGAAGAACCTGGGTATCCCACTATTTGCGGATCATGTAGATACAAATCTCTTGTCCCTGCTTGGCGATGACTGAGGGTTAGATATCTGTATCTGTGAGATATTATGAGCGTAGAACCGGCTTGGCAGGAATACACGGTTTGGATGCCACAGGCGAGCTGGACGGCAGCCAACAGGGGTGACCATTCCGAACGAAATTCTTGCTCGCTTACCTTCGGCGTCCCCCGCGTGTCCCTTTGCTGGCAGTCTCAGGCTCCTCCTTTGCGACCGGCGGCAATGTGGTTGGTTGACCTAGGAGCCATGCCCTCCTGTATCATCACCTTTTTGACCAACCACCGGGCGTCATCTGTCTACCCGGTCTCGCTACAGCAAATTTCTCCTCCTCGTGTGACATCATACCCTGCTCCTGTAAGTGGTCGGGCCTGCGAGTAGCGGGCGGTAGGATACCGCCACTCATCTACACGGGCTTTGATATCTAGACTTTGCAGGCAAGATTGCCGACTAGATCTGCTTCGGAGATGATCACATCCTAGATAGATCTAACGGCACACGCTTCATCGCGGGAAGACATCTACATGTCCTCTACGTGTAATTCAAACTTGAAGTATTCATCATAGGTTCGGGTGAGGGTGCAGAAGCATGCATGAGGCGCTCCGCGCCCTTTCCCCTACCCTTAATAAAGGTATATTAGATGATAATGGAATGAACTGCAAACGGCCTCGCAGCCTGCCGCCCGACTCATGCGTGGAGGAAGAACGTACGAGCGGTGAAACGGTAATCTAGATATGTGGACTGGCAGGCAGACTAGCATCCCGGAGGGGATAATTGTGGCGACCATGACAGGTGGCAGGCTGTGTAAGGCAAAGGAACGTGGGGGAATATCTGACGGAAGCTACCGGTTGTATGAAAAACAGAAACAGTCACACGAGAATGTCAAAAAAGCCTCTATAGTAAATGAATAGAGGTGGCAACTCGGCCGACATCTCGATCTCCGGCGTAGCCGCGACCCGAGAGAATCGTACCAGATTGTCGTGATGCTTCCTGATGTGTAAGTGTGCGCGTAATAACGGCACGAGAATCAACCCTAAACATAGCCTGCATGAGCCGAGTGTACAGGTGTTTGGTGCCAATAGGCGTGCGACTAGTTGGGTCAGATACAGGTTACTATTGTTCTAGAGCACTTTCAGCCTCGAGAGGGGTAATATAGACCCTGGGCAGACAAGGGCCTTTGTCAAGAGATGGAGGGAGGGGGCCAACAGCCAAAAAGGGATAGATGGTATGATAGTCGAGGATACGCGGAGCCAGATGATGCATATGTAAGAGAGGTGTGGGTGCCAAGTCGTCAGATAAAGAGCCCGCCTAGGAACGCTCGAGAAGACAAGAGAAGTTTCAATCTTTCCATCTTTCAGAAAAAGGGATCCAGACCAAAGGCGTACATTATATTCTTCTCGTTGTCCGATTTGCCAAGTGCCCTTTCCACGCCGTGGACCAAGACGTTTACAAGCCAGTCGCCAAGATGATGTCCGGACCTATCGCCACCCAGTTCGAGGCATACAATGCCCAGTATGCGAATCACTTCAGCCATGCTAACATTGCGGACTCGCATGAAAGGTATGTCAAATCTAGATTGATGAGATGCTAAATGGCAAGCATTGGAGAGACTAACTGTAAAGACAGCAAGGTCTTGGTCCTCGTCTGTATGGACGCACGTATCGACCCGGCAGAGGCCCTGGGCCTACAGCCGGGCCAAGCCCACGTTGTGCGGTAGGTCCCGACATACTACCCCAAACTACAGCTAGAGAACTCTGGGCAGAGACGACAGGGCAGAAAATAAGGAATATACTGACACGTAGAATTAGGAATGCCGGAGGTCGCGCTATTGATGCGGTTCGATCCATTATCATCTCACAGCAGCTGCTCGGCACACGCGAGATTGTGGTTGTCCACCATGTAAGTCAGCCAGTATATTTTTTACATACACGGGGAAGGACGCCTGTATTAGGGACCGGAAGAGACACGAAAAAGAAACGAAAGAGCTAGTGCACAAATGGGTGTTGCACGACAACAAGCATAAAATACAGAGCTGACTGAACATCTTAGACGGACTGCGGCATGCTAGGCAAATCGGACAACGACATCAGGTGCAGCATCAAGGACAAGACTGGCGAGGACGTGGACCACATCGCCTTTCTCCCCTTCCGGGACCTGCGGGAGAGTGTGTTGGACGACATTCGGCTGCTGGAGAAGAATCCCCTGGTGCTAGATGTGCCTATTACGGGGTACATTTACGACGTGAAGACGGGGAGGATCGAGAAGGTTGACCATTAAGCGAGCGGAAAATGCATTTTGAAATTACACTTCTTTGTTACATAGTTGCCCTACAGCCTGTACTCAGGTTGCACTCATCATACATACCAGGCACATAGGCCAAATACAGAGATCCCGGCCGAGAGAGAAAACTGGGCACATAAACCCGCGAAAACCAGGTTACTTCTGCGACTCGTCCGCACCACCCCCGTGAAATTGATGGTGATACAGGTGTGTTTTGGTGTGATCTTCGCAGACGGTTGGACCGGAGACCGGGATCTGGAGGCGTCCTTGCAGCTAGATGACCTGATGGACCAATTTATTGGTTCCACATGCAGGGGACGCAATAGGATCTCTGCCACGGGAGGTGGGCTGGCCGAGCTCTTGGATATGGCTGCTGCTGGATTGGCTGCGGGGGAACGAAAATCGTATCATGGGGAAGATCTCCTGTTTGTCTGGGCTTCGCTCCTGTATTACATGACTTGCCTTAGCCTTAGAAGATGATGCATGAAATGACCTGCAAGGCCCTTTTTCCCTTGTCCCGAACCCTTGCTCTGTTCCAAGCGCTGCATCTATATCTGCTCGCGCCTGCATATTAGCACCCAGCTAACGAGGAAACGAATACGGTTACCTTTCAGCAGGTGACCGACTTGCTGTAGAAAAGCCAAGACGAGGTAGATTACTAAGATATTCATTCATCTGTAATATGCAGCGTGCGGGGGGCAAACTACCGAAGAAGCACCAACCACCCCATTTCGGTTCTGCGCCAATTGTGGGAGGGAAGCATTCCAAAGAGCTTGGAGAATGCATGGAACACACAGAACATCTGATCTCGGAAATCCGTCGCTCTCGGTCGGACCGACTGGCTGGGAATCAGCTGGTTGTCTCACGCAAATCAGTCAATCACATCGCACAAACCATGTCCAAGCTTCCGTCTGCCGCTCATAGCACCTCTAGGAAAGGCAAGAGGCACATGCAAGGATCCATTAGAAAGGGAAAGTCATTCTCTCTTGCCCTGGGGTTATTTTGGCACAAAGGAATTGGTCCTCGACTGCTAATCTTCCCCCCTGACTCTCGTTCCTGGCTGCCTGGAGGACTATCTCCACCCCTGTCGACTGTATTTAGGCTTGAGCCAGTGTCACATCCTTCTCATTTGGTCCCAATGCGGGGTGGAGAGCATTGCAAATCAGTTGTCTCATCCCTATTATTTCGTAGGCCAAGACAAAATGCACAGCGTAACGCATTCAGAGGAGGAGTCGGTAACGTTGCGCGTGCGGGGCTCAAAACCTAAGAAAACATGTGCCCTGTGCGACAGCTTATAAAGAATTAATGTATGTTCATATCGTGATTCGGTGGTAGCCTGTCACATCTCTCACAATCAGTGTGGGAGAAACATTGCGTTATTGATCTGACCTGGTCTGACTGACCTGATATCACCGCCCACCATGTCTGCGTGGCGTGTATTCCTGACCCTCGCCCTCTCTGCCATTGGCCCTGGGCACAGGGCCGCGGCTGTAGATCCCATTGTCTCCCAGAATGGCCAAGTGGTCCCTATCCCCAGCTGGGACATCATCTCGTCCGCAGACGTGTCGGACAGTCTCAGCTCTCTGGCCCGGGCCGGTGTCGATACCGGCTCCTGGCAACACGTTCCACTCTCGCGCTGCACCCTAATGGGGTGCATGATCGAGGCTGGGCTGTACAATGAGCACGACCTCTGGTTCTCAAACAACCTCGAGCACGTGGACAGAGCCCAGTTCGATGTCCCGTGGATTTATCGATCCGAGTTTGCCGTCCAGGCCACCCCCGACCGGCATTATGTACTGCCAACACACGGCATCAGCTCGAGCGGTGAGATCTGGCTGAACGGCCACCAGATTGCAAACGAAACGCTGCAGTCCGGGTCACATTCCGGCCACAACTACGATATCACTAAGGCTGTGGTGAACGGCACCAACGCCCTGGTCATCAAGGTCAATCCCACCAATTACTACAGGGATCTGGCTATCGCCTGGGTGGATTGGAATCCTGCACCTGTGAGTTCATCCGATACCATATGTCATTTGAATGATAGCCTGGCCCCTGCGGATCTTGACTTGCTGACGTACATGGCATTAGCCTGACAATGGCACGGGAGTTTGGCGCGATGTCGAGGTTCATCAGACGGGTCCCTTGAGGTTCTCAAACGCCTTAAGCGCCCAAGTCAGCATTGACCCCGGAGCTGTGTCCCTGCGAGTCCAGGTCCAGAATCTCAAAGCTTGCTCACCTGTCGAGGCTGTCGCCAAAGCTGTAATCACGGCGCCCGATGGTGGTGAAGAATTCGTGTTGGAGAAGAAGCTGTCCCTAGAGAAAAAGTCATCACAGATCCTCGAGTTCAACCAGACATTCGAGAATCCTCAGATCTGGTGGCCGAAGCAATGGGGCGAGCAACCATTGTACACCGCCAAGATCACCATCTCAGTAGATAATGTCACATCCGACGTAACCGAACATACCTTTGGGTTGCGCACCGTGACCAAGGAGATCAACGCTGATGACGACATTGTCTTCTACGTCAACGGTCAGCCATTCCAGGTATTCGGGGGAGGATTCGGGAGTGACATGTTCCTGCGATGGAACGGCGAGCGATTCGAGTCGATTGTCAAGTACATGCTTGACGTAGGCTACAACACCCTCCGTCTTGAAGGAAAGAATGAGCAGCCTGAGTTGTATGAAATTGCGGACCGCTATGGCTTGATGATAATGGCCGGCTGGGAATGCTGCGACAAGTGGGAGGCCTTTGAATACAACACAGATCTACCAGTTGACCCAGTGCCGGTCTGGAATGGGTCTGACTATGACTGGGCCGGTTACTCTATGCTCCACGAGGCACAAATGATGCAAAGCCATCCCAGTTTGCTTGCTTATCTCGTAGGGAGCGACTACTGGCCTGATGATAAGGCAACCAAGATCTATGTTGATGCTCTTCAGCAGGCCAACTGGCAAGTCCCTATTGTAGCTGCCGCCAGTAAGCGAGGCTATCCTGATCTACTTGGACCTACTGGTATGAAGATGGAGGGTCCTTATGATTGGATTCCTCCCAATTACTGGTACGATACTGAGCCATCGAAAGAGCGATATGGTTCCGCCTTCGGGTTTGGTAGCGAGCTTGGTGCTGGCGTTGGCACTCCAGAACTGGGCAGCCTGAAGAATTTCCTCACGGAAAGCGATATGGATGACCTGTGGAAAAATCCCGAAAAGGGCCTGTACCACATGTCGACCAGCCGTTCGTCCTTCTACACCCGTACCATCTACAACGAAGGACTATACAAGCGCTACGGCAGCCCTACCTCTCTCGATGATTATCTCCTGAAAGCCCAAGTCTCAGATTACGAATCCACCCGGGCCCAACACGAAGGCTTCGCCGCTCACTGGAGCACCGGCCGTGTCGCCACTGGCATGATTTACTGGATGCTGGACAATGCTTGGCCAAGTCTTCACTGGAATATATTTGACCGGTATCTTCATCCTGCAGGCAGCTACTTTGGGGCCAAGGTCGGCACCCGGCCAGAGCATGTAGCATATGACTATGTGAACAAGGATATTTGGTTGATCAACAGATCTCTTGATAAGTCTGGTTCCCGCACTATTGACGTCGACGTTATCGATCTCAAGGGCAAGGAAGTTTCTAAGTCCACGCTCGATGCAGCTACTACGCCTAACAAGGCAGTGCGAGTCGGGGAGGTATCAGGTCTAGACAAGATAGACAACGCTGTCTTCTTGCGCCTTAATCTTCGTAATGATGACGGAGATGTCTTGAGCCGCAATGTCTACTGGCTGTCTAAGGCGATCGACGCTCTGGCTTGGGAGAACTCAACTTGGTATCATACTCCTGTGAGCAGCTTCGCAGACTACACCGCCTTGTTTAAGCTCGACACAGCCACCGTCAAGGCAAACTCCGCTGCGTTGGAAAGTTCTGAAGGAGCCTTTACCGTAACCCTCGAAAACGAGTCAGATGTGCCTGCATTCTTCATCCGCTTGACCCTGGTAGACCAAGAAGGAGTAGATGTAAACCCGGTAACGTGGTCAGACAACTATGTTACTTTGTGGCCCAAGGAGAAGCTTGAGCTCACCGTGCACGGATGGGATGGCAGCGGCAAAACGGTTCAGATTAGCGGTGGAAACATCGAGGATCAGGACGTGGACCTATAAGCAACAATATAAGGTCTATTCTTTCCAACTCTATTCTATAGTACCATGGTTCTACAGAATATGAGTTTGATAGTTGGAACGCTTTGAAGATGCAAGATATTTGACTCGGAGATTAGACGAGTGACATGATCATCATCATCATTTGAATGTTGTCAGTATACTACTCTCTACAAACTGATGATATTCTTTCATATTATTACGCGCGGAATTATATATACTTACGTTAGAACAAAAGGTATTAGAGACAACTCTACTTTGAACTTTACGGGCTAGCATTGGACAAGAAGTTCCTTCCCCAGTGCCTGTTAGAGTGGGAATTATCTCCGTCCAAGGATGAAAAGGATCAGATGAACTCAACTAGCTACCGAAACCGCTATGCTAATAGGTACCTGAAGACAACCTGGGCGTGTGACTACTCATTTCTTGGATCTTTAGTTCTGAGCCTACAATTTGCTCCTAGGCCTTGCAACCCAGAGACGAGTTAGAGGCCCGCTCTCGCCATACACAGGATCGGCCTCTGGCATAGCCACATCTTGGATCGTGGCATAGAATTGTTCGGCCGGCTTTTTCCCCGTCTCATTCCGCCACTTGGGACAACCCTAGAATTTCCACCATCAGAAAGGAAAGGAACGACTTGATTCTCCAAGTATATTTACTCACCTCTGGATAGACTCCAATGTAGCGGTAGTTGGGTGAGCTTTCTACTGAAGAATGGGCAGTACCGGCGGGAAGAACAATAACGTCCCCCGATTTGACATTAATTTCAACGCCGTCGCCCTGGTTAATCTTTCCGATGAGGAGCTTGGAGGAGCCTTGGAAGATGCCTGAGTTGTTCTTTATCAGTGGAGAGTGGTATTATCAGGAGCTACACCAAAGCTGACCATAGCATTCGTGGCTATTGGGATGGAAGTGGCGGATGCCAATATGGCCCCAAGTACCCTGAAGAACGTGAGCAAATTCACTCGCCGCTTTGTAATTTAGCACACAGTTGCTTACTCTTTTTTCCCACTTGTTACGGGTGAGAAATTCCGTTACGGAGGCCTCTGTTGCTGGCTGCGGCAGTACATCTTGGTAATGCAAGACAGGCAAAGTGTTATTTGGTGCGTCTTGGTTTGACCAGAGATAGTAGCAGTTGACCTGCATCTTGGACGCCATTGTATGGGTGGTGTCGAGACTCCTACCCCTGATGGCTTTGGCTGGTACACGCGTTCAGCCTGTCTATATCACCAACTAGTCTCAAGTCATATCAGCGGTAATTTCCAAAGCCCTCCTATCTAAACTCTTTTATCTTTGATCATGTGTTGTCTCGTCACAGTGCGGGGCTATGGTAGTATTGGCCATCCGGATTCGCCGCTCAACACGGTCCGGGTCGCCTCCGTCCCCAGTCACACCCGTATCTACCGAAACTCCGATCAGTTCCTATCAGCCCCTATCTAGCGTAAGGACGCAGCCCACTCCTAGATTGAGCTACCGATCATAGCGAATCCGGGGAAAGCTGCAATCGCAGGGTTTGGGCCGATGCGGGGTGATATGGTTTGGTCTGTCCAATTGTGACGAGTCATTACTCATGCCGAGAATCTAGCATATATATTAGGATGAGATCGCGTCTGCCGTCCCAGGTTGCAACATCACACCCATACTTGGCCTGGCAACAGATCTCTTCCATCACTTTGCCATCTTTATTCTTTATCCTCAAACATCAGCAATGGATGCTCAGGCCGGAGCCCCTGTAAAGGGAGATACCAAGACCCTCGAGCCCATCGTTAGCCATGAGCACGGCACTGCGGACTCGATCCGCAATTTGCCCCTTGCTGTGGACACAAACTTGAGGCTTGTTGATGAAGCAATCGAGGCCATTGGGTTTGGCAGATTCCAGATCCAGCTGACATTCACGTCTGGCTTTGGCTTCCTAGTTGACCAGGTTTGTTCGATCAAGACCCAATCCCATTCCAACACCGCTTTACGCTCAGTTTCTTATGATACATGGTTACTTTTAGATGATCTTGGTTGCTATCAGCCTTCTCACTCCGCAATCGGCGATGGAATTCGGACCCCAATACCCAACTTTGCTATCCGCCTCGAATTATGCCGGCCTCTTCGTCGGTGCGATCGTACTAGGAGGATTTGCAGATAATATAGGAAGAAGACTGATCTGGCAACTCTCGATCTTCGCTGTCTCAGTTGCCGCCCTTCTTGTTGCTGCCATGCCGAATTGGGCCGGATTGAATGTCATGCTTGCTATCTTGGGGTTCTTTGGTGGCGGAAATCGTGCGCATATTGCCCCTCTTGCCCCTAAGCGTGGATGTGGCTGACAAGAATATTAGTCGCTATTGATCTGACTCTTCTCGCTGAGAGTATTCCTAGGAAATGGGGGTTTGTGCTATCCGGACTGGCTGCAATTTGGGGCCTAGGCAATACCCTTACGGGACTGATCGGTTCGTATTGATTCTCATAATACCTCTCACCTTGCCTAGCATGAGGGGGGGATATCACAACGATAAATGGTGACTAACAGACATAGCTTGGCCTTTACTGGTCACATTCGGCTGTGAAAGCGGCTCGACCCCCGCAACTTGCCACAAGCAAGACAACATGGGTTGGAGATACTTATACATCACCGTTGGTGGCCTGTGTCTTATCATGGCAGCTATCCGAGCCTTTGTCTTGAGCACGCTCGAGTCTCCCAGATGGCTTATCTCCTGTGGGCGCGTTCCTGAAGCGGTTGATATTCTGAATAAGATTGCAGCCATCAACAAGGCAGATTACGCAGCGTCTGCCGATGACTTTATTCGTATGGAGGTCAGTGTGAAGCAAACCAAGAGTCTATCAGAGAACCTTCAACGGGCCAAGCGACTCGTCACTGGGGGTAAACAAATCTGGTTGATGGCTTGCTTGGCTTTGATGTGGATGCTCATTGGCATTGCGTAAGTCATTCACAATCTCAGGCCCTGAATAATACTAACGAGAGACACTTAGCTATCCGTTGTACACTGTCTTTCTTCCTTACTACCTGGCATCACATGGAGCAAGTTTCGGCGAGTCCTCAAATTACACCACCTACCGCGACTGGACTGTTTCGTCCGTCGTCGGCATCTTCGGTCCATTCCTCAGCATGTGGATGGTCTCTAACAAATGGCTCCGATCCAAGAAGTCTCTGTTCATTACAGCCGCGATTTCTGCCATTTTCTCAGGCGCTTTCACCACCGTTCGGAATGACGCACAGAATCTGGCTTTTTCGTGCATGATAAACTTTTGGCTGAACGCTCTATATGCCATCGTTTACTCGTAAGGACAACAGAATCTCTAATTAGTGAAAGAAAGGCCTCCATGAACTAACAATGTGTACCCAGATATACTCCACAGTCACTCAGTGTCGAAAACCGTGGTCTCGGAAATGGCCTCGCGATGGCTCTTGGCAGAATGTCATCTCTGAGCGCACCTTTCATCGCCACATTCGGCGATGTTACATCCCCCGTTCCAATCTTTGTCGCTTGTGGCTGCTTTGTGCTCATTGGACTGATTGGCCTTGCCGTGCCTGTGGACACAGAGCCTTTCTCATATTAATCTCAGACGGTCATATTCGCCAAGCCTGAAAGAAGGTCCGGGCGAGGCAAACACTCTCTGAACTGCCATCTTGGTTGGTCCCACTACGCTTTATTCGTTCTAGCTTCACCTATGATATCTCCATATTGCTTGCTTTTTGTATATTCTATTCTATGTTGAAGATACCTGCTGTGTAAACACTTTTTGTCCCCAATCAAATTTGTGCACCAGTACATTGATAATCTGGTTCCTGATTCCAGTACCGGAAGCGAGAGAGGCAGTTTTCGACTTGAGATTCAAGTCAAACTTTACATATTCATGGCAATAAGAGACCTCGTATTAAACTTCCAGACGTAGATCAAGCTTGCGGGATGTTGCTAAGCGAAGATGTGGATCTCGTTAACTCTGATGCAAATGATGCCTTTCAAACAACAACCTTGTTAAACCATGGTGCCTCCTACCTCTACTCATTTCAATGGTAAGATGGCTGGCTTTTATCTAGCTCGCTACATATAGGCTGTCTACAATAGATCAAGCGATTCCTCTAGTCCAGATGGCAACTTTCACCTAGTAATGGATCATACAACAGGAATTGTGGTACAAGCTGAATGCGCAATAAATTGCGGCTAGGGGGAGAGGGTGGTACTGTATGTTTAGGCTGGGGTTTCAGACAGCCATTCCTGGAGAGAGACTGGCTGTACATGCAAGTAATCCCGCGTGTTGGTTCCGTCCACCTGGCTGCATGCACTTCGCCGCAATTAGCTCCGCGGCGATGGCAACCAAGAAGTCCAGAGTAATCCTTCCGACAAGGCTCATTGACAGAAAAGCAAGAGAACAGCAAGAGTAGAAAAAAGATTGAATTTAGTTTCTCTGGGTATATATAGATATATCGAATGTTTCATAATGCGTGATGGTCCTACTCTGCCCTTCCTGCTCGACATGTTCGTATATTGGATTCGTCTGCAATGGTGGAGTTCCCCACCCCTCTGATGCATGTTGGTCGACCAACATGCATATGAATGTGATGGTTGTGGCATCCTTCGGCCTGCTCTTCCCTGTCGCTAATACTACATAGATTGTTCGAGGGAGGCTGGATATTTCCCCAGTTCCCGCCCCCCCTTTCTCCTCGTCCACTACCACTTACTCCTGTCTCTCATCACTTCTTGTCTACAGGAACGTGCGTCTACTGGTCTCATTGCATTATTTCACGCGACAATCTGTATCAGAATATCAAACTTGACCATGGCCTTCAACGAATCGCAGCCGAGTTTCCCGCATCCGACCGATATCGAGTGCCTCAAGAAGGCGTTAGGCTTACCCTCGATTTGTCTGGCGACCACCGTAAACGAGGTACAGTGTGGAACGCCTATTTCTCACAAAGAAAAGGTTGATCCAATTCTCTCGAGTCTTCTTAACCCTTTCGACACTACGACAATACCCGGAAGCTATATGAGCCGCACCGATCAATTGCTCTTTCGGTTGCTTTGGGTCCCTCTGTGTCCCTCTAGGAGTCAACACAGTGCTCCTTCCTATAACATGTTGTCTCTTGATACCCTTCGTGATCGATTCCAGAAGTGGAAGCTATCTGAAGAGAAAGATAAAGCGAATGATGAGGCGTCAACAGCTGGAGTCGGTGGGTGCCATGAGTCTCAAACTTCCGCCTTAAGTGAAGGGTTTCAACGCGATACAGTTCATGATGCAGCCTTCGATAGCGAAAAGGACAATGAGCATGATGAGGAGGATGAGGATATTGATGAAGATGACGCCAGCTCCCACAGCGAGGAACAACCCAGCGAATACCAATCCGACGAGTATCAACCCAGCGAGCAGCAAAATGACAAGCACAGTAAGGGGCGAACCAACAACGCGCTTGACGGGAAACCAACAGAAGTGCCCAAGAATAAGCTTTGCGAAAGTCTGGATGAACAACTTAGGCAGAGCAGAGAAACTCTGTTGCATGCGACAGATGATCAAGGCCCGACAAGCTTGGCAACCCCACCTCGAACAACGAACAACTCTTCTAAATCCGAGTCTGGCAGCAAAGATGAACCGGATTCGCGAAGTGAAGCTTCGACCCCAGTTCCGATCATATTTTCGCCATCTGAGCCTTCTTTTGCCGACACCCCAGATACGGAGAAAACAACCAGTCCTACTGACTGGCAAGATAAGGACGATTATTTCGATAGTCCAAGCCTAAATAGGGGCCCCTCTGCACGGTTGGGTGAAAGGTTGTCGATTCCGCCCCCCGCCATGTCTTCCCTGTTGCAACCCAAGACGCCAGAATCACATAATGAAGAGCGACCGACCACACCGTTTAACAGCAAGAATCCAGAATCAGCAGGAAAATATTCAACGCAAAGGGGGAGATCTGTCTCAACGAAAAAACAAACGCCGAGGACACCTCTTCACCCCTCCAGAACCCTAGCGGACGGTACCAAAACAGCCGAAATATGGGACATATCGGCCAAATCGAACGCTCTGAGGGATATTTTAGACACGATGCGAACCATTGCAAAAGGAGATCATGGTGTTCCCGGCCATGTGTACGCCTACAAACACAAGTCCGTTCCGGGACACATAAAGATCGGGTTCGCCAAGGATAAAGGAGATTCTTCCGAAAAATCGCATGTTGTGTTGCATCCCGTGGGCGAACACAAAGACCTTCATCTATGGAAGAGATTGAAAGATCAAGAATTCAAATGCATGAGCGACATGGAGGTCCTATTCGCAGTCTACATGCCATGCGCCGCTGGCCAAATGGAACGGTTAGTTCATCACACCCTTTACGAGGAGAAGCGGATAGCACACTGCCAAAATTCAGTGTGTGGCAGAAGGCACAATGAGTGGTTTGTTGTGGACAAAGAGCGAGCTTTTGAGGTAATTTCGCGGTGGGCAGAGTTCAGCAGGTTGTTCCCGTATGACAAAATTGGCTCTCTGGGCGTGAGTTGGCATGACCATGCGCATAACTATAGCAAACTGTCCTCATCAATGACATTGGAGGAGTGGTGGAACGGCCCATGGAGCGATTTCATAGAGGCCCAGGAAATCCAACACGATCAGCAGCTCGCTGCTGCGTTAGATGAAAAAGCAAGCAGCCAACAGGAGGAGACTAGTCTTTTGGATGTCCAACTTGAGATTCAACTGGAAAGAAATAAATTGCAACAGGAGAAGAATGAATTGGAGCAGTATGCGACCACATTGCGTGAGGAAAAGGTCAAAAGAGATTTAGATAGGACACGAGAACGCCAGCAAGAGCTTCAACAGCGGATAGAGAAGTTGTTATTGAGATAGGCCTTATATAGTGGAGATTTAGTTACCAATGTACACATGAATAGCTTCATAAATCCTGTAATAAACCTTCACTTCCGTTTTCCGCAGGCATTTGGATAAAACACACCAAACCCCATTCCTTATGGCTATTTGATATGCTCATGATATGTCTGCCACTTTACTTTCTGACTCAACTGCTCATCTTGCTAGTAAAAATTGTTTCCACTTGCTTCACCGGCTGATCATCTGTTGCATCCTACTTGGTACCCTCGCGAGACTATACCTTACAATCATAACATGAAAGGCCCGAATGATCATTATGTAGATCTTTCCAAAGAGTCCATGGCAATGAACTACTGTAGTCACGACCAGCTCTTCCCCTATACTGACGTTTTGGACATGCTCTATTCCGTCATTTCGATCTTCCGGTCGTATTAAGACGGAGGTTTGAAAGTCCAGATGGCTGTCATTTTCTCCGATAATGATCTCATCCTCCGTGCGGGAGCGAACCGGGAAAACCCCAATTGTGTCAACGCCCTTCTCCTCTGCGGCCGCCTGTATCTCGGTAGAGCGTTTTACGCCAAAGATTGCCATTATCTCATCTCTGATCCTCATCAGCAGTGAGAACCAAGCAGGCGGCTCGCAGAAAAAAGCCTGCGCAAGAGCATCTAGTGGAACTTCATGAGGCTTTCGCAAAGGAAGCGATACCGCAAATGAGTCGACAAAGAAAGCTGATTTGTATGATGGGGCCAGCCTACTTTCTTGCGGAAAGGGTACAACACGGACAAACGATAATGGCATTCGCTGTCCTTCCCATAAGAGCAAAGTGGTAGTAGGACGAAAGGCTGGTAGACGCCATGACCGGCTTTGTGCTCCCTTAACAAGGCCAGGCATTTTTAAAACAAAGGGTGCAAAATAAAAGATCTCAGACCCGACGATAGACTGGACGCATGGGAAGGTTAGAGGCCTGATATGAGCCCGGAGGGTATTGCAAGATTATAAGTTAGAAGCGGTAATGCATGAACAGTGTGTGCCTGCATACGTAGGAGACATTCAATAATGTGGCCACCAATAACGGTAGTAGGTAATGAGGTCCTCGAATTTATAGCTGGCCAAAAAAGATACGTACTTTTGGGGGTGATCAGGTATCCATAATTACAGATCAGCAAACACTGGGTCGTGGAGGTGGATTTGTCAGGATAGAAAGGCTGCGCCGGAGGCTTTTTGGATCAGGATCGGGAGAAATAGGAATGAGAAGAGTAGAGCAAAGGGTTAGGTAAGGAATTTTTAGGGCAGAACAGAGAAGTTAAGGAAGAAGAGCAGTACCGCGACTCTACTGGTATGACTGCTTATATTCTTCCCTTAGGTAGAAGTCTCTAAAGTTAAGTTGCTGTGTTTTCTGCATAGTGAAGAGATTCCCAGAGTTGGTGTTTGATTTTCTTACCCTATAGGTCTAGTTCGGTAGGACTTTGGAGACTATTCAACCTCGTCAGTGCATTCAGTCGGCTGAATATAATGGATAAGGAAGGAGTCTGTTAACTTTTTTGCAAGGTAAGTAAAGCTTGGATTTCATCAGGAAATTTGCATGTGGTACGTGCAAGAGGTGTGCGGCGTTTGGACAAACAGGTTCGACGTGCCCATTCTTAAGTTTGTGTGGACACTACACCGGAACGACAGGCCGAGGTCTGTCGTGAACTGTCTTGTAAGAAATCCATCTTTGCTCAGCGACTTTTTTCTACTATGTCTCTTAAAGAAACATGCGAAAGCAGTTTCTTTAAATCCAACAAAAGTAGCAATCGTTCGATTTCGTTAGAAGCTTTGAGGATAATTCACGCTATAGGAATAGATGATGTAAAAATATTGAATATTATCTTTGCAAACTACAAATTGATAGGGCTAACTTGTACAGTAACCACGTGGCCCCAGTCTGTTGCCTTTGTGTGATTGCATTACCAAGAAGCATAAAGTTGTGAGAGATTCAAGCAACATCTCAAATCAAACTGGATAGAAACTTGCCACAGCACGATAGCTAGATGGCCCCTTCAACTGCCAAAAAGAAACCATATTGCCGATTCCTAAATGCGCCTCAAATGACCAGTCGAACCTTGAGCTTGTCACCCTCCACGATCTCCTTTTCCCGACCAAGGAATTCAGGCATATCCCAGGTGAGGTCGATATAGCGTCCAGCTAGCCAGTCACGTTTCTCTTGGGTCAAGTAGACCATAGAGTCGGCAGACAGCTCAGCAGTATCAGTGAGGAGTGTGTTAAACTCCTCTGTCATATTGTCAGCCATGTCGGTCTTAACGCTACCTGGGTGGATGCTGTAGGCTAGGAGACCTTGCTCGCCGTACTCGTGCATGGCGAACTCGCTGAAGCGGAGCAGGGCCAGCTTGCCAGTCTGGTAGCTGGAAGCGCCCTTCATGATGATGTGGGCACCAACGGATGAGGTGTTCACGATGGTCTTGTCACCTCCTTTCAGGAGGAGGGGAATAAAAGCGCGGGTAGCGAAGAAGATGCTGCGGACGTTCACCTCGTACTGCCCCCACCAGCTTTCGGTGGAGGATCCAACGATGGGGACGAAGGAATCAAGGCGAGCGGCGTTGTTGATGAGCAGGTCAAGCCGGCCCCATTCTTTTTCGACCTTCTCAGCCGCGGCGTTGACACTGTCTTCGCTTTGAACATCTAAATTGATGGCGAGAATCTCGGGCGTAGGTTTGCCGATCTCCTTGAGCTTGGAAGCGATGGCGTTTCGGGCTTTGGTCAGGTCACCACGCGCACCGAGACCTAGATGGGAGACCCCTGCCACGGCGTAGGATATGGCAGTGGCCAGCCCGAGACCGCGGGAGGCACCAGTGATGAAGACAGCCTTATTGGCGTGTTTCTTGGATTTGGTGGCAGGATCGATCTCAGGATAGGTATCACTGTGCCTGCTGCACCAGTGCATTATATCAAGCGGAAAGACAGGAGGGTAGGCAACCATTTTGACTGATGATCGGCTTGGATTTTATGAGAACAATTTTAATATTGAAGCTGTATATCTTAGGCTTGGTCGAATATGTGAGGAGCGGATAGAGATTTCCAAGACAACACAACTAGAGCACTCGATGAGGTTATATACGTTCTTCAGATTATCCCAAGGCTCATAGAGAATATCAGCCCCCACAGAAAAACTTTCTATACTACACTATCTCTTCATGTGACAAGCAGCACGACTGGACCGTACGCTCCTGTTTCGAATAATTCATCTTTTTCACTGTGACACGATTACCAATTACTTCGTGCTTGAGATGTCCGGACCACCACACCTGGGCCGAATAGATCGCTTTCCATATTGAGCCCATCTCACTCGCTGAGTTCTTTGTTTACAAGACGACACTATTAGACTGTCCACACGCCAGGCTATCACGTAGGACCCGCAAGTGTCGTGTCTCATACGATGAGAGGAATTTTGCCGTTTCTAGGTTGAACATCCGAGTTGACATAGACGACATGCTCAAGCATGTCCACGACCTCCTTACCTATCAGACTGCGAGGTATACGTAGAAACAGGCCCGGCGGGTTTCGAGTTGAGTTTCGGAGGGTTGTCAGTTGAGTCTCGGACGGTTCTTAGTTAAGTCTTGTGCTCATTCTCAATTGCTAGTAGTGGGTCATACTTGCCCCAAATTGGAAACTTTGAAGTGCTTATCAAGCTGGAGAAAAGAGTCCACCACTCTCGTTGAACTATATTAAGATTTGCCTCACTCTACCCTGTCCAGGTCTTGGCGTCAGAAACGGGCTTATCTCTTGTTAGGATACTCAAGGTGATGCTGAATAATTGAAAGCCTAGCCTAAGCCTCATACTGATAATGCACGCGATACTTCCGAATCTAGAGCGTAAGCCGGCAGGTCAAGATTATGTCGATCATCACCATCACCGATCTCAAATCGTTGTCCGGGACCCATTTTGAAAAACCTTTTCTCGCATATCTTAAACAATACTTTGCAGTTAGTCTGTGCAACTATTGTAGGGTACCATCTGATTGGAAAACAATATGCAGGCTGCGGAGTATTTGCAAAGGACCCTCGGCCTTTTCCGAATCTACTGTATAGGCGTGTTGGTGCCAACCTCTACTGGTGTGCGAGCAGCCGAGATAACACCTTGTACATTACATGATAGGTTGATGTTTCGATGAAATAATAGCTCCATAGGGAATATCTTGGCTTAATTCCTGAATATGCTCTATAAGTCCAGGTTTACACTCTCTCTTACGTGCAAATACCATTAAACAGGAACCACAATAGGATCGTCCCCCAACTTGTTGATTGTTGCATCCCAATCCTTAATAGACGCTTTATGATGCAACTCGCCATCGTTGGATATGCCTACGCCGCTGTCCGAGCCGACGCTTCCCTCCCTCGGAGCTGAATCCGAGCTGACATTCTCTCCTGCAATGACGAGGCTCGCACTTTCAGCCGCAGCATTGTTAGTGGTGCTTGCAGCTTCCAGAGGTATAGGTGCATGTTTGTGAAGGTAAAAGCTCAAGTCGGAGTCCCGGTCTGGGATTGTCGTCATGTTAGAATGATACTCTTGGATCTTGAGCCCCAGCGGATCCAGCTCCAGGTTCTCAATCCATGAGATCCCTTGTCCCCAGTACGCGTACCTCTCAGTATCGTACTGCCAGTAATAGTCTTCCCATCGATCTTCGGCTAGACACTGCATATAATGAAGCGAGCTTCCAGGCCAAATCGCAGTGACTTTGCCATTTGTACCTTTCTTGACTAGAGACAAACCAATTAGTAGCTAGAAGCAGTATCCCTAGCAAATAAACTTACACCAACTACGGCAAGTGCCCGTCCACACTGTATCTTTCATCAAGGTCTGCGTATGTTTATCGAAGTCGTTTTGGGCTTCGGGTCGAATATCAACGCATCGGACTCGCTGTCGGACCATCTTTGAAAACAGTCTGATGAAATAGTCGCCCGTTGCTTCAATGGGACCTGAATGACAAGTTTAGAGGACGGCCAGCGTACCGCTCAATCGAAAGACTTACCTAGCGCGCTCCCATTCGAGATAGGGGTGTTGGGACCCAGGAAAGTGAAGTAATTTGGAAATCCCGACACTCCGGTTCCCAGATAGGAGCTTGGCTCGTCAGCCCAGAGATCCTGCAAGTTGGTCCCCCCTTGACCAAAGATCGGGAAGCGTGGCTTGAAGGTTGTATTGAAGCCTGTGGCTGCCACGAGGACATCAACAGCATGCTCTGTGCCGTTGGAAATAATGCCATTGGATGTAACACTCGTGATTCCGTCAAAGATGGGTTCCACATTAGGTTCTTGCAGTGAGATGAGATACTGTTCTCCGGGGTTGATACGTCTGCATCCTGCCTCAAAATTAGGTATAAGTTTCTTCTGTAGGTTCTCATCTTTAATTAACTCCTTCATTCGGTTCTCAAACTTGCTTCGGAGGTCGGCTTGCTGTTGTGTGCCTTTGAAAAACGCCCGAAACATGCCATTAAACTGACTTTCCAGGTTCTTGCGCTCGACAAGATAGTGCTCGCGGTTGTTTCGATATTCTTCCTTTTCTTCACTATAATATACCTGCTCCGGACGGGTTGGGTCCGGGACAGCGACAGCAGGAGCGATATAGGAAGGTGTCCGGATATACATGTAGATTTTTTTGGCCAAGGGTTGGAGCTTCGGAAGAAGCTGGACGGCACTCGCCCCAGCCCCAATCACACCGATTGTTTTCTGCTCGAGATTAATGCTGTCATCCCAATCGGCCGTGTGTAGCAAGGGGCCAGCAAATTTGTCGAGCCCCGTCACACTCGGATATTGAGGGTGGTTCAAAATTCCACCAGCGTTCACCAGCAGCTCAGACTCAAACATAGAGCCATCTTCAGTTTGAACAGTCCAAGTACTAGACGAGTCAGACCACCTCGCTGAGACCACTTTAGTGCTGTACTTGATGTATCTCTCCAGGTCGAAGTGCCGTGCTACTCGCACCATATACGCTTGAATCTCCTTAGAGGAAGCGTAACTATACACCACTAGTTAACCACGGTCATCATCAGAGACCAGGATAAATTATTTTACTCACAACTTTGACCAGTCTGGGTTTGGAGCAAATGAGAACTGGTAGCAGTGACTGGGAACGTCGCACGCGCAGCCTAAAAGCATGAGTAAGAATCGGGCCAAGGCCGGATTGCAAGACATACCTGGATACCTGTTTTCGTACCAAGTTCCTCCAAGCTCAGGGGATTTCTCGAGGATTTGAAAGTCCACGTATGATTTTAAATGTTTCTGGATTTTGTATGCTGTGTGATTGAAGCTTCGTGAGCGTAATGTACAGAAAGTGAGCGAGGCCAAGTCATGGACCTACCCATCAAGATGCCGGACATTCTAACTAAAGTTAGATCTTGTACGTATTTTATTTATCCATAATTCCTCTTGGAAATATTTCTTACTCACCCGGCGCCGATGATGGTGCATCGAAGATGCTTGTAGGAGGGGGTTCGAGGTTGCTCCATTGCCTGGTTGTCTATCCTTATTCGATAATATGCTAGTCAAGGCAACAGTTAATTCAATAGGTTGTGCAGAGCAGTACAGGGCAACTGCGACAGCTCAACCAAGCCATCCCAGGATACTTGTTTCCTTGGAACCCCAGCCCTTGGCCCTGCTTCAGCCAGGCGGATGCGGACCGGACGCCCTCCGGATGTGGAACATGTGAGTGGATCGCATTATCTCCATGACTCGTTGTGGGGACGGAGCGGTCGGAAATAGTGAAAAGATAGCGGAATGTAGATGGAGCTGTCAAGGCATCACGGCAAATGCGTGGAGATGATCCGGTGAAGATATGGCTAGCCGACTCATTGGTCGTTCCTTGTAGATAAGGTGAGGGGTTATTTCCAGGTGGCAAGGTCTTGGGTAATACAAAGAGGTAGAGCAAGCTGTAAGCGGCTATCTGTTGTTCCAGTTGTTCTATCACATGTGACGAGGTGTGCATATTTGCCAAGTTGAAGAGTAGTGAATACTGCTGTCAAGACCTGGCAATCTGCCAATGAATAAGACGGTATTGGGGGCTATTATTTTGCAGTGTCGAAATGAAGAAGTTGATGAATTATCAGCATGATGTATATTATTCAGCTATTAAGTCTCAAGAGTGCCAGTTATCGCCACAGCATGAGGACACCTGTTACAGCGGAATTTATCCGAGACTTGGACGTCGATTACTTTGGCAAGAACTAACCCTCTTCTATTTATATTTAATGCTTGATCTAAAAGGTGGTTACGTGTTATACCAATCTATCTGGCCTAATTAGCCCCAATCTCACCACGAACAAGCAGCCGGACTCCAAAACAGAGGCGATTTTATGATATACATGCTTGAAATCGTCCCGCTACAGCTTGGACATTTCTTTGGGGTTCAAAATCCGCAATGGAGGTCCGGCTCTGCTGCCATCACCAATCTTTGTACCAGCGTTGTCTCCAGCTGGCAGTGGGAAACTCCATTTGCGCCTCAGTTCTGCCGGCGCTTTGTTTTCGAAGCAATCGGCAATATAGGTTCCCAGAACTGGAAGGAACTTGAAAGCGCTGAGATTTTTCTTCGTTAGCTATGCGTCCCTTTTGTAGGTCATTGAAAATTCACTCACTGTCCGGCTCCGCCAGTTGCAAAGAAGAGCCCATGAATTTTTGGGTGATGATCCACGACAAAGTCTCCTGCAGGAGTATCCGAGTACCAGCATAAACGACGGTCCATCCACTCCCGCGACTGGAACTCGGGTACGAGTTGTGCCAGCCCTGCTCGAAGAGCGGCATCAGCGTCGTCTGGTAAATAGCCGGACACTGCATTGCTTGTGTCCCTCCTGGGTGAGGAAACAAGACGCTCCTTGTCCTCCTCCACGACAGGTACAGCGGTCCCAAAGCCATATCCGTGGCGTGCAACCTTCAGGATATTGGTATCCGGCGTGGGAGGGAAAACAAAAATGCCAGTTTCCAGATTAATCATGACGGGCATGCCCTTGAGCTTCTGGGCCTCCGCATCTGTCAATTGAATGAATCCAACAGGTTGTCCAGACGCGGAGCTTGCATGGCTCATGTCTACCAGGCGGTTTGACCAGGCCCCTGTCGCCAAAACCACGAGGGAAGCCGATATCGATGGCCCCTGAGCGACATTTACTCCAACAACGCGCCCTTGCTCGTATTTGAGGGAGTGTACCGTTCCCCTTGGCCCTAAGATGAATGATACCCCAAGGCTGCTGCATTCATTGCTGAGCTGACGAATACTCGATTCTGCATCAGCCCAGCCTCCAGCGGGATTCAAATGCGCCTCCAAGCCTTCAAGATTTGCCTGGATACTAGGATAGTGATCCCGCAGCTTGTCGGCGTTCTTGAATTGAATAAGCCGACCACCAACCTTCTCTGTCTCTTCCTTGGCTTTGGAAGCATAAGTTCCGTCTCCGGGTGGTCCAAGCATCACAAATCCAGACGTGTAAAAGTGTTTGCTATACTTTGTTTTCCATCCCTCGAGAGCTTCACGGGCCATCTGCCCATAAAGAGGATCTGCGTATTCCACACGAATGACACGCGAGATATCAACGCTGCTTCCATCAGGAACTGGGGGTAGAAAACGATCAAGGACAGTGACGTGAAGGTAGCCTCTCTTCTTCAGCTCCAGGGCGGTGGACAGGCCGAAGAGACCGGCGCCGATAATGACGATAGGCTCATCTTTTGGGACAGGCTTCATTGTGAGGATTACGATAAGGCGTGTTTTGAGACTTCTTAGGTTCGATATTAGGAAGCAATTGATTTGAAGAATGTCAAAGAATCACTCACTCAGATCATTTAGTAGACGCTGGCCATTCAGGGCGAGGAGGGTGGTTTGATCCGGCCTCCGCGAGTTGTGTGTGCGGGTCCGGTCCGTGAACTCCGTGCCCACATCACGAGTCTGGACCCGTACAAGATGTGGCAAAGGGATCCCCTTGGATTAGGTTGGCTTTAAAGGCAAACGAAAAAACCGCTCCGTAACCGAGCAAAAACAACAACTTAGCTATCTAAACCAGCTCTCCAACCTTCAAGCACGGCCTAGCGTCGTTCCAGCTGAATATTGAACACTCACTATTCTACTTATCCTTGTTCATCCTCTCCAAAGCACCAAAATGAGTTGGTTAGGCCTTGGCAAGAGCTCCTCTGCTCCCAAGGAGGAGGAGCGCAAGACCACACGCGCCCTGCCCGCATCCTGGTATCATTCCCCTGCCATGTACGAGCTAGAGCGCCGTGCAATCTTCTCCAAAAAGTGGATTCTCGTCTCCCACCAGCTCCGTTTCAAGGAACCTGGTGACTTTGTCCAGATCACCGAGGCAGGCTTCACATTCTTCATAGTCAAAGATCGCAAGGGGGTGATTCACGCCCACCACAACGTGTGCCGTCATCGAGCTTATCCCCTAGTCGAGAAGGAGTCCGGACACCTCAATGTTCTAGCTTGCAAGTATCATGGTATGCCCTCCCGTGCCCCTTTAGATCACTCATTTGGTCAGATTCGTTGGTTGACACTGTGTCCCGCTAGGATGGTCTTATGGTTTTGATGGAAAACTAGCCAAGGCGCCAAAATATCAAGATATCCCGTCCTTTGACAAAACGGCCAACACCCTCTTCAAAGTACACGTCCATGTGGACAAGCTGGGTTTTATCTGGATTAACATGGATGCCAATGAGACTCCTACGACATCGTGGGAGGAATCATTCGGCACTGTCGATGAGCAACCGAGATTACAAAAGTTTGACATGTCCAACTACACTTTTGACCATCAATGGGAGATGACCGGAGATTATAATTGGAAGACGCTAGCAGACAATTACAACGAAGTAGGTGTCATCTCAAAACTCGGAGGAAGCTAGCATCATGAGCTAATCCGGGCTACAGTGTTACCATTGTCCAACTGGTCATCCTGGAGTGGCTGCGATTTCAGATCTAAGCAAGTACTGGGTCGAAACAGCCGGTAATCACATCCAGCACTTCAATGTCGACAAGCCGGATCGCAAGGGTCAGGGGATCTATAGTACCTTCCATTATCCCAATGCTTCAACCACGATCTCGTAAGAACAATAACCGTACCTACGGCCAATGGGTGGCTTGCTGACTTCAACAGACCCGAGTTTTTCTACATAATGCGATGCATACCAATATCATCTCACCAAACCAAGATGGAGTATGAAGTCTATCGTAACAATGATGCGACTGAAGAAACCTTCAACGAAATTAGTGATTTTTTCAAGGTTGTCTTGAAGGAGGACAAGGATCTCTGCAATGGTGCCCAGAAGAACCTGCAAGCCGGCGTCTTCCTTAACGGCGAGCTTCACCCTCATGCAGAAAAGGTAAGGCAAACCTGTGCCATACAATTTTTAAACGCCGCAACATCTGAAACTAATTCAATCGGCTAGGGCCCGTTATTTTTCCAGTCCCTTACCCGAGACATTGTCGTCGCCCACCGGGAGCAAGAAGAGGCTGCTGGTCATGATATCTGGCCGGCTACTCCTAAGCATAACACAAATGATACCAACGAAAAAGATGTTGCTTTTTGCAAGGGACTTGATTGCGCTACTGGGAACGAGAGTCTAGTGTGGTAAACTACATGGAAGGCTACTAAGGGTGCTCGGGTGTAGAACAAGTCATTCGCTATGAAGACCAGTGTATCCAACAGGAGCAAAGGCCGGTTGAACAGTTATGTAACTCAAATAAATACAAAGTCTATCCAATCTATTCTATTCTGATTACAAAAAGTGCAAGGGAAGAAAGCCAAAAACTAGAAGGAAACCCCATCAAATGGGTTTAATTAACATTCAGCGTTGAATGTACAGCTACGTTATATCCAAGCCAAAACCATGGAAAGTGGCTAATTTTAGATCAAATGAAAGGTGTCAGCCGAATGACGGTCGAGTTGATTGTTTCGCAGCAGTAAAACTGATGTGCCCAAGGCTTGTCCAGCTTACTCCTTCTTGATCTTCTTAGGTTTGGGGACCCGGGCCAGCCAGTAAAAGAACAAGGCCGCGCCAATGTTGAAGAAGATGTAGGCCCAGATCAGTCCGAAGTTGCGCCAGCGGTTATCAAAGTTTACCGTAATACCAGCCAGGAAGTCGTTGGTGCTCGACATGGCACAATAGTTACATTCTGTGGTACTCGAGCCGGAATCTCCAAGAAGCTTTCCACTGGTCGTGCCAATGAAGTCGGAAAGATATTCGCTGCAAGTGGTGCCGTTGGGTGGCATGAATGTGACAATTTCGTTTGAAGCACATGTAACCGGAGCATTCGCAAGAGTTGTGCCCAAAAACCCCTCAACAACATATGTGAAAGGATTGACCCGATACATGAAGATCCAGAATCCAGGGAGTGCATCGGGGCCTGCCAGAATACCATTGAAAGCGAACATCATGATGAAGATGAGTGTGAGAACACCGCCAGCGATGTCCGGGCTTGGCAAACCGGCGATAAGCATCATGGCAAAGGTACTTGTGAAAACGAAGAACAGCCAGACATGAAGAAAGATAGTAATGCCTCGCGAGTGTACTTGGTCTGTCCATTCGGCGTTGCGGTAGAGACCAATCGGAAAGTACCAGCAGACGAAACAAAAGACGGACATGAGCTGTATCATTGTTAGTCATTAAACCTAGACATGGAGTAGAAAGGGCGAGTGTGAACATACCGAGTTCCAAGCGACTTCTACGATAGCGTTGGCCACAATAAAAGACTGCCACGAGTATATCTTGGAAGGGCGCTCGCGAGCTTCGTAGAGAGTTCTCTGGGTACAGAACAGAGGACAAAATTGTTCAATCAGCTGCGGAAAAATAGTGAGAAAGAGGAAGACGCCAAACATTTGGTTCTGTAGGCCGCGCATGGTGTTGTCCATGTTCATGACAGAGAACCCAATGAATAGAGCCTATCAGGGAAGGTTAGCAACGTATTAGGATTCGATCGCGAGAGAGTCTACTTACAGCTCCAGCCGATAGAATGAACTTGGACATGACATAACTGGGGTTGCGCCAAACGGCTTGGAAAAGACGTTTCGTAACCTGCACGAGTTGAGCAGAAAACGGTGTGGCGAATTCGTCGAATTGACCAGGATCCTCGACTGCCGTAGTTGAAGTGGCCGTCTTTTCGTTCGTACATAGCCTTCCTAGTTCATTTTGGACGTCCTGGTACTCGGGAGATTGCCTCCACACAGAAGGCCAGTCAATGCTAGTATGAGCGCCAGGGGCTGCACCAATAACTTCCAACATGTGTTCTGCCGGGTTTTGTCCGGCGGGCAACGGAGCACCGCCGTTCCGTGTGAAATAGTCCATCAAGATGTGTGAATTCTTACCAATTTCTCCAAAGTAGACAGTCTTGCCACCTTTAGCAAGCAAGAGAAGTCGGTCAAATCGCTGGAAGAGCATAGCAGAAGGTTGATGAATAGTACACAGAATAGCTTGGCCGCTCTTAATCAGCTTCTCCATCAAATTGCAGATAGACCAAGATGTTTGGCTGTCAAGACCAGAAGTAGGTTCATCCAAGAATAAAAGGAGTTGAGGGCGAGCGGCGAGCTCAACACCAATGGTCAGTCTCTTACGCTGTTCAACATTAAGACCAACGCCTGGAACTCCGATAATAGCATCAGCATATTCTTCCATATTCAACAGCTCAATAACAGTGTCGACATAAGCGATTCTTTCTTCCTTCGAATAACGAGCTGGCTGTCTTAGAAGAGCACTAAATTCAAGAGCTTCCCGGACTGTTGATGCCTCTGGATGAAGATCTTGTTGCTGGACGTAGCCTGTTTTGCGCTGGAACGAGGAGTCACGTTGGGATCCGTCTACCAACATTTCACCAGTAACAACACCCATGGTCACCCGGCTGGCAAGAACATCAAGAAGGGTAGTTTTTCCCGCTCCAGAAACACCCTAATATCCTCTTCGTTAGCTGCAGGCATCTAATTTTATGCGGAATAGGGAATACTAACCATGAGTGCTGTCAGTGTACCAGGCTTTACCCAACCGTCAACATGATCAAGAATTCTTCGTGGCTCATTCTTGATTTTGATGTCGTAACAAACGTTTCTCCAATGGAAAATAGAGGTCTGCTTTTCAACCTCAGCCGCAGAATCGCTCCGATCACTGTCCTCTACCTGGTGTCCTGCCATGGCTGATGAATCCGCTCCGGGTGATTCAAGGTCTGCGTTGAATTTCTGTCGCTTCTTCATAGCTTCACGTGTGAAGACTAGAACTTCGCCCTTGGAACGTTCAGATGCGACATACTCAGTAGCAACGAGATGAAGGGCCATGAAGAAAATCATAAGACCAATGAGGATCCCGAGATTACGCCATTTGTTGGCATTGACAAATCCAAAGGCAGCTTGTAGGTAGGTTGCACCGTCGACAGAGGCTTGTCCAGGAACGGAACCGGCGACGTTGCATGCCCGTTCTGCCAGAGACACGTTTTCATATCCAGGACCGGAGGGTATCAGGTTCGTGCATGGGAACTGTCTTCCGACAAACTCGTTCAGGAACACGCTCTCCAGCCCGTAGAACACCGGGTTGATCCAGCGAATCCAACCGAGCCAGACCTGCATGTAACCTATCGGTATGGTGAAACCCGTGTATAGGACAAGGGCGAGGAGAATGACACTGGCTGGCGCGAGAGCCTGTTCCATGCTCTTCGTGACGGAGCCAATAAAGCGGAACAGCATTGACATAGTCATCGTTAATGTAAAGGAGAAGAGCATGAAGATGAAGAAAGCGCCAGGTTCGCGTCGCAAATTACACATGAAATACAGAATCAAGTTCATGATAATGGCGTTGACAATTTTGTAGGGCATATCGGTAACCATGGCAGAAAGCGCTTCGGCACTCGGATGGTAAAAGGCGTACCGGGCGTGTTTCTCAACAATCTTTCGTTTTTCGTAAAGCGTCATGATCTCTAGAATGCCACCAAAAGCATTCAGGAGAATAACCATGAATATGAGAAGCGTCCGTTTGAAAAAGCTTGAAGTGTCTTGGGGAAGATTGTAAAAGATGCTGCTAATAATGATGGCTTCGAAGCCGTTGCAGACCAGGGATGTTACCGTGAGGGATGGATCACTCTTTAACAAGGTCCAGCTTCTCCAGAAAGTAAGCGTCATCTGTTGAAAGAATGACAGGTTGAACGGAGATCGGCCGCGCTGCATCGTTGACTGGTCGATTCGGCGAGACTCAAAGAACTCCTGGTGGTGCTCGCCGTCGAACGGGTGCTCCTCAAGGTAGCGGTCGATTTCTCCCATCAGCTGGGACCGCTCCTGGCTGTTCTTCCAGGCTTTTGAAAACTCTTCTGCTGTTCGAGGTGCTTTGCTCTCCCAGCCAGGTCGAATGACTCGTTCGCTGGCGCTGGTCATAGATGTCAGGAAATCGGCCGTAGTTTGTTGCTCTGGGCAAATGAATCCCAAGTTCTCAAAGTAGACCTGGGCATCTCTAGCTCTACCAAAGAAAATTTGGTGGCCCTCGTACAATACAACTACTTTGTCAAACAGCTATGAACCATCAGTTAGAAAACCTTCAACACGGAGTGAACACGGTCAACATACATCATACGCTGCTTGGGGAGCTTGATAAATGGCAACGCAGGAGGTGCAGCCGATGATATCAGCTTGGGTCTTCAACGTCCGACAAAATTCAATAGCGTTGGCGCTGTCAAGACCTCTCGTGCTGTTGTCCCAACATTGCAGAGGAGAGTATCCCAGTGACGCCTCTGCAATTGTCACCCGCTTCCTCTCACCACCACTCACACCGCGTACAAAGTCGTTGCCGACCCTCGTGTTGATCGTGTGAGAAATACCAAACATCGCCATGATAACATCTCGCAGATGTTCGGTATACTCCTGTTTGGATATTTCATTAGGGATATTCTTCGGGCATCGAGAGCGAGCGGCAAAATAAAGCGTATCCCCGACCGTGAACTGAGGAAAGTGGTGATCAACTTCCGCTGTGTAGATTGCCTCGCCTCGGTAGATCGTCTTCATCTCCTTTGCCCGAATACCTCGATAGTTCAAAGTGGCTCCATCGCTGACATAAAAACCATGGGTATCTCCCGCGATGGTTCGCAGCAAGGTCGAACAACCAGAACCTGGAGGTCCGAGGACGCAGAGCATCTCTCCCTGGTGTATCAAGCCTTCAAAGTCGTGGAGAATATCGATCCTCTTTTTGTTGTCCCGTCCAATTACACGCCTGACCAAATCTACACCTTCGAGTAGGAAGTGGGCGACAGTTCTTTGGAAGTCGACAGCGGAACCGAAACCGTAAACGTTGAGATCCTTGAAGGCGAGACTCGTAGTGCGAGGCTTATTTCCGTCGGAAGCGTCCACACGGGACTGGTAGAAAGCCTTCGCCCATTTTCTTGGGTTGAAATCGTCGCTGCCTGGATCAAGCTGCGTACCGGCAGCAACGGGAAAGAGTGGCGGGCTTGCCTCAGAGTGATTGGTGAGCCTGCGGGCAAGACTGTGAAGCTGGGCCTCCATTCCACCGTTCTGATCCTCTGAATCAGAAGAAGCATGATTTACTGTGTCTTCGTGGAGGGTTGCCGAGTCTGCTTTACCAACAGATGTTTGCACATCGATACTCGTCCCCATTTCGGGATTGGACTTGTCGCTTGTAAAGCCCGGCTCAGTCATGGTTTCAGGGGCAGCAAGTTGCTAGCGCCTTTAGTCGACCACGACTCGATGAATGACAAGAGTGTGCAGCAATGAGAATGAATACAGTTCAGAGTTGAATGGTATTAAATAAAGTGTTGACATGGAACATATCGAAATCAGGTATCTTAGGTCAGGGGCTTCTCTATATGTAGTCGTCTGTCATAAGTTTCACAACGTGGCCGGCCCCCATCCGGACATTGACCGGACTCTGCCAATGTTTTCCCCGTAAGCCAATGACGCCGGAGATTGGTAGATCTGAATTAGATCTGTTGCCTGGACCCCCTGGAATGATGTAACGGTCATTACACAGTGTCATGGTCAACTTTCATCGGGACCGGGGCGAGGTGGTTCGGACTTTGCCAAGCCGGGCTCTAACGCATCAATCCTAAAATATGGGTCAAAGTTGAGAGGTTAAACACAACTTGCTTCGATTTCTCGCTGTAGAGTTTTGGGTTTCCGGAATGGGCGACGTCTTGTTCTCGACTTTCTGGGTCCGAAGTTTATTATTTCAGAGAGCAAAGATGATAACGAGATACAATAAAAAGGGGTCAAGTCGTGAATTCAGCATGGCCAGCATGCAATCAAATTGCTCTTGTCTCCGTTGTCGTTGCTCCCATGTCGAAGTGAATCATCACCCAACGTCTGACTCACTCTATTTCCATTCTTCACACGTTACTGACCAGCCAATCAACCGATCCGTAGCGTTTCGCATCCATGTGAAAAGAATTCCTCTATGATATTGTGTCATCCAAGATTCAGAAGCTCCAGGACGAAAGTGTTCTAGCTCCGGTGTTTCGGTTCTTGGCAAAATCCGGCTGAAAAATCTTGACCGGGTTCCTCGGCCACCGGTGCCGGACTCAAAACCATCCGAGCCGTTATCCCACTATACATGCTCTCATCCTGGTTTTCAATTACCTTGGACGTCAAGAAAAAGTCCGCAAGGATATTGATAGAGGCTAGGGCCCGGTGATTCTGGAAGACTATTTGCCCCCCCGACAGAACCTCTCCACAGCTACTGTGGGCGGATCGACTACCAAACGGGTTTTATCCTGTCCAACCTGGAGCAGGGTCGTCTGTCAAAGCCAAGATGTCCGGGTCTTCGGCACAGCTAAATGCATTGTCAGTAAGTTGTCTCAACCTACCAGACACCTTGCTACCTGGCTCTTCGCCCAACAATGCTGACGAAGCTCTCAGTGCAAGAGATGTAAGGAAAAGAAGGTGAGATAGTTCTTCTTTGGATTTTCTCATTGGACAGTATGTTGATTTTTCCAATACAGATACGATGTAACCGCCACATGCCACGCTGCAACAAATGTCTCGCATCCGAGTCTGAGTGCGTCTATCCTACTCGGCAAAAGAGAAAGGTGACTAAACCAGCAGCAAAAGAGTATGTTTGCCAGCTTTCATTGCTCTATATCTCATAGATCAATATAGATCAGCTAATCTAATTCGTTTGGAAGTAATGTCAGCAATCAAGCCTTAACCAACATACTGGAACGTCTTCAAAAAGTTGAGCAGCATTGTGACACTCTACCATCAATTATTCCCTTTTCTGTTGCTCAACGTACTTTGGACTCCAATTCAGAGCCATCTCAGAGGAATGGAATCCCATTTATCAGTGCCATCCCTTCCGAGATTTCATCGCCAGGCTATCTGGCCACTCCCCACAGCGACTTTTCGCTACCATCGCTCCCAGCACCGGCTTCCATTGACGCCACATCAGTTCTACATGGTGCCATGGAGCAGGTAGAGAAACTCATGCTCAGAAGTTTCGCAAAATGCGTCATTACAGAGGAGCTCCGAATACCAAAGGAAGTGGCGAAGCTATGGCTCTGTAGTGAGTCAGCTATCCTCCCATTGATATTGTTTCCATCGTCTCCGATACTCCTTCTAAAAATATTTTACTAATGTGGTAACAGACTTCTTTGATCAAATGCTTTCGGACCTCTTTCTCTCTCTGATAGACCGAAAGTTAATAGAAATGGTTCCAGATTTACTCGAACACCCTCAAATCCATCTTGATGCCGGAATTCTTGTGATATACTACGCTACTCTTTGGCAAGGAGGCGCCATCACCTCCATGCTTGACAAAACCACCGAATTAGGGAGCTTCGCAAGACTGGCTTATATAGGATGCCTCCGTGCCCTTCCATTATGGCAGCGAGAGGCCACCGGCACCTACACAGATATGATGGCAGCCATAGCCATGGTAGGTTGCCTCTTATTCTTCAGCGCCTGAGGAATTGTAAACTAAACAGCGCAGTCTCGAATGGCAGGAGACTCTTTCGACTACGAATTGGCCTGGAAGATGCACAAACAAGCATGCGAATATGCACAAGCTCTGGACCTTCACAACCTTGATGACGGCGGCGGGCCCATTGGGAGTCATCATCCAAACATAACGGAAGAGAACCGGAAGGGGTTTTGGGGCCTCATTCAAATCGATGCCTTCTTTCGCCTCCTCTTCAACAAACCTCCATTGCTCACAGGCAACGTCTGGAAAGTCAACCTCCCGTGGTTTAACTCGGATCCCGTACAAGATACCAGGACTCTTGATCAGATGCTTTTCATTGTCAGCTCTCGGGTTGCTCTCATCACGCTTCAATTTTTTGCCATTCTAGAAGAATACAAAGATGAGCCAGAGGTTCTTGTTCCAAAAACGGAAGCTCTTTGCATGGAGGTGGTGCAGGTATTCGATGAGTGGAAGTTGGTAAGCATCTATCCAATACCCAACCCTCATTTAATCGAAGAGTAGCAGGCTGATTTTCTGTTCTTCAATATTAAGCCCTATGAGCAAATGGCTTCCGCTAAAACTCCCTTTGAGGCCTTCACTATTGCTGAAGCGGCACTGACAGCGTACACCAGCATCATCTTCATGCTACGGAAAATGACGGCTCTGGATTCCACCTCGCCCGCGCCCATCTCGACGGACGGGGATGTTCGAGACTCTCCGGTAGCTCTCATCGCGGCCTGCCACCTTGTGAAGATATGCTCTTGGTTATTACATCACTACACTCACTCCGTCATGCTCTCTTGGGTATTTGGTATGTACAGAACGTACGCGCCTTTAGCCTATGTCATCGGTCATATTCTACGCGCGTCGGACGTAGCGCCGTTTACGGAGGAAATCGAGGCGGTCAAAAGGATTTCGGCGAGTATTTTGGCGGTTTCCAAAAATGAAAAGGAGATAGTTCCCTTGGCAAACTCATTGCAATATTTAAATGAGGAGATACAGAAGAAGATGAGGGAGACGGGAGAGGAATTAGGACAGTATTAATCAATTATCTACTAGACTACATGACCATTAAAAATTCGTGCTGGTCGCGTTCAAGCACGGCCAGTCATATAATTAGTTCTTTATAGCCAAAGATATTTCATGATATTGCTCCAGCGAACCCCCCAATAAACATGCCAGGTCGGCAATGTCGTCTCAAGAACCTGTAGAGTACTTCCATTATTCAAATTTTTCAGAAGACGCCAATTGAAGGACTCTGAAAAGGTTAATGTACCTGCGAGGTTAGTAACACATTGAGGGTCTTGGCTATGCCGTGTCTCCAGCAGGTTGTCATCCATCGAGGCTAGATGCGTTTCAAAATTACAGAATAAATCAGTTATTCACACTATTTTTAGATAGTCTAATCTTAGCTCCACTTGGCAGACAGAGGGCGGAATCAACCCTTGGGTGAGTACAGCCTTCGTGGATCGAGGCGGGGCAATCAAGGCGCAGGGTCGCAGTGCTCAAACGGGTTGAATCTGCCTTTTGGCTGATTTTATCCATTTATTTCCACGGCTTGGGCTTATGCTTACAGCTGTCGGGGTTCAATCCTACAACCGCGGCATTTATGTCACCTTACCACGCTTATCAGTCTCCAACTACCAAATCTCATCGAATACCTTAATTTCAATACATCATAGGGCTTTTTCCAGTAAATTGATAGACGGCACAATAATTCGAGGATCTTCTGGAGAATTAGCCTAATTGGTTGGAAAATAATGGCAGAGCTAGCTCTCGGGATTGCCGGTCTAACTGGAACAGTTGATGTCTGCGTCAAGTAAGTTTGCATATCCCGATCTCAACTAGTGGAATTCGTGCGGGAACCCTAACAAAACAGACTGGGAAAATATTTGGTCCAAGCATACAAGGATTATAGCCAAAGCGACGTCAAACTCAATGAGCTATCTCTTCGGATGGAGATATGCTGGCTCCGTATCTCGAGCCAGCTGGAAGTCACGAAACACCTTGAAGGTGAGATGGACGACGATCAGAAAGGTATCCAAGAACGGACTCTGTTTGTTCTTCGATCTAAGCTAGACGCCGCTGTGGTCGTCATTTCAAAGCCCGATAAAGCGAGCTCCAAAACCGCGAAGAAGCTGTACTTCCTAAGTCTCAGAGACGATCTCGAACAATCGGTGGCCGAACTAGAGTCATGGCAAAAGAGGTTTGAGCCTACTTGGTTCCAGTTGGTCAAGGCTGCTCCGTTGACTACCATTGACGGCATGCATAAGATCATATCACTTGGTAACTCTCGACATGCCGCAGAACCTACGCTCGAGGCTGTGAAGTTTCGCCGTGCTTTCGAAGAAGGGCACCGACCCGTGTTCATAGCAGAAAAGACTCTCGAGAGTCTAGAAAACGGACAGTCCCGTACTGCTCTGCTCAGCTAGCTGTTGACTCGACGGGGAGCAAGTATCACATAATAGATACAGTCTCTACCGACATCGTCAAGGCAAAGGACGCGCGAGATCTCGCGACTCGTCTACGAGACTCGAACCCGCTGAGTCCTGGAACCCTCAAGTGCAAGGGGATTGTGCGACTGCCGAAACAATCCAGCATGGCATTCATATTTCGAGTACCAGACGGGTACACCAAAGTGCGTAACCTACGCGAACTTCTCCTTTCCAGCCAACCGCCCGAATCTCTCACGATGCGGCTCGAGATGGCGCGTCAACTCGTGACCGCAGTCTATTTCGTTCATCTCTACGACTTTGTCCACAAAAATCTCTCTCCCGAGACCATTTTGAGTCTTGAGAAGGAAGGTCAACAAAATGCTACTGTGTGCCTAGTCGGTTTCCAGGTTATCCGCCATACAGAAGCGAAAACGAATACGTCCAAAGTAGACAGGAAAGAGATCCTATACCAACATTCAGTACGTCAGGGAAGCGATTCGGTTGATTTTATAATGCAGCATGATATATACAGTCTTGGGGTGTGCCTTCTTGAGATAGGCCTATGGGAGCCATTAATGACTTATGGACCCGATGGGACACAGCAAACCTCAAGCATCATCGAACTTGAACAAAACGGATCGGGAAACTGCACTCCCAGCCTTGTTCAAAAGCAACTGATCTCTTTGAGTCGGGGGAAGTTACGAGTTATAATGGGCGACAAATACAGCAAGGTAGTGGAGACATGTCTAACCTGTCTGGATGCAGGCAATACAGATTTTGGTGATCCTCAGGAGTTCCAGGACGAAGACGGCGTCGAGGTTGGCGCGAGATATGTGAAGAAGGTCATAGATATCATTAGTGAGATATCTTTTTGAAGGTTAGGCGGATTGTTGCCAAGTGCTGGAGGTTTCGAGGCTAAGCGGACTGGTACCAAAACATCCAGTCCGCCACACTTAGATTCAAGTCCTCGCCAAAGCCAATGTCGCCGATATCAAAGTGGCTATCAATCGCGTCCATCGATGTAAAGCCAGTAACTCCCCTATCGGACGGCCCTTGATCGTTGCTCAATCCGTGTAACTGAGTAGCTTGACTAGCTGCCTGAGAACCAAGCACCACAATGAAGTCCGGCTCTGGAGATGAACGAGCAGGAGGATTCACCCTCCATGCGTCAAGTGTAGCCTTGACAATTAATTTTTGAATAGCTCCCTTGTCTTCAGCGACCTCCCTGTGATCCTTATAAAAGTTTGCCATCTTCTCCCATGTAGCGTCAAGCTCCGCAGGAGGATAGAAATCAGGTCTGGCCAGGCTTGTCAGAATACACTTCAATGCATCCCACAAAAAGAACCCTTTTATTTGCCAGTGAAACTTTCTAGTCGATGGGTTCCTATATATAGCGCTGTCGGTGTCAAGGATCTTATGAGCTAACACGCAAAGCTCCCTTAGTTTCGTGTTGTTGATGTCTTCATTTGCGCGCTGAGACATTCGGTTACGAAGTCGCACGATGCTGGCAGCAGATCTTGCTATCCCAAGAGTAAAGAACTGGAGTGGATTGGTAATGTCACAGAATCGGAGGTAATTCATCTCGATGGTCGTTTCGACCTCGTCCATGAGGTCTTCGATCTCCTTACCACTCTTGATTTCAAGCGAAGGGCCATAGTTCCTTACTGTGACCCCTGTCCGCGCGAAAAGGTTCGAGAGCTCTGCTTTAACAAGATAGAGTATCATCTCGGTGGCCCCCTTTTGGACCTGAGGTGGCTCCTTCATCCCCGGGTAAATCTGATCATCGTTGATGTTAAGCGGCGGCTTGGTATCCCAGCTACCAGGGAGTATTGATATACCGCTCCCTGAAATCTGGCCCACTTGGGCATCGAGGGGAAGAAGCTGCCAGAAAAGCCTGCGTCGCATTTCCACATCGAAAGGGCACAGCCCATCAACCTCGCTATCACGATGGATCCCCATGCGTTGTGCAATGCGGACTGCTACTCCAGTAAGAATCCAATACGTATGGGGGTCCATTTCCGTACGCATGATGATGAGAAAGAGGACATAAGCTTGCAGAACAAGCATTTCAGTTGTTTGGAGCCACGACGCGTTGACAAGTGCTTGCCGTACTGCTGCTTGGTACATGGCCAGCATGTCGGATCTCGATCGGTTGAGCTGAGCCAGGCACTCCTCTTCTGCCATGGAGAACACAGCGGAGTGGAAGATTGAGAAGAGCAGGCACTCCTGGGCCTTGGAGGCAATGGAGGGCTGCTGAGAAATCGATTCAACCATCTTTGCTGTCGATGGGATGTGCAAAAGCTTGCACAGAGGATCAACATTGCTAACATGTGCCGCCCACAACTTCATGGCGTCCAGATGGCTAGGGTGATAGGGGCCAAGGCCTTGTGAGACGCCCAGGAGCATGTCAGATAACGGGTCCTGCAAGACACTCGTGACACTTGTGGAGTAACTCTGGCTAGGGAGAGCCTCTACATTGTGGTCGCCATGCCTGGCAAGCTCACGCATGTCCATGTCGCCGGCATCAAGCCAAAGGCGACTTTTGATATATCGAGATTTGCCATTTCCCGAAAGCAGCTTTCCTTCGTGTGAAGTTTCAGTTCGTAAATCTTCAACAGAAAGACCGGTGCTGATTGTATCGGCTGAATGGCCAGAATTCCGGGGCGATGAAGGCTGGTATGCTCCTGTTGCCGCTATTGGAACAGTGCTGCTGTGTGGCGGCTCCGTGATATTCGTGACTGCGGCACCGCCATTGTGGCTGATTCTCTCTCGGCGACTCGGACGGGGACCACCATGAGCGCCATCCACAACAATCACATCTTCTGAAGGAACAGGCTTCCTTTTACGCGGTCTCGGTGGCGGAGGCGCACGGTAGACACAGTCCAGGTTCGCCTTGATGCAGCTCGAGCAGATAGGTGAGGCCCTGTCGCACTTGACCTTCCTTCGCACACAGGGCTGGCACGCATATGCGAAAGGTGCCAGTGCGAGAGACGCGTTCTGCCCCTGCTCCTTGGCGCCAGCAGGAGCCTTGTTTGGCGCTGGCGCTATCACGACTGGCATCGCGCTCTGGAACTGGGTCAAATCGGGTCGCTAAAACCCCAAATCATGACGGGAGCATGCGGGAAGGAAATCCCCATTGGACGTCACCACAACTATCCAAGGGGCCAGGCCGAAGCAAGATGCTTCCGGATCCGAAGTAAGCATTAGGCTGTCCGGGCGTGTTGTTGTGATTCATCATTCTCTTAGAATCATCTTACGTAACATTAGAGGCCAATCAAAGCTTCCCAAATTACATACACACGGAGCAAATGACGCCGCTGAATTCCGACAGTTTCCGGGAGCGCTCAGATTGCCCAACAGGGTTTTATCCCGCCTCCTTTGCAGTCAAAACAAAAACTCTGGTGTAACTTTGAGTTGCTGTTTGATTGACTGGTAATTTAATGGCATTTAAAATGGCTGCTCATATGTGCCCTCCTGAACTTTGTTGGAAGTTTTTATGTGCATATGTTGAGGACGGTGTAGTAAGTTGGAAGTTAAGAACGACCAACCTAAGTTGAACGGACAGTCCATAGAATACTTGGTACACAAAATCAATTTAACAATCAAAATGGGAATGAAATAGCAATGTAAATATGCATATAGATAGCGAGTATTTAGATTATGTAGCTTTCGAGTTATTCCTCCCTCAATCTGTAGTAGGTGGCTTTAGGGTAGTAAGACTTAGCACTCGCGGCCAGACGCGTACAACGCGCACAACCCCGATTTAGTCCCGCCCTTTGGATTGTAGATAGAGACTTTTACATAAGCATGCTAGTATCGGCCCAACTTCGGCTTAGCAATATTCATTGATGTTTGTCCGCGGATTGCTTCAACATGTGGCTGGAGCCCTATGTGGCTGAGGCATATCCCTACCTCGCTGCTAAAAGTGAACTTTGCTCTTGAAAGAAAGAATGGCGAGTTATAAAAAAAGTTATAATAAAATCGAAAAAGTTTCATTAGAAACAATATCGCATCAAAAAAGCTACTAAAGCGTTTCGTGCTCGTTTCTTAACTATTTAATTACGGAGTACCTAAATATATTTGGAAGGATTCCCCTTATTTAAGTTAAGGAGTTTCTACTTAAGCTTAGAACGCTGGGTTTGAGTAGTTCACAGATAGGAAGTTTTCAGAGCACTTTGTAATATTGTTCAAGTTACAAGTTCAGGCTTTTTAGAAGAGNAAAAAAAAAAAAAAAAAAAAAAAAAAATTCCTGTTACCTAAATTTTACTACCCAGACTGAGGAAATCTATGTTTATTACTGTGCGAATATATAAACACACTGAACTAGGACTTTCTACTTTTCGACCACGTGGTCCCAGATAGCAGCAACTGTCTTTGAAGAATCCTTAGGGATTCGCTTGAACCCGTCCCTGCGGTCGAATAAGTTAGACCGAACTTAGGCCTATAACCGAAATTCCACTCTAGGTTGCTATATCGTGTAAAGTTCGATTAATATTAGAGTATTTTCCCTTCTTTTGAGAGACCCAAGTACTTACTCCAGCAAGCTCCAGCAATGATAGCCGGCAATTTTCGCGCCTTCTTTCTTGACCACATCGCACAATGCACCGATGTAAAGGTCAAAGAACTCCTGTCTGTACTTGTCGTTGACGATATCTTGAATGGGAAACTTGGACTCATCTTCGACAGGATAGCCATTTTCGTAAACGTAGATCGGGATGTCAAGTGGCTGGGCGTATATTTTCCAGACATGAGTAAGCATCTTGGCAAAGCCCCAAGGGACTTGAGAATCGAGTCAGCATAAAGTGTTCACAAGACACTGACGGCGTAAGGATCATGCTTTCGGTCTTGACTAACCTGTATGCGGGTGTCCGTTCTCACCGCGTCGACCAATAGCAACTCCATTCTTGTAATGTGTCTTTTCCACATCGTCAAGATCGCGGAAGTTCGTCTTGGTATAAGGCTCAAATAGTTTCCCAGTCGCGTGCATCATTCCGTAGTGGTTGATAGAGAAACTGAATTCTTGTTAGCGAAGAATTGTGCACTGACGACTATCAGAATGATAATGGATCAATTATTTACAAATCAGCGGATCCTTTGACAAGTTCAAGCTCTTTTGACGTGAGCTTGTGGAATGCCTCGCGGTACTGGTCCCAAGAGTTGGTCTGGATTCCTTTAACTATTCAGCCGGAGTTAGTGTCATGTACAAGCCTTGAAGACACAGCCCTAAGAGCCCAACGAGGAAACACCTACAAATTGGCAAAGCCCACCAGCCCAAGGATCTTTCTTCCGCAACTTTGGCAGCATTCATTGCCAGTTCTGATTCATCTAGTGGCTCAACCCAATCATAGTTCTAATTCAAGTCAACAAAATAGTCGCAGGAACTGTAAATGGCGGATATGCGAAATGAAACTTACTAGGGCGATACCAATTTGCCCTCTTTGCTGAGCTTTGAAAGTGGTCTGGTATAGCTTCGCAGTATGTCCATGGACCGAAAGACAGTTGTGGCCAATCCTTGGTGCAATGTTAGCGCTGGCATCATATGGACCCTTCAACTTTCTTGATGAGCGATGGGCAATAGCTACTTACCTAAAGAAGTCCTGCCTCGTATAATTTTTCACAAGCCCATCAGGCGCCAGTGAGCAAAAGATCCAGGGCTAATGCCCAGACCGGTGTTAGATCCCTTTGCTATGAACACCATATCAATGTTACTCACCTCGTTGATTGTGAGCCATCGTTTGACCCGGTCTCCAAATCTCTCGAAGCAAAGCCTGGCGTAAGAGAGAAAGTCTGCGACAAGATGGGTGGGATCACTAGAAGCGAATCTCCGATATGCTTCATCGAGAGCGAGAGGTGTATCGTAGTGGTGTAGAGTTACGGTCGGTTCAACCCCAGCCTCGATCAAGGCATCAATCTAAGAAAGAATCAGTCATATTACGCAACTTGAAATGGGAGAAGAGCCTAATCTCATGTGTATTTACAAGGTTGTTATAGAACTCTATCCCCTTTTCGTTGATTGGGTCATCCTTCCCCCCTGCAGTCATCGATTAGTGAGCAGAATGATAACCCGAATGGTATATCAGTTGACCTACCAAGTGGCTTGATACGAGACCAGGAGATCGAGAAGCGATAGGACTTGGCCCCATACTGCTTCAAGAGTTTCACGTCTTCTTGCCAAAGGTCATATGAGCGACAAGCGTCATCTCCTTTCTCGGGCTGGTCTTTTAGAAAATCGTCCCAGCTGCAAGAACCTCTTCCATCTTTGGCAGTGGCTCCCTCAATCTGATAGGCTGCGGATCTAGTTCCAATACTTAGCATATGATAACCTCTCTCAGTATATGTCACTTACGCACATCCGTGGAGAAAGTCGGATGGAAGAACAGCCTTGATATCATGACGCTCAACGATGGGGTAGGCCATGATGTCGTTGTGCCCGCTAAGTGTATGGATAAATTTGTCTGGATGAATGGTTATAATTTGAAAGAAGACAGCAATTAAGCTTTCTATGGTCACTGCTTTTTGTAAGCTGCATTTGTTAATAGAAAGTGTCAATCCTGTTCTGACTCAATGTAGACTAGATCTGCATCTTCTCTGTAATGAGCATGAATTAGAAAGATAAACCGGTGCGTTAGAGCCAAGCTCGTATAGCCTGTAATTTGTTGTGTGTGTTCCAACGTTCGTTGCTCCTAATCGTTGCCTCTATCAACCGCGTCCGTCGCGCCCGTCGGAGCCGTCGGACGCGTCGCCCCCGTTTGGCACTTGAGATAAGGCGGGCGGTGCCGGCAGTCCAGAATATGGGTGGCTCATGTGGGCCATTAGCAGATTCAATTCTAATCAGCCTTTCATATTGGCTGCTGCAGGTCAAATATTATCTCATGGGCTACCGGGTGTGGAAACTTAGCTGTGTTTGGTATGTTCTGGTTAATACATCGCACAGTCAACAACTTGTTTGCCCCCCCAAGATGTCTTTCGTGCACTCAACGGACCTGTAATCTTGCGGCAACCTCATGGCTCGTCCTTTGTCTGGACTGTTGCCCAGATAGCACGTGTCCAATCTCTCCCCTTATCCTGCATGGACCTGGGGAGACTCTGGGGTAAAATTACGGGGCGATCAGAACAACTCAACCTACGAGGACCTTCTTGTTATCTCTTGTACCTTTCGATTGGGAAAGGAAGCTAAGATCCCTATTGAGGTTATCAAGACGGGCGCGGCCGGAGAGGTAAGTGGCATTAGGCACCTTGGGACGAGTATAAAACAGTCAACACCTCGCATTGGTCCTTTTTATTTCTGCTCACCACCACAAAACCCTACAACTAACAAGATCAAGAGCTATATATCGACATCATGTTTGAATACCTGAAGACCACTACGGCTACCGGCCTGGGATGCATGTTCCTTGTCTCAATGGGAGCTTTTCTTTTTGTAAGCAGCCCTCTCATACATGGGGAGCGAGATGGTTTAGATCCAATATACTCGGTTTTATCTACCAGAAATATCTAATATGGAAATGAATGATGTATAGGGCTTCGACAATGGATGGTGGGGGACTATTCAAGGTGCAGAGGCGTTCCTTCGTGCCTTTGGATCTTGTAGTCTGGTGGACGGGGTAGAAACTTGCAACATCAGCACACCTCAAAAAGATGCCGGTAGCTCTGTTCAGTCTGGCGGTATCAGTACGTATCTTCCACAAATATTCTCACCAACCCTCTTTCCCATCGTATCTCGTCATTCTCTTCCCAAGCTATAGCGCACTGACACTTGTTCATCTGTTTAGTGGTCGGTAGCCTTGTAGCCATGGAGCTGAACAAAGCTCTCGGCCGCAGGAAATTGCTCGTTGTTACCGGCATGATCTCCATTGTCGGCATCGTGTTGGAGATAACTAGCGCCATCGGTTCAGCTCGTTTTACCTAGTTCGTCGTCGGCAAGACTGTGGCCTCGGTGGCCATGGGCTTGTGTGCCAGCATTGTTCCGATCTAACTCTCTGAGACGTCTTCGACCGAGGCTCGGGGATTCGCGATCAACATGTATCAAAACGTCCAGATCATTGGGTACTGCCTCGCTGCGGGCATCGTCTACGCAAGCTCGAAGAGGGACGACGCTGCATCTTACATGATTCCGATTGGGCTACAGTTCTTGGCACCAGTGTGCATGGTTACACTCTCGCCACTTCTGCCCGAGAGTCCGCGATGGCTTGTTTGGAACGGGTGAGGATATCAAACTGAAGATGCTTATGAAAAGACGCTTAAAGAGTCCTGACTGACGATTTGCAGCCGACGTGATGATGCGATACGCTCCGCCTCGCGTTTATTCGGAACCAAGACGAACGACTTCGACGCCGAGAAATATATAAGAGAACTCGAGATCGCATTCGAGAAGGAACAGGCGAACCCTAAAGTCTCCTCTTGGAGAGATCTATTACACGGACCGGATTTCCGGCGACTCCTCATCGCGGTGGGCATCCAGTGTTGGCTACAGGCCCAGGGCTCCGGGTACATTGTTAACTACATGGTCTCGTTTCTGCAGGACAGCGGCACATCCGACGTCTTCCCCTTCATCATGGGCCTCAACTTCGTCTACTACGGCGGAATCCTCACCGGACACTTCTTGCCAGATAATCAAGGCCGCCGACCCGTCATCATTTACAGCACAGCCGCAAATGCCGTCTTTATGCTTGTCATTGCCAGCATCAACACCGCGGTATCGCCGTCAACACACACGTCTGGCGCTGCTTCGGTGGCCTTCCTGTTCCTTTGGCAGCTGTCTTCTGGCGTCATGTCCCCTCTTATCTGGATCATCTGCACCGAGGCTGCTCCGACCCGCAACAGGGAACGAGTTCTGTCGATTGCCGTGTTCATCAGCTTTGGTGTCTCCCTCATGATCACCTCTGTCTCGCCGTATCTTCAAGACAAGGGCTACGGAAACCTTGGGGCGCGGATCGTGAGTTAATACTTGGATTCTCATCTACAGAGTTGGATTGCTGACACGTTTGAAAACAGGGCTATATCTGGGGGGCTGCCTCAGTGTTAACTTCCGTCTGGTCCTACGTAATGGTGCCCGAGTCCAAAGGCGTGTCACTGGAGCAACTCGATTATCTGTACGAGCAAGGTGTCCCTGCTCGCCGTTTCGGAAAATATCACTTTACCGATGCCATTCTTCCGGTTGAAAAGGTCGAGTCTGAGGTTCAAGTTCAAGATGAGGTCGTCCTCGAACCAAAGAAGCACTAACGCTGGATGGAATCGCGCCCGAACTGGCAGGATGCTATGTAAGTGGTGATCTATGAATGATTGAGTAGGTCAGAATTTGTAGAATTTAGATCCTATTATTTATCGACAAGTTTCAAGGGTGAAGATCGACAAAGAAATCTAGAAAGTGATCTCTCTCCGTCATCTCCGTCCCTTCAATGTTGAAAGATAGCTCCCACGTATCCAGTTCGTCGTTCCCAGCCCATGACGATGGCAAAAACATGAATTCATCCAGATTTTCAGTGTCAAGGCCCACGCCATTCTCACTATTGGAGTTCCCGGTAGCGTAAGCTGCGAAATCCCCAGCAGGTTGCTCGACTAGGGATGCGGCCTCGCCTGAATCCTCCTCAGCGCCTGAGCGGCGGCAGGGTTGGACCAGGCGGACTATTTCTTGTCTGGTGATGCCGGCCAATGACGGCCGACGACCAGCTATGATATCACTCTCCATTGAGCAGAGGTGTCGGATCAACTTCGCTCCCCGGATGCCTATCCCTGACTGATCTGCCACTGTTGCCAAGAGTCTCACCAGTGTAGTTAATCGACTGCGGCGAGCCGGAGCATCTTCAGGTGTGCGCCTATCACTACTTGCTTTGACTAGGTCGAGAGCCATGGTAAGCCCGGCGGCAACGAGCCTAATTGTCACGTTCCAAAGGCGGAAAAAAGTGCTTGGTATTCCCTCATCAAACAGGCTTAGAATAGTGCGAGCTGCGTCGACACAGGCGTTGTGGGCTTGTAAGAATGATTTATCACCCAGAGACTTGACAAAGTATGCACGATGCGCTGAGTACGATCTGTATGCTAAAGTCATGCCGATTATTCGTTTGGCGAAGAGAGCAGTCGACGGGGACGAGCTCTTGACCCGGAGCTGGGCAAATGAAGCGTAAAGCTCATCTAGCTGGCTTGATGCCTTGAGGACGGCTTCATAGGATGGATTTTGGTATGGCTGCAAGGTCCCATACAGACCGTATAGTATTCTTGACGAGTGGGAGGTAAATAGAAGATAAGTAAGCGGGGTAAAGCTTGTAGAAGAAAGGGCGGTAGTGAAGCCATCATCAGTCAAGCTAGGCAACGCCGTATTAAACTGATGTGGCGCGGCATCTGAAAGTAGACCGTTAGATGAGACTGATCGAGAAAGTGTTTCTTGTAGATAGAAGGTACTTTCATTATGTTAAAGGTTTAAAAGCTTTTTTTATTTATACTATCTTCTGAACCCTGATTTCTTCTATATATTTTCCTCCTTTTTTATACTACTAGCTATATTCTTCTTATTAATAGTATTCTCCTTAAGTAATCCTACTTTAGCTATAAGGAATTAGAACTATTCTAATCTCTTACTTTTTAATATTAAGATAATCTTAGTATTAAGTTTATTCTTAGATATATATCTAAGAATATCTTAATTAAAATTATATATAGTTTTAATTTACTCTATAAAGAGAGATTATTAAAATTATCTTAATTAAGTTTATTAATTTTAAAAATCTCTATAAAGCTTATAAATTATAAATTATTAGTATTAGGTTTAGATTTTATTATATTATATTAGATAATTTTATTATCTTTAAAAGAAAATATTAGAATTCTATTCTTTATTATAATATATATATTAAAAACTATAGATATATTAATATTAGTATTCTAATTAAGGAGCTATTAATATTTACTAAATTAGTTAATTTATACTTAATATATTAAAGTATATAGATTAATATATAAGTATATAAAGAAAACTAGATAAAAAGAGTAGTTTTAGTAATTATTTAATATATAGTTTATTCTAATAGTAAGTAAATTATTAATATAAAGATTTATAGAATTTTCTACTATATAATTATAATCTTAAGCTAATAAAGCTTTTTTTATTTTTTTATTTTTTATATTTATTATATTAAGTTATTAGATCTAACTTCTTCTTTTATTTTAACTTTCTATTAAAACTCTCTCCGGTAGATAGAAGGTAAGGTCAGTGTCTTATTATATGAGTATCTGTAGTACGGCGTGAAATACCACTCGGTCTCGACCAATGTCCACCAGGCTCTCCGGCCCATTTCGCGTAGAATAATTAGGTCAGCCGATCCCGTCATCTGGCTTCCAAGAAGATGAAGATTGAGAGCCCTTGCGGTTCCAATGTTGATTGCGAACATGGACCTGTGCGTCTTGGAATTCCCCGACAGGTGAAATGCATAGTTTAGAGCAATCATAGCCTGCAGACTCACAATCGACGGCTCTGCCAGCCCATCACAACGATGAAAACTGGCAAAGTTCCATCCTTCCAGAATTCGCCATATGTACATGTGATCGATGGTTCGTGTAAGCATCCGCAGAACCAATTGAGGTCTTCGAAGAATGCTTCCACAATCCAATCGCAGTCCGATTTCGAAGGGAGGGCGGCGATACATGCATTGAAGGGCATGGGACTGTACCATTTTCTGCTGCTCCCTTGGGTTGATGGCTGGTTACCCGGCTTGTTCTCAGTATTATCCTGCCACCGGCGAACTTGACCAATGTCGAAGGCAGCGTCCTCCATGGCACCAGCCAACCCACTCTCCTGGAAGTCGGCATTCTCGTCTCCTTCAGGAAGAGAATCACTGCTTCCCATACCAACCTTTGCTTCTACTGCTGCCAAGCGACTGCGCATCATGGCTAGCTCGGCCTCCAGCGTGTCTATTCTGCTGTCATCTTGGGTAACCTGGTGTCTGCGGGAAGGCGGCAGAGGGCGGCGTTGACACATAGCCTCCTCGCCTCTCTCCCTGCAGGCACGACATGGAACTCTCCTGTCACATCGAATTTTGCGCCTGCGACACTCGCCACAGCTTTGAAGTTTCCGAGACCGGGAGGTTGCTAGTTCACCAAAAGAAGACATTGAAATACTTCAATATATGTGGCTGATTGACGGCCTTGAGCTGTTAAATTACTCTGCACCGATATTTTGATTGACGGGCCTCAAAAGAAAAGCCGAACAATTGTAATGCGAGGAAAGATGTTTGAAGCTTCTTTGTCTAGGGAATAAAAAAGGGGTCGCAGTGATGGGGTCGGAATCGGCACTAACGCGGCTGAGTAATAAATATTAGTAGCGTATTGTTTCCCTCTACCTATACAAGGGTGCCGTATTCATTATCATCATCTTCGTTGAGTTACCTAACAAAGGTAATAGCAAGAAACTCTATATGGTTATAGAATAGATCTGCGCAGCATATTCTATATATTTTGTCTTTATAAAGATATCTTCTATTGGTACTGGTGCAACGAAGAACAACGTATTTTCTTAGTCAAGGTTTATCACTTCTTTTTATTTCTTACTTCTTAAACCTTATCCCTTGTTAAATACAGATGATATTTATGCTTGCATCATTATAAGAAGCGAAGATATAGCTACTTACTTTACGGTTTTTGAAGACTAATTTACGTCCTTTCTCGAATAAACTCTTCAACTTGATTAAAGTCATAACTTTACACGCCACAAGCGACTTTGTTTAACAAAATGAAGAAGAGGGGTTTTTCTGACTTACCACGAGATGTCCAAGATGCGATCTGGGAGCTCGTCTTACGCGACATACGAATCCGTCATCATCCAAAAAAGCCCCTGGATTTAGGCAGAACTTTGGCAATCGCGGCTGTGAATCAATCGGCTCGGATATGTGTATTCCGCGTGGGAATTCACCGACTGATAAACCGCGGACTTTGCGCCCGTAGTGACACGCATTGGGGTATCTTCCTTCCAGATCTAGATAAGCATACGCTTACAGTCTCGGCCGACGCTTTCTATCAATATCCTGGGATCATAGAACCAAAGCGACAATCCCAGGGTTCCGAGCAGGGAAGTCATACTGTTGCCATTCTAAGGAACGCTAGACGTTTAATCATCTACGACGAGCGCAGTGAGATCTTGTGTCAAAGCATCTCTGACCATCTCGCGGAGGGCAGCAGTGGGCTCTTGAAGGCCAAGGATGCGCTGCCTCGTCGGCTTCGCAGCCCCATCGACTTCATCACGAATGAGCTTGGGGATTTGTCTGGAGACTTTGCAAGGTTAGAAAGCGTAACATATGTCGGAAAACAGGCAGATTGGTCGTGGTGGATGGGTGATGAATACCGTGTTCATGGGCCTGAAGTTGTGAGTCGGCCGCCTAGCCAGCCTCATGGTACTAAGTCACACGGCGAATATGAGAACATGGTTGGATATTTCGAGGAACGGGGTATTTCCGACGATACAGGGATCGAATGGGGAGATTTTTCCGGATTCACGATAGATCCTCGCGAGCAATGGGATTTCAGGCGTTGTTGGAAGGACATCCCTAAGAAATGGCGTGTTAACCCAAAGATTGGCCTTCGTGGATTCTCTTACAACAGCAGCTCATGCGGTGGGGTGTGGGCGGGTTTCAGACTCTATCTCGGAGAGTCTCCTCGATTGGAGTTTTCGCCCCTGCATTGGGAAGACGTCAAACAGTACATGTACTCATTTCAGACGACCTCAAGCGGCAACCCTTTACCAGCTATCGCTCATGGGTATGTTAGCGAAGGGGAGGGAGTGCGTTTTCCCCAATGTATCGTTAAGGTGGATATCATTAGGCCGAATTCGATGCCACTTCGGTCATCTCCGCATCATTGTTGGGAACCAGTAGACGGCGCTTTTGACAGCATCGGCGACACTCAGGGGGTTGACTGGCGTGCCCCGGTTGACTTCAGTATCCCCCACCCCTCATGGGATCCTGAAGAATACATGAATCCTGAATTCGACGGGGCCCTGTCTTCAGAGCAGCAGAAAGAGCTTAGATACTTCAACAGACACAGGATTCTTACACTATTCAACTTAGTGGTACTGCAGAAACTCTATAATCTTGGGTTGCCTGATTTTTCTTTGTACGAAGAGGAATGAGCAGGGTATATAGTTCGATTTTCTTTGGGGAAACTGAAGATCGCTGGCCTATCCAGCCCGACAGGGTTCTTGAGGCTGATATCTGGCCCTCGCTTCGTAACGGGAAGCCTAGGGAGAACAGAAGGGGCGTTATACGAAATACAAATGAGATTGGAAAATTTGAGACAGCTGTCTGCTTGAACCTTTTTCTGTCCGTTTGTTTTGTACTGAACTTTGCGTGAGCTTGGCCGGGGTTGATATTGCGAAGTAACGTCCTCCTGCGGCGCGTGCAATGGCTGTCGATTTTTGCCCATCACCTTTTACTTCTTTAATACTGTTCATTGGTAGAGGTGGTGGATTGTCTAGGCCCTGAAACAAGCCACACGGCCACCCTCACCATTTGGTATGCATCCCCGGAGAGCACAACATGAAGCGTCGGTGTTAACGCTCGGGGAAGGTAATTGAGTGTACCGAGCAGTGTGTCACTCTCGGATGAAATCTTCATTTTTCGGAGATGTGCTAACAGGAAGGATTATCCAAGTTACATCATTGGCCCGTAGCAGACGCAAACGAAAATGAGCATATTCCACAACGTCCCTTACGACGTACGATAACAGATATTACATCACCTTGCCACCATCATGCACGATAATTCCCTGCTTTCGGTGTCACACAAGACTCCCGACCAAATGGTTATATCTATGAGGATGAGTCAGGCCCCAGTGCGGAATATCCACGCAGGACATGCTAATTCAAGTTCCCCCAGCTAAATCACATGCGGGTAAAACGACAGTGCAGATTCGCATGAGCACAAGCAGTGTCAAAGAGGTGTTGTTTCGTTTCTTCCCTCTCAATATTCCTCACCCTTGTCCATTCTTTCCATCGCACGTATTATATTCATTGTTCGTGCCACAATCCATCATCCCATTTCCCGATTTGATTTCCTTATCCATCTAGCTCATAAACCATGGCTCTCATGGCGAATGAGCAAGCTATGGAGGATTTGAAACTCCAAGCCCGGAAATGCAAAGATTATGTCCAGTGCGTCTTTTCTCCTTCCATCACATGCTGCGGTCACTAATTTCATCGGTGTGGAATAGAAATATTCTCTTCGAGAGTCGCCAGAGGTATGCGAACGAATTGACGTCCGACGACGATATCACCGCGGCAAAAGCCCAGGCTAAGGCTTACGCGGAACCAGTCGATGTTCAACTGTCGTACGTCAATGATTCACACCTCATTTTGACAGCCGTCCATTGTTCTCGCCTTACTTCTTGCATAAAGGATCTGGCGAGAGAACTTTCCGTCTTTTCGCACGGCATTAAGAACCGTAACTTTTACGAGAGTTGCTGCGAGGTTCTCGTTCCCTGGATCTTCCAATTTGACCGATACTGGGGTTTATATGCTCTTTATGAGATGAATGATGAGATGCCCGACCCGGACAAAGCTACCACACTGATACGGGATGCCGTCGACCCTCGTCTAAAATCATCAACCCATTTCAAGATGCAAACTTCGAGACTTTGAGAGAGGATGAAGCAGCAGCACGTGCTGTATGCATTCCCAATACAACGGTCCGTTACATAGATCAACAAGACACAGAGATCCGTTGGATTTTGGACGGCCACTCAGTACTCCGTTGGTCGGGCGATCTTGGTAACAACAGACCATCTCTTGTCAATTGCATGCCAGCTGTGGATCTCTTCACTAAGCTCAGAAATGCGTCATCCTTTTCGACTTCTCTGATGGATTCGATTAACATTTTGCGAGCTCAACGCCAGAACCTGCCAGCGAACTGGACGCCACTTATCTTCCAGACACACGTTTCAAATGAGCCCCCGACTACCCTTCGAAATCTTTTGGTACAGCCTTCCAGTCTCGATCAGAACTATCTCCAGCTTCCAGAGAACGTCCTCAATCTTGCAAAGGGGCTTGCCGAAGCTGTCCACGGTTTACACATCTGTGGAGTTGGACATGGAAAGATTACACCGGACTGTATCCTTCTCACTCGGGGACCTAAGAACAAGTTCAAAGTGGCACTTCATGGCTTTGATATCATGCCAAGCGATGGCATCTACTGGACTGGAGTAGATGGCCCTTACATAGTGCCTGGTCTTTACCACATGGATTCTAACAACCAGGCGATGTGGGATTCTCTCAAGAATGATATCCGCAATGTCGGTGTGTGCCTACTTGAGATAGGCACGGCTGCCTCCTTTCTCAGATATCAGGAAAATGATACCACGCCTGGAGCCCTTTGGACCGTTGCTGGTACGACACTGTTTCCTGGAGCACCGGCAAACCAGCCACAGGAAGAAGTTTGCTCACATCTGATTTCCATGGCCGATGCCCTCAATCCAGGATTGGGTTCTTCATATATCGAGGCGATCAAGGCATGCCTGAATGTAGGAGAGCGAGTATCTATTGCAGGCAGCCTAGGAAAAATCGACTTGGCTATTTGGTTCGTTGAGGAAGTGCTGTTCAAACTTCACAGCATTGGTTTTACATGAGCAATTCGTAACTAGCTGATGCTGAACAATCTATCAATGTTTTCCCGATGATCACTCTTCTCCTATTGCCTATATCAGGACAAGAATCCGTAGTTCAACTTAACAAATAGCTCCTATGGTAGATTGTCATCATCCAACCCACCACTATGGGCAGCATGCATCTCGCGCCCTGCTATGAATCGCCTCATTCTCATTGATACGATCACTAGCTCGGGCTGCATAATCATCCTTCCCCGCCCTTAAGCTCAACCCTTCTCTTTCCCATCACACTGAAAAAAGGAATTTCTTTCCAATTAATCATACGATCGGCACGTAGTACCTCATCCTATTCTCCGGATCCCACTTGGCCTTGAGTTCCCTCAGTTTCTCCAGCCTCCACTCCTCCCAACCGTACACCTCGCGCAGGTCCTCGTCTCCGTGGGCATAGTTGACATAGGCACGCAGGCGCCCTGGGTCGTCGCTGGCCTCGAGAAGGATCTGGCGCAAGGTCCTCCCGTACTTGTCGGCCAGCGGGTCGATCCTCAAATCCGGCTTGTACTGGACGTACGACGTGACCAGGATGTCGTCGCTGCGGTGAGGGAACGCCGTGCTCCGCTCGTCGACGGCCTGGACAGCCTGCGTCGGGTAGCCCTCGAGCAGGAAGAAGGAGCCTGCAATCTCGGGTATCTCCTGGAAGCTCTTGTCGATGAAGTCGTACACTTTCCGGACCGCCGGCACGTCAAATGTCTTGAGTCCGATTGGATACCGGAGAGAGGTCTGGCCGTAGGCGCACGCGGGTCCGGCTGCGTCCATGAAGGTGAGGGCGGCTAGCTCATGGGTCGTTGCCACGCCCGCCTGGATCGAGATGGCTTCAATTGCGTGCAGGGGGTTGGCGTACTCCCTTGCTTCAGCCTCGGGGCCGTCGTAAATGATGGCATACCAGATAATGGGCTGCACGGGATCAGTCTTGGGCGTATGGTATTTGGAGATGCCGTCGCGACGTTCAAACACTTACATGGTCGGGGTTGAGTTCAGCGACTCTGATGATATAGCTCCAATGGATCGCATACGCCGGCTGCGTCTTCTGCATTTCATTATGGAGAGCGAATAGAGCCTCGAGCTTATCGCCGGAAAACACGAATATTTCATAAGACCATTTTGGAGCCCGAGGGTTGGCGTCGTGGATGCGGTACGTCCACTCGGCCACAAGGCCAAAATTGTGGCCGGCACCCCTTATGGCCCAGAAGAGATCCGGGTGCGAGTCTTCGGACACAGTCACGACTTCACCACTTGGAACAATAACCCGCGCCGAGACGACCTGGTCGGCAGCAAGGCCGTATTCGCCCTGCAGCCACCCGTGGCCGCCGCCGAGAACGGGCGCCGAGATTCCCACACATTCGCAGATACCAGTGACTGGCAGGAGTTAGTTTGAGGGTCTTGGCCTCAACGGTTCGACACATGCCACCGCAGGGATGGCTGGGTACTGACCTGTGCGCTTCCCCGCCTTGTCGAGTGCGTCGGCAACTTCCTTCACACTGGCACCGCCCCCAATCTTGGCCGTCTTGCCATCCTCGGCGATGTCGACGTGGTTCAGTTTGCGCAAGTCGACCTGGATCGCATCATGCGCCTTAGCCAGCGCTTCGGTCGCGCCGTGACCTCCGGCTCTTCCGAAGAATGCGATGTTCTTCTCATTCGCATAGCGAACCTGGTGGGTGGCACCGGCAGTTGGTTAGCAGGCAAGACAGAACAGATGGAGCAGATAATGCCGTGCGATGCCAGGGGGCTGAGCCCATGTTGGGTTGCTCACAGTTTGCTGGATGTCACTCTCAGTCGTCACTTGAACCACCGCGGCAACAGTAGGTGCATGGTATTCTCTCCATCGGCTGACAAGTCTGGCGAATTCCTCATCGCCGGCAAGGACAACGCCGGCACCGGGCGAAAGTCGCGGCTTGAGATCTGCCGCGATTTGGAGACTCATGGCTGGGCCTCTAAAAAGTGATGCTATGAATCTGAGGTTGTCAAGACAGCAAGGCAAGGAGATCTTGGGGAGTCCGTTCTAGCCTTTGCTGACGGCCACTGCTGATACAAGGCGGTGTCAAAGTCTCCGGCCGCCCAGTCTGACTAATAATATAATATATAACTTTAATTAATTAGCTATAAATATTACTAAATAGTTAGAGAAAATAATATTATTTATTATTTCTATAGTTTATATTAAAATATATATAAAAAATATTATTTTTTATAAATTTTTATTTTTTTTAATATTAAATTAAATATTTTAAATTATTTAAATTATTTTTTTATTAATAATTTTAATAAAAAAATATTTATTATTTATAAAATTTATAATAAATAATATATATTTAATAAAATTATATTAATTTATTAAAAATAAAATTTTAATTTATTATTTTAAATAATTAATTTATAAAATACTAATTTTATATATATATAATTTAATTAATTAAATAAATAATTTTTATTAAATAAAAAATTTATAAAATATAATTTAATTAATTTAAATAAAAAAATTTATAAAATATATTTTTTATATTAATATAATTTAATTATTTTAAATAATTATTTATTTTAATAATTAAAAAAAGAAAAAAATTTATAATAAATATAAATTTTATAAATTATTAATAGATTTATTTATATAAATTAAATTTAATAAGTAAATTCTTTAAAAATTAATAATAAAACTATTTTTATTATTAAATCTAATAAATAAAAAATTATTAAGATTTAGAATATAATATAAGTAAAATTTAATATATATTTAAAAGCTATAATAATAAGATTTATTTAGTTATTTTTAATATTATTAAATTATATCTATTTATTAATACTAACTCTATTATTTTTTTTTAAGATTTTTACTATATATAAAAGATATTTTAAGATCAGGCTATATATAATATAATCTATATAATTAGTTTTTAATTAAATTTCTAATTTATATCTAATCTTTAATTCTATTTTCTTTTTTAACTTTTTATTATACAGCTAGCTAAAGTATAGATAATAGTATCTCTAAAACTCTAAGAAGAGCTTATTAAGTATATAACTTAGCTATAAGCCCTAAGGGGGGATACTCATCATCTATAATCAACCATAATACCTCTCCAAGCTCATTATCACCAATCACCAACCACCTCTCCTTGCGACTAAACACCGGCTCTATAAAATTTGATGCTGTAACCACTATCGACGCTGAATGTCCATTTCAGTCTCAGTTTCAACCTCAGTCCCAGCCTCAGTGTCAGGTACGAGAAGCACGACGATGTAGATACTGTCGGAGCCCCGACAAGTCCTGGATTACATGGTATAGACGCAAAGCGCTGTGGCTGCCGTCCGAATACCGACCTGTAGTCTCAGCCACCTGGTGTTCCGTACCGCCGTCGACGGCAGCGAGGGGTGCCATCGCCTGCGACTCAGGAAGAGTCATCATTATCAGCTTCTCAGAACCGCCGCCCGATCCGCCATCCTAATTATCAATAAACGCCAAACTTACCTTCGCCAGGTCTTTTGTTTGTTTCTTCTTCTCTTCTTCTCTTTACCTTTTTTATATGGAGGGCGTGGGAGCCCGCGATACTATATAGGCTTGAGTTGCTCATCGCACATACAAAGAATTTGCCCTCTTTTTTCTCCCCATTGCCCACTTCCGTGCTGCCGCCATCAGCCACAACTACGTACTCTGCTATACTGATTCGCGTGGATAAGTATTTACTATGTTTCTCCCCTTCTTCAGGTTTAATTTATTTTTAGTCTTCAATCCATTTACAATATAACCTACAATACTTATATTCTTAATATAATTGGCTGTCTTTGTCATATCAGACATCCTGTCACGGACTCAAAAACGTCTTGGTCGCCGGCTATTCATCCAGATGTCTGGAGCCCCAGGTTTGGGCAAAACCATCACGGCAGAGCTTCTGGCACCTCAAATTGATGCTATCGGCATCCCGCATGACATTATCAAATCACAGTTACTGGAGAATGGCATGTCGTTTAAAGATGCGGGGAAGACTGTATATAGCATGGACTGGGCACTCGCTGAGAACGCGATACGGCAGCGCTGAGCGTCGTCATCGACACACCCTGTTTCTTCCCGGAGATCATTGACAGGAGCCGCGAGCTGGCCCGCAAGCACAACTTTGTCTACTGGTACGTGGAGCTTTCTGCCAACCCGGATAACTTGACCGTGTTGGATCCTCCCTTGCGCGCTCGCCCTAACCCGCTGAGGTCCCAGCGGGTGGCTATCGACGAATCGCCGGCAGATGTTGATAGTGCAGACCAAGCCAAGACTGGTGAAGTCGCTCAAGAGAGGTTCCGTTCCATGGTGGCAAACCCCTGCAGGCCTGAGGGGAATGTGATCATGGTAGACGCGTACAGCAGTCTTGACGGGCGTATCAAATATATTCTTGATCAGATTTCCGCGATGACTGGCCTGTAGACTACGTGGGTGTGACAATGGCTAATTGAGACTGAATATAATGCCTTGCCTGTTTCGCAAATCTCTGTTCAACAACTTCTCTCTCATATCACGTATTTTTCTTTTTCGTTGTGCCTAACACCCGTATTTCGTGTCTTCGGCAATCTTGTGGGTATTACCGCTATTGGCTTCAAGAGAAGTTTTAGTAGGGCCGCTAAGACCTGCGTCCATAGACCCCATGGATAAAGATTTTGTTTCAAAATTGACTGTTAGGGCAATTCATTTAAATACGTAAAGCTCAAAACAGAGGTAACATATGGAACTGCTGTCATATGCTTCCGGAGGGGAGCATGGACGGTGGTTGACTAAACACACCGGAGTCGATCAGCCCTTTTACCCAAGACTTCTGCGCAATCTTGAAGCCCATTAGCGTGCAATTGGATGGGCCTTATTTATTTATTATTATCAATTCCCCACTGTGCGTGTTCTGTGGTTACTCAGTTTCGTAATGCAGCTTACCTCCGCGGACATAAGGCCATAGAGGATGCGTAGAATCGTTTTTGCAGAAGCGTGCAGCCTTTCCAATGACGTAAAGAATTGTTTCCGTCTTATGCAGCAATTACAAAACCTCAAACAGCAGTTAGAACGAATACTTAGGTGGGTAAATCGTGATAGCAAAAACTAAGTGGAAAGAGTATAAGAAATCTACTGTTTCGCACTTATGTTCCGTATCTTTCAACATTATCCTCCATCAATCTTTTTCTGATAACGAGAAGCACCCCGGGCAAGCACTATACACCCAAAAATAATCCTCAAAGCGCTTACGAAAGAACTGTGCTATCTATCACCGGTCTCATCATGCTCGCACTCGCTTCCTCGATGATTTATCTTTTGGCAGTGACACAGCTGACCAATGCTGCTCCTATCAACCCACTGGCTTATACTGTGACCACCAGCGATCTTGAGTGGCCCAGCCAGTGGGTGAAAACTGAGCAGTCAGCCCTACGAGTCATGGTTCAAGGCAGCGGACCGTCCGTGGTCATCATCCCTTCCTATGGCCGTGACGGCGGCGAGGATTTCAATGGTATTAGCACTATCCTCGTCAAGGCTGGTTACAAAGTTCTCCGACCCCAACCACGGGGAATCATGGGTTCCATTGGGCCGATGTCGAATGTCACCCTCGACGACCTCGCTGCGGACGTCGCCCAAGTCATCGATACTCTTGCCGGTGGTCGAGCCATCGTTTTTGGCCATGCATTTGGCACCTTTGTCACAAAGCGCACGGCCCTCAACTATCCAGACAAGGTCCCCGCTATCATTACGGCAGCGCCGGGCGCTCCAGATATCCCCTCGGATATTGCCCCTCTGCCACTGGTGTGCGGGAATTTGACTTTGCCGGTCAGTGTGCGCCTCGCCGCGCTCGAAAAGGGCTTCTTCAAACCCGGACACAACGCCCGAATCTGGCTCGATGGCTGGTACCCTCAGACTCTGGCCCTAGAGCACGCAGCGATAGAAGCTGCTGGTGACATGACTACGTTCTGGGCTGGGGCAAACACAACTCAGGTTTTGGAGATAATTCCTGCCGAAGATCCCTTCCAGCCACAGGCGCAGTGGAATTATACCATTGATAGATTTGCCGATCGTGTCACCGTTGCGGTAGTGGAAAATGCCTCGCATGCTCTATTTCCTGAAAATCTTAGCGGTGTAGCCAATGCTGTTCTGCCTTGGATCGAAATGCAGAGCACCAGGCTCTAGCTTTGGTCTGTTGGGCAAAGACATGGGCTTAGGATGCTTGAATTCCTTTGACGGTCCTTATTATGGGACAATGCGCTGCTACATTGGTAACGGCATGTTCTCTGTTTGAGTTGTGGAATTGGTGATATGCTTATTGATGTGTATCTTCTTTTAGCTGTGGGTAGTTTATATATAAATAGAACGATAAGGGCCTTAGGCTTATTATAAATATATGACTAATACTAGACTTATTCGAAGGCATGAGAGTAATTAGGCAGTCGACTAGCTCAATAAATATTATAATCAATGAGGACAGCAACATGCTCTATCCTTATATAGTTAGTTATCTAATTAGGCTCTCTCTTCTTACTATACTATTATATAAGTTATAACCCTAATTAACTGAACACCTCTCTTAACTGAATATCCAGATAAAAATTATAATAGATTTAAAAAATTAATATAATAATATTAGTTTAATAAATTTTTATATAAAAATTTATTTAATTTACTATTAATAGTTAAGCTCTTTAAAGATATAATTTTCTAATTTCTCTAGTATCTCTATTTTATTTAGAATTATATTATATTATATTATTATTATAAATTATATTATTATATATTAAAGTTATATAGATTACCCCTACTTTTTCTAACTAATTATCAGTAGATTATTAGGATCTTATAATAATCCTAATAATCCAGGATATTAGATTATTACTAAGTATTAATAATCCCCTAGTATATATATATATTTATTTTACTAGATAGAATACTCTTTCAGATAGTTATTAATATAATTATCTATATATCTATTATTACTAGCTTTATAATACTTATATATTAATAGTAACTTATATTATATAGCCTATAATAATCTGATTATACTACTCAGAATAATACTCTGATTAGTTTAAACCCTGACTTACCCTAGACCCTATCTAGTATAAGTTATCTAACTATTATAATTATTTAACTAGCTATTTAACTATTAAGAACTTATTATTTAAATTAAAAAATAATTAAATCTATTTTTTTAGTTTAAATCTCTTATTTAATCTTTTTAATTATATAATTTTTATTATATTAAATAATATTTTTATTTATTATTTTATAAAATTATTATAAATCTTTTAAAATAATAATTAGATTAATAGATTAATAATTTTACTATTAATAAAATTATAAATAATCTTTTAAATCTAATAATTATTTTTAAATATTAAAATATCTAGTTTATAATAATTTTTATATTTTATTTTAATTTTTAAATAAATTAAAAAAAATAGAAATATTTAAATACTAGTTTTATTATATATAAACTTATTAAGAGTTTAATTATATTAATAAATTATAAATTAAATCTTTTTAGTTTAAATAAATATTTATTAATATTAAACTAATTAATAAAATCTTTATATAATACTAAAGGAAAATTATCTTACTAATTAATAATAAATTAATTAGAATATTTTTCTTTATAAGCTTTTTATAATAAACTTTTTTAATTAGTAAAAAAACTAATATATTAAATAGTTATAATATATATAATAAATATAAAAATAAGAAAAAAAGAAATATATTATTTTAAAAATATTTAATTATAAATTTATTAATTATATATATTTTATAACTATTAAAAATAAATAATTTTAATTTTTTAAATTTAAATTTTATTAATAAAATAAAAATTAAAGCTAATTATATAAAAGTAATTTATTATTTTTAACTTTTTTTATAATATTAGTTTTATTTATATTTTAATAATCTATTAAAAAGATAAATTTAATAACTAAATAGTTTATTATTATAAATAAATTCTAAATCTAATTAGTAATATTTTTATTAATATAAAGAAAATTAATTTATTTATTATATAATATAGTTATTTAAAATAATTAATAAAATTTCCTAAAGTTTAATAGTTTTTTATAAATTTATAATTTTTTTATTAATTAAAATTATTTATTAAAATATATTTTCTATATAGTTTTATATTATAATTCTAATAATATATAAATTAATTAAACTAAATAAGAATTAATAAAGTTATTATATAAATTAAATAAAGATAGTAGAAATATAGATAGTAAAAAAAGTATTTAGTTATAGGGGGTATTCGGTTGACCAGGGTTATACCTTATAGAGAAATAGACCCTCTTTTCCTTCGTAATGGCACACAGTTTTCTGAGCCCTCGAAACTCGCATGATCAACTGCTGACAAATTTATGGCTCAAGTTAGACTTCCTACACAAAAAGAGATAAATTTCCGTGCCGGGTTTCTGCCATTGGTTTCTGTCAACAGAATTACGAGGCAGACATTGCCAGGCAGCGCAATTCCCTCATAGGTATCTGTCACTTTGTATCCGCGAGTGATGGAGGGTATTAACGCCATGCCTGACACGGAAGGGGGTGCGGCTGAGATTGATGATGTGAGGGAATTCGACCCTTCCACTCGCCCCTCGAAGGTGACAAGAAAAAGAAGGCGCGCAGCTCTCTCATGCACAGAGTGTCGTCGAAGGAAAAGAAAGGTGAGGGCTTCAAGGCGCAAGAACCCCCGTTCATTTCTTCAATATCTCGGGCACTGTCCGGCTTACATATCGCCACGTCTTATAGTGCGATGGCAAACTTCCATGCTGCGATTGCAAACTGCGAAACAAGGAAAATGAATGTCATTATGCAGACAGTCCTGTAAATGTACAACATTTCCGGAATACAATGTCTCCCCCTGGTCTCAGCACGGCCGCTGAAACAGGAGATACACCCATCTCAGCTACGGATGCTGCTTCTACAAGTTCAGACAACAACGACAACAAAACTCTTTCAATTAGCGAATTTGGCTACGCTCGCACGGGTAACTCGACAGCAGACCTCCTAGACAGGTTCCATGCTGGTAACAATGGACTGACGGCCGAGCCCGGAGTAGTTGGCATCATAAATGACGATTCCAAGCTCTGGAAGCCTTATAAGACTTTGCTAGAAACGCTGCCGGGGCGTACCTGCATCGAAAAACTTGTCGACTATTACTTCCATGAGATCAACTGGCAATACTACGCTTTGGACGAATATACATTCAAGCAGCAGCTTCGGACTTGGTACCAGCTTGACTTACCCACGGTATTCAAAAGCCTCTCTCCAGACTGGAAGGCATTCCCGGCCATCGTCTTTGAGCTTATAGCCACTTCTGTGTTATTGGTGAAACCAGAGACAGTATTGCCTTTTCTCAACCTTAATCATTTTAGCAATGCATCCTCTGAGACCTTAGCAGTGGAATACAATAAGTCTGCGGCGGAAATTATACGCCTTCTTGGAAAACGACAGATTTCTTTTGCAAGCGTAATTGCAGGCTTCCTTCATACCGCTTTTCTCAAGTACTTTGGTCAGGTGGCGGAAGCAGTGAGTTCTGGACACGAAGAATATCTGAATCATAACTTACTCGTATTGTAGTGGCATGCCCTTGGCGAAGTCATAAGGGATGCACATGAGATTGGGCTGCATTCTTCTCAACGGGATCCGAAGCCTTGCAGTGACAGCGTAGCGGAAGTCCTGAAAAATGAATGGCTTATACAAGACCGTCGTCGGATCTGGATGATTTTGTCGGGGTGGGACATTCATACGGCCATGGTATTAGGTCGGCCTGCGACCATCCTCGACGATTTAGAGCCGACGCTTCCTATCGACGCAATAATCATCCAAAATCGCTCGGCCAATCCGGTGCTCCCCAGAGGCTCACATGACGCCCCGACACCTCTCACACGTGCCATCTGGGCCTACCGCGTCATGAGTAATCTTCGTAAGGTGCAAGCCCTGGACAAAGAGCGTTACTCGTCTGGGGACTTCTCACAGGTTGACAGTCTCGACCAAGAGATTCGGCAGCTTGACGCTGATATTCCTTGCTTCTTCCACCGATACAACCCAGACAAGACGTTTGACTCACATCCTGACTGTTACTGGATACCTCGAGCCAGGGCAACCTTGCCGCAGCTCCTTTCTTTCAATTTAATAGCCTTGCACCGTCCTCACATTTTCACACACGCCGCAAGCCGGTCTCGGGCCCTAGGGGCTTGTCTTGATATGCTCCAAGCTCAGAAAGAGCACTTCGAATCTATTGAAGACAACCAGTATAAGACGTGAGTATACGTACTTTTTGTCGCAGTATGGTTTCATGATTGACTTAATTTACCTTGCAGCTTCTTTTTGTTCTTTGGCACATTTGATGCCGTTGTGTTGATGGCTTCAATATACGCCTTCTTTCCGGAGAATCATCCAGACAAGATTGTACAGGCGATGCGGCACCTCCAGTGGTCTATCGTCCGATTTGAGGCAATGTCCAGCCGCAATGCCCTAGCTAAATCTGCGGTCGATACATTGCGTACCTTCTTTGAACGTCTCAGGAGGACGTTCCCCAGGGCTGCTTGTCATCCTGTAGCTGATCCTGCTTTGCTTAGCCCAACGGGCTCGTCAACGCAGGCTTCGTCCTTAGCAATTGACGTGACTAGCTCCGCATCATATACCGATAATACGTCGAGATCTTCGAGCATAGGTCTCTCGCCTTCAATGCTGGCAACTGCCCCAGCGTTCGATGCCTGGGGACCACCAGCCGTGCCGTTTGACTGGTCATTGATTGAGCCCATATACGCAATGGGTGATATTGCGTACAATGATTTGATTGGGGATCTGGATGACACAGTAGCTGCCAGCTCCGAGCAAGATATCTGGCCCAGTGCGGAGCCTGAATTACTTCACTTTAGTGGCGATTTTGGAGCTAATAGTGTTTGGAGTGTGCTAAATCAGGATTTTGTAAACAGACGAGAGTAGCAATTGAAAGACATCAACTCTTTTATTTGGGCATCGCGTGTAGTCGGCGGCTTGTGGCCCAGAGAAGGGATACAATATCGTCCATTGATGACCCATACTTGTGACAGCTTACATATAAACAGCAATGTCATATATCAAATAATGGAAAACCTGTTTCACATTCCTTCATGAGCGAACAATTCTCCTTTGTTGGTTAAGATTTCATCAATCCATTCATACTATCGCTGCCATTATATGTACCAGTTACAACGCCCTCTATAAAAATACTTGTCAACGCCGTGTTCGTAGATACGCACAGATGTAGTCTGAGCTATACGTGAGAGTCTTCAAATTTTTCCACTGGACCACCCCGAAGCTGACCTCAACTTCGCACCATAAATGTAAAAAGCAAAAGGAACAGGAATCAGCAGCGCGGCAACCCCTCCCGTGATGCTTGATCCGGGACCGACACCCAGGTTATGATACAGAGGGCCGACAACCAGCGGCAAAACACTGGCAACACACGATCGGAGAAACGTGTTGGCGCCGATGGCCGAAGCTGCATATACATGAAAGGTGTCGACAAGGTAGTTGAGCGCTGCTTGGAAGATGGTGAAAAAGCCGGTGCCCAGCATGATAAGCCCGATGCATGGAGCTACCCAACTGGTCATGGGGCCAGATGTCCAACCGATAAGGAACTGACTTGCGCAGAATAAGAAGGAGCCTATCATCATGGGCGGAAGACGCATCTCCGGAACAGCCTTGTTTCCTGCGGCATAATATGCCTTGTTGTACCGGAATTGATTGTAAATATTGATGCCACAACCAATGGAGGCACCTATAATGATGGATAGGAACGGCAACGCAGCTGGAATCGGGTGCCACCCTCGCACCTCTTGAAAGATGATTGGGATTGCACCCAATTGCATATACAGAATACCGTAAACAAAACTGGCATATAGCGTCATAAGCAGACAAATTGGTGTCAGGAGAATTTGGATAGGTCTGATCAAAAATTTACGCGCCAGTTGTGAGAATGAGATCTGCCACTCCTCGAACTGTGCATGAAGTGCCCAATTCCCACTCTCGTGACGTAGGTTCTGGGCCTTTTGGACGAGGAGAATGGGAGGATAGCTTTCGTCGATGAATATCGCCGCAATAGACAAAATGACTGCTTGGAGAATACCCGTGAGATACTCGGTCCATCTCCAACCCAACGAGGGCTGTTGAGCAACGATTGTGGAAATGACGGGTCCTGTGATGATCTATTAGCAGACTTTTCTCAACAATCAACTGCAGCATTGGAATTCATGATCATACCTAGAGCAGGCCCGCAAACAATAGCCATGGAATACCCAGCTAGTGCAACACCTCTCCAAGCTGGGGAGAATAGATCACCAAGAACACCCCCAGTATTCGTCATAGGCGCTGAAGCGAAAAAGCCCCCCCAAAAACGTGTCAGCATGATTGTCTGGAGATCCTTTGCCGTTGCTGTTGCAAAGCTAAAACAGATGGCAACAAACATGGGCGTGAGGACCGGCAATCTTCGACCGTATACTTCACTTAACGGAGCCCAAAGTAATGGGCCAAGTCCAAAGCCAAAGAGATACAGAGTCGTTCCCAGGGTAGCGACTTGCGGCGAGACATGGAATTCCTTGGCAATCAGGTCTGTGCCCGCAGAATACGACGAGGAAGCCCAAGTCGCTGACATGGTGATCATGCCATAGAGTAGTGTTGTCAGGATCTTTTTGTGCGTGGGCCAGTTAATTGGATGATACGGATCATCTGCACCGTCAAAGTCAACGATGAAATCCTTCGTGGTTGGTTTGCTGGTCATGGGATGGGAGAACTCCGGCAGGGGACGTGATCGAATGCGCGAGATGACGCTCTCCAACCGAGATGGCTCAGGGACAAGACTCATTGTGTTCTTTAACCCTGGCTCATTCCTGCTCTGGCATTTTGATCTTGCGGTGTAAGATCTCATCTCACGCAAGCACGGGCGGTGGCCGTCCAGGATGTCGTCTACTTCCTGACTCTCAGATGTAGACACCTGAGATATGCTCGCGCCATCATCTGGAATTGCGCTGTCACGGGTCATAGCCCTCTCGAGGTCAACTTGGTCGGCCATTGATATGGAATGGATAAAAGATCAGATAACACTGTAGATCAACTGATTTGCTTATTGAAGCATCTGGACAAATCCGGGAGCTGTCATTGTATTATTATATTCCGTGACATTTTGTCGCGTTCCAACAATGATATCGTTTGTGATGTCATTCTACCTATTGGACGCGAAACATTCCGTAATTCTAGAAGATTTTGCATCCTGAATTTGGTATTCCCCGTTGAAGTTTGTTGGTCAGCTTGGAGGTTTGCTTTATCCCCGCGGACTTAAGACTAGGTAGAGTGTTATGCACGCCTTGACGGAAGAAAAAAGTTGCCACTGCGGATACTGCTGAGCCAGTCAGCTCTGACATTTCCATGACAAATATACGCTAAGTACTTAGTCTATCTGCTTGTGCTTTGCGGTCCACTTTGGCTTCTAATCTGATGTCATCCGCGGCACCAAATACCCGCGCTGCCGCTAGAAGCCGGGACAATCGCTTTGCTGAGTTGTCCATACCTATTCAATCAGTTGGGTGAGCCTGTGAAAGCCATCTTATGTCATTTATGTCATTAAGGCACGTTGGGAACAATGTAGAAGGTGGGCTATCAGTATTACCATGGTACCCGCCTGAAGAGATCTGGCCGCCGCTCTTTGAATAAAAGCAGGCTTCACTACCTCGAAGCATATATTCAACACCATCTCTCGCATCGAGGACTTGACCCACAATATATATCAGAACCCCGTTATATTCTTCTCCCATTTCACAGCATTCAATTTATCGCGCCTAATATGGTTGTTAAAATGAAGGCAGTTGGTAAAAATAATCCGGCCCCTATCTTTATCCCAGCTCCCACTGACATTCTCCTAGATATTCGGGGGGGCAAAGGCGGTAGCGATGCGTTGTTCATCAATAACGAAATACCAAAACCTCATGCTGCTGATGGCCAAGCTCTTATTCGCGTCCGAGCATTCGGGATCAATAGAATGGATATCATCCAACGGCAAGGCGGCTACCCGTTGCCACCACAAGCCCCTGCCACTTTGGGGGTCGAATTCAGTGGAGTGATTGAGTCTTTTGGATCCGGGGACGATGGTAGCTTCTCGGAGGGGGATGAAGTTATTGGTCTTGCCTATGGGGGTGCATATGCAGAGTACGTCGCCGTTAGCACCCGCATGCTCCTCCATAAGCCGTCCTCCATGGACTGGGCTACAGGTGCCGGCATTTCTGAAACATGGATTACCGCAACGCAGGCATTGCATCAAGTTCTCGAATTTGTCAAAGGCAAATCAATTTTGTGGCACGCAGGAGCCTCCGGTGTGTCCATTGCCGGTATTCAGCTATCAAAAATTGCCGGTGCTACACAAGTTTACGCAACCTCTGGGTCAGACGAAAAGTGCCAATTCATCACCAAGGAGCTCGGTGCGACAGCCGCATTTAACTACAAGACGATGAAATGGGAGGAAGAAATCAAGAGACACACCAACGGAAAAGGGGTAGATTACATCGTTGACTTTGTTGGTGGATCATACTTCCAGCAGAACATCTTGGCTGCAGCAAGAGATGGTCGCATCGCTATCCTAGGCATTCTCGGAGGGGACATAGCTCCTAAGGTCGATATTTCGCAAGTTCTATACAAACGCCTCCGTATCGAGGGCAGTACACTTAGGAGCCGTGACGAGGAATATCAAGGCAGAATACGAAACGAATTGGAGACATATCTTCCCAGCTTCGAATCGGGAAAGCTAAAGACTTATACAGACAAGGTTCTGCCATGGGAATATGTGCAGAAAGCCCATGAATACGTCGAAGACTCCAAGAACTTGGGAAAGGTTATTTGTACAATATCTTAATGGCAGTTGCATTGGCAGCGGGATAAATTGCTTGTTCCGATCTCTTCACTAGGACGGGAATATCGAAAAAAAGGAGGCTAACGACGAGTGATGGCCAAAGACCGTGGTATTGTTTGTTGGTTAATTTTATACAAAAGCAAATTATTACTACTGCAGGGTGAGCTAAAGACTAAGTTATAAATATAATTATATATTATACTGGCTTTATCCTAGCTTAATTTTAGCTTAGATTATATAATTATTACTAAAAATTAAAAATATTTTAAATTTATAATTTTTAAATTTATAGTTTTTAAATTTATAGTTTTTAAATTTATAGTTTTTAAATTTATAGTTTTTAAATTTATAGTTTTTATATTATATTTATATTTAAAAAAGTAAATAAATATTATATATTTCTATTATCTAGAGCTAGAAAGTTTTAATAAGAATAATTAAAATAGAAAAAAATAGAATAAAATTAAATAAAATTAGTAATTTTAAATTTAAAATAAAATAATTATTATTAAAATTATTATATAATCTTAAAAAATAAAATAAATTATTTATTAATTTATTATTAAAAATAAAATAAAATTAATAAAAATAAAAATAAATTTATTAATAAAATAATTTAATAAAATAAATATAAAATTTTATTTTTTTTATTTTAAAAAAATTAAATTTTTATTTTTAAAAATAAAATTATTAAGCTTATTATATATTTTTCTAATAAAAATAAAATAAACTAAAAAAACTATAAAAAGTTATATAATTATAAAAAGATAATTATTAATAATCTCTGAATAATATATATCTTTAATAAGCAAGCTTAAAAGATATTCGAATTATAACTGGAAAATAAATCTCTAAAAGTATAGAGATTTTATAGAACTTGGGGTTTAGATATTTCTCTCCTCGAGCTTATTAATATCACGAGCACGGCGGCCACGGCCCTTAACAGGTATGGGGAAAAGACATCAATCCCGATATCCTGAACTGCGTTTTTTGATATATCTCTTCTTCTGGTCGTTGACATCACGCTTCTCGATATCGTCGATATCGCGGGTATGGCGGCCTCGGCCAGCAAGACCACGACGAAAGGAGCGCCCAGAAGTATCAGGTTTTCGGACTCGTTCTGACGTCAGAGTTTTTAGCGATGCCATTGAGTTTAGCACGGATGTCAAGATCTCGTCCCTCAAGATCATTGACATCACGAGCACGGCGACCACGGCCCTTGCCAGGTTTGGGGAAAAGACAGCAGTCGCGATATCCCGAACCGCGTTCTTTGAGGTCTCTCCCCTCAAGGTCATCTCGGGCCTCATCGGTGCGGGCAAGAAGATGGTTATTAATGGATCGGAGGTTCAAGCCCTCCTGAATACCCCTCTTGATACCATCGGAAGAGATAGCGGAATCTTTAGCAGTCTCGCCAGGAATAGCAAGAGTCCTACTAAAAAGAGGAGCGGCCATAGCCAGTGAAAGATTCTTCATCGAAACCATTGTAATGGGAAGGGTATAAATAGTGAAGAGATAAATGGTGAAGAATAACTAAATTGCTAGAAACTGTAGTCGAAGTAGTAGGAATAGAATGGAGGAAATTTCTTTGTTCCTTCTTGCTTGTTCAAGTGTGTTGAGTCGAATGAAGAGGTTGAGATATTTTACCAGGAAGATGCCTTATCCTTATATGCTATTCAAGATAGGACCTATGAAGATACGCTTTGTATTGTAAAGATAATTTAGGTATAGCTATCTCTAAGAATAGTATTCTAAAAATACGGATGGTAGTCTTAAAACATTGCAAGTTAGATTAGCAATACAGCATTAGGACTTGAGTATTCTAGACTCAAAATATTTTTCAGCCAAGGAAGCGAGCCCTTGTTTCTGGTTTAGTCTCTTATTCTGTGCTGCTCAACAAGGGCAAGACCAATTTAACCAAAGGACCAAAGCAAGCAAAAGATCCCTCTGGATCACAAGGATATACTGAACGTTTTGCTAGAGTAAGGCTATTGGTTAAATTGATTGAACAATTGCCTGCCATTTTTCGACATGGGCAAGCGGCCTTGCAGTATTCATTCCGCCCTTCTGGTTGCCAATGCTCATCGACCATTTCATACTGTATTGGGCACCTACCCTCCTGAGTATCTAACACAAATGGAGAAACCTGGCCGCACCTGCACAGGCTCCAAGTTTATTAAACATCATATGAAATATAAGGGCTTACTTCCTGACGCTGAGGACAAGCCCGGACCGGAATGGACGTTTAATGATATTTTGTCAATCCGCGCATTGCTGCTGCTACCCGACTTTATCTTAACGCTTACTCGCTCCATCCTCGTGCTGAACAGCGGCCATTTTCGCTAGAAATTGCAAGCCCGTCGGCGGACGTACCGAGAACCTTGAGGCAATTTGCCCTGGAAGAGGGCGGAACTTTGGCATTGAGGATCTGGCATTAGCTTTCCCAAATTGAACCTGGCGTTTAGCGGCGGACCTTTCTATTGGTCATGATAGGTACGACTTGCATATGCAATAGATTAGCAATATAGAGATGCGGGGGCAAGCCAATCAGAGCCGTCAGAAGAGTGAGTTGCCAATCTACGGACCTTAGCCCATTTGTATATCAACAAGATCACGGGGTTTTGAGCCACGGACAACTACCAGCTTGTGTACTTTACCTAGCGGCTGCCTTGTTCCAAAGTAGACTCAAGCCCGTTCCAATAGAGTCACTCTCTGGCCGTCACTTCTCCACACCTCCACGGTAACAATGCGACAGTAATCTTAATGGAGTTGGAGAAGCGCCCCAAAGGACCATTAGCTACCTGATAGTGTGATTCCTTCGTCGTCAGGCCATCTAACCTGGTTAAATCACAGCGAGCTGCTATAGATAAGGATTCGAGCGAGGCTCAATTCTATAAATACTCACTATCCTGGCATGACAGCAACCCCTTGCCAACCTCATTATTCGCCTGGTTGAGCCTTTCGCGTTTGCACGTGCGTGATACAAGGCACATAACAAGTCTCCCAAGTAAAGCTCCTCAAATCAAATCTAGCCTGCCGCGTACTAAGCCTTCACGAATTTTACAGATATCCCACAGCCTCAGTTCTAGGCTTTGCATATCTACAATTAAAAACAGTGTTATGAATCCAGCCAATACTTCGTTGATAGTATCTTGTCAAGCTAGCTAACTCCCGCACTCCTACGTGTTACTATTATAAAGGTCTAGTACATCTTTACTTCTTAAAAAATATCTCCAAGATTCAATGCTTTACCCAGGTATAGCGTGAAGTAGTTTATAGATACCTCTATATCGCCTTAATCTGTTAGCGTTAAGATTAATATTATATTGCGTTCTATTCCTATCCTAATAATAGAGCCTAAAGATCTATGAAAAGAAGGATGGAAGGTAGCTAGTGAAACCGGGTGGATGTTATAAGTATCAAGGAGGTAGGTACCTGTGCTCTTCAAATAGGTAATACTCAGTGAACAATGGCTTGATACCTATAACGGAGGGACTGTGAAACCAAAGATAAATAAATAAAGGCTTTTAATTGTTCCTAAGAGAGATATTACTGATAGAGGCTGTGATTTGATTCCAGGGATCCGGGGGTAAATCGAGTTGTATAAGACTCCGAGTTAGAGATACTAGTAAAATTAGGCACGATTTCTAAAATTGAAACGGCTATATAAAGCTCCGGGGTGTTTTATATAATACATAAAAAATATAAATAAAGATATTTCTTCGCCTGTAATAAAGAATCAACAAGCTCTTGCTAACCTTGAAATGTCGCCAGGTGGACTATATAGAGATTAGATATAAGCCGTAGTAGAAGACCGGTGAGCGCCAGTCTTTCTTCAACACTTCTTCCACTTCTAGGCTGCGCGAGATCAGCACAAGCCTGAGTGACAAAAGGTACAGAACGAAAAATAAAAGTAAAAGCTACATGCTTTATCCTCACTGATTTGCAGGCTCGTAAGACCAGATACGAGCCCTGCCGTCACCAGACCCTGTTGCGAAGAAGTTTCCCGTGGGGTTAGTCGCCACAGAAATGACCGTTTTATCGTGTCCCTCAACCTTAAGCTGGGCTCGCCCCGTGCCTGCGTCCCAAAATCTTGCGCTCCGATCTTTTGACCCAGATATGACCCATGCATTGTCACGGGTGAGTGCGGCGGACAAGACCAAATCCTACCAACTGCTATTAGTAAACGACATAGCCATGGGTTGGAGAAACACTCACATCATGACCGTTGAAGGTCTTCAGACACCTACCTTCTCGGGTAGGACCGCCAACCAGGGTTGAGGAGAGCCCCCAAAGTTTAGCAGTCTTGTCCAAACTAGCAGAAACAAGATGCTTGCCATCAGAAGTAAATGCCACGGAGTAGACACTGTCCTTGTGCCCTTCTGTGCCCTTCAAATGATCGACTAGAGTGCCCTGCTCAATAGACCATACGCGTATACTATCGTCCAGTGAGCCTGCTGCTACATAAGCCGAGTCAGGAGATATGGCAACCGAGGTGACGCCTGCTTCGGCAGAAAAGGTGTGCGTGGCAGCACCAGTCTCGATGTCCCACAGCCGAACGGTCTTGTCACCGCCACCAGAGGCAATGGTTCGGCCATCGTGGGCATTATCAAGACTATAAATGTCGTTCTTGTGGCCTGACAAGGTGTGTTTGATCGTTTGACTCTCGACGTCCCAGACGCGCACAAGCCCATCCTCGCCGCTGGTGGCTAGATACTTGCCCTCCGGGCTGAAGGACACACCTCTGACGTACATGTCTTCATCGTCATCGGCAGCCCCATGGTGGAACTCGCACAGGGTCTTGCCAGTAGCAACATCGTAAATATGTGCCGTTTTGTTGCAGCCTGTGGCGAGGTATTTGCCATCGTGGCTAAACCTGACACAGCAGACAACACTTCCGTGGCTCAGAGTGTGAACCAGGTCGACATTCAACGAATGCTCAACTTGCTCATTGAGGGAGACGGACCAGTCAGCAGCCATCTTATCGTGTTGGTGAAGGGGCTGAGGTTGGATGGTCGTGAATTAAGATGAAGAACTCTGGCAATGAAGACAAAGTGAAGATTGGAAATAAGCTCTGTGGCCGTACAGCGAAGGAAGAAAAGTGTTAAGTGGATGAGTGGATGAAGATTGCTCTGAAGGTGAGAATAGGGGAGAAGAACCCCTTATTTATACCATCGCGGGCTTACTCTGCTCCGAGGTAAGATGGCAAACAGACGAAAGCAGAGAGGAGAGGGCACCAAGAAATTGCATCTGGGGGCCCGTGAATACCTGTTCTTTGGTCAGGCGAACTTTGCAAAGAGTGATTACCTGGGACGGATTGGCTGACCCCCCATGCCAATTCACATTTTGCAACTCCCCTTACCCAGTATCAGCCCCATCATACCCTGACACATTGCTCCATGGTTTCTGTAAACCCTGCTCCCCCACCCACACCGCATATATGGCGTTCGGAAGCCGGTTGGGTGGAGTGTCATCTCAGAAACCGCTGTGGACCACCCTCCATGTTTTCATCTTACCACACCGTTCCATGATCCATCCCGTGCCAACAGAGGCACTGCTGGAGCCCTACATTGCGCAACCCTGAGCTCAACTGCGCAACTAAAACCGGCACGCTACCGAATACGAGCCCGACCCGCTATGAAGCCAAAGATGATGATGTGATGTGATCAACGTCCTGGGGCTGAGGCGGGGAAGTACTGTAGACAAGGAACAACCGCCATGACCGGATCCTTTGATCATTATGTTTTTTAAATGCCGCATTTGCCTCGATGAAATCGATGCGCTTGTCTACCCTGCCGCACCTTGCAAGAGTTGCATCCACCCTCCCATTTTTTGAAACTTTTCATCCAACATTGAATACCACCAAACTCATATACTCGTGCATTGGATTGTCGAGAAGAAAAGGAAGGAAGAAAGATATGAAAGATATCTAAGAACATAAGAGCATAAGAAAAGAAATGTATTTCAGCCCATATAGTAAAGGGCGGCAGCTCCAGATTTTTTTACCCATCGCCTCAACGAAACGAAGGAAGTACGTGCATGCAAGGTATTCCTTCGAATAGGTGATGCAGAAAGCAGGAAACTCTCTCATTAGATGAGATAGATAGTGATGCTCTTCTCCCTCTATGCGTCTCTGTCGTGCTTGTCCTAATTCAAATCTGGAATGAGCCAGAATTTAGGGAGCTGCAACTTGCCCCTGTACTAGGTGTGCATGGACCTAACGAGACTGGGGGCCAAGTTTTGGTCATATCTCTGGCATAATACCCGTCGGGGCGGAGGGTTTGAGCTTCGTCTATTTTTCTCGTGCATAAAGGTGTAACTGATGTAGGTGTGGGCATTACGTGGCCCCTCCCTAGACGAGCATTCACCCAACGATCTTACGTATCTGTTGGACTTTTGAAGTTGCATAGACTAGTTTACAAGGGTTCAAGGACGTTAGAGCAGCCGCTTAAACATGCTGGAGCGTTGGAATCCTTTCCTTGTTGCGGAAACACACCCTCCCGTTTCCCACTTCCCCTTCCCCACTCACCGAAGGACAAGGGTCTTTTGGCCCCCACGGCTCGCCAAGCTTCAGATTGCACATTCATATGCAACATGTAGATAGAAACATACAGAATGTGTTGTACCATAGCTCTGCTAGTGCTTACCGGGCCTTGCCGAACTCCTCCCCTAGGAGCGAATCGGACCCGACAATTCGCCCACCCTTCGCAACCGAAGTATCTTCATACCCACGGCGTATTCAATCTAGTTCTGGACATATCCCCCTGAATTTTCCTAGTATTCGGCCTAATTCTTGAGGTTCAAACACCATGCCGATTAAATATTTAGCTGTACTGAAATATCCCACGAGTCAAGGGAGAAGTTAGGTACTCCCAAGTAGAACCTGGGCAATACACTAGACTAAAACATGGCATAGGATTCAAAGCAATCACAGAAATCCAGATAGACTAAAGTAGGGGAGATCTATCAGTTAACTAATACGCAACATTGCACCACAAGCAATGCAGACTACCTGAGCATCTCTAAATCTGATGCACTCGGTTCTCATAGCTGCCTAGTGTTTCGCTCAATTTCGTACAACTGTGGTAATACTTCGCCTAACACACTACGCAGGCTCTGCCACTTGATTTGCAAGATCTTTTCCGTCTCGCTGGCATCTACCGCAAAGTGCGTATCTGCTTCCCTCGCACCAGGGCGACCTACAGGTATCCGACTTTTATGTTTTGTGGCTACCTCTCGTGCCAAATCGGCAACTTCTTGGTTGCAGTACACTCCCGCAGCAAGGAGAAACCGCTGACCACTAGCTTCGGGGACCTGAAGCGCCTGGATGTGGGCGAGAGCGACGTCCTTGACACTGACCCAGACAGGACCCTTGGTAGGCGGGACCTCGTTATCCTCTCCTGCAGAGACGACACCCCAGATGACTTTGTTTGAGGTATTCAGCTCACACAGAGAGGCTGGCATGGCGCCGGGCAGTAAGGGACCGAACACCATGGCCGGGTTGAGGCTGACAAGCCCGAACCCGACACTGGGATTCTCCTTCATCCATCCCCAAGCCGCCCTCTCGCCAGCGGCCTTGCTGGCTCTGTAGGCTACTGCGGCCGCGGATGCCTTCACCCCATCCTCGTACGACAGGGGCGACCAGTCTTTTGAAGCGTCGTAGATGCTCGCAAAGGAGCTCGCATACACGACGCGCTTGACGGTCCCCAACTGCTTCGCCGCGTCGAGGACAGCCGTAGAACCGCGCACGGCGGGGATCATCATCTCACTCTCAAAGTCGGTGGCATTGTAGTGAAAGGGTGCCGCGAGGCGGAATATAGCAGCCGGAGAGGTGGACTCCAAGGCGGACGTATACGACGCTGACGAACAAATGTCCTCCACGACCACGACAGAGAGGTTGGGGTGTTTTTCGTGGGTGGCAAGGACTTGAGTGACTTTGGAATCGGAGCGGACGGTCCCAACCACGCTATAGCCGTGGGAAAGCAAGGATGCAATGCAATGCTGGCCTATGAAGCCGTTGGCGCCAGTGACCACGACTGAAGCTGGCGCAAGGATGGGGGCAGGAACTGAAGAAGGCATCTTTGCTACGCGCTGGAGATGTGGTGCAGGTTGAAGTTGGGAGAAGCTTGACAGGATTCGACTTTTGAAGACACTTAGCACCATGGAAGTCACGGACAAACACAAATTGAGGTGGCAGTGTTATGATTCCGGCTACACGTAAGTCGGGAGGCGGCTAACAGTTCTGTTCAGTCTGGCCTCCAGCACGCATGGGGATCAATAATAGTCATGCCCCGCCGCCATTTCACACCCTAGACGCTTTAGTCGAACAATGCCTACTCTGACAGCCAAGTTATCAATGCTCTCTGGGTCAAGGGATGAGCTAGTGATGCCAGTCAACATGAGATGTGGGGAGCCGTCGCAAAGACAAGCGTTTCCGACGGTAGGTAGCTTAGCAAGCTTAGGCGCAGGCTTAGTATGTGAATCAATTGGACAGTCCGATCCGACGGCTGCATATGACGCTTTATCTTAGTGTTGTGTGTCCTTGTGCTCCGTCGTATCTTTCTACCTCTCCGTGAGGGCTTCACGCTTCAGACTGGCGTGAATTGTTATTCTCTCCCCAGCATGTAATCAAAGTCCAAGTACCAAGCATTACCTGTCTATGTTGATCCGTGTGCATCAGCGACCGATACTGTTGCATCGTATTTGCATAAGTCGTTCCAACGGCGTAGGTTGTCAACTCACCATCAACTCTTCTCAAGAGTTGAAGCAGCTGATGCAAGATGACCAAGCCTGTTCTCATCATTGGTGCTGGAGTGGTGGGCCTATCACTTGCCAACAGTCTTAACAAGGTAACGAGGACTTTTGTTGACTCAATTTACACCGTCTTTCATCACACAGAGGCTCATTATTCCAAGGCAGGTATCCCTTTCGAGATTTACGAACGCGATGAACACATCTCCGTTCGCGGCCAAGGCTGGGCCATCACTCTGCACTGGGTCCTGCCCTTTCTGAGAAAGATGGTTTCACCCGAGACTCTGAAAGGCATCGACTCTGTCCAAGTAGACCCCGAGACGGGCCGAGTCGACACCGGCAATTTCGTCTTTATCAATCTCGAGACGCTTGAGCCAAAGTTCCGTATCCCACCCAATGAGCGGCGCCGCGTCAACCGGGAAAAGTTGAGACACGTTCTACTAAAAGAAGTGGCCGATCGGGCGCACTGGAACAAGCGTCTAGATTCCATAGAAGAATCAGAGGACGGCGTGGTCGCGGTGTTTACCGACGGCACAAGAGCAGAGGGTGCCACGATTGTAGGCGCCGAAGGGAACAACTCGCGGACCAGACGCTTCGTCGCTCCCGACACCTACGGGAACAACCGGCTGCCCGTGAGGTTCGTCGCCTCAGCCGCCGACTTTACACCAGCCAAAGTCAAGCCGCTCAGGGACATTGACCCGTTGCTCTTCCAGGGGTGCCACCTGGTCAGCGGCAACTTCCTCTGGGTCAGCCTGCTGGAGTCGCCAGAGGTCAACAATACCAAAGGGACCGACGAGGAACGGTACCGCCTCCAGATCAACATTTCCTGGCCCGTCAGGACGCCCGATGACGAGGTGAAGCCGTCCAGCGAGTGGAGGCTGGCCGAGATGAAGCGGCGGGCAGAAGAGTTCCACCCCATACTCCGCGACGCCGTGCATGCCATCCCAGACGGCTCAGAGACGCTCGAGATTGTCCTGCAGGACTGGCCGTGCCTCGACTGGGATAATCACGGTGGCAAGGTGACGCTGGCGGGGGATGCCGACCATGCCATGACCATGTACCGAGGGGAGGCTGCCAACCACGGTATTCTTGACGCGTATATGCTAGGGAAGGCACTGAAAGAGGTGCAAAAGAACGGCAAAGGGCTGAAGGAGGCTATACAGGACTATGAGGCCGAAGTCAGGGAGCGAACGAGTGCGGCAGTTCTGCTCAGTCGTCAAGCTTGCCTTGATGCGCATAATTGGTCTTGCCTGAATGAGAACTCTGCTGTATTGAAGAGACGGGCTATGATTAGTCCATGAGTAGGTAATTAGCAAAGAAACAAATGAGGACGTACTGAAGGAACGTGACCTGACATGGATGGAAGATAGCAACTGGCCAGTAAGAAATCTCCCCTTGCCCAGTCGTCTAATCACAAGGAAATTTGCTATAGATAAGATTTTTTTTTTTTTCCCAAAGAAAAAAAAAAGGAAAGGGGAGTAAGGAGGGGCATGGAATGTCTTCCTAGATGCCATTAACCTCTTATTCTTTTTATTTTCTAGTTTCTAGTATAATTGGGTAGGTAAGGTAGGTTGCTAGCGACCTCATGCTTTCTCGCTTCCCGTGCATTATGGTGGCTTTCCATCCCGCTATACCTATATGAATCATAGAGATAGTGAAGGGCAAGTTCAAAATTATAGAGAAGCCTTTCCATGGGACAGCCCATCCCATATATTAACCAGGCTATTCATCTCCTGGCCCCTCCACTTAGATACATCCCTGACCTACCCTAGACCCGTCTAGTGGAAGTCGCCGGACCGTTACACATGTGAGGTGAGCAGAGCTGGAACTCCTTGATGGCAGCGGCCATCCTTTAGATCGGTTTTTAGGAGCTTGTCGAAGTGCAATGCTAGACGGTCATTTGCACTCCTTCCGCCTCGTCCCCCTTCCCCTTCGTAGGCCGTGTTCGTCTCAATGATTACTATAGTTAGTACCTCGGCAGCACCATCGGTTGGCTTGTGCTCTGTTTTGTATGTCCTTTGTCGTGAAAACTGCGAAGATTTCATGAGAATACGTGGACGGAATTTCATTCTCAAGATTGCCAAAAGGATTAGTATGTAAAACAAGTGCCACTAAGATCTAAGTTTACTTCTCTCTAATTATTATTTAAGCGAGCTAAGGGCGGCGACGTAGCATCCTTGATAGGTAGTCGAGCTACTTACCATTACGCCTGTATCTACTCTGGTCTCCCAATACATGGCTTATTAAATGAGGTGATACTCATGCAATAACTGTCCGACCTCGGAACCTTCTAACTTTTCAACGAGAAGTTTTCGTATCCTGTCGGGTACCCAAGTGGCCAGCTCCTTTCCATCTCGTAGACTACAAGCAGCGCGGAGCAGGTGCCTGATGTCATATGTCGATGCAAAAACTTCCGGCACTCCTCGATCAACTCCTGCGAGTTGGTACACTGCCTCCATACCAGTCCGTACGGAGTACTCAGTGGTGAATATCGTATCCCTCGTCGTCTCGGCGAACTGCCCAATAAAGGCAAAATTGCGTGCCCCTTCTGGCACGACGCTTGGCCGATCGCCCTTCTTGCGTGGCATGAAGAAGGACGTGACGTAAGGCATCATGACCGGTACGCATCTCGCACCCGAAGCGGCCAGCGAGGATATTTCCGATTGGGGAACGCCCAGGTGATACAACCACTCTTGTGTGATCTCCTCGCCGGTACACTCTTGCATGGCCTTCTTGACGTAATTTCCGGGCTGTTCGACGAGAAGCCCATATAGCCAGACAACAATCTGATCCTTGGGCTGCTTTTTGAAGTGTGGCTGACGATTGACGGTCCAGCTCATCATCCAGTTTGAATCACGCGCGGTAACGATACCTCCTGTCACCACTTTTCCACTGAAAGGATCTCGTCGACATATCTTCTGTATGTATTGTGGAATGCGCGAATCGAGTGTCGTAACTGTCGCGGATTGCCATTTCGTTCGAGAAATGTCTCCACAGAACACCTCTGGCCGTCCAAAATCTATGTCTTTGGCGGCAATTCGTCGCCAAAGGTCCCAGGCGGGAGCCGGTCCATCCCTTAAAACAGCTGGGGTTCGATGATCCCCGAGGTCGGAGTTCTCGGTGAGGGAACCGATGGTCATGAAAAGGAGGTCGTTGAGCTCGAGGTCCTGCCCGCCCTCCTTTCCCTTCTCCAACCAGTGAATTATGGTCGCTTCTTTCTCGTTCACTGACACTTTGAAGTCCACATCTAACACTTTCGTGTGGTACTGAAACTTCACCCCATGTGATTCAAGCCAACCTCGTAGCGGAAGAACGAGCGACTCATATTGGTTGAATTTGGTAAACTTGAGAGTTGAGAAGTCGGGCAGTCCTTGAATGTGGTTCACAAACCGGTGAAGGTATAGTTTCATCTCCAGTGCGGAGTGCCACGTCTGAAAGGCGAACATTGTCTGCCAGTATAACCAAAAATTGCTCTTGAAAAAGTCCCCGCTGAAAACCTGGTCGATTCTTTTGTCTTCGACATCTTTCCGTGTGGCGAGGAATAACTTGATCATCTCTTTCTGCGACTTGTCACTTAATGTGAAAAGAGTACCGGTGTCAGCATCCTGACCTTGTCGTTCGGTCGCCCTTTGTAGTGATATGTTTGGGTCGCGCTTGTTCAGCCAATAGAACTCGTCGAGAACGCTCGCACCTTGTTCCTCAATAGATGGAACGGAACGAAAAAGGTCCCAAAGGCACTCAAAGTGAGATTCCATCTCCCGTCCACCGCGGATAACGAATCCCTTTTCGGGAATGTCAAGTCCGTCCAATGCACCGCCCGGGAGATGTGATTCTTCCAGAATTGTGATGTTTTCTCCAGGCATCTGGGCATCCCGGAGCAAAAATGCTGCAGTTGAGAGGCCTGCCAATCCAGAGCCGACAATCCAGGCATGCTTGGTATCAATGCCATCCGGTTTGAGCGGTCTGGCGAACGCCTCGTAATTGCCACTGCTGTAGTACATAGTCGAAGACCGGATTGAATACTAATTACTGCTTTGCTATCAATAGATGGGCGTCGGAGCCTCTTTAAAGAATCCTCCATATCCCCAGGCACAGCTGCTACCCTCGGCAGAAGAATACCGGGACAGCGGGACAGGTGTGGGTAGGGTGTCAACAATCGTACGTTTGTGGCCAAGCCTTTTTGCCGCAAGTTAGAGGCCTTTTTGCTGCCCATTTCAACAACCGACCTTTATAAGAATCGTATTTTGAAGGCATAAAATTATTCTTAGCGATATAAATATTATAGTGATATCTTTTATAAGACGAAAACATCAATTTTTGGTTATTAAGCTGTAAGGATGAGGAGTTTGGTAAAATAGGAGATCAAAGCACTATTTTGGTGGGCAATGTCAGAAGTCAACTACTTGCGAGTGCTAAAACCACGCACCAAACCACATTTCACATGTAACTTGATGAACCGCGGCATCACGGAGTTCGGGGAGTCTCTTTTCGTAAGAAGAAGTGTCACATGATTATACCACATCGAGATAGCACATGTCAGCGGCTGCAGCTAAATCTCGGGCTCCGATCAAAGAGACGGCACTATAGAAAAACTCATTCAAGTCACCTTGTCCCAGTTTCCTGCAAGGATGACCTGAGCCATCTGTACCAAGGCTGTCACTCTCCTTAGGCTAGCGACCTGCCTAGGACAATAGGGGTGTGGCAGAAATTAATACTGTTAATACACCCAACTGGGATGTGAGACAACGGAAGGGCACTGGCCATTTTGGACAAAAAGGAAAGAAACATGCAGGCAATGCATTTGTGAAGAGACTGTATATTGGGCAAAAGTATTTCGTGACAATGATGATTCCCGCATGTTCTGGAATATACTTTCATAATCCTAGTCTCTAGGCCCATGGAGCAGATTTCTTCCCAACCACGGTCCATCGCACCGCTGTAACATAGGCACCAGTCCTAGTCACCTCAACGGCAAGAGGCAACAGTCGAACGAGCTCCTGTTGCATCTTATCATTCTTAGTCTTGCGCTAGATGAGCTCATGGATCATAAGCCCGCATTCGTGCAAAATGTAGGCCCAGTGAGGGGGACAGTCGTTCTTGTCCACGTCGATGTCCACGAAGCCTGCCGCAGAGAAGAGGTCGGGCAGGTCTGTTACCCACGTCGGCTTGAAACGTGGATTTTGGGCCGCTAGGAGCTTGAACATCTCGGCCAGGCTCTCAGTCTTAGCTTCTGCGTTAGCCCTATCAGATCAGTCAATTCAATCCCTTGACCCCTGCTTGACCCCTGAAGCCGGCTACAGCAGGCTGCGTGAATCAACAGCTTCTATTTATACTTCTTTATAGTTATCTGCTAGAATAATAAAAGATTAATTATACTTATAATAAATATGGTCCTTCTAGAGCTATATACTCCACAAGAAGATTAAATATTTTCTTCCGAAGGCTTATTCAATTAATATTTCTACATAAGTAGAGTTTAATTGTATAACTTATATGAAACCAAGGAAAGAACACGACAAAAAAAAGCCTTAAGAGAAAGTAAAATATTGCAATTTTAAGCGCCAGAGTGAACATAAGCTGCCCAGTTGGCCCAAGGAGTTGGATGTAGACGTCGAGTGTCAATGACAGCCTCTCTGACAGCTGCTGCCACCGCTCTGTCGTCAATGGACGCGTATTCTAGCCTAAGAAGGTTTTTGTAAAATGCCTGGGCGATCGAAACAGAGACGCTATCTTCCACAGACCATAAGGATCCAACTGTGTGGGGAAATCCTGCAACTTGAAGAGCTCCTGACATATGTAAGCCTTCATCCAACAGTCGCAAACCACCCATGGAAGTAGTTGTGCAAGCGGATAGAAATGCTATCCAAGGTTTCTGTAGTTCATCAATACTCAAAATCTGGGATACGGTAAGCTTGTCCACTTCCATCTCATTGTTGATTCCGCTTGGCTTTTCCAAGACAAGGTGGCTCTCCAATGGATCCCTACTATCTGCAATTCCATGGCAGGCAAAGTGGACGATATCGCTATCCCTAATAGCTTGCAACGCAACATCAGCCGTTGGTTGCGAAATACTGGTACAATTCCATTTGCTTTCGGTGAGATTCATGACCACTTCCCTCTCCTTTTCTGTTGCAGGTAGGTCCCCATACCCCCCCGGTGTGGTCTTCATTGTGATGATTCCCAAGCTTGGATTTTCCTTTTGATAATCAATCCTTCTGATTTGGGACTGCTTGGAGCGCCGCATGGCGTGTAACAATGTCTTTAGGGATGGGGTGTATGATGAAATCACCAGAGACATGGTATCTTGGTGAGAATCACATTCTGAAGCAGCAGCGGCATGAAAGGGAAAATTAGCAGCAGCGCCTGACCCAATCCACCAAATGCGAGGCAGAATTCGAGGCATTCCGTTCTGTGAACCCCCAATACCTATTTCAGACAAAATAGGCTGTACACATTTGACCCACAGCCAGTTAAGAAACCCCTGTGATGTCTGTCTTGTTTGTATCGGGATTGACATTGAAATGACTTCCATTGCTCTTTTCGCGGGCAAATCCGCGATCGGAAAGTTCGAGGTTAGTTGTGAGCCATAGTCTTTTAACTTGTCCAGTTCCATCATCGGAAGCGGTACCGACTTGATCTCTAAGCCACGGATGATAATAGCGTCACTTCTGAGGTAAGTACTGATCACGAGAACAACAATCTGTTTTTCAGACAACGATTTCATACGGTCCTTGGAAGGCTGACGAAGGAAGTCTTTGTACCCATCAATTTTCCTGATCTTTTCGAGACAGCGTGTGAGTTCAGCCTCTGCATTCCATTTCTCTTGCAGTCTTTCTTCTCCAAGTCTGCGGCCATGGGGATCATGGGGAGCACGGAGTCTGGCTTTGATATCTTTAAATTCGGTCGCCAGATTCTTGTTAGTACTTTCTAGCGCTGACAGTTCGTCACTGTCGTTCATAGAAAGCCCGAGAATTATGGCTCTGCCTGCCTCAAGCCGTTCCAGTGACTCATCTGGTTTTCCCAGCTCCAGCATCAAAGAACACATCTCTGCAGCTAAGCCAGAGGTTTGAAAAACCATTTGTTGTTGGTCTTGTAATGACAAGTATTTACCGCATGCCAGAGGTATTAACTCCATAGTAGCAAGACCAATTTCACTGGCCTCCTCCCAATTCTTTTGGTCTGCGAGAATTCTCAACGCCAGTCGACCTGCGTTGATGCGCATTAATGGCAGTCCATTAGGCAAGTACACTGCTTCTTTGTAACACTTTAGTGGATCACTAAAACTAGAAGATTCAGCCTCTGCGTCATTGTCCCATATTTCTGCAGAGAGCAAATTGCCATGGTAGCCAAGGTGGGATGCCCGATCAGGGGCATCTTGATGTGTCGCTTCCAGGGTTTGTTCCGAGTAGCTTATCGCCTTTTTCAATGTTTCTCTGTTGTATTTGTTCCGTTCGCTTTTCCATTTGAAAAAGTAGGCCAGAGAAAGGTTGTTTAGAATAACATGTCGTTGCGAATCATCTTGCGCGGCTGATTTTCTTGCCTCTTCACCGCACTCAATGGCGCTGCTAATGTCTTGTTTCATTCTGTCCTCATGAATTGATTCTTTGCCTCGGATGACAAGGGTACGGCAAAGAAATGAATTCACGACTGGTACATCCTTATGTCCTGTCGGATACTTCTCAAGCGACTGACGAAGCGATGATATAGCCTCATCCAAATTCTCGAGCTTGTGATGACGTCTATAAGCGTGAAGAAGGATATTTCCCAGATTTTGGAGGGCTTCAGCTCGCCTCAATTCGTTTGTATTTGGGATATTAACCAATTCTCTGTACTTGGAAACAGCAATGTCCAAAGCTTCGGTTTCTCCGGTCCATTCAAATCTCAAGCCATGTGCATCTGCAAGATTGTTTAAGCTCAAAAAATGAGTTTGGCTTCCCAATCGAGATTCTTGAACAGCAAGACGAAATGATTCGGAGGCTTTATCCAAACTGGTTATGTTGACCTTTTGACGGAACTTAGCCAGGTATGCCAAACCAAGATTATTCAGCCAGGTGGCCCTGGACAGTTCTCCAGTCTTGCAACGTCGCACTGCTTCGTTTCCGTTCTCTAGTGCTTGTTTTAAGTGATCCGGGTCTCGAGACTGTAGATAGCGATGGTAAAATGCGTGTGCAAGAGCACCGTAAACGAAGTCAATATCTTCCATTTTATTCTTGATGGCCAAGGAATTGGCCATTTGCGCAGACTCCACAGCTTTCTCCAGAAGGGCTCTCTCAGCCCCGTTTTTCAGTTCGAACATAAATGGAAGAAATTCCGCCAGGTTTGACAGAGCAAAGATTTTGTTGTCCTCACTTCCTCCTTTAGAGGCATCTTCGGCCTGCTTTATCCCTTCCTCGAGGTCTTTAGGAATTGCCGTGTTCCTGTAGCGCGTTATCAAAAGATTCCCGTACAGTTGTACAAGCTCCGAAGGAGGACATGAAATTGAATATTGTCTCAGGACCTCTATAGCTGTGTCAAGTGCTGATTGATCCAAGTTTTCAATGAACCGGCATCGCTGGATACGACCAAAGACAAGGAGGTAATCCACGAGAGCCCCATTATCCTTTTGGATAAGTGCGCTTACAGGACCAATCACCTCAAACGCGAGTTTTAGGTCTTCAATAGTCCGATCACGCTTTTCAAAGCGTTCCAAAAGTACATCTGCCGCAACTAAGCGTCTCATGATAAGAGTTGAATGACTTGGAGGTGTCAAATCCACAGCACGACGACGCAGCGTGATTTCGTGATCGTTCAACTTATGGCCAATCTCATCATTTCGGGCCAATCGCCTCTTAGCCACATGCGTAGCTATCATTTCAAAGAGTGCTGCTTGCCCAGCATCAGCAGGTGGAGCGGGATGGTCATGCTGTGATTGGTTCAGTCTTTCCAGGAAGCATATGAGCCCAGAATCATCGAAATCATTGAGATTTATGTTCTTCTTCTTGTATGAGGCCATCGATAAATTAAATTAAATTGGAGGAGTAAAAGCTATGCGAGACGATGTCAACTCGTGGCCCGAGCCGAGATTTAGAATGTTGGCGAGCACTTTATACAACGCTGGGCACCCAACATCAAGATGTGCAGAAATTTATTGCTGCCCGAATCACGTGTGTTGTCGGCTTTTCTCGCTCATAATCATCCCTCATCTCTCTTTGCTCACCATCTTCAAGTTTCGGGAAACCTGTGTCAAAAGCAAATGTGCCGCGGCATTATACACAATCAAGATGAATAATCCTACTCATTTTGCACTCCTAATCGGCGTCGACTTCTATCATCGGACACCGCTGAGCAGCTGTGTTCGAGATGCCAATCTTGTCGAAGCATATCTCGGGGAGCTTGAAAAGGATAAGAGAATCAATCGCCTCGCGATCACAAAGCTGACAGCTGCTCGCCCGAAGAATGGAGAAGGCGATGAAACACAACCGCCCGAGAACTTAGAAGACCTGGCAACCTTAGATAACATCAGAGCGGCATTCAAGAAAATTACTTCGGAATTGGCTGCGGGCGATCATTTTTACTTTCACTTCTCCGGTCACGGTACAGACTTGGGAGATGAGGGGTTGGCCCTTGTTCCGTTTGTTTGCGAAGATCTTAAGAACAGGAACTTAGAAAGCTGCTTCTGTCTTTGTGGAACAGAGCTGATAAATCTTGTTAATCACATGGCCACGAAGGGTGTTCAAGTCCTATTGGTACTTGACTGCTGTTTCTCAGGAAAGGTGCCCCGTCACGGGCTACTGGATGAGATTCGATACCTTCCCTGTGACTTCAATGCCGAAATCGAGGACAAAGAACGGCCATCCCAAATGCCCGATCGAGACTTCTTCGGCAATGATTTGATCTACAGAACAGCATCTGTGGATTCGAATTGGTTGATGAACTTGAATAGCTACACAATTCTCACTGCTTGTGGGCCAACAGAGTCTAGCTATCCATTGAGTTTGGGGAATGGGCATACCTATGGCTGCCTAACTTATCTCATGGTTCGCACCCTGAAGAGGCTAAGGTCGTTTAACATGAGCCGTAAAGCCATATTCAGATTTATCTGTGCCAGGTTTAATGCCATAAAATCTCAACAAAGCCCTCAGCTCAAAGGCAGGGGGGAGTTTGCCTTTTATGGACATCTAAATGGCACAGATGACTCATTTTTCCCGATGTACCGTTCACCGAGCGGCAAGATAGTGATCGAGGCAGGAGAAATCATGGGAATACGCGAAAATGATACTGTCGCTATTGCTCCACTGAGCGCCTTCGTCGGCGAGGAATGGGATAACAAACACAGGGCTTGTCACTGTTCGGAACGTGGGCGGAGTTACAGCTCACCTCACGATTGATAAACTCGACTCCAAAGAAATTGACAATGAGTGGGTGGCACGGCCACATAAGGTCATCGATAAGCCCCGAGTCCCTTCCACTAGGCAACATAAGCACTCACAGGAGCAATGCCTACTTCCGCCTGGCTATACAGACGCTACAGCGCCTTTCAGAGCCCGGATCAACAGCCAAGACCAGTTCGAGATATATGACTATGACGGCCACATCGTCAATTCCGTACCACTAGGGCAGTTGGCAATTCACCCTGCAAACTCCTACAATCAAGTCTATGCTCATTTGGGACACCTCGTAAAATGTCACGATATTGTAACTTTGAGGCCCCAGGTAGACAATACTTTGCTTCAACAGTCTATCCGTGTCGAACTCCACGATGAGTCTGAAAAGCCACTCCTAGCTGGAGTCGTTAATACCACACATGGAGCAAAGACTGTTTTATCGATACAAAACAATTCTGAGCAAATTGTTTACGTCAATGTGTTTTACCTCAGCCAGGATTGGAAGATATTAAATCTACCAGCAGCTGGCAACGCGTCACTATTAGGCAAGCCTAAGTGCGAAGAATTCCGCCTCGAAATTGTGTTCACAGTTCCAGAAAATTATATCTCCAAAGGAATTGAAGAATGTGAGGATGTTCTAAAAGTTTTTATCACAACTAAAAGTGTGCCGCTCGACAATCTAGCGATACAGCCGCCAACAAGATGGCGCGGCCCCGATACCAGTCAACGGGGCCACGATTCACAGGATCTATGGCTGGCACACACCTTCCATATTCGAACGACATATAAACCAGAATCGTAGTCGATGATAGATGATAACGCTTGTTTCATTATCAGCGCTACCCTATAGCTTAAGTATTGGGAACAGGGTTGGGAAGACTGGTCTAAAACAATTGTAATTTAAATTCTACACGTTGTTTGGCTAGCATATCCCTTTACTCCCGGACGCTAGGTCTGCTAGGTCGTAAGAACATGTAAAAATAATTCGAAGCTTTCGAGTAGGCCAATAATCATTACTAGTAAATATAAATATCACCAACCACATTAGAAATTCGCGTAGTGATCATTATTCGATACGCTTAGGACTTTGACTCTATGAATTCAGTTGACGAGAGATGACTATTTTTAATGCTGGGGTCAAGAAAATTAACATCCTTAACTCATTTATAGGTTAGGCTAACAGTTTGCAACTTATCTTAGGCATCAATTGATTCATGATTGCGCGATTATCATGCGACAACTCATAACAACCACCCTCCCTTGTTTTTGGGTTAATGATTACAGTCACATGACAGGCTGCCTTTTTCACTTTTGCTAGAGCGGGGTAGAAGTAAATGGAATCCAACCTGCCGCTTCAGAAAGAGTGAGGCGAAAAGTTTCACTTTGGGCACTAAAACTTCGATTACGCGAATCCTTCCCTCCATTCCTCTTGCTTCTAAATATCAGGCCCGACACCCAAGCACATTTGATTCAATAAATAACATTTCTTCCTATATTTGCTACGCCGTATTCAACACTATTGCTCTGCAGCGACTTGTCTTGAGATCGCAAATGGCGGACGAGTAAGCCTGGTGTCATCCGATTTGCGCGCCTCAAGCTGACCTACGAAGATGCGGGGGTGAGAGCCCAAAATTCACGATCGACTATGAAGAATCGAGGACCTTTGTGGAAAGATCTATGACAGCGAGTACTACGAGAGCACATTAAGTTTTAATTTAGAGCTAACACAGAAAAATAGAATCCTCGATTCCACGCGGGCGACATAGTTTGGTATGAACCTCCGTACAGTACCATTCGAGAAGGCCCATTTATAATATCATCATTACCATCACCTGGGATGTATATTCTATGTTCGATGGAAGATCCAGAGGTGCTGGCTATGAATGGGCTGCAAATCAGTGAAGAGTACTTAAAGCCAGTGGATTAAAACTAAGCAAATATTTATTATTTAATTAGATTAAATATACTTAATATTACTAGTTTAGTATTTATATTTATAACTATAATTACTTTAATAAAATATAACTCTAAGATTTTTAGTTTTTAGATTTTATATAATAGATAGATACAATGATATAGTTATATTTATATAAATTATATATCTGTTGGTACAGCCTACTCAACTGTATTGTAGCTAGCTAGCCGTAACCGTAGCCGTGGCCGGAGCCCTGACGAGGGTCCGGCCGGTCAGACCCTAGGCCGGGCTTTAGCCGGCCGGGCTACTTAAGCCCGACCAACTAGCCTAGCCTCGGGCTGCCTTTGCAACCTAGATATAACCTTTTGAATACAGAGCCCTTACGAGCCCAGTTACCTTCCAACAATATCTCTAATACTTCTAGAGAGAATAATTATATAAATTACTACATATTTCTCCTTTAAGCTTAATACTCTTTTAATCCGGGAAAGAAGATATATTTATAGTAATTACGCCTTAAGTTAACTAAGTATGTTAGATTATATAATACCTCGGTTCTAATATTAGATCAGTGAAGAATTCCGGTTTTGGCCTTCACATACTACTTTAACCTAAATTTGGCCAAGGCCTTCTTTACATCGAGCATCAACCAATCGAGATAGCTTCGACCCTCAACTTCAGCCCACAACTCCGCACAGGCCTTTGACCAGGCGCCCGCGGCCTCTCTCAAATCCATCGAGCCAGTCGCGTCAACCAGCGGATAGTGTAGCGCCACCTTGGTACTCGAAGCCTGCATCTCAACAATCAGCTGGTGAATGCGCTGCATCGGGGCCTGGTCCTTGTCTAGGTCGGTGACATTGGCCAGTTCTAGCAGCGCCTGGGGCAGGTAGTTGCTGGAGCTCCTTTCGATCTCGTCAATGCAGACCTTGTAGGCCGTGCAGGCCTCTTCCAGCGAGCCGCGCTGAGCAGCCCCGAGGTCAATAACCTTCTTTGCTAGTTCCGCTATCTCCTCAGTAACCACCTCTCGGTTCTCTCTCATGGTTCTCTCAATAGATCCTAGCATTTCCTCGAGGCTGCACAGAGCCGATTCCTGCGTGGCCAGCTAGGCCTTCATCCTAGCGCAGTCCTCCTCCCCTAATACCTTAACCCTGGACATTGCTATCGACATTTCTTCCAGAAATACTCTCGTATTGTTGGAGTCTTCGAGCAGCATCATTCGGCGGACTCTGGTTTCGCTAGCAGCATCATCTTCTTCTCCCTCCTCTAAGCCTTTCAATTTCTCATTCTCATGCGCGGAATTTACCGCGAGCTGTTTCAAGAAGTCTCTCATGTACTCCATGCTTCTGATCCGCATCCCGAGATCAATCGTGGCCTTGTACTGATTGCCGAGCACGTTGGAGGCAGTTTCAACGGCCCCAACCAGAACTTCTTCTGCCTTGCCAACATCTTCAAGCCGGAAAAAGGACCTGGCCTGCCTGTTTATAAGGTCGAATCTCTTAGAGGGGTCAACCCACAAACAACGTTCCGCAATCTGGGAAGCCGTTGACCACAGTTGGGAAGCATCCGCCCAGCGTTGGCTATTGTCTAAGAAATCCCCCAGCTCTTCGAGCATTCCCAGTACCTCCGTCTCGGTTTCTGGTGCATACCCCAATGCATCGATGCTCCGGAGGGCTGCTCGGAGATGTGGGATCGTCCGTATCTCATCCGGGGTCTCTCCTCCAGCTTCACTAAACCACTGGGGGAACAGAGGTATTTCCGGCATCCACTGCTCTGCGAGCGTGTATTTCTTTAAGGCCATTTGTATAAGCTGCACGGCCGCCAGGGCAAATCGATTGGCGATGTCCTTGTTTTCGTTCTGCCGTAGCCTCTTAAGACACCAATCATGCACGAGGCTGTGCATCTTGTAGGACCCGTCTCTAGCATTCCTCTGAATCATCGAGTATGACTCTAGAATAGCCAGGCACTGCTCAACGTCGTGGATACTGGCTCGGTCTCTGGCGGTAACTGCTGGTTCCCAGAACATACTGGCTGTAGAGGATTCGTCGGCGGCGAAGAGATTGATGTGTATTCCCTCGTTGTTGAGGAATGACAAAAGACTCAGTAGCCTGCAGGCATTTGGTGACTGGTGCAAGACCGCTAGGGTAAGACGTTTCCCAGACCGTCATGACGCTGTGGCTGGAGTGGTGGTGGATGTCCTTGCGTTTCCACAGCTCCGTTTTCCGGTGCTTGTACTCCTCGAGATACAAGGACAAGTCGGAAAATATCCTCGGTGTTTGGCCGACATAAGAACCGGCGAGGCTTATGGCTAGGGGCAGATACCCTAGGATCTTGACAATCCCTTTGGCATTCGCCCTGTCATCGGCACTGGGCGCTTCCTTGCCGGCAGATTTGAAGAAGGCGAAAACTGCATCCTCTTCCTGAAGAATGTCGATCGCAACGCCCTTAAACGTCGATAGGTTTCGGCGAATTGCTAGTGATGATGACATGCGTTTGGGCATTCTGCGGGATGTATTGGTCAATATTGACATAATTCTTGTCCCCCGGGTGCAGGTGGTCGGCGCCGTCGAATACGATGAGCAGACGCCGAGGCTTCCGATTGAGGAAGGAGGACCGCGAGCCTCACGGCGTCTGATGTCGGGTTCACGGGCTGTTGCGTGTCAAAGGGGATGGTGTTGTAAATGTTGCGGAAATGCTGATCTACGGACGCCGGATCGCCCGCCTGGATCCAAAACCATAGCTGGTATCTGTTGCCGTGCTCGCTCAGGTACTTGAGGGCGAGCTGTGATTTCCCTATCCCTCCCAGGCCCCAGATCCCGATGGTGATGGACTGCCTGAGTCCCGTGGGCCTTTGGGAGAATTGGCTCTTGATCTCGTCAAGAAGTGAGGTTCGCGCAATGAGCGTCTTGGCCGGGATCATTGGCGTCGGTGGATAGTTGGGGATTTCATCTGCAACGGCAACGTCTACGCAGAGGAAAAAACAAATCAGCTCATCTATATGACGAGTAAAAGATGAAATTGAACTGGACGACAATAACCGAGTCGAAGTGCTCCTCCACAGGAGAAATGAAGCTAAGGCAGGGAAGACTAACTTTCATCTATAAACTCCTTGATTTCCGAAATGTTATTTCCAACAGTCTTGAAGTCTTGGTCATTCGCATTCTCAAATTTGACCATGTCTTGGTGGTTCTTGAAAATGGGCACCATATCTTCAAGGCCATATCTCAGCTCAGCGGATGTCTGATCCACAACCTACAACGATTGCCACCCCCCAGTTAGCTCCCTGTCTGTAAATCCAGGCTATTTTTCACTGATCTCAATACGACTTACCTCTGCCCCAAGCCGGGAGTCTGTAACTTTCTCATAGAAGCTGGTGACGAGCACGCGCCGGTCCAGACACAGCGTTGTCTTTGCGAAATGGCTGCTGAGATCGAAGAGCTCGTCCGAGTGGCTCTTGAGAGCCGCCTCAATCTTAGGCGGTATCTGGGTAAAGGCCAGGGAAGCAATCGCTTGCAAGAACTGGACGCGCTTCTAGCTACTTACTTGACTGCCTAGATGTGGGGTGCCGAAGAAGATGAGGCCCTTGGTTGCGTTGTATATCCGGCTTTGGGAGTTTGTCCTGAGTTTTCCCCCAAGCGAGCCGACCCAGAGAGCCTGGATGGAGGTTGCGGCAGGCAGTTGTTAGCATGTGTCCTTGAGTGGTTTCAAGGACGTTGGGATGTTATAAACCTGTTTGATGATGAGACCGCCGAGGCTGTGGCCGATGAATATCAAGGGCCGATCCCGTTCCTATTTTGAATCCAAGACTTGAGATTAGAAGATTTCAGACCTGACTTGAGACAGCGATATATCTCTTTCTTTTGCCTAAAGTTGCCCAGCTTGGTGAGGAACGCGGTGCCAAGGTCTTGGATCCTGGCAAGAGAGGTGCTGAGGCTCGTCTTGATATCGGCGTCGTAGCCAAAAACCATGACGCGCGCGTAGGGGATCTCAAAGCATCTGCTTTGAGAGCTCCCATGGCCAGTAGAAGCCGGATGCTGCATGTTTCCACGTGTTCTCTGGACTCCCGTTGAGACCGTGAAGAAGAACAATGCTATTTGATTGACGGTTGGCGAAAACCAATCTTGTCAAAAGTCGTGGGCAAAGGACTTACTCGATTGTGCACTCCACGCCATCTTGGAGCACGGTTATGCCATCTCGCTGGAAATCTGCACTCGGGGGCCGAGGGTTCCGATTCAGCCTCAGATTGAGGTGAGTGCATGCATTTTATGTAAAGTACGAGGGGGAAACAGCACCTACCATTGCCTTGGGGATTCAATCTCAGAGACTCAACTATTTCGCTGGCATCAATAGAATGACGACAGAGTGGTTTATGAGGGGTGAAGTCCCCTGCCGGAGGGATGAATTCCATTATAAGAATAAATCACAACCATATACAGTCATGGCTCACTGGCAGTAAGCGCGCTGAACACATGGGTGCCTGGTAGCTGCATGAGCTGAGACTCCCAGGGACCCCAAGCAGCCAAAAGACCTGGATGCCAAGATTTGGGACGGATATGGCTTACGAAACACGTATGGTGATGTCAAGATTTGCAGCGTATATTTTACCGGATGGCCAGCAACTGGTCATCGTTCGCAGTGGGAGTAAGTTGACCATTAATCCCCAAACCTCAAGTATACTAGAGCATCTATCATTTCACCTCGTCACCTCTCGCTCCCCTGTCGTCTATCTAAGGAAGAGGTTTAACATGTAGTAGTACACTCATTCATGAAGCCACACACTTGCGGGATGTGCTTGGCACGAGCGATCATGGATATGGTGTTGACTTTTGCAAGAAATTTGCTCTGGAGGATCCCGAAAAAGCTGTCGATAATGCTGAGTTAGTTTTTTTGCGACCTGCCTCTGCACCTATAATGCTAATGCTCTTTAGTAATCATGCTCGATTCGCCGTCGAGGTTGAACCTTTTGGGCCATAATCGGGCATGTTTCTTGACTGTTCAACAAGGAAGTGGTACCATTCAGTCTCATATACCTCAGTGATCCATTACTATGCAAGAAAAAAAAGGACTGAATATTTTCTGCAACTAATACAACGGGCGATTGATGGACACGACTGAGGACTTCGGACAGGCCAATTAAGTCCTGTGTTTCGTGTAAAGCTTTGAACGGTGAACAGCCCTCCGGCGATGAAAAGACACTGATGTAAATCTACACGTATTACAATGATTTCAGACTAGTCGCTACTTTACTTGATTTCAATGTGGGTAAAAACGATTTCCCCCGACTGACTGCTTCGCCGGACCTGATACCACCAATCAAACTGCCAGAGAGGAACCCGTATTGCGTTTCATTTTCTTTAGTCTTGACTGGTCTTAAGATTAAAGGGAACATTGAGTGCGTCTCTAAATGAACAATTTATGGATATTTGTTGGCCAAAGCGAAGAGTCGAGAAATCCTAATGAGATCGTGAGAGGAATGAGCCTAATCCATACATGAATGGAAAGAATAGTTTTAAGTCTACACGACATCATTTATCTCTCGCTTCCGGCATCCTCTACCTTCCACTGTGACATGCATTTAAAGCCAAACTCTTCAACCGGAACATAGTCTGCTGCCTGTGGCCCCAAATGAAGAACTCTCCCAAAGAACTTAATGATAATGAACAGAATTCTCGTGTATGATAGTGAAGAGACAAGAACATGTAGAATCCAGATGCCCCAAGCTGTCTCGGGGTTATAAACATGTGGCTGGCCAGGTGCTAACTGTTGCGCATCCTCGACTACTGGCCGCATCTGCTCATTGTACTGAGCAAGTGAAGAGAGCGGATCGTTGCTCTCTCCTTTGATATATGTCTGGAGATAGCCTGCTAACTTGTAAGCTGCGCTGAAAGCTTGAGTTGTGCCCATTCCTGAGATGGGAGAGGCACAGTAACTTTCCAACTGTTAGTAAAAACTCTCAAATGACGAACGAGGTTTGAGAACAACTCACCCTGCATCACCCAGAAGTACCACTCGACCCTTGTTCCATGAGTCCATCTTGACCTGGGCGACGGTGTCATAGTAGAAATCATCTGTCACCTTCATCTCTCGTATGATTCTCTCGCATTCCCAGCCAGCATCTTTGAAATATTCCTCCAGAAGTGCCTTCTGAGCCTGCGCGTTGCCATTGCCCTTGTTCGCAACCTCCAGGAATCTGGGGTCCTTGTCATTCACCACATACATGAAGATTGTGGACCTCGCTCCTACGCCATCCGGGCGGATCATTATCCCTCGCCTGCCGGGAGCATGGAACCATCTTCGCCAATTGCCGTCGTGATCCTCCCGCGGGATACTGAAGAAGCCAGCATACATCCCGATCGGTTTCAACCGTTCCTTTTCTCCTTCTTCGCCCCAGACTAGCTTTCGAGTCCGGCTCTGCATCCCATCGGCCCCGACGAGGAGATCAAAGCTTCGTCTCTCTCCGCTGTTGGCAAAGAGCACGTGAACCTGATCACCTTCTTGCGTTATCTCTTTGAGATAATCTCCGAATATATACTCAATTCCTTGGGCGCCATCAGCTTCCGCTTGAGCGCTGACTCTCTGGCTGTTCTTCCAGCAGAGCTCAGAAAGCTTGCCTCTGAGAATCTCGATGTCGGCTGTCCCCGACTGTATTGTGCCCGTTTTATCAACACCCTGCTGTGACCAGACTGTATTATTCTCATCGACAAGCTGGACGCCTTCTTCTCCAGTGGTGGCGGCCCTGACCTGTGCCTCGAGCCCGAGCTTGCGGATGATGGTCACTCCTGCGCCGCGGATGTCAATGTTTTGGCCGCGCAGATGGGCCCTCCCCTCTGCTTCACGTTCTAACATAGTAATGTGAGGCTTCTGAGAGGCAGGGACATCGGATAGTAAAAGAAACGACGCCAATGTTGGACCTGCGATACCACAACCGACAATGAGGATTTTTGGGGGAGGCATGATGGCCTTGGATGATTGCTTGTTCTTTGGGTGGTGGTATGCTATAAGGGGCTTGGGATCCGAGGAACAACGGGTGCTACTGTTTAAATTATATATGAACCGTAGACCCAGGAATTATAAGAAAGTCGGACCTTGAACTTGTCCGAATAATATAGACGGACAAACCAAGAACCGGGATGGTCGTGGAGAACTGTACGCTATCGACTGAGGCCAGCGGTCCGGACTGTCACCTGGATCGATCAACGATAATTTTAGCGGCGTATGTGACATGTACATTCCGAGAATCGCGTAACATTCAGCTCAATATAGTGACGCAGCATGGGATAGAATGGTTGATAATTGGGCTGACTTGCTTGGAGGCCGATCGGCTTCGGGCCCGATGGAAATGCCGCCCTCCGATTGGCTGACTGGTTTGGGTGGTGGCTGGTGTTCTCATCATCGATTGCGTTGGTACCTGTAAAGTGTAAATCTAGGAAGGAAGGCGTCGATAGTCCCTGTTCTGGCAACCTGATAGCCGGAATATTGCATTGAAAAAAGTCGGAGAATGTACTTGGTGCTTTGAGCCTCAAATTTCTGGCGAATTCAATCTAGCTGGGCTCTACCTTGCCCGGCCCTCATCATGGCGGATAGGATGCTTCTGAGCTTCCATATATTTCGGTGATATTTGCGAAATATTTAGTGTCAATTTCTTGACTTTGGTCAATATATCGAAAACGGTACTGATGAGATCAGATTTTGTTACAGTATTGGCGGAAGTCTCCTACGCATTCAAAGTATACATAAATGGGTTTGGGTGCTTAGTATTTCGTATACTCCTGAAACATAAGCTACTTAACCGATAATGACAATTACTTGGAAATTTTTGCTCAACTTCAATTGCAGATACTTATTCCACTTCATTTTCGGAAGAAGAAATTCTTTTGCAATCAGATGTTATATTATGACCTAGACTCAAAGGACTGGATCATCAATGATATCGGCTGGCCTTCGTGATTTTCATGCTAAGCTTGCTCTCCCCTCGCTTAAGTTATTAGGCCTATCGAACCAATTCTAATCAGAACGTGCGCCCATGCTGCTGGACTGCATTCTGGTGCTCCACCACAATGTAGTCTACACCAATAATCATCCTAGCAGACTCCAAGTCCATGAAATTCGCTTCGTCCGGTTGGATCTTGGTGATATACTCGTTATCGTTGGCCATGGCCTGCAGTGTCTCCAGATTGTGCACCCAAAACTCTGCCGCTCCATCGAATTCAAGAACGGGAGCCGCACCCTCGACGCGACCAAGATCGCGGAGTTCTGGAGTTGAATGATACTGTGACATTCAAAGAGTTCAATTAGCATGATCAATTAAACAGATAAAGGACCAGCTCTAAAGGGGCGCTTACCTGGGAGTACTTCACGACTCCAAGTCGTAGGTGAAAAGGAGTGGCAAGGGCTGCATGGTTGTAGGCCCAGTATCTGTTGAACTCCTCGGGTGTGATGCCTTGCTTGCGGTTGTAGAAAAGTTTGACGTGATAGACTCGCTCCATGTTCATTGTGCAGGCGGCCTTGTAAGTCATGCAGCAGCAATCTTCAGGAACCAAAGGGGTGGTGGCATTCTGATTCTTATTGGAACAAGTATGAGAACCCCGGGCAGCGACGAGAGGGAGTAGAGCGAGAAAGTTAGCGCATTTCATGTTGGCTCGCAGGAGAGTGGTATCCAAGTCTTTTTGTTGTTGCTGGTTGCTAGTTGTGGGTTGAGCAGTCAAGGGCAGTTTGGCGAGGGACGATCTAATCAACCTGTAACAGGCTTTTATAGTGAATTGCAACTCATACTGTCAATAAAAGCTCCTACTCCTCAATTCTGGATCTTCTTCATCTCGCTGCATGACTTGGCACTATACCAAAGTTTGGCATGGTCATGTACATCTCTGCACTCGATAATTAGGCCGTCTATCTCGTTCAAATCGCGCCTGGCGCAAAATCATCCGTTTCCGGCTAGCTATTTAACCATATGCCCCTCTATAATGGGAAGTTTCTATCTAATTATAACATTATCTCAGCCCAACGTGCCGTTGAGAAATTACCCGTTTGAGCAGTGGAGGGAGGGTTGCTCCGCCCGGTCGGCGCAACCAGCTGGAATCAACCAGACTTAATTGCTTCATCAATCAAATTCCAAGTGTGATTCGCCACTGTGTTCATTTGTTCCTCATTCCAGACCGCCTTGTCCGTAATTAAACGCCCTTTGTTGTCGATGTTACTCCAATATTTACCCCCACCCTCGGCATCAGCTGCTGCTGCGGCGGCGCTTTCAGAAACCCCATTCAGTAGGTACTGAGCGCATGTGTCCGGGGTTACGGTAATCAAAGGAGCTAGGATACGGGCCAGAGCCTGCAGATACCATGGGAGATTCCTCAAAAGACCTGTATCAACGCCACCAGGGTATGCATGGACAAAATGTCGCCTTTTCTCATCTTTTGTATCCTGCTGTTGAGAGGAAGCATAAAACTGGATCATGATGTCGTTCATCACCATACAGTTATTCGCTGCAGTGCCGAGGCCGTAGTGCTGCTTCAAGTCCAGATCATCCCATAATAGCTTGTTGGGGTTACCAGTCTTGCCATCGTACACAATAATGACCTTGCCGTCTGGCTTGAGTGCTGGAAGAAGCTCGCGGATGAGTAGTTGCTTGCCATAGTAGTGCAGGGCCATCTTTCGGTCGATACCCTCTACTTCGGTTCTCCCAGCCATGGACATGATGCCCTGTGACATGATGAGAAGGTCCAGCTCTCGGCCAGGAACAGATTTGAATGTATCAGTGTATTTCTTGATCTGTGACATGGAAGTTGCATCAAGAGGCCGGAATTCCATGTTAGCATATGGTATCTTTTCTGGTTTTGTACGGCCACTGATGATGACTTTGGCCGAGCCCGCTTCTGCAGCGACTCGGCAGGCCATTGCATAGCCTATGCCACTCGTTCCGCCCACTACTATCGCCCGAGTAGCCATTTATCCGTTGTTCTATTTGTTGAAAAGATGGAGAATAAGCTGTTTGTCGTGGAAGTTGGCCGAGATATCAATCCTAAATCTCAGTGACCGCACTTCACTGCCTTTTTTTCGTGGACTTGGGACGGATTTGGTTAAAGGAGGCGGAGATGGCGGAGATCCGATATCCGGCCGAGTCTCGAAAATCTCGCTCCTCATTGGCGTGATTCTCCACCAGGCTGATCATCTTGCGAGCTCCGTTTCATCTCCATTTGATCTCCGCCAGACATAAACACTACCACCTCCGACCGCATGATACCGTTTGGCTCGATACAGACCCCATGCGCCATACCAGAGACATAATTAAATAGCCACGAAGAAATGGCAGACTTCTCTTCGCCCGATGTGCTGGCCAAGTCCAAACAGAAGAACTGCAATGGCTGTGTCCAGGCTAAGCGACGCTGTGACAGGCGCACGCCAACATGCTCCCGGTGCATAGAGAAGAGAATACCTTGTACTTGGGGGAAGAGGAAATTGATAACGGGCCATCCGTCAACCAGGCGACGGCTCGAATGCGCCCCCGCTGAGGAGGCGCTTTCATTCGGAGGAGACTTTACGCCTTCGTCCTTTGTGTCAAACCTCGACTACCTTGGTAGTTTACACACACCCTCACATATCAACGCCGGGGCCGAGATTTCTGCTACTCCAGAAGATCATATGGCTAGCTACGTACTGGATGCCGAGCTTGACCCTGATCTTCCCATGGACTCCTTTCTGGACTTGATGAACGATACTACGCCAGCTCGTGGCCACTCACTCGTACAATCCGAGAAACGGCATTTGGCTAACAGACCTGGCACGCCGGCGGGAGAAGAAGTTGTCCAATCTTATATGAAAATGAATGGCCTTTGCGTAGGTCTTTCATTTCACATCGGTACTTGTTGCTGTTCCTGATGATACTGATTCGAGATGCAGACTCAAATAGAGCCCTGGTCATTATATGATCCGAAGTCTCTACTCAGTTGTGTTGTCAGAGCTGTCAAAAGTTTTGTCACCGACGCAGGATCCCGGAATGTCACCCCGTTCCTGCACCGTTACCTTTATAAAACACATGCACCAAAGTCGATCCTTGATTGCCTCGCAACGAGCCTTCTCTACTCTAATAGAACAGAAGAAAACTCAGTCATGGTGATGCGGTCCCTGCATAAGAACATCAAAGAACTGATAGAAGGCGAGGGCTTTCAAGGTGCTGGTACGCCGTCAGAACGGCTAGCACGTACACAGGCTCTGTTTCTATACCAGGTCATTCGGCTGATGGATGGCGATATCATACTCCGCTCAATGGGCGAAAATGATATTCCTCTTCTGCATGACTGGATAGAAGATCTTTGCGGCTTGCGTGAGAATCTTGGTGAACAAGCCCATCTTGCCATTACCGGGATGCGCAGTCAACCCCCCAAAGAATGGGAGGTGAGTGACAGTAACCGCACCCCTAAAAGGCCTTTGCTGAAAGTTCCATTTCTTTATTTAGAGATGGATATTTGCAGAATCCGTGCGAAGAACCATCATAATGGCGCACTCATTCCTGGTGATGTATTCCCTGATCAATAACTCCAAAGATACCCGTACGTCCATCTACCAGTTCCCCACCGCGAGAGTATTGATCATTAACTCTAGAGATAGGTGGCCGAGACTTTTGGATCTATTGCCATCGCTGGACTATATCACGCCATCTCTGGGAGGCAGATTCTTCGGCTGAATTTGTGCGAGCGTGGAGAGAAAAGCCTCAATTCATTATAACAAACTATTCCTTCGAGGGCTTCCTTGAATATGGTAGAGGCGACGATGTCGATGATTTCAGCAGGATTCTCCTCAGCCTGTAAGTCACAGAGACAATTGCAAACAGCCACTTCCTCTTCAAATACTAATGATATTGAGATAGATTTTTAGGGGAAGACGAGACGAAAGAGTTTATGAACGGTTCGAAACCACCAGCTGCTTCGGCGTAGCAATTCATTTTACAAGTGTGACCAAGCAAGTTCTTGATCAAACAAGCTAGCTTTCTTACAAGAACATAAACCTCATGTATTCGCCGGCAACATTTCATTGAAGGAGCGTATTCTTATTCATTAGAGACTGTGTCGAATCCAAGCCATGCGATCACATACTGAAGATATTCGACCCGTCTTCAATACAGTCCTTAATTAATGAATTCGCTTCCAGGAAAGTCGCCGATGGTTTCCACGTCCTTCAACGCTTGTACTATGATCCCCACTGCTTTAATCAGGTCTTCTTCAGATATGGTAATCGGAGGACTAAATCGTAGCCTGTTAAATCCATTGCCAACCAACACACCTCGCAGAGTCGCGAGAGCGGCGGCTCGCCTTGCTGTCACTCCCGGCTTCGATTCATCAATGACAAGGGTGTGGTACATGCCACCTCCGCGGTGCTCGAGGAGATGGGGAGGGTTAAGAGTTTTAATTGTCTTTGTTAACAACACGGACAGACGCTCAGCTCGTTCCGATATTTTCTCTTCTTCCAGAACATCCAGCGCCGCCAGGGCAGCTGCACATGCTGGGGGGCTTGCACCATACGTTGAGAGGACTTCGCCTCTGCCAACGACATCCATCACCTCCTTCTTACCCATGATAACAGACATCGGATAAAAGCCTGATAAGTTAGTGTGATTTAATCAAACTGAAGATAGGAACGGATCGCTTACCTCCGGTAACGGCCTTTCCAAGAGCTACGATGTCAGGTTGGACACCTTTCTCGTGCTGATAGGACAGGTCTTTTCCAGTTCGCCCATAGCCGGACTGTACTTCGTCACAAACCATCAAAATATTGTGCTTCTTGCACAAGTCGTACACAGCTTTCAAATATCCTTTTGGTGGGAAGATGGTTCTGCCAGTCAGTTTATTAGCGTAATGTTTCGGTTATTCTTCATCACTACACAGGATCAAATCCTTACCCTGCCCAGCCTTGGATAGGCTCCAACATGAATGCTGCGATGCGGTGTCCATCTTCTTCAAACGTCTCACGGAGAGCCTCGATATCACCAAATGGAATAAGCTTTCTGCTAGATGGCCCAAAAGGCCCGACGTTGGGCACATGTCTTCCGAAATCTATGCACCAACTGTTAGCAAGACATTGAAACCATTGGGCCAGCATACGGAAACGTCGTAGATAGAGGCCTGAAAAAAGAGCTTACCCTTAGAAACTACAGTAGCCAGAGGCATAGTTGCAAGAGTCGATCCGTGATAGCACTGATCACATGTGACAATCCAGGCTTCGTTTTCAGGAATACCTTTAACGGTGTATCCCCACTTCCGAGCGATCTTGAGAGCGGCGTCAATTGCTTCTGAACCACTCATCATAGTGGCAACGCGATCGAACCCGAATTTCTGCAATGCTCAGCTCCTGTACCCAGCCAACGGGGGAAAAAACTAAAATCGCACCTTGTTAATTCGCTCCGCGAACTGGACGTATAGTGGACTGATGTAGGCGGTGCCGCTCAAAGGCATTTTCTGAAGTTGGTCAACTGTTGCTTGGAGAATCTTGGGATGCGAATAGCCAAAGCTCATCACTGCAAACTGCGAGATAAAATCGATATATTCTTTTCCGTCGACATCAGTGATTATATGACCTTTGGCGCTTTCGATAGCCACCTATGAAAGTCAGTGCTCTTGTTGATTCCGTGACGCATACCCCTCATCTTACGGGGAATGTGGCGAAGCCGCCACGGATGCTCTCTCTCCATCTGTCGATAACAGTTGTAGTCTTCTCCGACAAGGCCAGGCCATCGTCGTGCTTGACATCAGGGGTTGCCGAAGGCGCCATTGAAATATATCGCTAATTACTGAGCGTTGAGCGGCGGTTTTCTAAGAAGGCTGAGGAGAGGGGAAGAAAGATAAGATTCAGATGTACTCTGAAGGGCGCCTTATAAATCAAGACTGAACTACCTAAAGGAGCAACGCTTGATGGGGTGTCAGATGCTTGAATTTGATTAATAATACTGACTCCAGTTAACCTCTTTGAGACAACGAACGTTTTAGCCTCACTCTCCAACGACGAGAATTACCCTTTGTTGGGATTTTGTGTTTGATTTAAATCAGCACCACCCACGACGAAAATATTAATTACCATGTTTATATTCTGTTCATAAAGGCGAAGGATCAACTTTCTACATCAAGTGTTATGCATAATGGAGCCATCTACTCCCCCGCTAGACACTGTCCATAATACCCGAGTCTTCATATTTATCTCTAGTCGAGAACTGGCACTTCCATGACAAAAGATATTCCATTCTTGTTCTGTACTCACGGTATTTGGGATATCGCGGGAATAACATGATCATGTCAAGTCCCCCGATGAGCCTTATACTCAGCTCCTCTTGACAGGCTTGAGCTTAACCATCAAAGGCCCTTTCTGCCATACCATATAGATCTTCTGGTCCATCCAGTCCCCTTCATGACAATTCTCCAGATCAAAGTGCCAGACCAGATTGGCTATGATGAGCTTCAGCTCGAGATAGGCCAGGTTTCTCCCGGCGCAATTCCGCGGTCCATACGAAAAGGGCTGCGACCCCTGTTTCTTGTCCCCGGCGAACCTCGAGTCTTCGCCCGTCCAGCGCTCGGGGATGAATTTGTCACCGTCCACAAAATTGGCCTCGTCGACGCATGCCGCGAGAATGGTGACACCCACAGCCATGTTTCCAGGAACGAAGTTGTCGTCGATTGTGATACCCCCGGAAGGCGTGTAGCGAGGATGCGTAGCGGGAGAAGGAGGGTAGATACGGAGCCCCTCCTCGATGACACCGAGGAGATACTTGCATTTGTTAACTCCCACAGCGGTAATCTCCTCAGCTGAAGAGAATTCTTCGCGGAGCTCTCTAGTCAACTTGTTGAGAACGTGGGGATGCGTCATTAAGAGAAATGTCAGACCTAGAGATAATGGGTGTCAGTCAGTGTACTCCAGAGAGAGACAGAGATAAAAACAAATTTTCAGTACCTGAGAGCGCAGTGGCGGTGGTCTCACTTCCAGCACCGAGTAAGATATCGGAATTCCCGACCAGCTGGTTGAAGGTCATCTTGCCTTCTCGGTGAGCTTCAATCAATTTAGCCATAAAGTCTGGTATCGGAGGAGGATTCTCCATGCGATAATTGACCTTGGCCTGTGAGATACCATGTTAGCTGAAGATAGGGTCAAGGGTTTCCTGAACTGGAGGGGTACCTACATTGCCAAGAACTTTCATCTCCGCAACGTTGGCTTTGACATCTTTGGGTACTGTCCACATTGCATACGGGTATTTCATAATAGCTGGTAGCCGTTGCATTACTTGCATAGTGCTGGCGAGTTTGATGAAATGGAACATAAACTCGACATAGGGATGAATACTGGAGCTGGCTAAGCACCCAAACGATTGACCATAGGCTAGTTTGATAGGCGGGTAAACATGAGGCCAATGTAGAGCATCTCCGAATCCTTGTAGTTGTACTTACTAAGGTAGCCGATGATATCAAACGTAAATGACTACTTCTCGGTCAGCGATAAACCCCGCTAAGATACATGGGGTCTATGATATTCACACACGTTGTACCAGCGCAGCACGTCGACGGCGACCTGGCCTTCGTGGCCATGCTCACGCAAGCGCTGCATTAACAGAGAGACGTGCTCTTGGATAACAGCCTCTTGGGCTCTCAGTGCGCTTTCAGAAAATCCGTGCGACAAAAGCTTTCGGAGGGTACCGTGATATTCCCGATCAGCGTTGATGAGAATTGGCTCAGGAACGAACTTGTGGTATTTCTTGTCTTTGACTAATTCTGGGCGGCCGGCCTTCTGGTGGCCATAAATTTCTTTGAAGGCGACCGCACTGGAGAAGGACAACTCATCGGGTGCCACCCGAATCACGGGTCCGTACCTCTTATGAAGTTTGCTCATTTCGATGGGGGCGACCCCTCGGTGCATAACGTATGCATACCATAGGTTTGAGACAGCTGCGATCTTGGGCCCGGGAAACTTGGACAGAGGATGGAAATAAAGGTTTCTGATCAATATGAAACAGCAGAATACCACGGCCTATGATGTGTTAGGGGTTATTAAGTTTGCAAGCTGGGTGCTTTGAATGAAACTCACCGACAGCACCACAACACCAATGAGCACAACCAGGTTCATTGGCCCGGGGGTCGAAATTGAGGGTGCCATGGCTTAGTTTCAATAACCCAGAAAAGCCTGAACTAGATGGTCTATCGATGGGTGGGCGGAAGTACTGGACTAACAAATCCTTTTATACTTCACGACACTGGGACATGGTTTCGTAAATGGGGACTAAGTTGCATCAATTCCAGTCCCATGTAACACACATCGGCACCTAGCGCGCGTTTTTATTTACCATGTATGGTAGGTGCTAATACACTCGGAGAATGCCAAATATGTCCATGGAGAAAGCGTTTCACTGCAACGCTAATCCCATGCCTTATCGCCACATTTACTCATGTATTAAACCCTACATGTTATCTTTGCGCGTTCTCAATTCAGTCATATTCCTCCAGATATACCCAAGACACTTTTAGATGAAAACTAGGAGTCAAAACTGTCGGCTGTATGGCGTCCCAGGCAACAGAGGACCGGTAGAACCACGAAATGCATGACAACTTTTTTTAACTAGCAGCTTCAATACGATTATATGGAGAATCCGATCTGCAAAATCTTGACCAATCCGGTCGATCGTAAGTATTCCCGGCCGCTCTGTCCAATACAATACTCGTGATTACGGAGTGCTCAAGTGGCCGCACCAAGTGGTATCTCCATGGGGTCCATGGACTCCGTGGACTTTGCGTTCGAGTCCTGTATAGTGCTCAGGGGCGAACTAATAACAGGCGAATGAGCTAAGGCAAACAGCGGAATCAATGGAATATCAAATGAACAAAGTTGAGAATCCGATTTTATATACTACATATATTCCATGCTTACTATGATTTTGACCGATTAATTCCACGATAACATCCCGCTCCCTTCTAGACTTGATGCGTCTGTTCAATCAAGGACGAAAACGACTGAAGAATTATTCCAAATAATCGAAGGCAGCGACGAGAGATGAATACGACGTCTGGAGGACTTCCTTCTTGGAATCATCTTTCTTTAGATACATGTCAAAAAAGGCAGAAGAGTAAGCCATGTATACATCTGCCTTTATTGAAACGTTGTTCTTAAGATAAGCAGGGACGTTCGCTGTGAGCTCATCATTGTATTGATACGTGTCAGCGATCAACATGTGGTTGATTGCGTTGAGTTCAACCTTATGCTTGGGCCCTGCGGCGCCATCGTAAATCTGCCGTTGCGGTTCGAGCGTCGATTCGTAGTAAGGGTCGTTACCTGTCAAGATCATCAATGGCTTCTTGATGCTGTTGGCTCCTCGGGTTTTTTCCGACGGTTTGATGAACACTGGGGGTGCAAGCGAGATTGCGGCTTTGATCCGGGAATCGTGGAGGTCTGTAGGGGAGCTGAAGTTCCTTGACTCAGGCCAGGCGCAGAAGTTGACTTCAGTGAGAATGGGGTTCAGCAGATTCTGCTCCTTAAGAGTCATGGGATAGTCGCATTGACGGCCATGCCAGCTCCCACGAGAAGCGTGTAGAATCCTCCCAGTGAATGCCCCGCCATCCCAATATTTTCGGTATCGATATTGCCATGAAAAGGGTATGACTCGTCTAACGCTGCTTGGATAGCCTTGTCAATCACAAAGCCTATCTCTTGTGGGCGATACTTGAGCCCCTGATGTGTTGTCCGGAACCACCAAGAATACGTGAGCCACACAGCGTAGCTCCCGTTCTGCTCTTCTTGATATTCCTTTGCTTTGAGAAGCGCGAGAGGATTGGCCTTTGCTTCGGCTTTAGTCGCATCGAGGTGTTTGATACTGGCAACAATGTATCCATGACTGGCAAGGTTCTGCAAGAAGAAATAATATGCATCATCCCAAGAGGCTACACCGAGAGAGAAATGATGAGTGATACGGGCCGTAGGACGAATCGAGCGGTGCATCATGGACGGCCTCTCCGACAAGACCACCAGCATTGGTGAACGGTACTGCGTTGTCCTCTCTAGTAGCAGGATACCACCAGCTCACGTTCAATTGACGGTCCTGGAATGCAAAACTCTCCCGTCGGATGCCAACATGTTGGCTACCGGTGGTATTGGCCGTCCAGGTTCCAGTGGAGATAGGATCGAGCAAGCGAGCACCGAAGCTGATTGCTGGGTCTGGGTCTGCAATAACCAAAGACAAAAAAAGGGACAGGAATGCCGTTATTAGCCGAATCATTGCGCTGGGGTAATCCAGTATTGCATAAGTTAAGCAGTGCTGTAGACTTAAAGATCTCGACTGATTTGGACAGTTAGGCCGTTATATAGTACAGCCTCACGGCCCCTTGCCGAACCAAGCGCATGTCATAAGACGGTCAATCATTTGGACTATAACAAGAATTGTTTTACCTGGTCCTCATTTACCATCAGAACTGCGGTCAGCATCCACATTCCAATGTCTTTCACCGGACTAATGTCAACCAAGCCCTCCAACACCAGGGTCAGAAAGCAAGGATAACAACACAAGATGGTGGGGACGGCAAACCAAAGGTCCGACCACCGATCAGTGAGCACTAGATAATAAAAACCCATGTCCTTCAGCATTGTAAAAATTGGAGGAGGGGGGGAGTCCAGACGTTTGAAACGAAGAAATCCCCATCTCAAGTATGACGTCTTTTATTATCTCACATAGTAAATAATCTCCCAACCAGATAACACTTCATAGATTCCAAGGAGGCGGTGACTCAAACCTCCGTCTCGCCGGCTTACGTTCTTGGCTCCCGGGTCCTTATCAGGGTCCCAAGGGGCAAGTGAACGAAAGCTCCATTGAAGTAATCTAACCTCAGTACAAATCAAATTTCGAGGAGTTCGTTTGCATCCTGTCCCTTACTTGGTTTTCGTGCAGCATACTACTTGGATATCCAGCAATCACAAGAGGCAAACCACATTTGGCTTCACATCACTACGTGAACCTTATAATCCTCGCGGCATTCAAACATGACTCGATTGCAGATGACGGTTCAAAGCGTCGGATAAACAATGAATAGCCCAAGGATTAGGCATGCCCTTAATCAGTTGTCCTACTTTCAAATCAAGGTCAGCAACCAACATTGGCACCCACTTTGACAGATCAAATCCCGGAATCTTCCTGGTGATACGGGGCGTTTGGCACATATTCTTCCCAATTCTTGCACCTTTCATCCAGATTGTCATAGTCTACCGAAATCACGTCCGCTATCTCCGATTCGCGTTCAACAAACTGCAGAGCCAAATTTTGACTAGCATGCCAGGCGATGTGGCAGTGGAAGAGCCAGGTTCTTTAGCCATGATTAGTGAGCAACTTGAGAAAAAGAAACAGAGTAATTTACTAACCCTGGATTGTCTGTCTTGAAAGCAATTACAAGGTACCCATTCCCTGGCAGGTTGGCAGTATCACGGCGTGGAGGGTTCTTTAGGTTCAACTTGACAGTGAGAGGATTATATATCCCTTTTCCCTGCGCGAGAACATGAAAATCGTGACCATGTAGATGGAAAGGATGGTACACGTTAAAGAGTAGAACGCTTTCTTGAATGACCCAATATGTCCACTATATGACAGTAAGCCAATGCAAACTAGCTTTCTTGTTGATGATGGTTCTCACCTTATCCTTGTACGGAACATCATATACATTATACTCAGCGGGGTAGATCGCCTCGGTGTTATTCTCTTGGATATACTTGTTGGTTGGTTTTTGCCAGTCGATGGTTAATGGCCGCGTATTCAGTGTCCAATGAAATATAGTGGAAAGTTCGTAGAAGAATCCAAGAAGAAGAGAATGCTCTTTCTCGCTAGTCCTCACATCCATTGGAACTTGTGGGACTAAGCTTTCTGCGGGCTCATCGTCACATCTAGTGACAACATTGGGGAGATTTGTTGTGGTGGGATAGGCTTCTTCTGCTCCCTCATAGCGAACAATTCCACGGATGTTGTTCTTGTTCTTGTTATCCTGCCCGGCACAACTTTGATAAATTGCTCGCATCCAGTAATTACCAACGTTCTGGTCCGCTTCGACAATAACATCGTATCGCTGGCCTGAGCCTATGGCAACACTATCTGTAATGTATGGCTTGATTGGGACATAATCCATCGCGATCACCTTGAGTTTGTGCCCATCAATGGAAAAGCTGAAACCCGAATCGATCTGAGAATCGATCAATCGGATGAGATACTTTTTCCCTGGTTCAAAGGTGATTGGGTTTCTCTTCCCGTCCCCTTTACATTTCGGGTCGCTTGAACCGGAGCAGTCGTACGTGTTTGTTCCGTTGATCAGCCCATTCTCAGCGATTGAGTTAGTCCTCAGGGGGAAACCGCCATACTTGCCGCTTCGCTCAAACTCTGCAAAGGTGCCTCCATGGAACCAGTCGGTCAAGAAGACAGGACCGAGATCCACATCATAATCTGCTGTATGCGGTCCACGGATAACCAACGCGCCATACAATCCATCGCCCATCTGCGGACCAAGATGTGAGTGATACCATCCTGTGCCATACTGGGTAAGACGGAACCTGTACGTCATGCTGTCCCCTGGGGCAATCGGGCACTGCGTGACTCCAGGAACTCCTATTGATCACACTTGTAAGAATCCCGAAAATGCTTGAATGATGCCATAGATGACCTACCGTCATGCTGATTGTTATTTAATTGGCGGATCCCATGCCAATGAATCGCCGTCCTGAGCCATGTCAGCTTCTCTACACCTTAACCAGCGCAAAGCCTTCAGCCAGGAAAAAGGTTTGATGCATTAGAAGTCATACCCGTTGTGTTGCATGTCATTCTTGACGTGAACGAGAAGAGTGTCGCCCCAATCAGCTTCAATGGTCGGGCCAGGAAATGAGCCATTGAATACTAGCATCGGCCTTTCATAACCGTCCGGAGCCAGGGTGACATTTTGCGCTGTCAACCAGTACTTCGCGTTGTTAGCATACTATATCACTTGAGGTTTTTGATGCATTACGAACCTCTCTAATAACCCCGGTGTCGGGAAAGACTTCCGAATAGTCCGTATCGACATCGTACTCGCCCCAGCAATTCCTCGAAGTTGCAGTATGTTCGCAATATCCGCCGCTTGGGTTCTGGGGAATCGCCTTTCCTACTGATAGGAGCAGAAAAGCAATCAAAATTAGCAGAATCATCGTTCAAACGCCGAGACCCAACATGGATTTTGAATTAGATGATTTCCTCTTCACCCTCTTGTTAAAGAAATCGGTAGCTCTACGGCTATGCATGGCAAATGGAACGGGATGCATCTTTATAATTACCAGGTCTACACGATACCCACGCGAACATCGAAAGGGGCACGCTTGACATGGGTTTATCTCTACCCCAGATGTTGCCAATGTGACACTGCAGTTGAGAACTGAGGGGCCGAGGTTGTCGGATTACCTGCCATCCTCCCTGCTATTTGTGATTGGCTGGCCTCAATTTGAGTATGATCAATTCTGTTGCATTCCCATTGAGAATGCTACATACAGATGCTTAATTTGGCCGCCTCCGGTGCAGCAAACAGGGAACGCAGAAGCGGGACAAGCAAGGCGAATTGTTTACTCAAGAGAGTCAGACCGTTCATGCACACGTTCGCACTTAGGTCTTCAATAAGAAATTAGATTGAGCTCGGTTAGATGTTACCAACTCATCTCAATGTGACATTAGCATGTGCTGAGTAGACTTCATTAGACGCCCATTTTCTCTACTATTACCATGTCCATATTTTCAGCGCAGGATCTTTCCGCAAGTGACCATTGACTTGACCCTCCACTCAAAACAAATCCGTATCATTCTTAATTTCTATGCTGCTGCATTCCAGGTTTTCTTGATAAATTGCGACAAAATCTGTAGTCTGCGCTATAGTGCGAGGAACTAAGGGGCTAGCATACAAACGTGGAATGATAACCTCAAGAATGCGTAAGTATAATTGTTTAATTCTGCCTGCCCATTGTTGCATGTACAACAGGCGGTAGGGGGCCTTGCCAGTGTAAGCTGACTTCTTCAGAGAGAAGCAGTTCGCCGAATAGCCTGTCCACCTTTTGCGGGGTCTTGACATATGTGCTTATTCGCGCTCACTCCATCCCTTCATCATCTCAGACCGCGAGACTCGGACAGGCAAGATGGGCAATTCAAACATGTGCGATTCCTGCCTGGAGCACTTTACGTTTGCACGACCAGATGTGATAGAAGTTATCAAGGAGCTGAAGAAGGAAAGTGTGGAACTTGCTGTGGAAGCTGGATACGGCGACGATGATCTAAAAAGTCTACAAAAAGACCTACAAGACTATGAAACGGATACCGCTTCGCTCCCCGCCGGATCCTACGCACCGTATCCATGGGCTTCTGGTCTGAACGTGCCCGAACTTCAGATGTATCCGCAGATATGGGACGACGAGCATTCGCGCTCTTTGGCACAATTACGCGAATCCGTCAAGTCTTCAGGTTGTCACCTTTGCCGCTCCTTGTGCAAAATGATAGAATACGCTGCGCGGAATGATGTCCCTGAGTCGGCAAAAATCACGACCGCTTTATCTTGTGACAGCGCGGGTACAGAAAGTCTTCGTCTACAGTTCGCTGTTCACATAGATGAATCCTGTCATGATGGCAATGATGTCGTGATGGGCAACTTTGAATGCAAGAGAATAGGCTTCTTCAACTGTAAGAGCTCCGATTTGCAGCTTCATATGCCTTTCTGACTGCTAATGGGCAAAACAATAGCCAATCTGAGTATACAGGGTGAGGGACCTTTTGACTCTTTGCCGAGCACGGAAACCTCTGTTGAATTCTTGTCTCGTAACCTTGGCTCATGCATTAAGAATCATCCTGAGTGCTCTTCCAGACAAACAACTGGCTGGGTACCAACGCGGCTCTTAGAAGTTCGGTCGGCCGATAGTGACAACGACCGCGTTTTCCTCGTTGAGGGAGACAGCATCCAAGCCCCGAGGGATATGAAACCACAATACCTTACCCTAAGTCATGTTTGGGGGTCATCGAAGCCATTATGCCTTACCCGAGAGAATTACACCTCACTAAAAAGCGGGATCAAGACCCACGAACTGCCCCAATGTTACAGAGATGCAGTTTTTCTTGCGCGGAAGCTAGGCATCTCTCACATTTGGATTGACTCCTTATGGTGAGCTCCGACCATTGCTTCGTCAACTTCTTGCACCTATGGGGACTATTTACTTACACAGGCAGTATCATCCAAGACTCTTCTGAGGACTGGGAGCGTGAGGCGATGACCATGAACAAAGTCTATACTAACGGCATATGCAATATCGCGGCATGCGATGGCAATGACTCTTCAGATAGTCTCTTTTCGGATCCTGGCTCTATGCCACATCACAAAATATCGTTCAAAACACAGTATACCAATGGCGTTGTTGAATTCGAAGTCGTTCCAATTTGGATGGACTTCATGCGCAAGTATTCTCCATTGTATAGACGGGCATGGTATGTGCAGGAGAGGTTTCTCAGCACGCGTATAATGCACCTCACGAAAATTCCTATTTGGGAGTGCCGAAAGAACGTCGTTACAGAAGGGTGTAACGAGCCAGCTGCACAGCCTCTGATGAAATCATCAGCGTCTGAAAGAGAGTTGATGTGGCCTGATGAGCAAGACTTGGGTTCTAACTTAGCTCGTTGGAGAAAGATTGTTACGGTTTACTGCCAGAGCGAACTTACTCTCCCGAAGGATAAACTAGTGGCAATAGGTGGGTTAGCGAAGGCATTCTCCAGCCTACTCAAAGAGGAATACTGTGCGGGTATATGGGGTGGTGAGCTGCTTGATCATTGCCTCCTTTGGAGAACCTTCCACCCGTCTACGCCCTCTACAGAGTACATAGGTAAGTATATCCTTCCAGCGGTTCTCGAGTTCATCTCTGATTCAAGACAACACCTTCATGGTCTTGGGCCTGTCGTAAGGGACCTACGGTTCAATCACCTGGTGTGGTTTCAAAGGTCTTCATCCGTGACGCATCATTTCAGGCTGTGCCAAAGAGCAACGATGTTTTTGGTCAGCTAATATCGGCGGAACTAAAGTTGACAGGGAAACCTCTTGAAATCCCAGATTTCACCGCCTGGCGCCACCGGACTAGGTACAAAATACAGTCTACTTTCGATCGCGAACCTCCCGTTGAGTCAGATAAACAAGTCTACTTCCTACCACTTGCAAAGCTCTCTCATATCTACAGTGAAAGGAAAAAGACTGCGTCCATTGAGGGTGTGTTCATCCAAGTGGCCTCTCAACGCCCTGAGAAAGGTTCAACCGCCTTTAAGCGTGTCGGCTTTGGTGAAACAAGAGGAGGTGGAGACGACAACACGAATGAACATCCTCGATATGATGAAATTTGGGATTACGTATTTGGTACACCCCTTTCGGAATTGGAGAAGAATTTAGAAACCATTATCCTTGTATAGAGAGAAAATGTTCAGCTCATTTACCGTGCCAGGCTGGTACAGCAGGGAGGACTTCGAACTATCATTATCACGGAAAGGTAGAGATAATTCACTTCATATCCTCTAACTCATGGAGAGTAAGTGGGGTGTCACAAGCATAAATTTAAAGTTTATTCATCTCTTCATTGTTTGCATTTAGACAAACGTGCGCTGCTATATTTCTTAAAATCCACTTTCATCCACATAATCCTGAAACCTAGAAAAGCGAAAGCAAGCTATCACGAAGATTCCTCCTTGAAGCCCCACCCCTTTTCGTCCTTGACAAGAGCAACCCGCATGTGTTGCGCCCGCTGGCGAATATCCTCGACGGAGTTAACGGTGGGCGCAGATGGTTTCTGGACCTCGGCTTCCATGCTATGGAAAAGGAAGAGAAGAGGTATCACGGATGTCTTGAAATCATTACGGATCCGCTCATCGCCCGTCCGTCCCACCATCCAGAGCGTCGTGACAAAGAATCCGGCCGCCAGGGCCAGCACAGCAGCCTGCAGAGCCATCCACCGCCACCTGACATCAACACATGAGTTCATCTTCATGACCTGGCCATCAAGAGGAAGGCTGAAATTGGAGTAATCTGCGACTTGGTTATTGGCCTTTCTGTTTCGTGCGTAAACAGTCAAGGCAGTGGCGACAGAGTCGAATTTATCGTCGATGAATGAGAAGTTGGTCTCTCCCATGTTGAAAAGGGCCTTCCCAGCAGTGCTAGTACCCTCTCCTGCGCCTTGGAAACCATCCATGATGTAGCCTACAAAGAAGTTGAGGAAGTAGCTGTTCAAGGTATTGGAATCAGTCCTGTCTCCCTGGTAGATGCACTTGTCGCGCACATTCTTGGAGAGAGTGTCGTTGTACTGGGACGAGAAGATGCCCAGAGAGAGATTATAGGGAAGCCACTCGGTCGAGTCGTCAAACACGTAATTCTGGCTACGCAGATAGTCTTTCTCGGCAGAGTTGGCACATTTCATGTCGATAGTGCTGAAGCGGATACCGCCATCTTGTTTGTACCCAAACTCGGTTGTTGACGACAAAATGTCCTCCTTAAACTCACCTTTGTCGACATTGCCATGATACCGGCGAACACAAGGGGTGAGAACGCACTCAGCCGCTCCGTAACCAAGACAGGTCCAGTTCGAAGCTTGGACTCCGCCTTCACATTTATCAGCTGCCTCCTTTCTTGTAGTATCATTTCCAGTGCCGAAGACGATCCGCACACCACCACCGAGGGTAGGTCTTTCCGTGCTGTTGGACGGGCCGATGACAAAGCCATATTGATAGCCGTTGCTTTCGACTTCCCAACCAGGAACGCTGATGTTCTGGGCTTTGGTGGTATTGTCAATCTTCCTTGTCTCAACCTGGCTTGTGAAGTCGGTGCATTGCCGGCAGTAGCCTGCCGAGGCGTAGTCGTCCTCAAAGGTGCAGTTCCCTGATGAACATGTGGGAGCGACTTGGGCGCGTTTCTCGTTGAACATTCCGACATACATGGCTGCCTGTGCAGGCAGGTCCATGTTGGACATCATGGCCCCCGTGTGTATGCCACCTGTCGAGCTAACGAGGTTCGTGCGGCTAATTTGGGCCGTGGAAGACGTATCGATCTCTGAGCAGGAATAGTACCTCACAAGTTGTTGACTAGTACTGCTGTCAGCCCAATCCTTTAACGTAACCATACAGGGGTGGATGGGTGTTACCTGAAGGGTGCCACGAACATGGCCATGATTATCACCAGTGCTCCGATGGAGGCCGCGATATGTCTAACATCATATCAGAACTGTCTATCCAAGTAATAGAGCGTGGGATCTCGGCTTACCGTCCACGAAGAACCCAGAGGAAAACAATAGCGCCCCAAGGACCCTTTGCACCCTCGTCAAATGCCTGAAGATCAGACAGCTGCCTTGCCTTCTGAAACCAGAGGAACTTCAACTGCCCCAGGGCCGAGGAAATGATCAGCATCAACGCCATGTCAAATATGATGACGTAGATCGAAATTAATGTGTTGATGGAGAGCCCATATGGCCATCGAGGCAGCGGCTGGCCCTGGAACGGGTAGACGGTGCCGATGAGTGCGCAAAACGACCCGACCACGAGAAAGCAGGCAACGAACTCGGGCCACCATATCGCAAATATTCCCTTGTTTGCCGCCGCAGGTCTCGGTTTCTCCGCAGGTTGATGGAACTGCTCAGAGACGTTCTCATGAGGGTGTTTGTGTAGAAATGTGTCGTTTTCGGGCGTTCGAAATTGCCGGTCCGAGTTGTCGAAGCTGTTCATGGGTGACACTTGGTCTCGGTCGAGCGAATGCCGCCCCGACGAGTCGAATCTATCCGCCATTCTTCCCAGCACGCCCTTTTCCCAGTCTTGTAAGCGTTATTCGGCGGTCAGTTGCGAATTGGACAGAAGGACAAGAGAACGACGATCGGCTGGGGCGAAGGGACCTAATATTCTATGCAATATCCAGAGTGGCGACAGCACTAGGCAGGCTTCGGCAAATCCCCCGCTGGGACAGGGGAAGATCGGTCACTGCTGACTGAGGCTGAGGGCCAATTTCACGTTTCAAAACCCCCCTGCCCGGCTTCTGCCCAATTGTAACCTGGCGCGTGTAGCCCTACAAGCCCTGTGAGCGGGTACGCGCGCGCAAGAAAGCCATTAATAATGGTCAGCTTAGGCGGTTGGACCGGCACGTCGCTCGTCAGATCTTGGCGCGTGTCAGATTTTAACCTCTAATCCTCATATGAAGACATAATTGTGGTAAAAGATGGGCGAATACGCGTGCCAGCTTAGATTCTCCTCGCCGGGGCTTTGTCTCCGCGTCCACAGACCGCGGACGGAAGAGCCAAACTTTTCCCACATGAGCAGCGTGGACTGCTTGGAGAAGAAGTCAATGCAGGCGAGCATGCGAGGCCGCAGCTCCGGGCTGTGCGTTTCAAATGCAATGTTGGCGATGGGCCACAGGCACGGTGTTGAGTACCCGGCTTCGAGAGTCTTGAGCGCTTCGATGTGCTGGAGCGCTTTCTTAACCAGGCCCTGCACCTCGCGTATGGGGACCCCTTTCAAGGTGCGTTTCAGATAAAGCAGAGATGCGTAATAATATGTATATCCGTGATGGTAGATTAGTTGCTTGCCCTGTGGGATACTGATCGGTGACTCCCACGGAGACGGCATCATAAGAAGAAGCTCGAATTCAAGTGCATCTATCTCCTTCAAGAGCTCAGTACTGAATCCATTATCTGTCGGGGTATTTCCGGGGTGCTGCTGCTCTTGCGCCCGCTTTTGGATATCATTCATTCTATGAATGACCTCCAGGATCGGCTTGGGTAACCCAAAGATCGACTCTATTAGGTATGGCCCAGGGTGCGATTCAAGATTGAAGCGCAAATCCCATCCATAGCCACTGCGGTCCCCCGGAAGGATCTGGGATTGAACTAAAGTTCCCATACATAGAAACATCTGATAGATCATGGAAGCTGACTCCGTCTGATACCAGTACTCAACGCCCACATGATTCACCCACTCAACTGCGCCTCTTATGTGGATACGCCAAAAAGACTCATTGACAGTTATGTCTTCAGTCAGTAAGCAAATGATCAAAGCGGCTAGAATCGGAGCATATTGGCTCTCGTCATCAGTTCGGATATTCTCTCTGAGATAGCAAATGCCCATTTCGTGATGCTCAAGTGCGAAACGCTCGAACTTGCGTCTTTCATCCTCATATGCTGAAGTGTTAGATAGATGAAAGCCTGAGGCCGAGCATATCATATGAAACAAAGCAACGGCGCCTGTCGATTGTGAATCATCTTCCTGCGCGCCCTCGAGGGCTAAAGGTGTAAAAACTGTTCGTATCGGGTTCAGGATGCCCGGTAAGGGATTCAACGCATCACATAATCGGAGGATCCAGTTCTCCAGAATCTTACATCTACTGGCATGGTCCGACAAGCCGTCGAGGTGTCGAAACCTTTGCTGTGCAATCCCAGTACCCGTAAAACCTGGAGGGACTAGGAATGGCTGCTTTGGCGGCAATTGCTGGTAATTGGGAAGCCACGACATATCTCCATATGCTTCCGTCCTTTCGTTGACGTCTGCTTGGCCGGTAGCATTGGCATGATGCGCTACCGAACCATCTCGAAGACCATCGATAGTTCTACTTGGCTCCCGTGCCACCGGGTGTGGCTCAGAATGTTGCGTTGTCCAAGCCGGCGAAGGAAACTCTCGGCGATCGTCTAGGTGGTTTGGAACGGTTTGGGAAGAGCTGTAGCCGTGGGGAGAGGGTGAAGCCAAGGAGGGCTGTGGGGGAGATGTGACACGAGTAGCTGTGCCTCTGCCCAGAGATTCTCGATTTTCCGTCGGAGCACCAGGCAATTGAGGGCGCCCACATTCTACCTGACCAGAGAGAGCGCTTTGTCTTTGGGGTCTCGCGTTGCTAGCCGATGACCCAACAGGTGCAGCTGAATTTTGTGAAGGGGAGGCCATTGAACTATCAATGAGCAACTGTCAAGGAAGATATGAGGCATAGATTCCTTATCTAATATCCCGGTTACTTTGCAGATTTCAATCAATGGAGAATGGCAGCGGTGGTAGAGTTACAGCAACAGAACAGATCGAAGACTGTTGGACAGGACAGATTCCAGTCAATTGAGTGAGTAATAATCCACCACTGGAAGATACGAGCAAGCTGAAGGCGCTAAACTGGTTAAGGCCCAACAACGCGTTTGACTCAGCAGCTCCAGCAACTACCCTATAGAACAGAGTTCCCTTCTACAACACCAGCTAAGCATATATCAATTCTTTCTTTCCCCTTGCCTAGTTAGATTTTAGTCGTTTAAAATATTTGTTACTTTGCAGAGGTTAGGCGGCATACACTCGGATGGAGACTAAATGACATAGTATTGTATTAGCGAAAGCATTGCCTTTGCAATTCTTAGTTAGCAAAACTAAATTTTGTTCCATATGGTGTTGTTATCCAATAACAATCTACAGATGCACCACAAATATTACATGCCTCATGGGGATTTTTCTGTATTGAAATGTAGGCTTAAACGCCAATAGGTTGGGTTTACGTTGATGAGCAATGTTGAAGGCAATCTCTTATGTTTAGAGGTGCTACTTACTTAATAGATCTCACATGACAAACATGTATATCGACGTGTCTGGATGATCCTCGGCCACTTTGGCCATGTGGAAAATTGAGTCATCCCCTCGAACACCTCCACCTATGGTTTCTTATTCGTGTTAATGGAAAGCTTTACTGAATAAATGGTGGTATATATAATACATCGGAAGTTGCCTCGGATATCTAGAATTAAATCGCTTTGAAATAAATAAATGCCGCCTAGCTGACCTTCTTGATTGTGGACAATCAACGAATCTCATCGAATGATCTTGTTGTCGTTGTTACCGTCCTCGTTACGGTAATGCCCATCAAGTTCCCAATCGCCTTAGTCCTAGCAGAATCGCTATCTCGGCTAGTCCTGTCTTTGGTCACATGAGTTTCAACTCCTACCGCTGGATGCATTCTGCCGCCCAACTCTATCCCCAGTTCTTCTTGACTTTCTGTATGATCTTTGGTGTGGGATCTCAAGTAACGACTCTGGAGTGGCGACATGCGGGAGGAATGGAAAGTCAAGAATCCGGGGATCAGTCGTTTGACAAGGACTGCCACTGCGGGTAGACAGCAAACAATAATGGCGATGGCCAACTCGATTCCAGTCCAATTAAGAACATCCGTGTAATCCCACGTCGGGTTCGCCGATCTTCCAAACATGGTCAAAAATCGTAGACGGATGCTGGATGTGATGACAACTAAAACGCCCAGATTGAACATGACGAAGATGCCCCATTTCGCCCGGGTGTCCACCTTTAGTTTGAATATGGACGGTAGGGGTAGCGCGATGATGACGACGTCCTGGAAGATGCTGAGGCCGGCAGCGATATAGACAAGAGTGTGGATGTCCATACATTGATCTCTGTAGAACTGGAGGCGCCAGCCGAGCCAGACCAATTCCAGAGGTCTGCACTGAAAGATCTGGACGAAAACCATGACGATGGATGGGAATACGACCACGCCCAAGGTGGCATATGAGGCGATCCTGAATGTTTTGTCGTTGAATATTCGAAGGTAAAACACAACGATAGATACTTTGCACAGCCCAAGTGCGACGAGGTATAATATTTCGGAAACATAGAAAAACTGAGTTTCGGCAGGTCAGCATTATCACCATTCATTTTGGCGATGGCGAAACGAGGAGGGCATGTCATTACCTTGAGAGCGGTTATAATCTGATCGTAGTTTTGGTTCCACATGTCGATTCCGAATGCCAACTGGCCAGCTAGATGGCTTATCAGTTTTTGAGAGGCTGTCGAAGATTTAGCAGGCCGACTTACTGTACTTGGCACAAGCAAGATACGCCGTGTAAATTGCCTAGAAAGCGATTCTTGTTAGTCCCACAGTCTTTCCTCTTCAATACCCAAGATTACGGTTGGGGAAAGAATCGTGACTAACCCCAACAACAAGCATGATGTAGTCATCAGTCTCCCACTGGCCGATTGTGAGCCATCTAGAATATAAACGGATCCATGGCGAGACCCAGGCTGGTCCCTCGGCAATGAGCGGGAGGAGCATCTGGTATCGACGATTACGGTACGGTCGGTCGCATGCTCTGGCTTCGATCTTAGCGACCTCTGTTTCAAAACAGTATTAGCCTCTTGTACTTCTTGGTGTTCGATTTCGTGTCGCATACCGAGTGCGTCGGTCGAGTTACATTTGTTAACGATGCAGGCCTGGGCGGTGGTGTAGAAGTTGTTGTCGCTGCAGATGCATGTCGCGTTGTAGCCGCATGATGACGACGTTTTGATGACGTCCACGAAACAGTTGAGCTGTTAAAAGAAAACGGTCAGTCAATCTCGTATTCTTGCCGTCATGCATGGTAAATGCGATGGGGACATGGCCGGATGGGCACATCGAGAATGAAGCACAGGAGAATCGTACCCCACATGACGGCAGCTTGGCCAGTTCTTCGATGATGTTGAATTCTGCCTGGGCGCTCCCGATCCATGCCAGAAGAAGCGTGAGTCTAACAAACAGCTGCTTCGTAGATATGGCCATGGCGCCGGCGCGCACTTTTCCGTGGCTATCGGCTCTTAGCAGGTTGCCGACAATTAGGTCAATAATGTGATGATTGTGAAGTTAGAAAATCGGAGCAGCAATAATAAGTGAATGAACGAAGAGATGCCTCGACTAGGTTAGGGGGAGAAAGACAGGGGATGATGGAGATGATGCCGTTTACGTCCATGTCTCCGTCCGTTCCAAGATCTCTGCGTTCTGAAAACGAGGAAGCCTTCCAGCCATGGAAGGATTTACTGCAATGTAGTCAGCTAAGAGCAGGGGATTGATAACTCTATACGCTGAAGCGGCAAGTCCCGGTGAGCCCAACAGGAGCAAACGGGGTGACCGCAACTCCAACTCACCTCGGTCTATGGTCTGTCAGTTCGCTTCTGCCGAACTTTTGTCTTGGCTGCCATGCACAATTGCGTCGGCGGAGAATTTGATCTTCGTCGATGAGAACCAATTGTCCTTGCCAACGGTCGATGGGGGCCGCCCACATGGTTGACAAGGACCTGGTTCCATGCTGAATTTTGGCTGGGATTGGTTGATTTCCTGCAGCTCGGAAACACCGTTCTGCCCAATGAGGGAAGTTGCATTGTCGACCAGGGGGAAGGTGTTTGGGAGGGCTCATTAGCTGCCCCCTTACAGGCTTGCTCTCCCTCCATTCAGGATGCACTGGCTGGGAAAGAGACCACTCGGCAGGGGGAGAAAACTAATAAAGCAGGTGATTCAGACCATGGACCGCACCACACATCCAACTGCCGGCACACTGAATACGGTGGGTGGGCCAATCCTTCGACTCCCTTGTTTCCTCGCTAGAGAGGAATCTATCTTTGGGGCCAGAGCGAGGAGGAATTGAATGAGGGGGTCGCGTTCGAAAGATATAGGCCATCTGTGTAATATGTGCGCCATTAGCTGCTTCACGATGCCGGTCGTGGTTGTCATCGAGTACGGCAATTCCGAACCGAAGAGGAAGAAAATCATGCAGGCAGCGTGACGAAAGCACGGAAGCAGTACTGCATGTAGCCTTGGTACGCTGATAACCTCCACCTTCCACAAATATCTTCAATGCTACGACGGCTGCAATATGGAAGGTGAAGCACACAGGACTGAGCATCTGCCAACTCTTGGTATTTGCGGAACTGAGATGTATTTGGCCGCCTGTCTCCTGATAGCTACTCTGCCTCTACGCAGCGCACATGATGAGATTTCTTAGCGAGCTTTCCTGACTAAGACTTCATCTACGTTGTCGGTGGTGTTCAACTTTCCCCGTAGATGGCAATAGGGCAGGGGTCTTGTAAGACAACTCCGAGAATAAATGCCAAGCTTCGCGTATGCGGGGAGTCAGCGTAGTTCACTTCGATTGGGGTTTCCTTTCTCTCGGGGGATGGCTTCTTTGAAAGATAGATATCCTTTGCTAGGTCTGTATCATTGGGTGGCTCTTTAGACTTAAAGATGACCTGTGGCACTTGATTAAAAAATGGCCACCAGCCCAAGCCAAACGCTCATTTATCGCATCTAATAAATCTATTATAAAAATTCGTTTATTCATGGGGTACCTAGCGAAAACTGTTTTCCATCTTACACCTTCACTGTAGCGCATTAAGAGGGATATCAAACTATAATGATACATGTTGAGTCAACGGAGAAGAATTGTTCAGCAATGAGCTGGCATGAAAAAGAGCCCCATTTTAGATTATGCTTTCGTTACCTTCTACGTGAGTAAATTAGGGTTTTTTTCAAAGAGAACGCGGGCGATCGAGGGAAGGGAAAGAGAAGGAATAGATCCTACTGGAGTCTGAAGATAATAGACCATAGTTAGGCCGAACACCTAGATAGTAAGGAGCTTCGGGCTGGCACTGTTCCTAACAGCCTTGAAGGTCTTGGCACTTCGACAACAATGACACTTTATTTTGATACAATTAGGCACAGTTTGGCTGAAAGAGTTGCACACAGAAATCATCCTATCGTTTTAAGCCATGGAAACATATGTATCCCCCAATCTAGAGACCGAGCTCCTTGATGATAATATTCGCGGCCTTCTCACCAACCACCATGGCAGTGTAGTTGGTATTGGCCGCGACGTTGCTAGGGATCACACTCAAATCCGCCAGCTTCAGCCCCTTCACACCGTACACGCTCAAGTTGTGGTCGACAACACCGTTCTTCTCGATCGGTCCCATCTTACAGGTGCCAAGCGAATGCCACGCGGAACCGACCTTGTCACGCACCCACTCATCGATCAAGGCGTCGTCCTCGGCAGTGTACTCAATATCACGGGTTTCAGGCGACGGCTCGCTCGAGAGATCCACACAGACGGCCTTGGAGTCCGCGGCGAAGGCGGGGTGGCCAGGGCCGAACTCGCCTCGGAACACGGGCATGCGGCGAGCGATCTCACGCTGCTTCTTATATGCCCAACGATGCTTTTTCACATCGACACCCTTGGCGTCAGAGAAAAAGCCGGTGTCGAAGTCTACGGGGTCGTCGAGTTCAGGGCCAGTAATGTGGAGATGGCCGCGAGACAGAGGGTAGACAGTGAAGACGGAGATGGCAAAATACTCTCCAGGAGGAATACCGGTAGGCTCACCGGGGAATCTGTACTGCTGTCAGTGACCTATTCTCAGTTGACTCAAGGAATCAACTTACGTGCAGACCAGTGCCATCATCATCAGAGGCTTGTTTCCGTCATTCTTGTATTCCTCATCCCAGAGATCCTTGAGCTCAGGAGCAAATGATGCCACGTCCTTGTCGTTAGGTCGGAGCTTGGCAGTGGCCTCTTGTGCGTTCCAGCCCAAGATGCCATGATTTTCCTGGATCAATTTGCCGACGTCCATTCGACCAGCAAGAACAGCGTCCATGGTCTCACCAGGCTCGAGATCGGCCTTATATGGGTAGAGCATAAGGTTGTGATCCTCATATTCATTTCCGACGCCCGGGACGTCGGCAACCTGTTCAATGCCCGCGCGCTTCAGCACATCGGCGTGTCCAATACCGGAGCGCTCGAGAATGGCGGGCGTGCCAAATGCACCCGCCGACACAATGACCTGCCTCTTCGCCTCGACGGTACGTTCCGCGACACCACCCTGAGCCTTGGGCTTGAAAACAACGCCGACGGCCTTCTTGTTGTCAATTAAGACCTTGACGACCGGCGCGTTGCAGACGACGTGCAAGTTGGGATGCTTGCCATCCTGCAGACGGGGTGTGAGGTATCGGGAAGCGGTATCCTGGCGTTTGCCGTCGCGCGAAACGAAACGGACGGAGCGCTGGACACCGTTGCATGCGTCCATGCTCGAGAGATCGTCAATTTCTGGCCAGCCGAGCTCACCCAGCGCAGAAACGAACTGATCCTGCAACCTGGGTGAGCTGTATGTTCCAGTGGAGACCTCAATTGGGCCATCTGTGCCGTGACGGTCCATTGAGCCAGGACCATGGTATGACTCGATCTTTGAGATACGGTCAGTCAAATTCCTGATGGTGTTGCTGCACAGAAGTAGGGGAGCGTACCTTCTTGATGAATGGCATCAACTCATCAGCAGACCAGCCTGGGATCTTCCATGAGTCCCAGTCGGAGCGCTGGGCACGGCTATACTGCATCATGTTGATGGCAGATCCTCCACCGAGAACATTGCCTGTAGGGACGATGATCTCACGGTCACCAAGGTTGCTGGACTTGTTACTCTTGAAGAACGCAGCAGTCGTGGTCGTCGGCGCCATGTTGGCCAGGAAGAGGGCCGGGTAGTCGACCGTGGGGTTACCAGCGCCATTGGGACCAGCCTCGAGCACGAGAATGGATAGATTGGGGTCCTTCTCAGCGAGGCGGGCGGCGACGATACAACCGGCGGTGCCTCCTCCAGCGATAATGACATCGACGGAGTTGATGTCGGCAGGAAGCTCAGCGTGCGATCCCATAGTGGATGGAAACAAATAGTAATTATTCAGTTGATAGGGGAGGGGGCTTTGGGTACGAGGCTGTAAAGGGAGATGTCGACGGAGATGAGAGAGTGCTTAAATAGGGGGAGAGGAGGTGAGGAGAGACCATGGCTCGCTAACCAACAGCCAACAGGCGACAATGAGGTAGACTAGAGGATCCATTTGTGCAGGATGCTCACATCAGGCAGGATGATGCGAGAGTCAATAGCTGGAGCTGCAGCTATGACATATGTATATGCACCTTGCCCAACTACAGGCCAAGTCACACCTCGGCCCCTAGCCAAACAACCAACGAGCATACCAAAGGTAGGTTTTCCAAACAATGTCTCTGAGTAAACCAACAAGTCACGATACGAGGGAGGTGCGCACATCATCAAGATCAGCCCCGCTGCGCTGTGTGCAGGTGCCTGCCATTCATTGACGGAGTAACTGTAGCATGCTGGTTACCAAAGTGCCCAAGTATGAAAACCAGCGTGATTCGGCGAGCCCAATTCTTACTAAAGAGTCTTACGTCTATTCTGTCCTAGTATTGTTTTTTTTTTTTTTGTGGGTTCAACGACCCATCTATTGTATTCCTATATCTGTACCATCTACTCTTAGAATTTTAGATACTTGATGGTTAGCACTACATCACATCCAAAAGGAACGAGCTGCTATTCCTTCTCTTCCAAGGAAAAGCTTTGCCCAGTGATTCCGTAGTTTCTAGTCAGTCGCCTCCCATACCGTCTAGCTGTCCAAAATGATAGCTTTCCGCTGGGGTGTGGCTCGTGGAAGTTGATGGCACTCTCTCCGAGTACCTTCCCATCCTTGGGAGTAAATCTCCATACTGAACCATACAGTTTCTCAGAATTAAATCCCACGGCACGCATAGCATGTAAGAAATCTGCCCAAGCCAATTCGCCTGGTGGTGCGTCTAATGAGGGCACGTGGAATACCACGCCAAAGGTGCGATATGCACGGTTTCTCAATGTGAACCGGGGAAGGTAAGCATAGAGATCTTGGGCATAGTCTAGAGGTGTCTGTGGACTCTCTTCGTCGTAACCCGAGCCCGGCTGCCCAGTTGTCTTGGGCTTCACCCTTATTTCCAGCTTGCTCTTGTTGAAAGGCTCGTCGGTCCACCCGTCGAACTTGACATTCGCTGGTTCTTGGTCCTCGATCGTTTGTTGGGCGGGTTTGGGCTCAGGTTCAACCCAGTCCGGGGTTCTTCGCAGCTCCTCCTTTTTGGGTACCCCAGTCTGAAGTCTCTCGATAGTTTCTGTGGACAAGTGCTTTTCGAGATGCGCATCATACTTGTCCCATATCTCATCAAGGTGACGCTCCGCTGCCTGTAAAATCTCGGTATTCTCCTTGGTGAGGCTCCTGTTGATCGGATATCTCAGCTTCCCATTCGACAGATCGACTTCTGCACCGAGACTCAAGTATTGGTCTCCCGAGTGTGTAACCGAAACAATCATTTTAAGATCATATAGTGGCTTCAGGACGTCCATAAGTTCAGAGTCCTTCAACACCCTTTCGACTCTTCAGGATCGAAGGTGAACTTGGCGCCCATTCTTGCGAAATACTTTGGGCTGAGCATGCGAACCTGTTTATGAAGCTCGCATGCCAGCCCAAGATCCGCGATGAAACGGGCCGAGAGAGCTGTGATCTTCTGTCGCTGTTGTTTGTCCGTGTGGAGAGATGGGCGAGTTCTATAGCGGCCACACTGAGTGGGACGTGCGAGTCACGATCGCCGAGCTTGGCCGCCAGCCAAAGCACCTCGTGCCTGTCCCATGATGGCCGGGTTCTTTAAGTTGAGGGCCCTCCCGCCATTGACAAAATGATCCCGCCAAGGAGGTGAGGATGGCAAGATGAACATGAGCTCGCGTGCTCCTTTTTCGATGACACGGAGCTCTAGGAGAGTGATGATGCGCCCCAAGATGTCACATCAACCAGGCACATCTTCCTCATCTTCACACCCATACTCGCCACTGGCAAACTTTTCATGGAGAGAGGCAAGCTTGCCGAACTGCCTGGCTAAATACCCCCACACCGCTATTCCCTCGTACGGCTCATTAATGGCACTGCCGGCGCTGCTGGACCACTCCGCCAGTTGTCCTTGTATGGTTTGGGTAGCAGGATTCGGTCTCCCGTTAGGAAATTTTACGTTTGCGCTCGAGTGCTCATGCCAATCTCCGACAACTTCCGCAAAAAAACCTGGCTCCTCACGCATAGCCCAGCCGTAGTCTATCCATTCTGCCATGCGGGTGCGGGCGAGCGAGGACAGCCGAGCGATGTCCACCTTCTCGGGGACGAGGTAGGGACGCGCAAGGGCCAGATCTGTTACCGAGGGGGAATCCTCTCCAGGGTGGAGGGGCAGAGGAGGGAGTTCTGGGACGACAGGGCCCGTCTCAGCGTACACCTCCAGCGGCTTGTCCTGCAGAATGAGAGCCACGATATCTCGTATAGCTTGAAGCAACGTTGCTTGAACATCGAGAACGAGTAGGCCCGTGGGCACCTTTTACAATGTTAGGCGGTTGCATGGTCTCTCAGGGGCACGATAAATACGACTCACGTTTGGGATCCTGCCAGCAGCCGCTTCCGTGGCGCTTGTTTCATACTTTTCAATCTTCCCATACTTCTCCGGATCCTCCGTCCACAAGTCCATACGATACGCCGCGCCTGGTAGGTAAAAGGGTGGAGGGCTCAATGCCTCGGCCCAGATGCCGAAGCTGAGACTTTGCTCATCCAGGACCGCAAACCGAGACGGAGGATGCCTCACTCTGGAATTGAGGAGAACAAGAATGCATTCCCGCGCGCCAAGTCCTCCAAGTTCATGTACGGAAGCGCATAATTCTTGTCCAGGCCGTTGTCTCTGCCAAATGCACCCCGGGCTTTGGATCTACGCTTGTAGGCTGCAAGGTCGGGTGCGTGGGCAGCAGCGATGTCTGGCCATACCCTACGGAGGAGATCCTGGCGCTGCCGGGTGCTCTTCTTTGCCCAACGCTTGCGGATAGTAGCCTCGTGGCGATCAAGCACATTGGTCAAGAGCGTAATCGCCTCCAAGATCGCCTTGGACGAGCGGGATGCTCTGTCTCTAGCCTCGGTAATGGATAAAGACCGTTCCTCGCCAAGGACGCCTCGGTTGGTAACAGAGACACCACCATCTGGAGCTACCGAAAAACGACGGAACTCACCCGGAGCAAGGTCGCCGCCGAGGAAAATGTCGACATCTGGCATTCTGCGATACGGACTCGTGAGGGAATGTGAGACGAGGTGTGTTGGTGCAAGGTTGTTGAACAAGGCAGGTTCGTCGTACTACCCAGGGCAACTCTCAAGATAAAGCTGAGGGGTTTATTCTCAGCAAGAGCATGTGTCTTCTCCAGGTATTCTACCGGAGCACCGTACCTAGACCCCTCAAAGTTCTTTGACTTGGAAAAAGGGTCAGTTGATCGAACCAGTAAAGGAGAAGGCAATCATCACTGCTTTGTAGGGTGTAGGACAAAGCGGTCGTCAATCACGGGGAGTTACAGCTTCTTAATGGATAGATGTCGTGAGTACCAGATAGACACGTGACAAGCAAACAATACAGCTACACCGCTTCTCTCCTATTTATAACGTGCCAAATGCCCAAGCTCTTGCTTTGATAATCAAGACATATTAGCCTCCTAACCAATCGAATATCATAGATAATGCGAGTAGTGGGTAGCGTCTGCAAGAGGGAGAAAGGCTTCCTCCTGCTAGGGGAATGATTAGCCGCTACCCTAGCAATTTCAACAGTTGTGCTTTACCTGGCGACGTCCCTAACAAATAGAAATTTACCAGTGACATAAGAAATGAGATATCAAATTGAAGGAATCCGCTTTTTGGTCCAACCCGTCACCACAGCCAACCTTTATGCCACCTGTTTCCACGGCTGGTCTATACGTGTCCCATCGACGACAAGAAGTATCCCCTAGCTGTGATCTTGCCGCTATGCATATGAATACACAGATAATGACATTTAGCGACGCCAGCGCCCTGACAGAGGACCTTGAGAATCTGCCATCGAATCTCTAGTGGAAGATTATACCACGAGCGTTACGAGTGATTCATATTGAAACTGGAAGCAGTGCGGTGGGACAATCATGGATTCCGTGAAGCGCAAGAGGAAGTCAGTAGCAGCAGTAGAGGAAATTTCTTGGGAACATTCTCTTGATTTTCTTTTCTTATTATTATCGCTACCATCATGACCGACATCATCACCAATATCAGCACCAGAATCAATACAAGTAATTTTTTATATATTCGTAAATTCTGATCTCTCTTCGTATCTGGAATATTATCCTGTCTGGTTTTGAATGGTTAACTGCAGGGATCAACACCTGTGCTGCTCTAGGAAGCCCGACCGCCGCCCCTCTCTGCCAAGCTAACATATTATTTATATCCTCAATTTCGATGTGCTATCAGGTAACATATTGATTTGGTAGCGGTAAGCGTTTTTTGCGGATCGCTTTATTGGCTCGCAATGCATTGGATTCGTCAAGGATGGACCTGGAAGGGTGATTTTCTTATTTTGGCATCGCTTGTTGATAACATCAAGTCATTTATTTCATGCAGGTGGCGGCTTCTTTTACTTAAACGAGGTTTAGGTCCTTGCTAGCATTCCGCCGTCGGATAAATATTCGGATTGAGCCCGCGCAAAACCATACCGAAAAGGTTCAGAAACAACCACAGCTCACGTCAGACCCTATCACCAAATCCAGAAGTGGTAGTGAATCCAGAGACAACGGCATAATCCCCATTAAGTAGATCTAAGGACGATCTCAGATCTACAGCGGCTATCTAGACTTGCAGCGCCACTTAGCGAGGCATTCTGGGGAAATGGCATTTCTCAATATGGAGCAAAGCGCGCGCTTGAAGGCAACAAAGTGTCTGCAGCTGGTGGTTCTCACGTATAAAAGATTGAGACATCTCTTTGAAAGAATGGTTCCATGACCGTATCGTCTTTGCAAGACAGTAGCGACTTGTATCAGTAATCTTCAATTCGATCTTCCATTTCTCTACCAAATTTCCGGGCCCCTCGATCTCAATGCCTTTCTACTATCAACATCACGGGAAGGCAGCCCCTAACAAATGGGTTGCCTTCTGGCGAAAGGTTTACAACCCTCTTGGCTTCCAGAAAGGATACAACTTTCCCTTATGGTTCATCTTTTGTGGCGCTGCCCTTGGCTTTTGCGCCTCTCGAATTATCTATCTGAACTACGATACTACGTTCAAGATGGACCACCTTGTTAGCGGAGATTGGCTTCACATGTCCAAAGGCATCATTCGGACTGGCACCCTTATGCACCTAAGTGCTGTTGTTCCAATCGGGTTCTTACTTCCCCTACAATTCCTCCCTATTGTTCGATACAAGGCTATGCTCTTCCACCGCATCACGGGATATCTTCTCATTTCTCTTCTGTTAGTCGGCAATGCAGGCGCTATCATCATGTGCACGCGTGCCTTGGGTGGCTCTGTTGACGTTCAAACTTTGACCGGCATGCTTGCTATAATGACGACCGGTTCCGCTCTCCTCGCATACATCAATATCAAGAGGCTCCAGATCGACCAGCACCGTGCTTGGATGATGCGGTGCTGGTCGTATGCATTCATTATCATTACTCTTCGCATTATCCAAGTCCCGATGATGCAGTTAGTTGGCTTGACTGTGGCGATATATATCCCAATGGACTGTGAAACAATCGACTTCTCAAATTCCAAGAACGGCGACAATCTGGCTGCTAAATTTTATCCTGCATGCGAGATAGACCATGACTCCGTTATTGGTGTCCTGGCGGATTTTACTCCCCAACCAAATGCTGACGGGCTGTTCCCGTTACATCAAATCGGTGCTGCAATCAGGGCGTCGTTCGGGCCAGCGGCATTCCTAGCCATCGCGATACACGCAATCCTGGTTGAGCTCTATCTCCATCTCACTCAGGCTGAGTCTGCTCGCTTGAAGCGGGTAAGTTACGAGCGGCAGAAGGCAAGAGGTTGGAAACGCCCAGGAGATGCAAGCTGGCTGACCCGGGAGACTTGGGGAGACATGGAACCTTTCGACTATACAAAGCAGCCCGAGAATAAAGACACCACACCGAAGAAGGTCAATCAAGATGGGGACGAGTCAGAAGTGAATGACGCGGGCGAGGCACATGCTCTTCGCCCGTTGGTGAATCAATCAGGTGAAGGGCAAACGACCGCCAACTTGGAGGACCAGCCATACGACCCGCACGCGTGGCACAGACAGGGCTAGTCACTTCCCCTAGGCTCATTGCCCTCTTTTTCGATTGCTTTTCTTAACTATAGTCATCCTAAGCAGGCCCGGTACAAGCATGTTTGATGAAAGTAGCTATCCAAGTGTTCATCTGTTGTATTCAATGTCTAAGACCTCTATAAATCAATCAGAAAATCGCAGACGGAAGTTGCTTCTAAGTTCAAATCCATGAGAGAAGTTATCCGCTTTGTAACACAATACTGTTATCCAAATTTGTGAGAGTTATTCATGCGTTGTGTCTTTGAGATTACAAAAGCTCCGTTGAGTTATTACTTTTGTTTCCCTGTCCACTTGGAGGCGGAATCTCTGTCTCATTAGGGAGAGGCTTCCCGAAGATTGGGTTGTTCTGTGCATCAAATGTGACCTTCTGTGCCATCGTGTATCGGTTTACCCCACAATGTCCGTTGGGGTTGGAAGTGGCGTGGAAAAGGTTCTGAATCTGCAGTTAGATGACAAGACTGAGATTGTTTCTCGTTGAGTAAATAGAAAACTTACCCAGATCTCGGTCCCATCTGGGGAGCTGAAAAAGGAGTTGTGTCCAGTTCCATAATGGCCATTGGCCGAGGACAAGACCGGCCCTGTCTTGTCCCACGAAGATGCCTTCAGAGGGTCCCCTCCGTTATAATGAAGCAGCCCAAGAGCATACTGAGGTGCCGAACAGTCTGATCCGGAATAAGACAGCCAAATGTCTTTGCCGTGATACAGTGCCTATCAATCATTAGGAGTCTGATTCGGAAGGGTTATCTTGCAGGGATAGCACTCACGTATGGCCCCTCAACCAATCCCTTTCCAGTACGCAGAGCTTTACTCCCAGCACCATCACCATCGAACTGCTCCCAGGGCTGGTCGGGTCGGCATATGACGTTCCATCCACCAACCTTCCACTTGCTCGTGTCTAGAGTAGCAATGCCGATGGACTCTAGCCCTTTTTCGTCGATCATGCTAAGAACATGATACTCACCTTTCCCTGGAATTTTTAGATACGACCCATCGATACTGTGGGCATTATTCTTTGAGGGGCCACCCCTCTGACCCTCTGGAGCTACCAGATCACCGCCGAAGGTGTAGGTGCAATCAGAGGGGTTTGGGCCATTACATCCGCGCAGGAATCTAGTACGGAAACCTTCGTTGTCCTTAGCACCTCGACTTGAATAGAATATAATCCATATCCCATTTATTCGGTGCATCTCCGGGGCCCAGATATCTCTATTCCGAGAAGTATTAGAATCCGTCCAGACGGTCTTAGTCTCCCCTTTGTTCAACCCTCCGATTGTGGGAGACTTCGTGATCTGAATGCGAGTCGCGGAGGTATAAGTACTATCTTTGTTACTATGACGTTAATGTTCTTGAGGTCTGATGTAGCTTACAGGTGGTAATTGCCATCCGCCCATACCATTGCTGGGTCTGCAGCTCCCTTGCGGATGGGATTATAGAAGCCCAGGGAACAACTGGCCTGCGCAAGCAGTCCAATGACCGAGAGAACCTTGAATGAACGCATAGTCTAAAAATTGGGAGAATACCTGGAGATAAATATGAAAGGTGGGCTAAGCGGCAAAGCTTCGAACGGTCTACTTTGGTTGAATAGCTCTCTAGCCAGAAGGAGGCGGTTTGGCCATGTCTTTATACTACGTTCAATATGTGAAGAATGTGAATTTAAGTCCTTTATCAAAAGTCTTCCGGCCATATACTCAGCAATTAAATTCGTAATTAAGTATGCATCCTTGTTATCATCAGGACCTTCAGTACCACTACGGCCCTCGCCGCATTACTGCTCCGCCCTCATCAAGTCTTGGCTCCAAGCCTCGCACTAAATTTTGCGCTCCAAAGAGGGGCTTCAGTCGATGATTATACATCACTTCTGGTACGTCAGAGAGAATATGAGTGAGCTGAGGCTGACTGTGACTACACAAGCCGTACTACGTCGACCATCAACTCGTGCAGTCCGGGCTATAGCTCCAAGCTTTTTGCGAGACCTCTCAATTATTTCATTATCTGAAATGCCATTTGAACTAAACTGACCAGTGGTTATGTGGAGTCAATTGAATGTCGAACTTCAGGGTCAGCTCCAACATATTTTCTCGGCATGCATGCGAGGAACAACAGCGTAGAATCTGACTGTTCACTTTCCAGGCAAGATCTACGAAAGTGGAACGGAATTAATTGCCAGCCTGGCTCCATTTGCGTCATACTGCCACTCAAACGATTTTTCCCTAACCAAAAGTATGACGCATTAATCTAAGTTCCGTGCGTCTGAACGACTAATACACCCATCTACGAATGTTCCCCAATGCTTTGATCCATGTGCCGATCAGATTACGATCCAAAGTAGGATATTTCCAGTCCATGCTTTCCAATTTCGCTGCGTCGTCTGACTAGTGAGCTCTGGGACTTTCGCTGCCTATTCTGTCACCCGAAGAGGCTCAGCAATCCTTCCCGTCCGTGCGGCCATTCATAGAAAGCATGTGCGTTGTTATGCCAAGAAAGCAATACGGGCATTCTCTTCGCCCAAGTTTTGATATGATCTTTTGATTCCAGCTTATTTTGTCCCCGAATGTTAAACATATCAAGGTCATCCTACAGGTTGGCTCTTTAGGGGTAACGCAGCACCGAAGGAATCACTTCTTTCAAAAACCTTGGATTCCATGGGTTTTCGAATAAAGACTTACCCATATTGTTAGAATTACTGAGAAACAAATAGTCAATACTTAGGGTCATTCTCTTCTTTGTCGCAGACGCTAGGAGAAACCTACCTTTGTCGAGACTAAGTTTGCATATCGGACCTATCAATTCGTTGTAGCAAGATACTTGAATAAATCATTAACCAGCAAGGAACCTCAAAAGACTAGCATCTTTCACTAAGCAACATAAAAAGCTGAGGAAAACTCGGCCTCGAGTGATTGGCTCAGTCCAAGCCCCTAACAATACAGAGGACACTCCTGCAGCCTTAACTATGATCATTGTGAGGGGGCTTCCTAGTCTTTGCGTATTCTCAGCGGCACATGCGTGTCTAGCGTGCGTATGAACAGAGTCCTATCATTTTATTGGTCATGCTTAATTCGCATGAAAGAGTTCGTAGTCACTTTGCGAAACATGGTGAGTTTTTTGTTTTAGTAAGTTGCGTTTTGTTAATCTTCTACCCCACATCGGGCCCAGAGACAATCTAAAACGTAATATATTTACCAGCACCCTTTCCCATCTCACCCATCCCCACTCAAGCATAGTTCCTATGAGGGTAACGCCGCATTTGAAGACTGCTTTTATGAGAGCTTCATTTTGACTTCCCCCTGAAACCCAATTTCCCGGAACAGGGTTGGTGGCGGTTCACAAATCTCGAAAATTCCCTCAGTGCGGCTCCGTCGCGGCATCTAGGACTGTTTCCTGAGCCATGATACAATCAGTCTAAAGGAAAATTGAAAAGGTTAGCCAAAGTAATTTCTCTTATAATATTACAGAGTCAGCGAACAAGCTTACCTCAAATATCAGTGTTCTCACCGCTTCGGCTTCTTCCACTGCCATAGCACCCAAGACTTCATTGATCTTGTCCAACGAGCCACTCTGAATTGCTGCTTTCATGTCATCACTGAATTCCTCAAAGATCCTTCGTCTTTCTTGTTCATCTTCGTCGCCGCTGTCTAGCTGAGGTGTATTGACGATCAAAGTCGAGTTGGGTTTCATGTGAATTTGAACTCTGACTCTCATGTTAATGCGCTCGAGGTACTCCCTGCTGATATCAGCAAGTTCCAGCAGCCTCATGAACTTGTCGAAAACCTCTCTTTGGAAGCCAACATGGGCTTTACTCTTCGGTCTGCTCATTGCCCGGAAGAAGATTTCCGCGCCGTTGGTGCCGAGTTCCAGACAGTATTGCAATACTGAGGCTTGGTGGACGTACCCTTGCACTCTCGTGTCATCGTCTAAGAAGCGAGCGATGTTGAAAGCGTAAGCCATCAGGCCGTCAACCTCTGAAGCATGAAGTACCGTGGGATGCGCTTTTATGAACTCGTAGCTGAAGCAGTAGTGTGATGGATAAATATGGGCAAACTGACTCGCAAGCTGAGATGGCTGGGCCGCCTTCAGATCTTGCTCGTCGGGCAGAGCGAGGGTGTTTTGAAATTCCCAAGGTGCATAAGGGCCTGCATCATTTTTGAATATAATGGAGTTGCCAAACTGGATTTGATATCCTTCACATTTCCTGTATGCCGCGTCTTCTTCTTCTAGCTGGTCTAGCTGCGCTGTGACGCCCACTAGCTGTTGTTGAATGTTTTGTTTTTGGGCGCTGAGCTCAGTAATATAAATCCTCATCCATGATTTGGGATATATAGCTGTGCCATGGGCCTTCTCTAACCCAGCGTTGACAGCATCACGGAACATATCAGTGTAAGAGCACAGATATTTGCCGTTTGACGCACGGGGGCGGGGTCTCGTCCCCTCATAGTCATGGACGTTGGCAGATATTGACGACGCCACTCGGTTGCTAGCCTCCTCCGAGCCCATGGTTTTGTCAAATTGTGCTTCCAGATCAGACTCCACAAGAGACAGCCAATTCACAACTTTCTCCCTGACCATTTTCTCATAGCGGCGGTCTCCAATCTTGACCTTTAGTTCGTGCCGTGCGTCGCGAGTCCGGTCCTGGTGCTTCCAGATCAATGATCGTGCATCAACATGTGGATGCAGATCGGTATCAGAGTCATCGCTCAGGTCATCTCTGTCCTATGAAATGTGTTAGAATGAGAAGTGGTTCATGTTAGGGGGGAGGATTGTATCACGTACCCATTTGCTACGAACATCCATCTTGTCAGCGCTGTGGGATAAGGGTATGTTTCGATTGAAGAACGTTGAAATTTGATGATACAAAATGAATTTGGAAAAGGAAATTGCATTCGGGCTTGCTGTATATATGCAGACGGTAAATCTGTGTCATTCAAGCTCTGACCATCCCCTTTATTCGAATATACAAAGCGGCCAAGTGTTGTCACATATAGGCATTCTGTTTTTTTCATTGTGTATAGTTTTTTTCACTTAACTCAGACTTCTGAGATGCTCAAAACTTCGTTCTTTTTCCCGACGACAAACCCTTCTAGTTCTTCACTTCACATTATTGTTTTCTAATCTACATCTAATTGATGGGTTCTGATCTTCATCTAATTGATGGGTCGCAAGTTGGCCAAGTTGGACACTTTATTGCTAAAAGATTTCAATGTCTCTTCTCTGCTCTAGCCGTCGATCTACAGATCCCTCTGTCTTACTCTCTCAGAACCCAGCTGCTCGAAGATAGCCGAAAATTTCCGAGTTTTCCAACCCCTTTTCGCCTCCGTCTACCATCTCATCATCCATCGACCATGGCATATTAACAATGCACTTCAATGACGTGCTTTCTATCTGTCTTAATCATAGTTATTATCACATTAAAAGCTTAAGAGCATCAAATCACAAGGCACTATTCTTCTTCTTTGGTTCGCAAAGAGCTCTACCCTGAGAGTTCATTCATAAGAATCCAATATGTTTAGAATTGAAAGGAAAGCATTATTGCCTTGAAAGATAACTAGAAGCTAAACCTCCGGAATTCATGTTGATCCATCCAGAGCTCGAACTAAGCAGTAGTAGATTTGTCGCTCTAAGTCTCTGCAGCCCTTCTTCTTCCAGGCACGAGCGAATATATTCAATTTCTCCAACCTCTCCTTCTGGAGCTCATCGCCGGTTCCATCTTCCCAATGCCGAAATTTTTCATCAATCGCTTCTTTGCGACCGTGTAGGTAGATACTAAACGGATGATTCTTGATTGCCGTCACTTCGCAATACTAGGGCCAATCTGCCTGACTAGGATACGATGCTCTGCTTATTCATTTGATCCCACGCATATTCCATTACCTCTGCCCAGGCTTTCTGGGAATCATCGCCATATAATTTGTAACATTTTACGATTGTTTCCTTCCAAACATTGTGCCGATTGAAATCATCCATTATGGGATTTGGATCCGGATGATCTTCATGGTTACCCTCTGGATCATCTCGAAGACCGTCTGTAGCCACATGTGTCGAAATTCCATCAATGGCAGGTGTGAGATCTGCAATTTCGTCGGAACTGTTGTCGAGAATCTCGTTACCAGTCACATGGCCTTCGTTCGCCATATCTGATGACCGCGAATCTGGCTCTATTAGTAGCTAATCAAGCTGTTCTACAGAGGACAGTAAAGGACTTACCTGTACCAATGGGACTATTTTCGGGCGAATCTGGCTTCAAATCCTCTTCACAGTTGCTGAAGTTGATCGTTTCTGGATCCCACCCGGGAGGAGCAAAGGCAATATATTGAGAGTAGCCGCCTTCAGGGTCAAGTCCAAACTGATACACCCCAGGCAGAACAACTAAAGCGTCTCCAACTTTGAGCCGACATAGGGAGTAATGGATATGGTGCTCGTCCAAGAATTTTAAAGAAGGAACAGCTCTTTGATGCATCACCCATTGGGTACAGCATCTTTCTGCTCTGGATGCTTCTTCAAACTTGTCTTCAAAGAGTTCAGTATCTTGTGGTTGAATGACAACATAAATACCAGAATACCCAGCAATTTGAAGAATGATCCAGCCTAGATCCATGATTCCTTGTGTTGGTTGGAAGAAGCACCGGTCTATACTGATCCACCCGTGAACGCCTCCGACGGAAGGGTCTATGCTTCCGTTTTGGATGTGTCCTCTCACTGCTTCGTCCTCTGGAAGGTCTGAGACTCCGGCCATAAAGCTGAGCCGTAGTTGATGTCGGCGATTCTTCGAGCAACGGTCGCTACGAATGGGGTTGAACTCGGCCTCTAATAAGTCGCGTGCGTTTTCGTTGAGGTCCATTGAGCCGGTTGATGGCTGCTGATACTGCCATCGCTTCTCTCTATCTTGGGCTAAGTAGACCAAGTTATGATCTATCTGTTTCCCCTTCATCGCTTTATATACGAGCTCATGATGATTATCTTTATCAAAACCCCGGTAAGATGACTCTGGGAACGGATTACTGGTGGTTGCGGACAAGTGACGGCAATCGAAGCGGTAAGCCCCGACCTGGGAATTGGAACCAGCTAACTCCTTAGCCTTGGCTATCAATCCCTTGAAGTCGGCGAGACTGGCTGGCGTGTAGGGAACTTCTTCAGACAAGGCGCTCATTTTGCGTGAAAGTCGATGGGCCAGTGCGTGTTATGATTCCAGCGCGTAGAGCGAAGATGGCTTAGGGGTAAATAAGAAGCACCACCAGACGAAAGGATAGCAGCTCCTTTTAAAGGTTTGCGATCGATATAGCTCTACTACGTTTAGATGGGCACCTGTTCATCTTCACGGGTCATTTGGGTCCGGCAATCTGCGTGAAGTGCCAGCGTACCATTGATCATGTTGGTTGCTTGAGATGTACCATCCCACACACATTAGGACAAAAAATACCTCATAATAAGCTTACTAGCGAACATTATTCATGGCAGTGGATTAAGTTTCACTCTGTGCTGTTTGTTGTATTGATGTGTGAGTAGGAATTGTCGTTACTGCATAGTAACAGCGTGAAGTAGAATCACGCTCCATGTCTCATATGTGCGTCGATAAGAGAGACGAACCTGATGTGAAGCTCAATAGGTTCGCACTACGTTCGGCAACGACACCATCCTACTTCAGATAAAATATCCCCCAAAAAATGAGGTCATATGTATTCTGCGGGGGGTGTAGAGAACTACAGGGCGATGACGTTGCTCTCGGCAAGCAAAGCTCCTAGGGAGAGAATTTCCTTGGACAACATGACATGTGTGAAGTTTGTCGCATGGCCATAATATCCTAGCAGCCGAGGGCGGCTGTTCCTTTGCCCCTGAGCCGATCCTAAACATTTCCCTCTAGCAGGAGCCCGCCTCTCCAACGATCGCCGCCATACAGTCGCCCTCTCTACCCTCCTTCACCAACTTTATCGTCATCGGATCCAGAATCACAAGCCAAGCCATTGCTAGAAAACACTTCTACTGGGTCGAGCTCAGGCGTCCTGCCTCATGTCACTGTCCATTGTTTTATTATAATAGTTTTATATATTAAGTTTATTTATTTTATGTATTTTTATTAATTAATTTCTTTTATCTCTAATATCATTAATTAACTACTTTTTTATTGTATGATTATATTAAAGAAAGAGTAATATCTTTCCTTTTAGAGAAATTTTTCTTAATTATAAAGCCAGGGATTAGAATACTACTATAGAGAATTCTTTCTGAAGGTATCTATTGCTAGATTTTTATTGGAATGATATCGCTTGGAGAAGTGCTAATTCAAGTCATCAGCGCGTAAAAACAGGGATCTTGTCAGTGGGTCATACGCTGGCAGTGCTTACGAATCCACACAGTCAAGATAGCAGCAAGCAGAACATTTTGTAAATGGCCAACGGAAAGCAGCATCTTTGGGCACCATATTGACTTCCAGATATTTGCGGTTGAACTTTTGCCATCAAGTTAATCACGAGCGGGCTGTGCTTTATATGAAGGCGAGGAAATCGGAACCCATCAAGTCGGAGCTTATATATAGAAATAGCAGCCTGGTAAACCTGTTACTTTAGCGCATTCCTACAGGAGCAGGGAATAAGCACATAGGGGACTTTTGTTTGACCACCTATACTTGCAGCATAACCATACCATCATAGTACTAGCCGATGACTGTGGCTGCGACTATGTCACCTCGCTAGGGAAAACAAGCCATAAGGCTGACCCACGGAAACAGAGGCTTGGCCCTTCGGCTTTTCGAAAGCTGGCAGGCATGGAATCGTGAATCATCAAACTACAGCTCACAACATTTCTTGATCAAAAAGCGTAGAATAACACAAGTGTAAGACCATTGCACGGCCCCTTGCCGCTACAGAGTCCATCTCCTTCTTCATCGTCGATTTGGCTGATTAGCCAACAAAGCCATCCCGCAGAGTCCAAAATGTACGAATCGTGGTTTACATATCCGCTCACTAGACCCTATCCTTTTCGGTGGTTCACTCCAGTCGTAATAGTGGGAGGTGTTGCTCTCGCTATACTGTTCTCATTCGTCAATATAGCTTCGAATGGACACTTTCTGAAGCCCGTATATACCGAAAACCCGAATACCACCCTAGCCTCAAGTCTGCGGTAGGATTCATTCTCCTAGAGTCTGACAACTCAGCTAACGGATTCATAGGTGGTATATGAAACCTCCTTTCAACTGGGATACAACGTTCAAGGCACAGTGCCAGTCAAGCATTATTTCTGTTGGTGATAGGCTCTTTAGTTCTTCCCTGGGGCTCCAGTATGAAGTCCAATCTGTTGTCAGGGAAAGTGACCAACTCACGTTGCCATCTGTTGCCTACTTGAATAATCCACTTGAAGATTGCTTTCTCCAGAGCTCGGCGCTCGAGCTTCAGAAAGTTGATAGGGCGAAGCAACCTTCTTGGTGGATGTCTTGGACAACATCCAAAGCATCAGCCTTGGCGTCCTGTAGGATCACAACAGATCAAGGAGGTGTCAACCTCACGCTCGCACTACAGTTTACTGGCGGCGAAGTGTCTATTATTAATAATAATACCTCCACGCATGCCAGTACTTGGTGGGGCCAGATGCTGATCAGGAATTACTTTTGGGGTGTTGTGCTCCTAATGTCCCAGATAGACATTCCTGAAGGAGTTGGAGATTACATCTCGATTGGGCGAATCAATTATATAAGAAATCAATCTGAGACGGAGTAAGTGCAATCCCCATTGTTCAACAGCCATGATCTCAACGTTGCCTGACACGAACCCAAGCATCAAATCCCGAAACTTTTTTAGCGACAATCATTGGTTTGTTTCGGATGCCTCCTCCATCATTAACACTGAGCAAGATGTCAGTATACCCTCTCAGGACCCTACCCTATGATGTGGGTTGAAAGAAGCTAATTAAATTTCGGGGCTGTAGATTTTCATACCCGTGAAGGACGAAGGGCGCCATTATACTAGGCTTCTACAATCCCTAGCATCATTAGATATGGGCAACTGCCAGTCTCCCAATCTTCTTCTAGACCAGGAGAATCTAAAATATGCCATCATTGATTTGAACAGTACGAGTCGGAGACCAGGCGGGCTTCTTTACGACAAGGCGGAGGATATGCTTAATCCCACTCGAGCGGTGCAGATTGGTTATCCCGACAACCCAGACGAACTGATATTTCTCAGCGAGGCATACGACAAGATATCTCCCAAAATGGGAGGTCTTGAGTGCAGCAATGCAACCATTGTGAAGCAATACCTGTGCTCGGTCCCCCATCAAAAAGCCACCGGCACGATGCTGGTATCCATCCTGTTGACAAACTTAGTCTTCCTGCAAGCGGCATGGAAGCTTCTGAACCTGATCTCTGAAGGTATCATGTGGAAAACAGGATCTCGTGTGGATATTTGTCAGGGCTGTATGAACAGGGGTTACCGGGATGTTCAACCAGATGGGCTAGAACTATGCGACATGCCAATGGCTGGGGAAAGAAATACAACGTTACCTGGGGATGAAAGCTCGCAGAACTTGTTACAAGATCGAGAGGGGGAGAACACCAAGCCCACCTCTGTAGTATCCGTTGTTTAGATATAGAATTGTGTTGAAGGCCTAGGTTTAGTTACTGATACTCAATCTAGTCAAATGGAGTTTTCTTGTGACCTTTAGAACTTGAAGGCTTGATTCTCAACCTGACTGATCGATTTATTCATCCCGCTTATTATTATGATCATTTTCAGAATACTACATGATACGCTACGCAAATAATTCAGATTATTTCAAAATAAGGCACGGCGGGAACAGAGTCTCAAGGAACGAGTGCGGTTCAACTAGATTCCCATGCCTATGTGCGATCAAAAGACGGATCTTCGTTTCTGTCATGATCGTGTGATGCATCACGCTTACTTTGGGTGTTATCAATACCCCTCACAAAAACCCTGTTTGAGACAAAGAAGGATGAGCGATCGCCAGGGATATATCCATATATTGTGGCCGAGTTGAGCGTTAAATCGTTTTCGAGCGTCAGCATTACAGCATGCAATGCGGCCATAACTCGGTCCTTCTTATAGCCCGCCTGTTCTGATTTCTTCAGCATTTTAAAAATCGGCAAGCATCATTTACAATGACCATGCCCGATCTTCTTCAATTTACGTCCAGTGATTATTTCGGGAGGGAGCGATCTCGAGGCTTTAACCATCTGTTTCTTGCCTTTTAACCACTCACATGATGGGCAGTCTTATTAAAAAGCTCACTTTCCTCACCAGTATACATACATGCTCATGGGATGGCCGTAGCGCCTAATGTTCTCTCCTACCCAGGAGAAACCATCACTTGGACACCTTGCGGCGAGGCCGAGAACCACGCCCTGGAATGCAGTTCCATTGATGTGCCTATGGATCAATTCAACGTCCAAAGCCCGGGTAACCAAACCTTCAACATACCCCTGATCCGTCTCCGAGGGCGCGATGCGCCTGAGGGGAGAAATCTCATCGTCAACCCTGGAGGTCCAGGCGGAAGCGGACTTCAGTACATCTATTTGAAGGGCGCTGAGGTCAACGCCATTGTTGGAGAAGGTTATCATTTGGTTTCATTCGACCCGCGCGGCGTCAACACATCACGTCCACTGGCTAGTTGTTACCCTGACAGCCAATCTAGGCAAAGGCTGTCACGGGTGAGGAACGTTGATCCGGTATTGGACAGTGGAGAGATTTTTGCCTGGGCCGATAACTACGTGCAGGCTTGCGCCGACGTCATGGGCGAACATGGCATCTATATAAATACGCCTCAGACCGCGGCGGACATGAACAGCATCCTAGATGCTCTGGGCCAAGACAGTATGGCCTACTGGGGGTTTAGTTACGGGTCTCTTCTTGGTCAGACATACGCCGCCCTATTCCCAGAGCGATCGGAACGCATCATCGTGGATGGAATCATCAATATCTTCAATTGGTATAATGGGACTGTGGACCACGAGATGTGGACCGATACAGACACTGTTTTTGATGGCTTCTTTGACGAGTGTATCAAAGCTGGCAAAAATTGCCCCCTTTCTGAATTCGGCATGGGTTCAAAGGAGGTTCTCAAGAAGCACGTGATGGACTTGGGTGATCAACTCAAGGATCAGCCAGAATCCGCGTATATCAATTCTGCAAGGTACGGCCTCATCGACTATCAGAAATTATTTTACGATGCAATTTTCCCGGTACTATTCAATCCAGCATCGTGGTATAGCTTTTCGCTCATTCTTGCGTCGTTCATGAACGGAAACGCCACAACCATGTTCGCTGTTTTCAGCTCTGACAGCGCGTACACGGCAACAGATGATGCCAATAGCATCGTGCACCTTAACGATGCACAAACTGGCCCTGAGTATTGGCCACAAGATCGCAAATCATTCTTGGATATCATTCTCCCTGGAATGAACAGCTCAAGATGGGCAATGATAGAAAATGTGGAATACTACAAGAGACAAAAGTGGCGAGCACCAAAAACGCACACATTTCTACCAACACGAGAGATAGAAACCGCTCATCCGATCCTTATTTTGTCGGCAACTTACGATCCTGTGTGCCCGCTCAAATCTGCCAGGGTCGCAAGGGATGCCTTCAAGAATTCCCGACTCATTGAGGTTGAGGGCTACGGCCACTGCTCCAGCTCGCTTCCGTCTTCATGCTTGACGGCATATGTTGGAGATTTCCTATATAAGGGAACGCTACCAGAGAAAGATGTTCGATGCGCGAGCGAAATGGAATATTTCAAGCCTCCAACAAGACGGGACTTCTCCCCGCATAGTTTTGCGGAGGATAATCTGATAAAGGATTTGTACATGGCGCAGCTAAGGAGAAGATAAAAAGTATAATGAATACTGCTGCGGCACTAAAATCTTTTACCATTTATTACTTAGTCGTTCGTTGATCCTCAATTGGTGAGCGGGATTAAGTGCCAACTCCATGTGCAAGTTGCTTGACTTTCGTTATCAGGTGATCGAAAACGAGCCAAGAATCGTAATTTGGGTCCGGATCTCGTCGCTAGTAACACCTCTTATTAATTGAAAGAAATGCTCTCGCTTTAGCACTAGTCATGTTTTTCAGCTCGTAAAGTGCCTATGTAGCAGCCAGTTCAAGCCAACAAGATGGGCTTTGGCCTGATTTCTCTGATTCAATGCAATATTTATAGCTATGGGCAAATAAAGAGCAACATTATCAATCTCATTCGGCCATTGTCGGTGGAAAAAAAAGATGGACGAACAGGGAATCGAACCCTGGACCACTCCCAGTACGCTTATGTGCAGACCACATGATGCTAAGGGAGTATTATACCACTAAACCATTCGCCCAGGTCTGTTGTTGTTTTCTCCGCTTTTCGTTGAGCAACCAACATCAAATCTTCGACCGATCAAGTCGCGAGAACAATAAATTGAAGCCTGGAATTACTGTACGTCGACTCGATCTTTTGTCAAACATGATAATTTTTGGTTATTCGTAGGACTTGGGTGGGTAAACCGGAATAAATCAGACCAGGGGAGAGCGATAGTGGCAACCCGATATAGGGATTCAAGCAAATGAGCAAAACCTCAGAAACAGTCAAAAAGCAGATGGCAGACGTGGTTTGCCCTTCACGAGCCATAGGCGGTTCTTACGTCGCGAAATGAGACAATCACCGGGTCAAATTAGAGAACTATGTATGTGATGGCTACCGGGGCAGCCGAAAACCACCAACAATGTGTAATTGTAGGCTATGGGTAGGCCCAATCAAGCATAAGTGGCTAATATTCATTTCTAGAAGTGGCTGCATAAGTCTCTCACGTAATTGGGAGCAGGGTTAGGCAGCAATGCAGGTTGCAATCTCATTTGTCACAAAGTACATTTGTGTCTCAGCCTACTTCTTCAGCTGAGGCAGACTCCTTCCAACCTTTTCCCCACAACAACACCTGCCTCTGCACCACTGGATCCCTCCCTGAGGCCGAATTTATTTTGTTGAATTGAGAGCTGACTTTCTAGCCATTTGACAATTTTCGTGGTCGTATAGTTACAGCTCAGTTGTTTGGGAACCAGCTGACACGAAGCCCCCAGCCCAAATATCTGCTTGTCCTTCAACTGCAAAAAGTTCCTCCAATCATCCTACGACAGCTCCTCTTGCGAAAACTCCGACCTCACCTAAAGGAGCCCGCTATTCAAATATCTACAATCTCACGGCAACAAGGAGATCTCACTTTATGGCCGCCTCTTGTTAGCGATGACATGCTCGCACACTCCGTCTTCGATGCTAGAGGATGCTGCGCCGTCATGGAATACGATCGTAAAAGCACTTCTATGTGCGCTTCTCGGGGCGATTACATATGCATTTTTGCAAAATTCTATACCACCTATCCTTCCTCAGCGGAACGGTCGGCTAGGGAAGGCGGATGACCTGAACCGCGATGACCTTGCGTCCGGAATCGAACGTAGCCGTATACTGGGGGATGAGACAACATCTCCTGGCACCCAAAATGTCGTTCATCGAAGGGCTGTAGCGGATAGAGAGAAAATTCCCGAACACTCTCCCACTCAAAGAAAGGCCGTCAAGCTACCAAAACGGAAACTTAGCCGAGGAGAATACACTGTGGGCTGGATCTGTGCCATAACAGTAGAGCGCGTTGCCGCAGAGGTATTTCTAGACGAGACGCATGCGAACCCAGAATATAGAGACGAGCATGACAACAATATCTATCTCCTAGGCAAATTCGGAGAGCACAATACTGTCATCGCTACATTACCGGAGGGGGAATACGGCACAAACTCTGCAGCAACCGTCGCTAATAACATGGTTCGCAGCTTTCCCAATATCAGAATTGGACTCATGGTTGGGGTAGGGGGCGGCGCGCCGAATAAACAACATGACATACGCCTCGGTGATGTCGTGGTTAGCTCTCCTGGTAATGGGCATCATGGAGTGTTCCAATATGACTTTGGTAAATCGGTCCAAGACGAGGCTTTCCATACGACCGGGTTTCTCAATGCGCCCCCAACATTGCTGCGAGCCGCCGTGGCCACCCTCAAGGCGCAATACGAGATAGACGATTGTCAACTTGGGAATATGATTGATACGCGCCTTCGGACTAGCCCAGTATCATGGGAAGAGAGGTATAAACGGCCGGAAATCAGCAGCGATATACTTTACCGTTCAGATTTTAAGCACCGTTCAAATGGTGACGACTGTAGGGCCTGTTGCGGATTTGATTCTAGAGTTATTATGACAAGACGGACAAGATCGTTCAACGACAGACCACTTATCCACCATGGTTTGATTGCCTCTGGAAATAGCCTGATGAAGGACGCCAGAATTCGGGACAAACTCGGAACAGAGAAGGGAGTTCTCTGCTTCGAGATGGAAGCCGCTGGTTTGATGAATCACTTTCCTTGTTTGGTCATTCGGGGTATCTGTGACTACTCCGACAGCCACAAAAATAAGGCATGGCAATCCTATGCAGCTGTGGCAGCTGCTGCGTACACAAAAGATCTGTTGCTTCAAATACCCCCATCGGCAATCCAAACTGTGTCGAAGGCCAGTGAAGTCTTATCCGGTACTTCTCTCTCAAACCCTAGCTAGACTTCTTCTTATATTAATCATGGTCTAGAAATCCGTCAGGTGGCGCGGGATCACCTCAACATTGCAAAAGAGAACCAAGAGACTTCAAAGGAGAGAGAGAAGCACGAGTGTCACCAAATCTTCCGCTTAACAACAAGTGGTAAAGATACTACCTACGAGTGGTACAAGGATAGAATAGAAAAGCGGGTAGAAGGAACTTGTTCTTGGTTTCTTCGCCATAGCAACTTCAAGAGCTGGCAGCAACAGGAATCCGGCCCTCTCTTAGTGTCTGCAGACCCTGGGTGTGGGAAATCTGTGCTGGCAAAGTATCTTGTTGACGAAGTCTTGCCTGGATCAGCAACCACCTGTTACTTTTTCTTCAAGGACCAAGACCAAAATACCGTCCGACAAGCACTTTGTGCTCTCCTCCATCAACTTTTCACCCAGAAACCGGCTTTGATTGAACATGCCCTAGAACTCTTCCGACAGAACGGCAAGGGCCTAGTGGACAACAAGGCATCGTTGTGGAAAATCTTGCAATCTGTAGCCCAAGATCCCAGAGCAGGGCCAATAGTACTTGTTTTTGATGCTCTTGACGAGTGCAGTGAGCAAGAATTTACAGAGCTGATGGAAATGATAACAAAGCAATTACATGAAGGCAAAGAAAACCAAAGCAAGTTGAAATATCTGCTCACAAGCCGCCCTTATGAACAGATAGTGTCCGAATTCCGCCTCCTCCTAGATCAGTTTCCCTTCATCCGTATCCCTGGAGAAGACGAGTCCGAAGCCATCATTAAGGAGGTGAACCTTGTCATTTCGCACCAAGTCGATCAACTATCAAAAGCGAAGGAACTATCACCCGAGATCAGCAAAGCATTGAAACGGAAATTTCAGGAGATTCCCCACCGAACATACCTATGGGTGTATCTTGTATTTGATGTTCTAAGAAGGACGACGATAAAGAAGACAGCAAAAGCCTTCGAAACTTTTGTTTCCACACTTCCTCGAGATGTCAATGAAGCATATGAGCAAATTCTCAATAGATCTGAGGATCGCGGCATGGCTCGGAAAGCTCTATCTGTTATATTGGCTGCTTACCGACCGTTGACCATCTCAGAAATGAAAGTAGCCATGAATATACACGACGAATCGATATCCTTTAGCAGCCTTGACTTGGAGACTGACGAAGATTTCAGATCAACTTTTAGAAGTTGGTGCGGCCTGTTTGTTTCGATCCATCACGACAAGATTTACTTCCTCCATCAAACAGCACGTGAGTTTCTGTTGGGAGAATCACCCCGAGACACTTCATCAGAAATAAAATGGCATGGCTCTATTTCTTATGAATACGCACATTGTGATCTTGCAGAGCTCTGTGTGCGCTACTTGAACTTTTTCAACTGCATGGATGATTCATGGGTAGATGCGAAGCATCAAGGCGCCCAGCCTTTCCTGGATTACGCGGCCAGCTTTTGGGGTGACCACTTTCGCATAGCAGAAAATGCTTTACATAGTGAATTCTTGCCCCTCGTGCTACGGATTTGTAATCCGGACAGTAATGCCTATCAGTCATGGTTCATGATCTTCCCCGAAAGACACTTTCCAGTGGGAACAAAGTTTACTGAACTTATGATGGCATCATACTTGGGGCATGTCACGGTGGCCATGCTTTTGATTGATCAAGGCGCTGATCTTGAGTCAAAGGACAATAAATGGGGCCAAACGCCGCTCTCATGGGCAGCACTGAGAGGCCATGAGGCTGTTGTTAAGCTTTTAGTTGATAAAGGCGCTGACCTTGACTCAAAGGACAATGAATGGGGCCGTACGCCGCTCTTATGGGCAGCACTGAGAGGCCATGAGGCTGTTGTTAAGCTTTTAGTTGATAAAGGCGCTGACCTTGACTCAAAGGACAATGAATGGGGCCGTACGCCGCTCTCATGGGCAGCACGGAGCGGCCATGAGGCTGTTGTAAGGCTTTTGATTGATAAAGGCGCTGACCTTGACTCAAAGGGCCGTAAATGGGGCCGTACGCCGCTCTTATGGGCAGCAGAGAGCGGCCATGAGGCTGTTGTATGATTGATAATGGTGCTGACCTTGAGTCAAAGGATGAATATGGCCGGACGCCACTATGGCTGGCGGCAAGTGATGGCCATGAAGCTACTGTCGCGCAATTGCTCGAGAAACGTTGCGGTGTAGACGAAGAAGATAAGAAGGGGGTAACACCATTAGTAGCGGCTGCGACAAGAGGCCACTGGAACATCGTGGATTTGCTCCTTGAAGCAGACGATGGAGCTGATGATTGGGGAAGCTCGCTCTGGACTGCATCCGTTATTGGGCTTTATGATCTCGAACGGCGACTCAACCAGGAGCCGAATGCAGAACTGCAGGACTTGTTTGGCATTGAGGCGCTGTTCTCGCGAAACGTCCTCTAAAATACCTGGAGATTTATTCCGCCCAGAATCTGGCCGTGGGCTTTGTTGTATCGTATAGAACAATTTATCTGCAAGTTGATCACGAACATCTTTCCTCTCACAGCCTGAGCAGGTATGAGAAGCTTCATCCGGGTCTACCCTACGGCAAGCGAATGCGAGACAAAAGACCGATCATCATTTAGCTTCCCTCTCGAAGGACACGAAAGCTATGGATTGATTGATGAAGATTACATTGCGCAAAATAGAGAATAGACCCAATGCACGATCAAAAAACCACTTTCCCTCCATTTGGTTCTACGGAATGGCTTTGCTATAGAGACGGGATCAAGTTGATTCATAAGTGATGATCTACGTACGCGACCATGGATTTTACTCTCCAAGGCACCGACTGCGACAGTCAAATAGCCGCTGTAACGGGTGTGGAGCTTGTTTAGGTGATGATTCATCCATATCGGGCTTCAGGGCGACAAACAAAGTTTGCGAAACAGGACCTTTTATCTGGCGAGGTACGGGCCATGCAGCGCTCGGGTGTTGGATGTGCCCGAGGGGCTGCCTCGACATTGCAAAGAGTCCGAACTGCGAGCTAAACCAAGGGCCAGAGCATAAGCTAGGCAGCTCGAGCCCGAAATGACCACGTGCAGAAACCCTGTAGGGAGTAGCCTGGAGCACGATGAGTCAAACTAGCCATTGATAGCCACCACCCCGACCAACACTACCCAGCCGAAGCAGTCTGACTATGTCCCGCTAGCCTCTGGCCTGTTTTGCTTCTTGCTCACAGAGTTGTCTCTCTATCGATTCTAGGCTCTCACCCCTAACCCAACCAGGACCCCTTGATATTCGTCGTAATCTGGGCCCACCAGCCACCCATTCCAGTTCCCTTCTCGAGGCCCCCGGCCGTAATCTCATGCACATCGTACTACTCTCGTTCGGGAGGATTTGATTTCAAACCAGAGACGCTCTGCCAGGTGCTCGGGGCCGTCAGTGGAGATGTGTCGGGTGATCTACTACCCGCAAAGCCATCTGACTCGGAGCCCCTCGGACGGTGCCTTTGTCGCAGCTCGTATGCATCGCTTCGGGGCCACGTCGATTGGCTGCGTGCGTCGTCCGGCATCTTTTGCCGGCAGAGTTTTGTTTGACGTGTTTGTGAAGCGAGATAGAAATGTCCGATCTGGCTGGCCTAGATCAAAGTCCGGCCCTAAAATCCGCCCCTTGATGAAGTAGATGGCTTGCTTCATAAAGACGTTGCGTCCGTCCAGGCCAAACTGTAATTCTCACGATCTGCATCTTTGTGCAAACGCTCGTAACAGTCGCGTAATCCTAGCTTACTGACTGCCTCAGCGATTGGATTCCCAACACCCAGCAAAAGCAACAACCCCCTTCAACAAAACATAGTGGCTCAGGTAAAAGAAGAACCCGCCATGCTCTTCCGGAAAGAGAAAAAGGCAGAGCCTCCTGCCGCGGCCACGGCGCAAAATGAGGTCATCGAGGACGAAGCCGCCAACGACATGATGCCAACCCTCACGGCCACATCGACAGTGCCGCAGCACGAGTACCCCAAAGGCATCCAGCTCGTGCTACTGCTGGCCTCCGTCTTCCTGACCATGTTCCTCGTCGCCCTTGACCGACTGATTATCGCCACGGCCATCCCCGAGATCACCAACGAGTTCAACTCGCTCCCCGACGTGGGATGGTACGGCTCTGCCTACCTGCTCACCACCTGCAGTTTCCAGCTGCTGTTTGGAAAGCTGTACACTTTCTTCGCCGTCAAGGGCGTGTGGCTTATCTCCATCTTTATCTTCGAGGTCGGGTCTGCTATTTGCGGTGCTGCGCCCAATTCGACTGCCTTTATTATTGGACGTGCGATTCAGGGAATTGGCGGTGCGGGCATCTTCTCCGGTGCAATTGGTAAGATATCACTTCATTCTCCCTCTTCGATGCGCATCTAACAAACATGCTCTGTAGTCGTCATCGTATATGCTGTGCCTCTTGAGAAGCGACCCATGTTCCAGGGCCTCTTCGGCGCCATCTTCGGTCTGGCTTCCATCATCGGTCCTCTGGTCGGCGGTGCTTTCACATCGAATGTCACCTGGCGCTGGTGCTTCTACATCAACCTCCCCATCGGCGGTGTCGCTTTCGCCTTCTCTGCGTTCCTCCTGAGGGTCCCCGACCGGGACACAACAAAGCAGCCGCTCAGCAAGAAGCTCGCCCAGCTTGACGGCGTCGGTACTGCCGTTCTCATCCCTGGAGTTGTCTGTCTCCTCCTGGCCCTTCAGTGGGGTGGCCTTGAGCACCCAGTAAGCTTGTGACGTTTTCCCGCCTTTCGATTGACATTGCTAATGTATCTTGTAGTGGTCTGATGGCCGAATTATCGCCCTGTTGGTTCTCGCAGGCGTCTTGCTCATTGGCTTCGTTGCCGTCCAGGTGCTTATGCCCAACACTGCAACCATCCCCCCTCACATCTTCAAGCAGCGCAGTATCCTGGCTGGATTCTGGGCCACTATTTGCATCGGATCCCAGATGATGATCTTTGGTATGATTCCTCCGTTCCCTCTCAATGTCAGGTTTACGGCTAACCAATTGGCTCAGTCTACTATCTGCCCATCTGGTTCCAGGCCATCCAAGGTGTCTCTGCTGTGGACTCTGGCATCCGTATCCTGCCCTCGACCCTCTCCATGGTTGTCGCAACCATCTTTTCCGGTGCCCTCATCACCAGAATCGGCTACTACACCCCGTTCATGATCTTCGGAACATGCCTCATGTCCATCGGCGCCGGTCTGCTCACAACCCTCCAGGTTGACACCGGATCCGGCAAGGTAAGCATCATATCCGCATCCTGCCCATCTGCACTTACTGATATCTCTTTCTAGTGGATCGGATACCAAGTCCTCTGGGGTCTCGGCATGGGCATGACCTTCCAGGCACCCAACCTCGCCGCCCAGACCGTCCTCAAGCTGCGCGACGTCCCCATCGGCACCACCCTCATGTTCTTCAGCCAGCTCATGGGCGGCGCAATCTTCATCTCGGTCGGCCAGAACGTCCTCAACAACGAGCTCCTCAAGCGCCTCGCCCCGCTGCCCGGGTTCCGGCCCAGCTTCATCTCGCAGGGCGGCGCCACCGCGCTGCGCACCGAGTTTCCCGCAGAGCTGCTCCCCGCCGTGCTGGACGCGTACAACGAGTCGCTGCGGAAGGTGTTCCAGATCGGCATGATCCTCACGGTTTTAACAATCATCGGGTCTGCGACCATGGAGTGGAAGTCGGTGAAGAAGAACGTGAAGAAGCCTGTGGCTGCGGGCGCGGAGGAGCAGCAGACGACGACGGGGGGTGCCAAGTCGGATGGGGAGACGATCGTGGAGGGGTCTGTGGCTCGGTCGGAGAAGGATGTGGATGTGAAGAGTGCGCCTGCGGGTGAGGCCAGTGTCGAGAAGGAGAAGGAGAAGGAGGAGAAGATCTAAGGGGGAGAAAAGAGGAAGAGCAGGGCATCACAACATGGTTTGGGGCGTTTGGGATCTGGTTTTTTCATCGGCATAGATTTATTGACGCGTAACGAACTCGCGCTCGGGTGGTCTTATGGAGGGTATAGCGTAGCAGGTACCAAAACTACTTGGAAACTCCTCTCTAGTATATAATAATTAATCAAATCTTTAAAAGATGTCACCTCTTACACTCTTTGTGTTCCCGTGCTCTTAGCCTGCGTTAACCGACCATTCCCTCACCGCTGCACGAGACATCTTGACCGTCAGATAATGAACGGTAGTTTATATATCAAGATGAGCACCCATACCACTTTACTCACGTCCTATTCTATCAAACTAACCTACACGAGGGTTTATTTCAACGTAGACAATTGCTCCACATGGCCCTGGATTCGAACCTCCTTGTTATCCCAGAAGCCGATCCCTTCGCCGTACGACTCAGATATTGTGATGTACTTATCACGCTGTTCTGGCAATTCCGGAATTAACTCGCCATCGCGAACCCACTTATCAAATGTGAAGTGGGCATCTCGAGCCGGAAGATCCAAAAAGAATTTGTTAAAGTACTTGATGCCAGTACGGGGGCTGATGTCGATATCAGAAGCCCGACTCTTAGGGCCGACTGGCAACATCTCATGCCAGCCGTTTGGGTGCCAGACAGAAGCGAAGGCGATTTCTGATACGCCATCGGTATTTGGTTCCATTGACCACGAGATGAGGACATCCCCCGACTCGAAATAAAACCAAAGTGCGTAATAGCCTTTTCCAATATGAAAGTTGCCCCACTGCCTTTCAAACAAGGCGTAGGACTGCTCGGGGTCAATTTCGTGCTCCCATCCATCAATGGAAAGCTTGCCTGCTAGTCGGGTTGTAGGGTTCGCCTGCAAACCTAATCAGCCATCAACTTCCCATCGTGCACTTGGCTCGACACCTACCCAGTACCACGACCATCCAGGCAGTGCAGCAGAGCCATCAGGGTCTGGTCCACGGTTGGTAAGCTGGATGCCGCCGCTGCCTCCGTAGTAGAAATTACCGCCGGTAGGTTGCAAAGTAACATCTAGTTTAACACCAGCCAAGTCAAGCTCGAGATGTGTGCCAGCCCATCGATCGCCGGCGTCTGGGCTGGTAATGGTCTGCGAGGCGCTCTTCAGCTCTAGGCGACCGGGATTTCCTGACCCAGGCTCAAGGATTGAAGCACCTCGCGAGGTGAGATCCTGGAGATCGTTGAGGGAGACGAACGTTCCAAGAAGGTTGGCTCCACGTAGACCAGCATTACTCGTCAAGTGGTATTTGCGGCCATTTTTGGTGGTGATCCAGTAGAGCATGAAGACACTGCGGCGTTTAGCATGATGAGTGTGCACCGGTCAAGAACAGGGCTACAAACTTATTCACGTTGTTGGTGTCGCTTGTCACATATGCCAAAGTTTTCCGGGCATCGTATCTGTTGGCTGAAGTCTTTTTTGGAAGTCAGTCATGGTGTTGAGTGCCACTATTATCACACAAAGCTGGACGCAGAAACTCACACCATCATTATCTACCGTAGTTGGCGCATACTCCGGGGGAGCCCAAGACAAGGGAGTGGCTGGCATTTCTCAAGCTGAATTTTGGCTGGCAGTCTTATTGAATGATATCGTAGCAGAGTCAATGGCAGATTCGCCATGATAACGATCAGTGTCGTGTTTTTAACCTCCTGCTTTCGGGACTCGGCCTCCTCGAGGTGTCCGGATGGGGTTCGAAAACGGAATAGTCTCCATGGAGTCCACGGGCTTCCTAAAATTCGAACGGAGAAGAACACGACGACTTGTAGCTATTATACCTAAGTAATTGCATATCGTATTTTCTTTCTGTCCACTTGTGTCCCTCTCTTCACTTCTCTCTTTCAGCCTTGTCTCTTTTTCACCTCGATATCATAGCCCTATGCGAACACAAACCTTGGTCTAATACAAGCGTTTCAACGACGAGAAGTCACGTTCCTCAATCTCATCCGCTTCAATGGCGTCCTCCGATGCGTAGGGTCAACCTGACGAGCTTGAGCCCGTCACACCGACCGCAATACCACACTAGCAACTGGCCATTGACCAAGCTGGGATCATGCCCGAAGTGGCCGACCACAACTAATCAGGATCGGGAACGCAAGATGATCCCTATCTTGTATCATGGATTACCAATAACCCGAGGAACCCTACCCTATGATTGTTGCAAAATCTAGGAAGTGAATTATCACCATGACTACGACCATAAACACCTTGGTCCTTGCCCTGGTTTCTTTGGTATTCACTGGTGGAGTATCTGAACTTATAGCAGACTTTGGAATCAGCGAAGTAGGTACCATCCGGGTATATCTCTGTTCATCGTTGGATTCGCCTTTTAGTGAGGTCTTCGGGCGCTAGATCATCTTTATTCTCACCTATACTACACTAATCATTTTTAATATCGTATGTACCGGGCACCTAACACAGCAGTACTTATTATTATCTTTCGCTTCTTGGCAGGTATATTTGGCTTATCACACTCTTACTAGTGTTAATAAACACATATAATAAATGAGACTTCTCTAGGCTAAAATTAGCAGAAGGTCAGGGGGGGACTCCATTTAACCGAAAAAAAATTCTATCTCTGTTCCACTGCTAACCCTCAGTAAATACTTCAAGTTGGCAGAACGTTATTGAAGATTGTCCGATGGAAGCAATAATGGTGATTACAATATCCTGTGCTGCTTCACTGCGGGATATTCGCGGATCAGTCAGCGAGACCGTTTATTAGAAGGAATTTACAAGGCGTTCCTAACAATTTATACAAGAATTTACGGGCAACACGGATACTTCTGGACAAATAAGGCTATGATTAGCCGGGTAGATCCAGCTAATTATATATTTATTCAAACCTTCCATTAGAACATTTAAATAGCTAGCTTTTCTCTATAATCAAATTTGTTTTGCTACAATCGTTGCTTTGCTACGAAGCTGTGAGATTATCAAACCACGCTATCTGCGTCATTACATCGCCCCCGCGGAAGCCCTTCCTGACCGCTATTAAAATGAGTATCTAATATACCGATGCTGTTCAGGTCACCCTGCTTGGTTTCTGAGATGATGTTCCAGCTCTTGCGGTCCTCGGTGGTAGTGTCAACGAAAAAGGCCACAGCAAGCTCCCCGCCAGCATCGACACGGATCTTCCATGCAGCACCTGCATGGACAATGCAGATAGCGGACGGTGAGGCGAAAGTGGCTGGCTTTGGAACAAGGCCAAGGTAGATAAGACGGCGAAAACCCACCATGCTCACACCGGTTCCTCTAAAAAGGAGGTCACGCGGCACTGTATATTGCACTTTGCTTCAGCTAAGGCGCCGTGTTGTAAGGTGGCGGTGTTGTGAAACAGATGTTGATATATCATTTCGCTCTTGACCAACAGCATCCAGCGAACATGCAGCCACAGTGGATTCACACGTCAGCTCTAAGAGCTGAACTTTCAGCTCTCGCCTGAGGGGGGCCTGGATTGGTGGCACAGTTTCTGAGGCTTACAATGACAACAAAAGCTCTGCCAGGCAGCTTCTTTATTTACCATCCATCGCATACCCTACCGGCAAAGATTCTCTGCGCAAATACAACTTGATTGTTCAGTGGTTTTACACCCGAGAGACTACCCAATTCCATCGCTGTTCGCCCATCCGTCATGGGCCTACGCATACTACCAACATGTATCATCCTCGCGATGCTTTTCGCGTGCGTCCGGGCAGCAGACGGGCTAGATACCTTCTCCAACCATCTATTTGGCGATTTGGGCCCGTAAGTTAGATAGTAAAGTACGCATGCAATCGATACACTAACCCAGCCCGCTCTAGGATTCTTGCCCTGTTTGGAGAACGCGTCACGATGCAATTTATGAGTCAAGCTATGGACTGGGTAGATTGTATTGCCCTAGCTATGGCTCCTATTGGTATCATCACGATCCTCATCAGTGCCATTCGAGTAAGCGGGCCACAGTGCCTCAAAGCTATCATCGGCCGGGCTCGAGAGAGTACAGCCGCTGCGGAGATGGAGTTGATGTCATCGACATCTAAAGAGGTTTGCGAGCTCTTTAATGGCAACAGTTTCGTCCGGTGCCAAGGAACCGCCCCTGTTTGGGAGTACATCTGCATTATTCCTAAAAAGGCCAATTCCCGGGAAAAAAGGCCTTTGCAATTCATGACACTTGGCGATGCAGTCGACGAGGGTCTTTTATCGAAACATGAAAAAGGCACGCAACCCGATGATACTAGCGAGTCCACTTCCACGCCGCCCAACATTGGCAATAAGACGCATGGTATATGGGGTAACGCAGCAATTCTTAGTAAATGACTTTCTAACGTTTACCTCATTGAGCTTTATTTCAAGATAAACTGATACCGAGACAAATTAGGGACTCTGCGACGACAATGAAAAGATGCCAGAGATGTGGAGGACCAGACAGGTTACACCATGGATGGATTTCGGCCAGATGGCAAAACCGACAATAGGCCCAGAGATACAGAGAACCAAACAGGTACTGACTCGAACGATTCGCCAGATGGTGAAAGTGATAAAAGACCGAGAGATGTTGAAAACCAAAAAAGTGCTCACTCGGACGATTCACCAGATGGTGAAACCGATAATAGGCCTAAAGATACAGAGAACCAAACAGGTACTCTCTCGAACAATTCAACAGATGGTGAAACCGATAATGGACCGAGAGATACGGAGGACCCAAAAAGTACTCGCTCGGACAGTTCGACAGATAGCAAAACCGCGATAATAAAAAAATTATCAGATAAATAACGGGGTGTGCTGGGAGGAGTAAAGACGAGCAGATACTAGCTAGCAGGAGGCTTATAATTAAATAGCTATATAATAATAGATATCTTCCTAATAGATAAATTAGCTCTTAACTCTTTTAAAACCTCTTAAGATTATAATATTATTTTATTATTATAGTAGCTTTATATACTGGGCCTACTTATCTATATACCCTAATTAGCTAATTCCTTTTACCCCTAATAGATCTACCCCTCTTATTAAGATTATATCTTAGTTTTTATTATATATTTAAAATAATAGGAATTAGGATCTTAAACTCTCTTTATAAAAATCTCTCTAGTAATTTACTATAAATTTACTTTAAAATACTTATAATCTAACTAATTAGACTAATAGCTATAAGAAAAGTTAACTATTTACTTATATTATAGTTATATTATACTTCTATATTAAATTAGCTCTTCCTACTTACTATATATTTATAGTAAGAGTAAGAAGCCTTAGATATATATTATATAGATATATATATATATAGTAAATAAGTACTTATAGTATAAGGTTCTTTAATAATATAAGTATATTATATAAAGCTATTAAATAAGCTCTTTAAACCTATAAGATTATAGTAACTTTCCTATAAACTTATAACTTTCTCTTCTTTCTTTTTTAGTTCTTTTATACTTAGTATAAATAGTCCCTTATAGTAATACCTTTATAAAACCTTACTAATATAGATTTTTAGATATTATTAAATATCTTTACTATTACTACTATTTTATAAGTATTTTCCTATAAGCTTACTATTAATTAGAATATTAGCTAACTATCTAGATATCTATAATAGATCTTATCTTATCTATTACTACTATTATTAATATATAAATTATTTTTTAAGTTTTCTATAAGTATATTATAAAATATAAGCTAATTATTAGTATTTAGATCTTCTAAAAAGAGTACTATTACTACTATAGCTAAAATTACTAGTACTAAGTATATCTAGAGTAAGCTTAAGATATAAATTTCCTTTTCTTTCTAGTATTTACTCTTAAGTTTAAAGCTAATTTACTAGTATCTTATCTTTAGTTTAAAAACTATATATTAATATTATAATTAAGCTCTTATTTATTAGAATAAGAAAAGCTTTCTTCTAATTTATTATTAGAACTCCTAATATAAGTTTTCCTTATATCTCTTTTATCTATTACTTATATATAGTAAGGGGGATATTAATATACTAGGAACTAGTAGAGTCTAATAAGTATACTTACTATACTACTAATAGTAAAAAGTACTAATCTGTTTAGAGTATAATTAAATTATATTTTAAAGCTCTCTATAAGAAAATTATTAAGAATAAAACTATAAGTTAGTTATTATAAAGCTATTAAGAGATTATTACTAATATTTTTCTCTAGATCTAGTTTATCTATATTACTAATAAAATAAAATATAGCTTTTAAAACTATAAGAAAAACCCTATAGCTATAACTACTATTACTATCTCTACTATTATAGTATAGTAGTAATCTCTTTCTATTACTCTAGATCTTTATATCTATTTTTATAACTCTCTAGTCCTTAAGATTATTAATTATCTTTAGTTCCTAATTAAGATAGCTATTAGTTAGAATAATATAAATATTACTCTTTTACTTCTATCTTTCTATAAGTTTATTATTAATAATAAGAATAGTAATAGTATACTAGTATCTCTCTGGAGATACTATATTAGATTACTTTAGTCTATATACTAGAAGATAAGGAGAAAGATAATAAAAAGAAGATTAAGAGATCTATCTTAGAGTCTAAGAACTCTGGATAAAGAATATAATTAGCTTTAGCTATCTAGATTACTATAGTTTTATAATAAGAGAATTACTATAATAGCCCCTTTAGTTATCTTTTCTTTATATTATATTATACCTCTTAGATATATAAAGGAATAGTTCCTTAGAATAACTAATAGTTTAGTCTAGCTTATAGGGAGATAGTAGCTAATCTACTATCTTTAGAAATTAAATTTATTTACTATTAAAATAATTTCTCTTTTTATTTTCTATTTTTTTTATAGCTATAGATCTTCTACTCTCTTTTAAAGTAAAATAAAAAAAAAAAAGTATATTTTTATAATATCTTACTATAAGATAGTATTTTCCTTACTATAAGTTATCTTATTATAATTATTAGGAAGGTTTTTATTAATAAAATCTCTTCTTAGAATCTATAAGTTCTTACTTAGATTATAACTAATCTATTTAATAAAATATTTTTTTTTTATATTCTTATCTCTATAAAATAGAATTCTTTTAATCTTATAGATTTCTTCTTCTATAAAGAAATTAATTTACTACTTACTTACTAGAACTTTATTACTATTATATTACTCTAGTAATAAGATTAGGAATATATTATAAATCTTTAATAGTTTTAGTAGCTCTAATCTATATATAAGCTCTAAGCTTCTAATAGTATTAAGTATATAGTATAAATCTAAATACTTTACTATAAGTTTCCTATTTAGCTACTTTAGCTTAATATTCTTAGTAGATAATAATACTAGATTCTCCTTATTAAACCTTATATTAATATACTCTTTATTATAGTATTTAATATAAGTACCTTATATATACTTAAGCCTTTATTTAGCTATAGTAAGAGTATAGTAAATCTCTTATAAGTATAGCTCTACTAGTTTATTAACTTTCTTAAGCTCTCTATCTAACTAGCTAGAATATCTTAGTATAAATCCTTATAGTAATATTATAAAAATCTTACTAGTAGCTAAATATAAGCTTATATTATATACTAGCTATATATAAACTAGCTATTTATACTAGTTATTTTACTTTTTATTTATATAGTAATAGAGAAAGTATTTAAGGATTTAGTTTAGCTTCTTAGTCTAGCTATCTATCTAGGAGTATTATAAATTATATTATTATATATTAAAGTTATATAGATTACTCTACTTTTTCTAACTAATTACTAATAGATTATTAAGATCTTATAATAATTCTAATAATCTAGAATAATAAATTATTATTAAGTATTAATAATCCTCTAGTATATATATATATTTATTTAACTAGATAAAATACCCCTTTAGATAGTTATTAATATAATTATCTATATATCTATTATTACTAGTTCTATAATACTTATATATTAATAGTAACTT